TCTCCTTTATTCTACTTTTCTCTAATTTTTCTTTCAATAATTTTTTTTTTAATTAAAAAAAATACTTACACAATTATAAATATTGATACATTGTTTGAACCCCTTACCTCCCACTCTCCCACTCTATTTATAGAGAAATTAAAGTCTTTAGAGAGAGGAGAGGTTTGCTTAAACTAAATCCAATAATAATAATAATAATAATATTATTATTATTAAATAAATAAATAAATAATAAAAAATCTAAATGCAATATTGAAAAAATCTTGGATACATGAAAGTAGTTATTTTATTTTATGTTATTTTTGTGGTTGTTAATTACATTCCTTCCTTTTATGATGTGTTTTATAGGTGTGACCTATCACTATCAAAGTTGTTTGGCATGTACACGTGTAATTGATGGAAAAGGAAACAAGTCAATTCATTCGCTCAAGATGAGTTGCCATTCTGGGCTTCCAAACAGTTTCAATCAAAAGCATTTCAACAGTACAAAAACTTTTTCGTATTCGGTTGGAGGGAAGGGATACGGGAAGGCATTATTAGAGAATGGAATGTATTTCTTTCACTTTTTATTTGATTAAATAAAATAAGTAGTATGAATGATGGATGGAATAATATATTTTTTTTATTTAGTTAGAAGGAAGGGAAATAGATTTTTTATATTCTTTTTACTAATATACCCTCAGTATTTAAAAATTCTATATCTATTCTAAATTTTTAGGAAGATTAGAAATGAAAAATCTATATTTGTATTAGTTATTATTTCTTTTCTCTCCTCTTCTTCTCAATTTTGGGCGGATAGAAAAATACAAATAAAGGAGGGATGAAACATCCTCTTTGCTTCCTCCCGCTTTTCCCTTCCCTTCAACCAAACACAAAAAAGTTAGCTTTTTCCTTCCCTCTAATCAAATACGAAAAAGTTAACTTATCCCCCCGTCATCCATCCCTCCTCAATCCTTCTCTCTAACTAAAAATAGCATAACTTCTTAAAGCCACACAAATTACTCTTCCACACAATTGCAAATAACTTTTCTTTCACCCATTTTGGGTATTATTAATTGGCATTCCCTGCTTTTGCATCTATTCCATTTTTTTTTCTTGGAAAAATTAGATGACAGTAACCAAAAAAAAATTAGAGCAATTTTAAACTCATGAAAAGATAAACAATAACAAATTTTTTTAAAAATTTGCTCACCAGTGACCCTTTAACATTAATGTCCTAAATACCCTTATACCACAACCCTACCATCCTCCACTCCCACCTCATTCTCATCTACGTAAAATTCAAATCATGGTAAAAGGGTATTTAGGATATTAAATCTAAATGATCGCTAATTGACAATTATTGTTAAAATTTGATTATATTCATATTCCCTTGTGTTTGAGGTTACCATAAATTAAGCAAAAAATATATATCAATTTTGGTCACCAAAATTTATTTTTTCCTTTTTTCTTTTCCTAGTGCATTGTGTCAGTGACAATAAAATAAAAAATGTTAGCTTCGGATGCATCTAGGGATGGCATTTTGCTCCGCAAAGATGGGTATTCGCCCGTTTAGATAGGTAAACTATTAAATTTATCCTTATTTTATTAGTATATATAGTTAGTTCTAAAAATCTTAGGTTACATTCACTCACTTTCTCAACCGTTTTAGAGAGCGATGGAGCCCTACAAATTAAGAATACTCACACACTTAAATTTTATGCTAAATTATTATTAAATTTTATGTTAAATTATTATTTGTTCATTTTTTATGATTTTTTTCAATAGTTATATAATTGTATTAAAAATGAGGAAAAATTCTGGAACTAAACAGGGCGGTGATAGAGTGGAAAGCCCCCCGTTTAGCCCTTTTTAGGCTGGAACGGTGCAGGGTTTTCTAAACGATTGTCGAGATAGGAGAGGGTATACCTGCCCAAAACCACTTCCGTTGCCGTCCGTAAATGCATCTGCATATGAGTTAATGGAACGAAGATAATATGCGTAACTAGTTGTATCTCGAACTATTCTTGATTTTGATGTAGAAATCCCTCAATTAAGCATAAGTCTGAATAGGCTCTAATATTATCCAAGTGATTGTTTTTAAACTCAAATCACAGTTACACCAAACAAGGACTCTTTATATTTCAACTTAGAATTTACATAAAATTACACATCCAAAATTCTCTGTTTTACAAGAAATTATTCGTTGCAAACTTGCAATAGTTGCAACGATGAGGTGGTAGACAAACGGCCACAAATATTCCATCGAAACAAATTTATCAGCTAAGTAATTTTGGACTAAAATGTTAAGTCATGTCGATCTTCAGATGTCACTAAATAAGCCATTCTTCATGACGGGCGTAATATCAATTAAGTTGTAGTTAACTTATTTGTCAGTTCAGGTACCTGGACAATTGATTTTTTCAATCAAATTATTGATGGTCAACGAATTTAATTTATGAATTCTTGAATTATTCAAAAATGACTCAAAGTCTTAGAGATTTTTTTACATAGTTTGGTCCATTGACCTACAAGACGAGGTCTTATCAAAATTTCTGATGATAAGGTGTGTTGAGAGGGTCTCACCCTCTTGAGTCTGACACCTTAGTCAAACAAAATAGATGAACAAACTTTCAATTACAAATTTAATATGAAATGAAAACGACCCATTTTATAACAATTTCATAGTTTAATCAAAATGACAACAAAAATTATCAAACAGAACATAAACTTTTATATAGTTCATGTGATACTCATTTGAGCCCAACTCTGTAAAACAAGGGCCCAAAACTATCGGAGTGGGTCTGTGCACTTTCTGGAAAACAATATTTAAAACAATGTCATTTTGAGACTAGTTTTATAACTATAGGCCATGTCCAACCAAACTTCATAGCCCAATAACTGAATTGGGCTTTACCGGAAAAGGCAGGGCTTCATTAATTGGTGTCGGTACCAAACTGGCCTAGGTGGGCTTGGACCCAGTCCACGTTAACTTGGTTGAAAACTGCGTCAAGTTAGATGTGTTGAAGAACTCATTGATCAATTTGGAGAATATTTGGATTAATGGTTTATAATTAACTTTGACTTAATAATAAGTTAATTGTTGAGTAGGCATACCTTTATTTATTGACATACCAGCTTATCAGTCCAACCAATAAAGAGGTATATTTAGGATATAACAAAAAAAATATATGAATTTATACAATTAAAATGCATCTTGACTTTGGATTAGAGTTCAAAATTTCTAAATCCAAAGTTGAATTCTTTAATCCAAATTTTTTCTTCTATTTTCATTTTGGATTAATATACTCAAAAAAATCATAATACATCTTAACATACTATAAACACCTTTATTTAATGGTACATATGTACATATTTTATTCTGCTTCTATCAAATAATGCACCCACCATTCCACCAAACTCTTTGTACCGACCACAATGGGGAACAAGGAGTCACAAATCTTTGGTGGCTAATTGTAACGGATTGATGATTTACCGGACCCAAAAGTTTAAATTATTCATTTGTAATATCCAACTCATATATTATCCGATCACTCTTTCAACGGTAAAGGTTGAACTCTGGTACCATCTATAATTATTAGGAGAAATTAATCCATATAACTATTAGGTAGAACTAACACCCGACCCATATATATTTAATCATTTTTTAGTTTAAATTCGACGCGGAACAAATCACTTTTTATAACACTAAGCCACCACTATTTAAATAAATTATATTTTTATTATTTTACTTTATGGCGAGAATGTCAAGGTTGGTGGGGAGGAAAAATGTGCTTTGTTTGAACAAGAATTTCGGAATGGAAAGAGCAACTCAACTGCTCAATAACACAATAATTACAATAAATTAAAGGATGTCTAAATTTGACCCAATAAAATAACTATTTAATTAATGAATGGGTTCTAATTTCCCAAATCAGACTCAAAACAACCATGGAATCCCCACAGGTTTCAGGTTGGTGGGTCATCCTCGTAACTCCAAAGGTTTTGTTGGTGTTGGTGTTTTTCGAGGAGAGTCAACAGAAAGCAGCGACAAGCAGCCAATAAAGTGGCGCCAGCATGCGTCAACTTGATAACGCCGTCACGTCATAATTAGGTTTCCGTTTCATAAAGGAATATGCGCCCCTCCATACTTGGAAGTAATAATTATTACACCAGCCTTTTATTTCAGAGATCAAGTGTTAATTAGCCCACCATAGGTTCATGTTCCTTACCATTCAGTTCATTATCTTTACGGACAACCGAACACTAAGGATAAGATTGAAATTTTATTCTTTTTTAATTTTTATTTTTCTCCAAAGATAACATAGGGTAAATTAGTATGACACTCATATAACGTGTCATTGTCTCAATAAACATTAGTGGTCTGGCCTAGGTGGTTCAATAATTAAACTCGAAAGTCTAATTATTAACAATTTACTATAACGATCTTTAAATTCAAAATTATTATAACGAGCTATAATTAATTGATTTAAAATTATATAGCACCAGTTAATCACAATTGGATACGTAAATAATTGTATCCAAAATAAATAAAATTTGAAGATTTAAAATATTAATACAATATAAATTTAGAGTGTATTTAAAAATTTCAAATTTTAACTTTCATAAAGTCTAAAATTATTTGAATTTAAATAAATTTAAATAATATGCATAATTTGCTAGAGATTACACATCTCCAAATTTAGCTTATAACAAATTTTAACTTTCATAAAGTCTAAAATTATTTGAATTTAGATAAATTTAAATAATATGCATAATTTGCTAGAGATTACACATCTCCAAATTTAGCTTATAACCATAAATACATTCGTCTATTTGAATTTTGAGTGTCACCGCGCTGTTGATTCAAATGTCAATACTTGGTGGTGTACCTAGCTGAATTTTTCTCAACCCTAAGAAACGTGGAAACACGAGGCAGCGAGTATACTTTATGGAGCACACGCGCGAATGTGTTCTATATGTATATATACGTATATATGTGTTGTGTGATTTGTATCCACGGACACAACACAAATCAATAAACGCCGTCACAAAGAGTCACACTCACTGTGTGCAGCATTTCAGCAGCGGAGCCTCTCCACTCTGCCTTCCTCTCTCCGTCGTAGCCACCACCACTGCGATTACACGAAGAGAGAGAGAGAGAGAGAATGCAGGCTCTTCATCTCCGATAATCGCCTTAGCACCGATCATTTGCCGAAAAATCAGGATCTTCTAGATCTTCAACCATAGTACGGGTGAGGTCTTGATTGAGCTTCTCAGGGTTTAATCAATGGCTTCGGAGGACGTTAAGACGAGGGAATCTGCCGTCTCTACTTTTGTGAATCTCGCCGAAGAGGCAAAGCTGGCTAGGGAAGGAGTTAAGGCTCCGAGTTATGCGATCCTCACTATCTGCAAATCTCTGTTCGCAGGAGGAGTCGCCGGAGGCGTGTGAGTTGGATTTAATATTGAAAATTTTATTTTTCAAAGCAGAAATGAATTGCTTGCTAATCTGGTTGGTTGCTGAGAAAAAAATTATGATAATTAAGGAGAGGACATTTGAAATTTTACAATTTTGTTGTTGTTGTTTATTGCGTTCTGTGAAAGAGGAAAAATTAAATTAATTTGATCAAATTGTTGTAACTTAAATTTTGTATAAAAATTCGCTCCCATTTTCACACACTTTAATTTCATATGTATATATAGCATGCATATCCTGATCCTTAACCGAAATAGTGAATTTATAATACTCAGATATATCGTCTTATAACTATTGTGTGAACTTTGGCGATAGGCCACACATTAAACTTATTTTTAATTACTTTCTGAAGAAGTAGTATCATTCGTCTATTGCTACTTTCTGGGAAAAAAATTATCTGTTCATGCCTAAAGTTTTAATTTTGTTTTATCTCAAGGAAAAGAATTATCGAAAAAGCTTTTTTCTCAAAGCAAGAACAGTGACACTGGTGATCTTGATTTATTATTGAGTATTATAATATATCACTAAGTATATATGCCTTGTGTCCAAACCCGTTTCTATTCTTGGTTGTTTTCCATGGTGTTTAGTATGCTACTGACCTATGGTTATTTGTCCTGGAAATTTCATACTTAATATGTTTTAATATGTAATGATAATATAAACATCATCATTTCTTGTACACTGAGAACATGTAGTGAGCTTCATGTGAGAGAATTTCTCAATTTGATTTTGCTTCTCCAATGATGGTTAGAAATATTCATGTTTTAGGGCTAAAATTGTTGTGGTATAATGTTTTAAGTGCTGACGTGACATCTAAAAGAGAGGGGGTAAGGTTATAGGTTTAAGTTACCATTGGTAAAAAAGAATATATATATATATATATATATATATATATATATATTTTTTTTTTTCCCCTCCAAAATTCCACTGTATTTTATAGTTTTTTGTTCTCCCTGACTGTGGTACTGTTTTTGACAAGTTATGGGATGTGTATAATGCATATTGTTTTTATTTATTTATTTATTTATTATCTCAAGCCAAAATTAAAAAGTAGAAACATTCAAGTCTCAATACTGTAATACCAGTTCCGCTCAGATTTTGGGATAGGTTGAACGGGTTGTTTCTGGTAAGCATATCCAATATTTTTTGTCATAGAAGTAAACATGTCTTGCATTGTATATTGATTCTCAAATGTTAAATTGTTCCTGCATTGGGTTGAAATGTTTCTTAGTTGGTACTCACCACACACATGCCTCCACTGAGGGTCGAACCCTTGACCTCCCTTGGGGAAGTAGGGGCCTGGTATCGCTGGACCACTGCCCGTTGGTCATTGGGTTGAAATGTTTAACATACCATATATTGTTTTTATCTACATTTAATTAAATTTATCTGGGGATTGCATAGCGTGAAATTTGCCATAGATGTCTGCCTCATTTTAACAAATCTCAGCTTCCTGTCTTTGTGAGAGATCCTTCAATGATCATGAAAATTCCATGATAGCTTGAAACATGTAATAGATTAATTTTTTTTTTTTTTTTTTGCAATTGGGTAATATAATGGTATTCAATCCAGTTCTTCAAGTTATGGTTATGAATGATCCGTGCAGAGATAAGTGGTGGGTTGCTCAAGCTTGCTAAAAAAATTGATATATTTCATTGAACTCTGCTTGTTTATATCTTGAGTTGTTCTCGAGTGAGCCTCTAACAGCACCAGTCGCAAGTTGAACTCGATACTTAGTTTTTTCATATAATCCTAGAGTATTTATCTACTTATAGAGACGATTTTGAGCCAAGCTCAATAAATGAATAATCTCAGTTGTGTTGCTTGTTTCCTTTTGTGGCCCAACTTGAAGTCTCCTTCACACATACAACAATGCTCAGGGTTCTCTTTTCTTCTAAATTATATTTTATGATCGTTAAGTTCTAATAAATTGTAGCTTGCAAGCGAAGAATAGTACCGATTATAACGAAACTGCTTTAATCTAAACATACATTAACTTACCCAAAAAAATTCCCATTAATATAGCTGATTGATACTCAATAGAGTGACCAGAATGTGGTATCTTTTCTACTAAAATGAGTTTTTCTAATCCTTGCAGTACTAGTGCATATTGATTGACTTGCAGCATTTCTATTGCAGGTCACGCACTGCTGTAGCACCTTTGGAACGGTTAAAAATATTGCTACAGGTTGATTTTCTTTTTGAGAAAAAATTATTTTATTTTCTTTTCTCATAAAAAAATTATGTATATGCTTGCTAGTTCCTTCTACTTGTTATTCATCAGAGCTGAATTGCACAATTTGAAATCTGGAATTACTCTTGTAAAGTGTTAATATTAATTTTGCCAAATGAAAACAAAATATAATGCCGTGATAGTATTGAGAAGGCTCCAGCTGACAATAGTTGTAAGTCTTCTATTATTTTAAGACGTCTTGGCTTGCTCGAGCTCGTCTTACCCGCGACCTCGAGGAGGGGGGCAAAATGTTGATGAACTCGCCACATCACCTGTCTGTGTGGCACCTCCTCGAACAAATGCTTCTCATCACTTGCTTATGTGGCCCCACCTGTCTCAACAGGCACACCTGGCCAGAATCTGTCTGGCGTGTCGTCAAGAAAATGGGACAAGTAATCCTGGGCTGCTCGCCCCATGACTGGAAATACTGGCGAGGAAGGGGTCGCTACCCTTCACTCCTTTAAGGACGTACCCCTCTCCATTCGGATGGGTCCCTCCTCATTGCACTATCCATCGCTCGAGGTCCCTACCTGCAGACGGGACCTCGGGCGCGTGATTACTTCTGTCACCTCGAGCTCCCCTCGCCATAAACACGAGGGGACCTCGAAGTCTGGCCACCTCGAATTCCCGACCTGGGATCTGAAGGGAATTCGAGGACCAAGGTCTGTTACCCCGAGCTCCCCTCACTCTGAAAGGATACCGATACCCATGGTCGAGCTCTAGATGGGGTTAAAAGAGGTTATTAATTATGAAAGACAGCCGGCATGACTAGCATTAATGAGGAAGCGCCATTTTCCCTTTAGACTGGGGGGGCAAAGCGGCTCTTCCTCTTTGGACTAAAGGGGGGAGGTATCTCCACCCGATGAGCAATGTCCCATCTGTCAGAGGAAGGGGTCCTCGATCCCTCGGACAAGAGGGAACTCACCTCTGTAACCAACGTATATTGACCGTTCGGAGGCATTATAAATAGGAGAAGTTAATTAGCCTTAAAGGCAGAGTTAAGAGATTTTCAACAACCAATTACCATCGAGCTCGAACCTACTGGGTATCACCGTACATTGCCTTCCCTTTCTCAATCCCTGAGTTCCAGGGAATCCCTTGTGTTGCTTGGGTCCCCACTTGGATACTGATCTCAGCACTCCCGACTCACGTGGAATATAATCCTCGTATCATCCCGAACCACTATCAACAGAATGCAAGTAGAATGAGATAGCAATGAGCAAGAGAAGATAATGAGGAGAGACTTAGGGCATGGAATCCAGCCTTAGCCTTGTAGCCATAGCATTACCAACAATCTTAGAGAATTCAAATGTGTATTTATGATTTGTGGCTACAAGCACACAATTGAGTTCAAGCAATAACTACAATTGGCATCAACAAGTATAATCCACCTTAGCTAAGCATGTATCGTGTACCTACCTACTTCTAATCTAAATTTGTAGCACATTTCATCTTCACTAGACATGGAATATCAAGTTGATTACAATCATATCAGTAAAACACCATTGTATAACCATCATCATCACAATTACAAAAAGTGAAGATGTTGAGATCAATCCACAATAATCAATATCCAAGACAAGACAAGGACTAAAAGAAGATCAATTATAGAATTAAAGCTCAATCAATCTTGGTACAACCAAGTCAATTCACAAGATTATACAACCAATGCACTAAGGAAATCCCCAAAAAATTGAAAACAAAACTACAAGTTACTTGGCTTAGGCTTCATCCAAGCCCTAAGGTGAAGTCTTGCTAGCCTTAGAGGTGGGGTAGATCTTCATTGAAGGACGAATCTCCATCTCCAAGCACAACCAAAGTCCTTTTTTTCCAATCTTCAAAGAGAGAACCGTAGAGAGAGAAAGAGTGGCCTCCAAATCTTGCCCAAAACCAACCCCCTAAAATGAGCTCTAATCTTCTATTTATACCTTGGCTTGTGGCTTGGAGATGGGCTGACCATGTCCATAAGGGTCGTCGCTTGAGTGCACCTCCAATTGGTCTTCAAAAGGGATCAAGGTCTGAAGTTGCAAAGGTCTCGCAGCCGAACTCGATCGATCGAGTCTTGCACGATACTAGATCGATCGAGTGCACTGAATTATGTACTTCAGCCCTCTTTTGCTCGTCACTCTTCGCCAAGACTTCTTTCGGCATATAGAAGCTTTAAAGCACTGGATTAAGCCATGTTTAGTCCTAAACACATGAAAATCGGAAATAAAACAAATTAGAGTTAAAAAGGTGAGCAAAGATAAAATCAAGGTACTAACATATGCAAGAATAAGGGCCAAAATGTGCATCTTTCGACACTCATCACACCTTATATAGTTATATCTGAAATTTGAAAAGTTTGCTACTCCAATCTTTTTCTGCCATTCAGCATTATCTTTAGCCACATGATTTTAATGTATGCAACCATGTCAGAAATTTGACATTTCTTCCTTTTGACACTTTTCACCTCTAATTTGAAATTTATGGCACATCCTTAATGTTTTTCAGTTTGTATTGCCTTAAGAATGCGTCCCTATCACTCTCTCTCTCTCTCTCTCCACATGTTATGTATATGGTTAAAGTCACTTCCCCTCAATATCCTCCTTTTGGTTATGCTATGGGCATGTTGGTTCATAAATGCTTGACTTTTTGTACGTAAATCATGTTTGGTCCTCCTATCATCTATTTTCACTTTAATATGTTAATAATGACTTGGCATGCATCAATTACATAGTGCTTTAAAGAACTTTTGCTCATCCACGGCGCTGTGATCTGTTGAAATGTTCCTTTAACTCCCCATTACTTGTGAATAAATAGTCAATGCAGTATTGGAAATTTTGGCACTTCATGGCCATAATGTACCATTATTTCTTGCGTTACTGTTTCTGTTTCTAATTTAACTTGAGTGACTTTCATGTCCTTTTCTTAGTCCTACTTGTTCTAAAACTTTTAGATTCCATGGCATTTCTTGTGGCTTGATATTAGTTTCAAGACTATCTACTCTCATATTTCCAACTGAAACGATAATGGAAGGAACATATTTCATGGGGCCTCCTCATATTTCCAACTGAAACGATAATGGAAGGAACATATTTCATGGGGCCTCCTCATATTTCCAACTGAAACGATAATGGAAGGAACATATTTCATGGGGCCTCTTTCTTATATGATAATTTGAATTATGTTCTTTTTCCAAAAAAAAAAAATTATCAAAAAGATTGTTTGTGTCATTCTCTAGCCAAATGCAGTAAATTACTTGCTCGAAGTACTGAGGTTGATAATTTAAAGTTCAACTTTACAATTTTTTTTTTTTTTTAAAGGCTGTGTACTTTTTATAGGATTAAGGCATTCAAGATTTGTTGTTTTTGTGTATATATTATGAGCAAAGTTTTTATATCAAGTTTTTTTTTTTTGGTTGTACTTTTACCTTTAACTGGCAGTTGTGACATGCAGGTTCAAAATCCCCATAACATAAAATACAGTGGTACTGTTCAAGGCTTGAAATATATATGGAGAACTGAGGGCTTCAGAGGATTGTTTAAAGGCAATGGTACTAATTGTGCTCGTATTGTCCCAAACTCAGCAGTCAAGTTCTTCAGCTATGAGCAAGCTTCCAAGTAAGATTCCTTTACTGACACATTTTCCCATTTATTACTTTTCTACTTTTGGCCATTTTCTTTGAGTTCTGTTGACATTCCAAAAAATTTAATATTAATATGACGATATTACAGGTGTTGATGGGTTCATTTGAGTTTTCTGTTGTCCGTATTTGTGATTTTTATCTGATCCTTTGCACGAAACCTTTTATGTGTCTTAGCTTTTATTAAGTGTGGCATTAACGAAACCTTATTTTATTAATGCAAAGTCTATCCCTTTGTGGGTAGGGCCATAAAATGATCCAAGCTGCATGTGCACGGCTCAAGATTGCCTTGATTTTAGTTCACTTGAGCTTGAATTTAGTTACTATAACAAGCAGAGCTCAACTCAATTCTGGTCTTGTTTACTTTCAGAGTTGAGCTTGAGTAGGTTGCTACTCATTCAGTAAACTTACGAGTAGGTGTTTATATCGTATGACTTCCGAAATTGTGTGATATTTTTTGGCAGCTTGTCTGTTCCTGTAATTGAGTAGAGAAGCCTGTGAAAAGTGGTTTACTGATATATATATATGTGTGTGTGTGTGTGTGTGTATCTCAGTAAACAACTTCTGTCTACTGCATGGCTTGTTTTACCAAATGTAATGCAGATGATCTTTTTTCTTCCTTTTCTACCTTCTGGACGCCCCTGAAGATTGGTTTGCTGTTGCTCCGTCTAATATGCTTCAAAACATTAGTAGACTCCTACAAATGGGGAAACTCACAAATTGGTCATTTACTTGTCTAATTGTTCAATTATTATCGGTAATATGAATGGACAGAGTTGCCTATAGGTTTTGTTTTCTCCAAGCTGCCATATAGCAGAACTTACTGCATTATTTATGGGTTCTTAGAGAAGTCAAAATCAAGGTTTATAGAAACTTTCATAATACTTTTTGTGTGGCTATCCAGTTCGTTCATCTATCAGACATTTCCTTCCCTCTGTTGACTCTTCCTTCTCATATGTAACAGGGGTATATTGACGCTATACCAGCAGCAAACTGGCAATGGTACTTTCATCTTTAAACTATCATTCTTGTAGTCATCAACTCTTTTCTCCATTTGCTATATCTAATTTAACAGTTTTTACATATTTTAAGTAGTCCGCTTATCATTTGGGTTCTGGATTTGTGTGAGGCTTTCTAAGTTGATGGGACTGATTGTATAAGTTTTCTTAATAACATGTTTCTTGCTAAATTTAATTGACTGCCTAACTTTTGGTCAAAATTTGAGTGTGTTATGCTAAAATTATTGATTAGTATTTTTTTTTTTTCCTAGTTGGTACTCACACACACTTGTCTCCTAACCTCCCTTTGGGAAGTAAGAGGCTGATACCGCTAGACCACTGGCCCGTTGGTAATTACTGATTAGTATTTCCCTAACGATGATTTATGTTGCCCAAATAAATTACCAGGATTTATTAGATGGAACCAGCTCTTTTCTTTTTCTTCCATTTGTTATTTATTTATTTATCTTTAATAATAGCCTATAGGGTTAATTTCAATCAATGACACTTCATGAGGTTTGGCCAAATCTCACACGGAGATAACCTTTGAAAATAAGTATCACTCTGGCCCCAACTCACATTTCCGTCACTGACACAGTTAAAAAGACATGAATGGACTTTTTTACCCTCATTTCTTTATTACATTTTAAAAAAAAAAATTTGTGATAATACTATAACCACCGAACTGCCCTTCTGAATAAATCCTGAGTCTCTAAACCTTTTCTTAATTGAACCTCAATTTCCATAATCTAACTTGCGTGAACAAACGACATCATGACGTAGATTTCTAGAGGGAGAAACCACAAATCTTCTAGAGAGAGGTAGAGAGCATCCATTGTTGTCATATACACAGCTATATATATATGTAGTACAATCAATCAAGAATTTTTAGGGTTTAGTTCAGTTAGGGTTTGTTTGTTTGGAGTTTGAAGCATGGCAGTGTACTTGTCGTTGAAGATGAAGAGGAAGGACCTTGATCGAGTGTACAACGATTTCTCATACTTCTCTCTTTCTTCACTTGCCAGAAAAATCCGTCCGATTGATAATTAAATTTTTTCTAATTTCTTCAGACAAGTCGTGCACTCTCTTTCTCTATATGTACTTTTTCTTTGTTATTCTCTCTGTCTCAATCTTACAATGTCTTTCTTTGTACCAAAAAAATACGATCTCTACTCGGGACTTGTGCTTTGATGGGCATCTACTGAAATGGGTAGGGGGAGATGAAGAGAGAGAAAATGATGAGAATGGAAGATAGGAGGAGAGAGAAAACTAGTGGGAGGAACTGTTTCTTCTTCTTCTGTGGCTTGTTAGTCTCCATGATGCTGGGCAGAGGAGTGTTGTAGAGAGGGAAAGGGGGTGTTGTAGACAGAGAAAGTGGTGGCCTGAAAAAAATAATTACATAATTCACAGTACCACAAACAAGTAATTTGGAAAGATGATTTGTGATTTGGGTGGGGACTATATGGTAGACAGGTGTTTTTCTACTGATTGTGAACCACGGATGGTAACAGAATGACACCTTGTGCCACGATAATCTGTAAGGATGAAATCTTAATAATTGATTTGGCTTCTTGAACCAGGTCTTTCACCTTTGACCAGAAGGATTTACTTGGGACTTTATTGCAAGCTTCAGTTCCACCATCTGGAAAGTGTGGATCATTGGCAAAGGAAATTCTTTATTAAAAATATTGCAAGCTTCAGTTCCACCAACTATGATGCTGATTATTCCACCGAGATGAAAGGAAATTCTCCAACCAGGGATGCCCATAAATGTGGTTGGAGCTATCGATAAAGAAATATCTATCTGTGTGTGTAAAGTGTGTGTTTTCATAATCAATTTATATATAATGCATTTAATTTTTAAATATATTTAATATTCAATTAAATTTTCATTTAAGCTTAATATTTTTATTTATAAATAAATAATTTTGGGCTTAAATTTGTAGCAGTTCTCAAGAAGATATATATATATATAGATACACAAATATATATATAGTTAGTGAGAGAAAGACTAAATGTTTGTAATGTGAGTGAAATTATTTTCAAAGGTTATCTCCGCGTGAGATGTGACCAAACCTCTGGTGTGTCATTGAAATTAACCCTTAATAATAAATCATCCAATGAAGAATTCTCCTTGTCATGGCTTAGGGGTTCGGTATTTCTTTTCCTCTGATTATCGTTTGTGCCTGAGATTTGGAAATAATAGATGTCTGACAACTGTGATCCTTGGTAAAGGTAGAATTGATTTTATTTGATCTGCCTTTTCTGTAAGTTATTTTTTCTATTTAATCTTAAAATTCAGGAGGCCTGAAATTTTTTGGAGGCATTAGAGATGCACCACCAAATCTAGTATGACTGGATATGTTGAAGTTAGAATCAGCACCTCAGTTGCATAAACTGTCCAGTTATGAAACAGTTTATGACTAACTACTGAATGAGGCTCAACGAAATTTATTTAATGCCCACATAATTTGCATGTTCATCCCCTTATGATAAACCCCCTTCGACCTTTAATATGTACATTTGTGAGTGTATCTTTTTGATGAATTGAAATTTAGTTGTTGATGGTTATGTTACTTGAGATACACTACATAATCATTTGAATCGTTGCTTTTGTTCTCTCTTTCAGAAGATGCGCAGCTCACTCCTGTTTTGCGCCTTGGAGCTGGAGCCTGTGCTGGAATAATTGCCATGTCTGCAACCTATCCTATGGACATGGTACGAGGAAGGCTGACTGTACAGGTACTGTTGTGAGTCTTAAGGAAAATAATGATTTTGACTATGTTAGGGGCTTTATTTGTGGATATTGGGCAGCTTTTTCCTAGTGTATTTGCATTAGATTGACTCTTTTTTTTCGTTGTGTCTTACTTTTGCAGACAGAGAAATCTCCTTATCAGTACAGAGGAATGTTCCATGCTTTGTCAACCGTGCTACGGGAGGAAGGACCACGGGCTCTGTATAAGGGCTGGCTTCCTTCTGTCATTGGCGTTGTAAGTCCTGTTTGTTATTGTTTTTCTGGAACTTATAACTACTGTCATGATGATTGCATGTGTGTTGAAGTTTGAAAAATCCATGAGGAAATATTAAAAGGAAAAAGTAACTCTTTTTTCTTTCTCAACTAGGGATGGCAACGGGCTGGGTATGGGACTGGTTTCCCTAAACCCTACCCGTCCCATTTAGCAAAAAACTGTCCTGAACCCGTCCCAAAGGACCTAAACCTGGGACGAGTTTCCCTCTCAAAACCCATCCCCGTTTATAAACGGGAGAGTTCCCCTTCCTGCCGTGAAATATTCGCCATGAAAATATTGGGTTTCTGAAAAAAAAAAAACAGCTATGAAAAATTCACCAAAACAAAAAGGTAGAATATAGCATTGAAGAGTCAAGCACGCACAAATACACAATTTAAATAATTTTAGATTGAAAAAGATGAGAAAAAATTATATAATACACAATCTCAGGTGCTCTGTAACATCAACGTAAAAACTAAACAAAAAATAGAGAAAGGAAGAGACAGTCATAGAAAATGAGATAAGAAAGAGAAATAGTCGTCATTGGTCTGGTCCAATGGTAAATGGCGAGTGGAGGACTATGGCGTGAGAACCTGAGATCATGAGAGAGAGAGAGAGAGAGAGAGAGAGAGAGAGACGGTGAACAAATGGTCACCGATAGTCTTGGGTTAGGCTGTGAGGGATGGCGATTCGTATGGTTGTGCAAAGGACTGGGGGCTGAGATCGTCAAGATCGTGAGAGGGGGCTGAGATCGTCAGAGAGGAAACTGAGATGAAATGGTTTGGGAACCTTATAGCATATTCATGTAGGATAGTTTTAGTTATTTCTAGTAAGAATGAGGGTCAAACTCTAACATAGGCATATAATCGGGGTGGGTTCGGGCAGTTTATACAAAAACTTGAAGCCGCCCAGAACCCAACACGGGTTTTAATTTCAGTTCCCATATCCACCCCCTATGGAACGAAAAGTCTTCTCATACCCGTCCCCTTAGGGGCTGGACAGGGCGGAAGAAGTTGCCATCCCTATTCTCTACTATACAAACTGTTAGGACACCTTCCTTCCTTCCTTCCATCCATCAAACTGTTTGCCGTCCTTGCTTATTTTATTTGCAAACTGTTAGCACACCTTCCTTGCTTGATAATAGACACATAACTTAAACAACCTACTCTGCTGCAACTGGCTACCGTGTGGTGTCCGGGTTGCTCTTACCTTGAACCATGGGTATCTTATAAATATGCCCATCATTTTTCTGACAATTTGCACTCCCCTTGACCATTGAGGTTTTGACACCTCCAGATTCTGCCTTTGATCCATAGTTGTTAAAGGCTTAAGGTGCACAAAAGCGCAAAGGCCTCCTGGAGCCTGAGGCGCAAGGCGAGGCGTGCGCCCGAGAAGCAAGGCGCACATTGAAAAAAAAAACCACCTAATAAAGATGCAATAGTATATATAAAGATGCAAAATTTAACTAAATCAATTACATTAGTTCAATATTTCAATTTCAAAGCAATATTAGCATGTTAATTTCACACTTCACAGCACCAGATTTCATGTCAATTAGCAAAACCAAATTTCAAAGCAATATTAACATTTCAATTTTAAAAAAAAAATTGACCTACTACTAGATGAAAAAAAGAAAAGAAAAGAAGACACATATTTCATCAAAAAAAGAAAACAGATTTCATAAAAAAAACAAAAACTGAAGAGAGAGAAAGAAGAGAGAAGAAGAAGAAAAATTCTGCCGAAGAAGAAGAAGAATAAGGTAAGAGAAAAAAAGAGAGAAAAGAAGAGAGAAGAAGAAGTCTGCTGTCAGCCGAAGAAAGAGAGAGAAAAAAAGAGAGAAGAAGAAGAGAACTTACCTGGATTCAGATGAGCAGAGACGTGATTCTCTTTGATTCCTTTTCCTTTTATTTTTATTCTTTTTCTTTTTTGTTTTGTCAACTTGGTCAACTAAAACAGTAATAATAAGTTATAAAAATAATAAACAAATAGTATAGCATTTAAATAACTTAATAAAAAATAATAAACAGGGTTAAGTTAAAGAAGGCGCGCTTTTTACACTCCTGGAGCCTTGCGCCTGATCTGTAGAGGCGCGCGACTGACTAAAGGGACTCGCCTGAGTCACTGCGCGCCTTTGGCGCTTTTAACAACTATGCTTTGATCATTGGCAATTTGTTCCCCAACATGGTGGAAATTGCAAATTTGATCTTTTACTCTCATGTAATCGTCAGGGATCAGGTGGGAAGATAAAATTATTCTTTAGAAATATAACTATCACAATGATCAAAATATGATTAACGATGAACTGAATATATAACCTTGACTGGAGATCTTATCAAAGACGGCAAACATGAAATGGAGCAATCTTATTGACAACCCAGATGGCAAAATTTATGATTAACAATATAACCTTGACTGGAGATCTTATCAAAGACGGCAAACATGAAATGGAGCAATCTTATTGACAACCCAGATGGCAAAATTTTGATCTCTCACGACTCAACTGGTCATTATTCAGTTGGCAATGAAGTTTTGGTTGTGATTTTGGTTTGATTTGGTGGAGCAAAATGGTGAAGTGGTGGGTTAAGGTGGTCTTGGGTAGTGAACCGATAAGATGACAGAAAACCACCTTATACATCGATCTCTGTAGGTTAGTGAACACTGCCTATCTTTGTATCTCACATTTAAGCCTTTTTCAACAGTCCCAGATTAATCAACCTGGGAGCTTTGGCATGGAAAAAGACGTGGTTTAGAGAGAGAGCATGAGGTTGAGAGAATAGAGAGATACAGTGGAAATGGTGGTGGGTTTGAGTGATTCAGGTGATGAAGTCGGCTTGTTATTATTTGGTCTTAAGAGTGTAAAATTGAATAAAACAGAGTCGTAAGAACAATATTAGATATTCAGTTGTAAAACTAAAATTATAAGTTGGATCATATGGTTAATCGTTCCTATAGATGGAAGGAATAAAGAACCAATTATATAGGTTGGTCAAAGGGATAATCTGGAGTTGACCATATCTCAAGAGGTGAGAGTTGAAAAAAAAAAAAGAGTTGTATTTGTAATATACCCTGGACCTCTATTTCTCTAGGAGTTTCTTTTCTATTTGTTTGCAAACTGGATGTTCCTGTTTTTCAGACTTTAAATTTTCGAACTCGTACCAAAGGCTGTAGCATAGTGGTATCTACTCTACCTCCCAATGTGGAAGGTGAGGTTGCCTCTTTGAGATCAGGAAAGGTTTTCCATATAATTTTGGTTTCTTGCCAATGAATATATATATTTCTATGCCTCTTGAGATCAGGAAAGGTTTTCCATATATTTTTGGTTTGGGCCAGGACTCTTTGTAATTTTCCAGCATAGATTGGCATACTTTAGGCAATGGTCTTATGATATTGCGTATAACTCCTGTTTTATAGTTTTCTTTTTTTTGGCTGGAAATGTTTAGTAGATGTCAATAAATTTGTCTAATTGTGCAAGTCATATTTGTAGCACTTCACCTGCATCGAAATATGATCTTTGATTTTGCACTGCCTTTGGTCTCGCATGCATCTTTCTGGATGCTGTCCTGCAGTTGGCATATAACTAGTGAAGATGTAATTACCTTTGACCTGTGCAATCGGTCAAAGAACTTTTGACCTGTGTAAATGATCAAAGATCTTTAATTCACTGTTGTTTATGGTCTTCTTCTGACTGATATCTATCTGAATTGAATTATGATCTTTGAGTGCATTTGTTTGGGTCTTTTTCTGACCTTAATCCTTCTGAATGTTGTCCTGCTGTTGGCATATAACTGGGACAACGAAAATTGACAACATTTTGGGGTACAAGAGATGGACATCTTTCTTTCTTCCCATCTCTAGAGATGTTTAACCAAAATCATGTCTTTTGGATATTAACTAGAGTTACCAAATAAAAAATCTATAGCTAGGAAAATATGTTTTCACCTCAGTCATGTGCTTTACCTTACATCCTCATTCGGTCTTTTTGCAGATTCCGTACGTGGGTCTCAACTTTGCTGTGTATGAATCTCTAAAGGATTGGTTGATCAAAACTCGGCCTTTTGGACTTGTTGAAGATTCTGAGTTAGGTGTGACCACAAGGCTTGTGTGTGGGGCTGCTGCAGGAACTGTTGGCCAAACTGTTGCTTACCCTCTCGATGTCATTCGACGAAGAATGCAAATGGTGGGATGGAAAGATGCTGCTTCAATTGTCACAGGTGATGGAAGGAGCAAGGTTCCTCTTGAATATACAGGCATGATTGATGCTTTCAGAAAAACTGTTCGGCATGAGGGTGTTAGAGCACTGTACAAGGGTTTGGTTCCCAATTCAGTGAAGGTCAGTTTCTTATTATACACTGTTATATGCTATTTGATTAAATGTTGTTTTAACCTTCATTAATGCTGATTGGTGGTCCCAGAAAGTGTCTTAGGCAGATGGAAAATTTTACATGGAAATTGTGCTGGGCATTGCCACTATTTCATTAGGTTATTGACCAAGGGATTTAGTCTTTTACTGTCACAGTGATTAAACACTCTGAGCATGAGTGCTTCAAACATTCTAAGGGTTGATGGCTTGTAGAATTGTACTTGTGCCTGACTGCCTGCCAACGTTTTATGGGTCCCACCCAAGAGATTACAAGGGCAAACTAGATTTTTCGGATGATTTTGGATGATCTTGTTAAAGTTAGTCCTTGCGAATAGAGGAAAGATATTTAAACGATTGTTCTTGAATCAGATGATCAAGAATCATCTAAGTATCCTTGTTTGGGCTTATAGTTTCTTTCACAGAATGCATTTTAAGGTGGCCCCGAATCATGCACATTTGCCTTGGTATATAATCATTTAAACTGCCGAATTCAGTATTTTTGATGAAGTGTTCATAAAGGAGATCATAGGAGTTAACTTGGTGTTTAGGTCAGAGAAGGGACCTTGTAGATTGTTCAACACTAAACTGGCTAAATGCATAGGACTGTTAATCCTCCACGTGCATATACCAGAAGCATGTGCCAGGTCAATCAACTCTATATGTTATTATACATTTACTTAACATTGCTGAAAATGGAGTAAAGTTTTTCTAATGGAATTTTTTTTTACTTTACTAATTTGTAATTAGCATCTGTTTTTTGCTTTCCCTGAGGTGTTTTTGGAGGTGAAGGTAACAATATTTTTTGTGCTGACAAATCATGCAGATACCCACCTTAAAACCCATCATTTATTTGGTGAATAAGTTGTGATTTGAATTTGAGTAAACGAAGTTGTATCCTTAAATTAAAGTTCCTTTCAAATAAAGTATGGCTCTAATGACATTGTTGGCTTTCTCTTTTATGTTGTTCAGGTTGTCCCATCTATAGCTATAGCCTTTGTGACCTATGAGCAGGTGAAGGACCTCCTGGGAGTTGAGATCAGAATATCAGACTGATCCGCTAGGAATCCTTTCATTTGTTCTACAATTGTAATCTTTTTGTAGGCAGAGGAGAAGAGAGACGGGGTAAACCAGGGGTTTCTCCCGTCTTAGAGAGAGAATTAGAGACCCTATTGAGCCCGTGTTTTATATATCTACATCCACTTGTTTAGCTATGTATGTTTTCTTTGAAAAACTACCCATTCATATGCTATGTCAATAAGTATTTGCAAAGATTGATGCCCTGCAATTCGAGTCAGTAAAAAAGTAGATCGATGTCACTGCTTGTCTTGTAGAAGGATCGTCTTTATATTCTCCACGGATCATTTGATTTAATTGAAGAAGGTGAATGCGAAATAAAATTTTGAATATACCAAATTTTTTAGAGAATATGATGCCAGATACATTCACCCCTTGTTTCACTTCATCTACTGGTTCATATCATCAATTATTAGATTGGACCCAGTTAAACTGGCTAGCCAGTGTGCTGGGAAATTTCTTTACAGAAAAACAGAACATGCTATTTAACTGCTAGTGGGTGTGCTTGGTTGTTACTTGACAGAGGAGAGAACCAAAGGATACGTGATGTTGTGAAGTTTCTTTGTTTTAAATTGGATGGGATGCTAGTTGTTAAAATGTTAAATTGGATGCACCATCGTTGAAGACAAATGTTATGTTTGGCAGCACTGATTTGGCGGCTTGGATATTTCTAAATAAATTTCGTCGAATCCCAAATTTAATAAAATAAAACACCAATTTAGTACTTCCAAACACAATTAAAGTTTCTTTTGCAGAGTCTGAGCTGCCTAGGGAGGTAGAATTATTGGCTGTTTCTGATTGTAATCTTGTTTGATGCTATCAATGTATTTCCTCTACTCCTTCACCACCAGCGCATGCAAATTAATTAATTTAAATTTTGTAAAGCAATGTCACAGAACTAATAATATGAATGAAAGGAAAACTGGTTGTACACTAACTCTTGTTAATTCAGGGTGATTAAGCATACAAAAATATAAGGATGGCCAGTGGTTTAAAAAGGGTAGTTTAATAATATATAATACCCATTCTGTTTTTAGTATAAAGAGATCAAAAAGTTGTATATTATAATGTATTTGTGTTCGCTTTCTTCAAAATTGGCAGTCGCAGCAGGGGACATTGCTTCTGCTTCTTGGATGACTTCTTTTATTCACATTCTTCTGCAGTGCCTGAAGGAAAAATAAAAGAACAATTTCTTTATTAAATTCCTTATTATTCTATGCAGATTATATTACACAAAATACAAGCCAATTGTCACAGTAGAACAGAGAATAATTTATCAAACTAATAATTTTCAAGTTTCAAATGCCTTACCAAATAAAATTTATTGTATAGATTAACCCATAATAAAAAAATAAAATGGGAAAAATATCCTCTAAGTATATGGTTTGGTTATACTGTATATATATATATATATATATATATATATATATAATTATGATCCAAAGAAAAATTATGATCCAAATATATATAATTATTCACATTTTTTTCTTTGGATCATAATCATAATTATATATATATATATTGAAATCAATTCATATGATCTATGTTAAACTAAACAAGAAAGATAGGTACCTGCAATCTCTAATCTTTGTTTGTTGAACTCTCGACGCCCGTTGATCCACAACTTTGTATTTATTTAATTCTCGTTTTCGAGTCTTCACTCTCGACAAAGTGTCCTTCACTTCATGATCACTTTCGTGCTCGTGTATTTCTTGAAAACTTAGGCATTCCTCCGTGGATAATGAGAGAAATGAAAGGATTAGAATAAGATTCAACTCCGCAAGAGAAGATGAGCTTGGTTCCAAAGTTGAATTGCTGTCACCATTCTCTCCCTTCCCTTCTTCTTCTTCCACCACCACCACCACCTTATCCTCATGGGTTGATTCTATAAAAGGTTCTTCCATTTTTGTTACCAATTTACCTGTAGTAATAAAAGTAGCAAAGTTGTGAGCTTGATTATTCATCTTTTGTTTTGTTTTTATTTTTTTTGTTTCTTGATCCACAAAGAAAGAAAAAGAAATCAATGAAGGGTTTGGTGTATTATTGATATTTATGCCTAGCTTGCATAATATATACAACTATACATGTAGGAACTTGATCAATACATAAAATGAAATGGGAAATAAATATTCATGCATGACTATTATCTATGAACTTGTTACATTATATATAAACTCACATCAAAACATGTTTGGCTCTCCAAAATCCAAAAGATGTAGGAAAATAAAATTTTGTACGGGATGTGAATGTGATCATAATATCAGAATCAAAACAAGACGGCGGCAAGAAACTGAAGAAAATATTTTACCTTTTGGCGATTAGAGCAATAACAAAGGCTGGCTGATTAACCAAAACCAAAAAAAAAGAATGTATTTATTTGCATATGGAAGGATTGGTCATCCTATTTATGAAGAATCTAACATTCTATAATTTTCTTTTGACAGGTAATTAAGGTTTTGTATTGTTCTTGGTCTTGCAAACTGTGTATGTTTATGGAGTGAGAATTTCTCTAATGTGGAGCTCAAAATAGAAACCTCATATATATATTTCAAATATATAATTAGAAAACAGAAACCAGGACCATCAAAGGGTTTTAGACATGTATGTTTATGGAGTGAGAATTTAGAGAAGTCAATAAATGTTTTAATGACGTGTATGGTAAAAAACCAGATCATTGCTGTAAATTAGGCAAATAGATGGTTGCTAAATTGTTGTTGACCATTATTTTTTCTTTTTTCTCTTTTCATTTGTAAATATTGATTGTTGAGTTGTTGTTTTACATTAATATATCTGGGCCAAGGTTGCAAAAAATTCTTTTTACAACCTAGAATGACAACATGTGTATTGTACAGAGGTATAGACAACGCAATAGTGAGATCGATAAATTTAGCTAGTCTTGAAGGTCATAGTGACAGGAGTCTCGTGCACTGAGTAACCTTTGTTTACATGGATTCTCAATTGTTGAAGTTAATATCAAAATTCCGCAATTAAAATTGGGGAAAACTCAATCAGGGAAATAAACACCAGATTGTGGAATTAAAATTCAAGAATTATTATTCAACCAAATCATGAATATTAAAATTTGGAAAGAAATTATACATAAACTAATCATGAAACCAAGTCTGCAGTATATGATTAGAAAAAGACTGCTAATAACAATTGTGAGGAATTTCTTTTAGGGTTTTTTTTTTCCCCTCGAATTATAAGCACGTAAAGTTGCAACAAACCCTAATCATGGAAAATCCTAAGTTGTAGAGAAAACTAATAAGCTCATGCTATGTTTGATGTAATTAAACACACAGAGTTTGATGTAATTAAACAACACACACAGTTCAAGAGAATTAAAGTGGTGAAGAGATGATGATAGTAATAATTGGAATGAATTTTGGGCTACCTACCTAATTTGATTGCAAAAACTGCCCACTTGCTCACCACCTGCGTCTGTTGAGGAAGCCTCTGCGTTTGGATGCTTTCCTTGTTTGCTTAGTCTTCTGTATTTCTTGGTTTCTTAAATAATATAGTTTGATATGGAGTACATCACAACCATGATTTATCGAACCGGGTTCGCATCAGGATTTTTTTAGCAAACAATACCGACACCTATCTTATACGGAGTACTAAAAAAATATGGCCGGTTCGGTTGAGAACCGGCCGGTTCCCTACAGCCCTTTCCCCACTGATAACTACCACCTATCCACCGGTCCATTTATCCGTTTTCGTTAAATAAACTCCACAAAGACCACTTTCACGTTTCACCTTTATCCTACCTAATGAGTTTTTAATTTAATTTCAATCGAACATTTAAAAAAAAAAAAATTACATAAGTATAGATTATTAATTAAAAGAACTATGCATAAACACATTATTATATATATATGTATGTTATGCTTCATAATTTTTTGTACTATTATTTTTTTTTTTCTTTTTCTATAACATGGTATGAATGCCCATTTATTTAATGCTTAAATTTATTATTGTTTATTAATTTAGTAAAAAATATATTAAGATAACTACTTAAAATTTATAAATAGATTATTATTTATCTTAAATGGTCTTAAAAATTCAATAAAAATTACTAAAATTTTATGAATTTAAGACGAATTCAGTTAACTACTCAAATTTTATTTTTATTGAATTATACTATAAAAATATGGGTGCATTTTGAACTCTACGCATTTCACGATAACCGTATAAGCCCGATTTTGTTAAACTTCTTTTCTTTTAAAAGTGTTTACAATTCAGCTTTTATCATTCCTAATTGCAGCAACTTTTACCTATTACAAAATAAGAATGTTCAAAGACAAAATCAATAATATAGGACTATCTTTCCTATGTTAAGGTATCCACCCATATATACTTATTTTAGTTTTTTCATTTGGATCTGATATACACCTCCAATACTTGACCTTAATTACAAGTGTTCATAATTTTGATCCTGAAGATATATAAGGCTATCTTAAATATATTAAAGTAGTGCATGAAAAAGAAATATCCTTCAACTTTGACTTGTGCATATAATATAATTATAGTTGTTCAGCACAGTCACAAGAATTTCAGCAGATAGAAGGTCGAAGTAAGCTAAATGTCTGTACCCCAAATCAAATCCACAAACTGTAATTGTTTTGAGTTGTGAGGGGAAACATAAACAAAATATATCTATTTGGTAAACCATGTACATTATTCCAGGGCCCAATCCCTTGAGTCAAGATCCTCTGCAGCTCACTGCAAGTCTGCACCATGTTGTACAAGTTTTCAACACAAATCTAGTTTCACCGCATTTCTTCAAGCTAGAAGTAATGGCTTTGAAACACGACACCACCATTGAATCGTGTTTCAACACCATTACCTTCAAGCTTAAAATAATGTATTGAAACACGATTTAATTGAGTTGAAAACATACGGCACACTACAAGGATCCAAACGCTCCCTTATGGAGGTAATGTTCGGTATATTGAGGCCTAGGAGGCTAGGAGATCCCGGAATCCTTGAGGCATGACCAGATGTTGTCTTTGGCTTTGGAGTCATCACAACTAGCTGGCCTTCAGAATCCAATATGGAGGTATTGTTCAGTATATTGAGCCCTAGGAGATCTCAGAATCTGAGGCATGACCAGATCTTCTCTTTGGCTTTGGACTCTTCACCATTAACTGGCTTTCAGAAGACATCCTCAAACTACGTCCAAAAGGAGTCACTTGCGGAGGTCTTATTGACAGTCCTTTTGGTGTCCCTGTGTAACAACCAACAAAGATGATTTTAATATATACTCACGAATTATGCAACTGCACTTCTCTTTTTTTATTTTTTATTTATATATAAATATGTACACACACGCACTATGGATGAAGTATGAACAATGGATGATCATGTCATTATGAAAACGTTCAACAGTAGATCCAATAGCAGAAATATTCATGTCCCACTCCCACCTATTTGGGATCGCTTACAGGCCTCGCTTTTAAGCATTCTGTTCTTCAGCCATAGGAAAAGATTTTATGCTGATTTTCAGCTACCTAGATATGCCACAATCCACATGAGAGTTCCTCACCTCATCATAAACTTTACAACAAAGATAAAGATGTTGACATAGAGATAATAATGCAGGTAAAAAAATCCACAATATTGCAGAACTTAATGACACTGTGCCTTTAATTATCTAATGAATATAAGCTTTTGATATAAAATCCAAGAATATACCAAGTCCAAATTCATCTGCCATGAGTTTGTTCTATGTTTTTACTCTTATATGAGGGTTGCTCCATCGTGACCCGGAAGTTACAAGTTTGAAACAAGGAAACAGAGTCTCCGCATACGGAGGGAAAGCTGTGTGCATCTGACCCTTCCCAGACCCCGCAATGGCGGGAGCTTTCGTGCACTGGGTTTGCCTTTTTTGTTACTCCTATATGTTATAGAAGATCAAAGAATATGAATTGTGCTCTAACAGTAATGTTAAGTAGCACAATAAAGTTTAATGTTTTATGTAGTTGTGATAATGAGGCAAGTTATGGCACAAACATTTTAACTGGCTAGCATATTAGGTCTGAATACTGGAATATTTCTTCCACTTTTTTCATTGATTTCCATTTTTGTTTTAAAAGAATTGAGAAAGTATCAACTCTATAGGTCAAACCTTCTATTCTGAAAATGAAGGAATGAAATTGTGAGCTTAACTGTTGTACTAGTGACAACAGTTTCTGCGAAATTCTAGACAAAAATTAATTTAAGAGTGAAATATCAGGCATGGTAAATCATGAAGTTATAGATTACCTGGCTGTTTGTTTGCTTTCACATCTGTGTGCCTCTTGAATGACAGTTTCTTGGTGGGGGTTTCAGGAGAAACAAGAGACTTCTTTTCGGTTCCTGATGGAAAGGGGTCATCCGTGGTCACATTCTCATCCCCCCAAGCTGAAGAAGCTCCATCACTTCCTGATTCAGAATTCTCTCTGTGACTTGTGTTCAATTTCTCTTTCTCTACTACCCTGTAAGCGAACATCTGAAATGGAATTTGTGATACAGGTGATGGATCTAAACTCCCCCATGCAGGAAAGTTCTTTAGAAGCCCTGCCTCAATCTCACAGTAATCTACTGAGGGCGTTGGAGGGTCTGTCTGGCTGTGATCAGGGTTCATCACTAAGAATCGCTTTATGTAACGGAGAATTCTACATATGGATGAAAAACTTGGTCGTTGATTGGGGTCAGTATGCCAACATTTTTTTGTCAAGTTTGTCACATATCTAGGTAAATGGAATGGGAATAGAGGCCTCTCCCCCGCCCTAATGTTTCGGCTCATTTTATCTCCTTGAAGATGGCTATCCTCAAAAGGGACTTTCCCAGTCAAAAGCTCAAAGCAAATCATCCCAAAACTGTATACATCAGACTTTTCTGTGCATTTGGAGTTCCCTATACTTCCTGGCTGTTCTTGCTCTGCTAAAACTTCTGGAGCATACCATATGAATGGCAGTGTTCCGTTCTGTTTTGGAGAGCCTTTCCGGGTGGAGTCAACAATGGATGATAGGCCAAATCCTGAAACTTTAGCATGCAAATACCCTTCTGTGGAAATGTTTCTTGTTTTTACAAGGATGTTAGACGGGTTCAACTCTCCATGGTAAATTTTCTTCGAGTGGAGATATTCCATTCCTCTTGCAATCTGAAGCATAAGATCAACTGCAACAGGAAGAGGGAATGTAATTCGCTTCCTTGGGCCACAAATCTCTTTGATGTAACTGGAGAGATTTCGATTCATGAGTTCCATTACCAGAAAACACTCTCTCTTTTCTTCGTCAGTAAACCCACAAAATGTGTGCATTATATTTGGATGGGAGAGAGATAAGTCCAGTGAAATCTCGGGAACCAATGGTTCAATCTCCCCGAAAAAATGTCTTAGAGCAAAGCTCTCACCCAGCCATTGAATCTCCTTGTAGTGGCTTCCACTCCCTAACCGCCTCTTCACCTGGTAACCCTCTGAACCCACTAAGATTGAACATGGTAAGAGTTTACCATTCAAGTTTTCTGACCAATCTAAGTTCTTGAGGAGTAGATTCATGAGCCGTTGCTCGTGCTTTGTGGAGCTCATCTCACTTGAATTTCTCCTCCCCTGGATTTTATTGAGGAGAATTCTTCTGTCTTCTTCCCAAACTGCATCTAACCGATTGCAGAATTCCCGAGAAACTAGGTATTGTTTCCCGAATTTCCACACAAAAAGTTTAGGGTCTTTAAAATCCTTGCTATACTTCATTGAGTATATCACTCTTTTCTTTTGTATCTCATCATGATCCCAACCTGATATCTCTCCAGCGGCTTCAATGGCTTCGATGACAATTGTAATGCAGCAGAGCAAATTATGGATGTGAAACTCCACGCAATCCGTATTCTGATAGAGGGTAATGGCTTTAGCCCACCATTCTTTGATTTCCAGGCACTGCCTGATGTATAGCTCTCCTTCTTTGAATACCCTGTGGAGCTCTCTTAATGGGTGTTCAAGAACTTTCCATTTTGCGTGCTTCTCTTCAAATCTAAGGTTTTGCCTCATCTCCTCTCCTATCAATTCGTAGGCAAAACTGAACATATCAAGCAACAAACTACATTGCCTCTGATTGATTTGTAAATCATCTTGGAACACCATTAGAGCCTTCATGCTTCCCACTCTCTCTCCGATCTGCCTGAATTGCTCCATCCTCAGATCACAATGAAGATATCCGAAAATGGGTGTCACGGATGATCAAATTACTCCACTATGGTGTGAAATTTATGGAAAATGAATGACAGTGAAAGAAATTACTCTCAAGGATTGAAGGCCAATAAATTATGGAGATGGTAACAAGTCGCAGATTTCAAACCAAGGCAGATCAGAAATTTTTGTGGAGATAATGGTTGTCTTAGACCCGATAAGATGAAATGCCCAACAAAATAACTCTTAAGAGAAAATCTTGATATCCACCGGATTACTATCTACCTAGTGGAAATTAGGTGAGTTATGATCTCAAAAAATTTCAAGCTGGTTAGTTGCAATGAAATTGAATTGCCACCAAATTCTTGTAAATTTGGGAAATTTTGATGCGTGTGGAATCAAATTGATTGCATATGATTCCTCCTCGAATGATTGTTACAAGAGGGTGAGAATTTGGCTTCTTGAACTATTCTAGAATAAGAGGGAAAATAGGGTGGAAAGAGTTTGAGATTCCCAGGTAAAAATGCATGGAAGATTTTTTTTTAGGACATTTGGCAGCTTTTGTAAGAGTTCCCGCGAGTTTCGGTTATGAATTGGGTAACTTTGCTGTAAGTGACCCTTTTACCGTTCCATGAGAAGGCTAATAACACCTTACGCGGTTCTTTGAAGACAGAACTACGCGTTTACCAAAGACCAATAATGTTAAGTAAGAGTAAATAAAAATAAAATAAAATAAAATACACATTATATTCTCTCTCTCTTAATGATATAGATCAAGAGAGCAAAAAAATGAGGGAAAATTTCTGAGAAAAAAAAAAAAGAAAAAGATTTAAACAGTTAGTAGAGTTAATGATAATCTATGTTGTCCATATTTTTTTACAATAAGAGAATTCAATTTTAGCCCTATCACTCCCAAAATAAAATAACAAGAATAAATTTATTTTTTTCTCAACTACTTTTTGCAATAAGATTGATACACATACAATCCACAAAGTGAAAACTTGAGACCCTAATATGTGATTTGTGAAGTAATCTTACAATCTACAAAATCCATGTGGTGTTGACAAGGTGAAATTACACAATGAAGAAAAAGAAAGCCAAACAAAGAACAAATTTTTAGTACACTTTTGATCATAAATCATATGCTAACCTTGAAGAGTGAAGAGTCTGAAGACTAGCATGATTGATTCAGTGAGGTCTGATATTTCTGTGGGCATCTCTCTCCGGACAAAGTGAGAGACCATGCAAGCACTGCTGTGCCAGTGAGAGACCCTTTTTCTGGTTGCAAGTCACGCATTGGAATGAGCCACAACATGGGTCATCATCGCTGGTCCATGAGGGCATGTTTTCTGGGTCTAGAGAGGACTTCATCTCCAAGAGAGCTCTCACTCTCAGCTTCGCATTTCCACATACACTTTGTGTACGGCAAAGTGGAAGAAGAAAAACACAACTGAAAGATAAAATCAAATAAGACCCATTTTGGGTTTTGGATCAAGAGACTCCAACATAGCTTTCTTTCTAAATCCGGAAATTTCGCGTTGTCTGCAAGTGCCTCTTCTTTTCGAAATTCCGCCGGTGGTTTTATAAGATTTTGAGAAAAGTGCAATAAACCCCCTAAACTATTGGGGTTTTGCAACTAACCCCATTGAACTACATAAAACCCCCTTGAACTAACAAATTGTTGCACTTAACCCGCTTAAACTAACAATAGGGTGTCGAAAAAGCCAAAAGACAACATTACCCTCAAGGAATTAACCCCCTTGTCTTTGGCCCTCATTTTTCTGCAGAGGGAGGGAGGGAGGGAGGGAGAGAGAGAGAGCGAGCTGAGCTTCTTTTGCTCGCCGGCTGCCGTCCGAAGCCCACTTGCTTGTTGGCCACAGCCGAGCTCGGTGGACTGAATCGGCAGTGAGAACTATATATATATATATACTCTTTTTATTAACAACATCCATATGCTTGTTAGGGGAGGTGAGTATAATATGACAAATAAGGGGAAAGTCAGTGTAGATTGATGAAACTTCAGGAAAGGTTAATGTAATTATCCCTATTTTCTATTAACTTTCATACCACCTTCATAATTCATACAAACAATGTTTTCCTAAAAATATTATTTTCTATTTTTTTTTTATTTCCACCTAACCCAAGGAACACTAAACAGAAAATGGGAGTTTTCGTACAAATGGCAAGTAATTTAGGCCAATCTACAAAACATCTCAAAGAGAGAGAGAGTGTAGGAGATGCAGTGGTACGTCGTCGCTTCGCTGCTCACCGTTCTCACCAGCTCCCAGGTCTTTCTGTAACCCAAATAAAAACCCTAATTCCTCAGTGCCATCAATCTTGTTCTGTTGTTGATTGATTTAGGTTTATTGGATCCGTATGACTATTTATAATTTGTCTCCATATATATGTATATGTTCCATTAATCATTGAAGTTGATCACTCTCTGGTCTACTTTGTTCGGTTCACTCCATGAGATGTAGGTATTTTAACAACCTAGTAGTAACATTTTTAATGTTGATTTTTTGAGATTTAATATCTCTGTTCAAGACAAGCTGGTTAGCATTTTGAAAGCAAAATTTTATGTTTTGAGCAGAACTCGAAGCAAAATTGTTGCTTTGAAAAAGCAAGAAAAGTACTTCCATTTTGTTAATCAAATGGTGCTTTAACCCTTAACCTTTTGACGAATTTATATGCCATTTGTGTCAAAATCAACTCTAATCTGCATAGCCATATCAGTATAGATTTTTTTTTTTTTTTTTTTTTTTTTTCCTAGTTGGTAATGCCAGTATAGATTTCATAAAATGCAAGAGCCAAGACATTCAATCAAGGTGCCTAAGCTTGTTATTTCGAATGAATTTTTCGTTTCTTATTAAATACATCTTTATATAAATATGATGATACATTTTGGTTTGCTAAATCATTTATAATTAATTGAATGAACTCAACATTTGTTGATATACATATACATGCTGTTGGATGAAGTTGATCACTGAAGGGTTTTGTCATAGCACCCATCCCATGAGATAATATTTTCGTGGTGACTTTAACTTTTTTCAATCTTTTCTTTTTCTTCCACGAAAATCTTCCATGTGACTGTAACATTTTAGAGTCATTTATGAAGACAATGACTCACTTTTTGTCTGGTGGCATGGCATGATTTTGCAAAAAAATCATTTATCACATTTCTGCTTCTAGTTCACATAATCACTCAACTACGCGGATATACCTATTCTCTACCAAGCAAACTCTATCCGCTTTAGAAAAATCTTAGCTGCATCAAATCCTTCTTGTCCGCTTCCGCCCAAAATAAATAAATAAATAAATAAAGGGAAAAAAAAATCTATTAATCACTTTGAAATTTATTACACAGCGTTTTATATCTCTTTTTAATTTTAGGTTGATCTTCCATATATGAAAGGCATGCATGCACATAAAATATGGTTAAATTAATTACTAATCCGATTTGGTATTTCCTGCTCCTCGATGTCTATGGTTGAAATATGTTAAAAATGGGTTTGGGTTGGGAAGAGTGTTTTCCTGTACGCAGAGGGCTACCCTTGTTGTTGTTGTTGTTGTTGCTGTTGCTGTTGTTCTAGTTGTTATACATATTAGAGTTTAAATAGAAAAATCCTTAACCTTTTCCGCACTTAAGAAATTTTTCAAAAACATGAAATCTGAAAAACATTTAAACCAACTTTTACATTTTCCTTTTTCTGAAAAAAGTATAGGATTGTTTTTACCCTTAGCCATTTCCTCTATTTAAACCCTATCATAGCACCTTCACTGGCATGCTCTTCCCCCCCATATACCTCTCAACTCTTCTTTGAGATACCTACACATCCCAACCCAATTGATTCATGGCAACTGCGAAAACACAACCAACATGGACAGAACTACTAGGAAGCAATGAATGGGAAGGTCTGCTTGACCCCGTTGACCTCAGCCTCAGGAAATTCATCCTCCGCTGCGGTGACTTCTGCCAAGCCACCTATGATGCCTTCATCAGTGATGCAAACTCAAAATTCTGTGGCAGCAGCCGCTATGGCATGAAGTCGTTGTTCCAAAATGTATGCCTACCTTCTGCATCAGACTACCAAGTCGTCGCCTTCCTCTATGCCACTTCAAGCATTGATGTCTCTGACGCGTTCCTCATCAACTCTAACTCCTCAGAAGCTTGGGACCGCCAGTCCAACTGGATGGGATACATTGCTGTTACCACAGACCAAGTCAGTAAGGCTAATGGCAGGCGTGAAGTTTATGTTGCGTGGCGTGGAACCATCCGAAATCTTGAATGGGCTGATGTTTTGCAAGCTAATCTCGTGCCTGCCACTCCATTGTTGGGATCTGGCAATGGTACTGATGGTGAGGAGGTCATGGAAGGTTGGCTCATGATTTACACTTCCAGCAATCCAGACTCTCCTTTCAGTAAGACCAGTGCGAAAACTCAAGTTCTGACAAAGATCAAAGAATTGATGGAGCAGTACAAGGACGAAAACTTAAGCTTGATATTCACAGGACACAGCTTAGGCGCGGTGCTTGCAGCACTAAGCGCTTTTGATGTGGTGGAAAATGGTGTTCCGGATCATGTCCAAGTGGCGGCTTTTGTGTTTGGTTTGCCAATGTTGGGCAACAAAGTGTTCTGTGACAAGCTCAAGGCGCTGCTACGAATCTTACATGTGAGAAATGTAATAGACTTTATACCACATTATCCTAGCACCGTGTTGGGGTACGCATATGCTGGAATTGAGCTGCTGGTGGACAGTAGGAAGTCGCCATACTTGAAGACTTCACTGTATCCATTTGATTGGCATAACCTGCAGGGGCTTCTGCATGTGGTTGCAGGTTGGAATGGTGGCGATGGAGAGTTTGAGCTGAAGGTGAAGAGGAGTTTGGCCCTTGTGAACAAGCGCTGTAATTTTCTCAAGGATGAATATAATGTTCCAGGGTTATGGTGGGTTGAAAAGAATAAAGGAATGGTTCTTGATGAAAATGGAGACTGGGTTTCGGCAATGCCATTCCAAGATGACTTACCTCTTGTCCCTGGATTTTAACTGTAGTTAGTTACTTATAGTTTATTGTTAGCTGGCTCCATCCCAAGTGTACCACATCTCCCTAGCTGTTTTAGTTTATTATGATTATTATTATTATTATATTCCGGAGTTCATCATGTCAAAAGTTGAGGCGGGCGTGTCACAATAATAAGGTTGCTCCATTGTGATCCGGAGGTCACGGTTTGAGTCCGAAAATAGTCAATTTGTATGTAAAAATAAGGCTTTGTATATCTAACCTCTGCGGGAAGCTCGGGCTCTAGGCTAGCCCACAAGGCAAAAAGCAAGTTGATTCTTCTGTATACCCCATTGAATTAGTATGTTCCATAGGCTCCATTGTTTGTAGCAATTGAAGGTGATGATGTGAATTTGAGCATGAAAATCTATAATGTTAAAAGTTTCGTCTCTCTCTGGTACTATATTATTCTTCTTTGGTGAGCCATCTTGAGCAGAAATATTGGATAATTGCCTTTTGCTTTGATAGCTTTCAGATCCAGAACTGAATAAAATAGTTGTAGAAGAAAGCATCTGATCACTTTAGTTTTTATTAGGTCAACTATGCTGCCATTCAATCGACTAGACACAGCAACAGGTGGTCATTTATTACACTAATCTTTCTATTTGAACGTTAGTTACCTTTAGGCATTTAAATATGAAAAAAATGAAATGTCTTATTTGCCCTTATTTTGTAACCGGCTCTCTGAGTCAGCGAAGAGCAATTTAACTGTTGGACTAGCACATGTAATTTGAACTTAAAAAGTGTAATTAATGGTGGCACGGCAAATCTCAATTATAAATATTAAACAGGCGATGCTACACCAAACTCTTCGATTGAAGAATTGGCCTATAAATCGTTATTCAAATCAATGGGATCCACTCCTATTTTGCTTAAGACTTCTGCCCGATTAACACGGTTGTTAAAAATTATTTTGCAACAACTATTTCCACGCGGAAATAATAAATGTAAAGATATTCGTACTTCTTTTTTAAAGTGATAGATAAGAGTCTGATCGGAGTGCATTGAGAAAGTTAATTTTTCATAACCAACAAATCAAAATAAAATAAATAATAAAAAAATAAAATTACATAGAAAACCAAATGACTTCCAAATTTCAATACAAGCATTAAAAAAGGACCCACGTGGATCCCAAACTAATGCATCAAGACAAATAATATATACGTTGTAATATATAAGTCATTTTCCATGGCACAATAAGGGTGTAAATTAATCGGTGTTACAATTTGGAACATTTTATTATTATAAAAAAGTATATGAAGAAAATAGTTGAAAGTAATATTCCAAGAGATTAATTTGTGTTGGAGTCAGATATTTACTATAGAAGGATAACTATAAATAATAATGATTTATTTATTTTTGAATAGAAATACTAATATAATAACATTTAAATATTAATGTATAATTTTTTTATTCAATACATTTATAATTGTAAAAAAAATTAAATATTTTTCTCTTGAAAGTATTGAATGGTATTATGGTACCCTCATAATCAATGCCACTAAATATTTTTTTCCAACTACGTTCATATTTTTTTTTACAAGGCAATAAGGGTTAGAAGTTAGATTAGTAAATATAGAGAGTCGAAACCTGACACTCTAAAGTCCACCGAAGGTACTAATCTACTGGACTATAGAGACATCTGCAACTACATTGGTATTAACATCTTGTTTTTTTTTTTTTTTTTCAATACTGAAAATCCTACTTTGCTAATAAATAAATAAATATTGGGTAAAAATAGAGGTAACAAAATTTGACATGACTCGAACACGAGTTAAGCGAGTTTGGGTAGTAAATGAGTTAACACGATTAACCTGTTTAGTTAATCGTGTCATATTTGGGTTGAGGGATTCAACTGTGTAACTGGTTTATACCCCTCTAACTATGCACGGCATAAATAAATTTTTATTTGAGTTAAAAAAAAGTTATGTAAACTTATTTACTCTTTTGTAGATTAGTGACTATTTAGTAATTTGATTGGATTGAAAGTTATATTTTTATAGTATTTATTGTTTGATAGATGATTATTAATAATTTAAATAATATAATATTTTGTTTTTGTAAATATGTCATTAAACGGGTTACATGTGACGTGTAACTTGTATAATAAATAGATTGGGTTAGTCTTGAAAATTTTTGACACGATCATTAAACAGGTCGTGTTCGGATTGAACTGTTTAATATAATATAATCGATACCACACGATTATGACCCACAAACATAGATAAAAAGTTGATTTGGAATTCTTGTACCGGGCTTAGAAATTTAGAATTGAGATCTAAACTTTTTGTCTAATCTTCCACTTGGTTATTTTTTATGTTTTTCTTCATATAAACATTAAAAGACGAAGGATGATGTTATTATTTTTTTTCTTCGTTAAAAATATGTAATGCTGCATTAATGAAAATTAAAAATTTACTAACCCCTTCCCAAAAATAAATAAATAAATAAATTACATTAGGAAATGGGAGTTTTCTTACAAATGGCACAAAATTTAGGTCTATCTACAAACATACCGTATCAAACAGAGATGTTCTTGCAAAACTAGAAATATAAAGATCCCCCAGATGCACGCTGTCCCTGTGACAGAGACAGCGTAGGAGATGCAGTGGTACGTCGTCGCTTCGCTCCTCACCGTCCTCACCAGCTCTCAGGTCTTTCTGTAACCCAAATGAAAACCCTAATTCTTTAGTACCGTTAATCTTGTTCTGTTCTTAATTGTTTTAGGTTTATCGGATCTGTATGACTATTCATATCTCTCTCCATACATATATATAATCGCTGAAGTTGATCAGTCTTTAGTCTACTTTAACCGATTCACTTCGTAGATGTGGAGTTACTTTACTAGTGAACTATATTTCGTTATAACCCACTAATAATTTTTATGTTATTTTTTTTTGGATTTAAAATCTCTGTTCAAGACAAACTAGTTAGCATTTTGAAAGTAATATTTTGCTGTTTTGAGCAGAACTCGAAGCAATTTTTTTTTGCTTTGAGAAAGCACGAAAAGTACTTCCACTTTGTTAATCAAATAATGCTCAACCTTTTGACGAATTTATGTGGCATTTGTCTCAAAATCAATACTAATCTGCATAGCCATGGCAATATAGATTTCGTAGCATCATCCTTACCATCATTGTCGTTTTCAGGGATCTCCAAAACCCCCCTCATGAATGTAAAAAGAACATGGATGTAAAGTTACACTCTACTCATCATATTGATCAAGAAATTTCAAAAGTGTAATTGTCTTTTGTTATTGTCTACTAATTATGAATGGATGATAAAAAAAACTCAGTTATTTTGGTGTCATTTTCGGCTCAAGAGAGGTGGGCCCATGTCTAGTTGTTTGATATTTAGGTTCCCATCTTTCATTGTACTGCAGGGAATTTTGACAACACTGTCACAGAGTAATGGGGGATATAAATATGACTATGCGACCGTTCCTTTTCTTGCCGAAGTGTTTAAGGTACTTCACAGTTTGTTACAAATATGATTATTAGGTTCATATCTTCATGTTTTTGAGGTACTTAACTGTTTGTTGAATCTGGTGTATATATAGCAGCGAACTGATTGTTGTGATCAATTTTCAAAATTTGATTGAAATAACTAGCTTTGTACAGAAGTGTTTAAGCTTAGAGAAAGATTGTTTTTCATCTTAGTAAAGTTGGATATTCATGTGTGAATTATATGATGATGGTTTCATAACCTTTTTTTTTTTTTTTTTTTCCTGAATGGTTTCATTACCTTGTTGAGACTTTTATTTTAATTGTCGTTCTTTTCTAAGAAACATCATATCTGTTAATTTGCAGCTTCTTGTATCTAGTGTTCTTCTTTGGAGAGAAATCAAGAGATCACCGCCTCCAAGGATGACTACGGAATGGAAGACTGTTCGTTTATACCCTATTCCATCTATCATATACCTTGTCCACAATAATGTTCAATTTGCTACCTTGACATATGTGGACACATCCACATATCAGATAATGGGCAATTTGAAGATTGTGACGACTGGAATTCTATTCAGGTGTTGCTCTTGGTCTTTACAAATTTTGAATCACATCAAACCTAATGTTGTTATTTTAGGCATTTGGATATTGATTACTTTTTACAAATTAGCATTTTTTTTTCTATTTTATGTTTTATTAGGCTCTTCTTGAGGAGGAAACTCTCTAATTTGCAGTGGATGGCAATTCTTCTATTGGCTGTTGGAACAACCACAAGCCAGGTGCTAATGGGATCTATAACTTACATTTTTCATATTTTGTTGTGTATTTATAACTTGTCGTGCATCAAATAACTCCTCTTTGTGACTTAAGCTACTAGAGAAAATCCGTGTTCTTAAGGTGTCGAGAACAGCTAGAATACTTAAAATTGGAACGTTTTAACAACAGAGCAAATATATCTCCATGGTTGGTGGGCCAGAAGGATGTTCTACTAGAATATCAATTTGAGTGCTTGTCAAGAAATGAGGTTATGCCCAGCAAAGCTTTCAGCGTATCATAGTTTTAAAACTGGTCAAGTGACTGTAGCTATAATCTCACTCATGTTTGTTTTGCACGTTGAGAGGCATTATCTGGCAGCAGTCAGGGAATCTAGGTCAACTCTGTGTTACCTGTAGAATAGAATAATGCACACCTAAGTATTAGTTTGGCACGGAGTTCAAGTATGCATGATTAGGATGAGATCTAGCTTCACAGAGTTGCATCAACATATTGTCACAAAAGAATGCTTTCCAATCTGCACTTGTATTGTAGTTTGAAGCGACCATCTAGAAAACCATTAATAATACTCTCTCCTATGCCACAACAAATTTCTTGCATTTAATTGTCATGACTGCAAGCTTCTTTAAACGTATGATCCAGTGAAAATATCTCCCATATGCAGAAATTTCCACTCTAATTCTCATGTCTCTTCTCTTTTCCGAGATATAGGTCAAAGGCTGTGGAGAGGCTTCATGTGAGTCCCTTTTCTCATCACCTATTCAGGGGTACATGTTGGGAATATTGTCTGCTTGTCTTTCAGCGCTAGCGGGTGTTTATACAGAATTTTTGATGAAGAAGAATAATGACAGCTTATACTGGCAGAACGTTCAATTATACACGTAGGTTTCCTTTCTTTGGTCAAGCACAGATCTCCACAACTTATTCTCGATCACAATGACACGACACTCCTGTATATGCTTGCATGAAGTTATGAATCTCATTCTCTTGTAATCCTTATATGCAGTGAATTCTTAGAAGCAGTTATTGTACTAGTTTTCCATGAAGGTATTTTGAGGGTTGGCTGTTGGAAAAATCATATCAATTAAAAATATATAACTATGATCTAAACCAAATAATTTATGTATTATTATGGGCATCTCAAATCATTAAAATTTTGAGAGCTAGGGAACAATTATTCTTCTTTTGTAATTTGCCAAATTTTTAGGTCCCATTACTAGTTTAATAGATGCTTAAGAAATCAATATCACATCTAATTTCTGGAATGATATTATATGATATATTTGATTACATAAAGATGAATAGCATCTGCTACTTCTCACTTATACATCAAGGAATATTTTGTAAGGTTCAGCTTTGGGTCTGCAAACTCCAAGCTCTACCTAGGGGGAAATTAAGGTTTCACAGCAATTTCTTGTCCTGAAGTTTTATGATGGCTTCATATTTAACATTAAAAATATGGTTTAATGGACATGCTTATTGAAATAAAAGTTAATTTGTGTCATGACACCAGGGCGTGCTACAGAATCAGTATGCTTTCCAATGTTATGATACTTCAGTTTTTGAATTTGATTTAATACGGCCATATTGTGTTCCATTGCTGAAAGCCTGTAAAGGGTGTTGGTTAGCTTATTCAGAAAAATACATTCTTATATCTAGGTTTGGTGCAATATTTAACATGGCACGACTCCTCGCGGATGATTTTAAAGGTGGATTTGAGAATGGACCATGGTGGCAACGAATTTTTAATGGATACAGTATCACAACCTGGCTGGTGGTGTTTAATCTGGGGTCCACTGGGCTTCTGGTTTCATGGTTAATGAAGTATGCAGACAATATTGTAAAGGTATCTCCTTGTACTCTCAGTTGTTAATTTTGTTTTCTTGGACTTTGTTGACTTGATAATGTCTGTTTGCTAAACCACTTGCGTGAGTAGTAACAGACTCAGATGGTGACACTAATTATGGAAGAAACTTTGTAGATTCTTATTTGTTCTTCCATTGTTGCAGTCATGATACTATTTTGTTGTTACATACATGCTAGATCTTTTAGTTAAGTGACATAAGCATCACTCCTGCATCACTTTTTATTGTGGTTGAGATTTGAATATAATTTCAATATGCTTTGCTACCTTCCTTCATCCACTAAACCTAAGAAAAAGAAGAAGATGATTTTTATTAAAATGGAAGGTTTGAATGCAATTATATATCAAAATTTGCAAATTTGGAAACACCTTGGCATTGGGCCAAAATTTTTTGTTTTCTTTTTATGGTAAACGGCAAATTTGATCTTCAAAATTTATGAAATTCAAAATCGTAATGAGCATATTGAGTTGTTAACTACCATCTACTGCAAAAGCTTAAGCAATTAGAGAGGGTGTAAATTAAATATATAAATCCTTCAACATGCCCCCTCATGTGTTGCCTTCTTTTCGTCCAACACGTGTTTTTCAAATTTTTTTAAATTAAGGTGGTGGTGAGGTTTGAACTCGAGACTCATGTTAACTACCATCTACTCCAAAAGCTCAAGTTATTAGAGAGGGTGTAACTTAAGTATATAATCCTTCAACATGAGTATTAGACACTAAGACAATTGTCAAAAAGAAAAGGGTAAAGTGCAAAAAACCCCCTTCAACTATTGGTCATGTGCAATTAACCCCCCTGAACTACAATTTGCCCCCTTGAACTATTGAATTTGGTGCAATTAACCCCCAATGTGACATCTCCGGCCAATTGGTGAAAACGGAAATAGTAAAAGACAATTTTACCCCTTATAAAAAACTGCGCCGTTTCAGTGTGTCCCGTCTCTGAAAAAAAAAAAAAAAAAAAAAAAAAATTCCTTCTTTACTCCATCCTCACCGATCACCACGTTCTCAATCTGCATCCTCACCGATCCCGTCTCTGTAAAATCCTTAACTTTCTTTCACACTGAAACTTGCTTTCCTCTTTCTTTATTTATATATAGAGATAAATATATCATATATATATATATATATATAGAGAGAGAGAGAGAGAGAGAATCAACGCCGGCGACCATAACTTCACAACGCTGAAAATCAAAGACTGTTCCGGCGATGTACGAGCAGTGAGTTCACTCCACCGTCCTCTCCACCGCCGGCCGCCACCATCAGAAGCCAAGCTCGTAGCCGTTCAGTCCCGCCGACCGCCATCAAACCCAATCACGGGCGAGCTTCTTTATAACATCCCATCACCGGAATCGCGGCTTCTTTAATCGCTGATTCGCTGCTGTCCTACGAGATGGTCGGAGAACGTAGAACGACTTCTTTGTGCTCGGAGAACGCTGACAATAAAGGACGGCTACGAGATGGTCGTGACGACGACAGGGTTGACTGGTGGTCGGCGACAAGGACTGATGATGGCAGAAAACAGAACGCCGGCGAAATGATCGGAAGTTGCAGGTTGTCGATACAATCTGATATAGAGAGGGTTTGGTGCGTACTAACGCGTGGTGCGCGATTCCGGCGATGGGCAAGGAAGGAAGAAAACACTGCGAGCAAGGATCAGCGTTGAGTACGGGATGGCTGTGACTGACTGCAACCTATGAGCTCGGTGAGGATGGCGTTGAAAGGTGATTGGGATCACCGGGACGGGTCTGTGATATCGTCGGATCTGTGATATCGTCGGATCCGTAATCGGATTCCTACCAGAGACCGAACTTGCTACGAATCCGTGGCCGGCGTCTCGACTCCGTCAATCTCTTCGCTCCCGACGAATCTCCGTCACCGATTGCTTTGCTTGATGGTGATTCCATGGTGGTGATGCCGGCCGTAGGAAAGAGAGAAGAGAGAGATGGCAGGGGAGTGAGAGAAACTGAATAAAAGTGGAAAAGAGTTGCAGCTGACACGTGTTGTCGGTTTTGGTTGGGGAAAAGCAAGTCGGGTAGAATAGCACTGCTATTTAGGAAAATAAGGCAATGCTTGGTTGGATTTAATGGTAATAAAAGGGGCATTATGGTCTTTTAGATTCATAAAGGGTTGTATGGTCATTTAAAAAAATTTGGGTTGTCACGTGACCCATCATGTGCGTCTTCACGGCCAAATTCAACCGGCTTATCACCGGACGGGGTAAATTGCACCAAATTCGTTAGTTCAGGGGGGTTATATGTCAAATTAGTAGATTAGGGGGGTTTTCTGCTACATGACGCATAATTGAAGGGGGTTTTTTGCACTTTACCCAAAAAAAAATAATAATAATAGGCAGTTTAAACTGAACCAATATAAAGTTATCATGTGGTTTTGTTTTCTCCAATATTCAGAATTTATAGAAGATCATTAATATGGCTTTTAGTTTTCTCCTTTGTTTACTAAATGAGTGCATATTTAGGAACAATTTTGTACTAAATGAGTGCTGGCCTTTATTGTAAGTTTAGTAACAGTGCTCCATTGAATTTTGCCATAATGGGGGGAGCAGGTTGAACATACGCCAATTTTTTTTCTCACTATAATATCATGTTATTTTATTTAAAATGAAATTTTGAGAAAAAAAGGAATGATTTTACAATTCTGTTCATGAAATTTTGACTAAAAGTTTGTTGCTAGCTATGAACTTAATATCTTCTTCCTTTCTTTGGGCTTAAATCCAGCTGAAGCGGCAAAGCAGGTTCCGGTGGGCAACACCAATAGGTTAAGGTTACGCTTAGTGTAGTTTAGATCAATTGAGTTTTATTAAATTTCTTTGATAAAATAGTTTGAAGAGTAAATTATTGGATGAGAGTAATAATGGTGGTTAGAAAGGAAGGGAACCAAATAATTACAATATTTGGCATACGTTCTACCAGTCTCGAACCTTGTCCTTTTGGTTTAGGGTTCAGGCCATTATGCCAACAGGCCACAAGGTGGACCGGCAAATAAGTTTAATATTTAGTTGAAACCAGATTTAGAGATATCAATATGAACATGAATATTATGAATATGATTCTATGAATATGAATCAGATTTAGAGATACAATTTTCTTAGATAAACATTGCTACTTATGCCTTGATCATAAGGATGCAAGTCATTAGCTTCACAGAATAACAAGTATGTGAAGTTGTTTAGGTATATATCAGAGTAACAAAGTTACATAAAAACAATGGAATCTGATAACTGAATCTTTATGGATGATCTTTTGATACAATATAAGATGAAATACTTGTCCACACTCTACAATGAACAAAAATGGAAATGGAAAACAAAAATTGCAAGGAAACGTTCCGTGTATTATATTTGTTGATCAGCTGGTCAGCTACGTAGTCGAGATCAAATTTAATGATTAACAGTATCACATCACACCTGACAACACTATCAACCGAGCACTGTATCTCTAAAGCACTGAATCCAGAATTACTCCATATCGTCTCTAGTTTCCCAATCATTCCACAATGAACAAAAATGGAAAAGGAAAACAAAAATTGCAAGGGAAAGGTTCGGTGTATTATATTTGTTGATCAGCTGGTCAGCTACCTAGTTGAGATCAAATTTAATGATTAACAGCATAGCATCACACCTGACAACACTCTCAACCGAGCACTGTATCTCTAAAGCACCGAACCCAGTATTGCTCCATACTGTTGTAGTTTCACAATCACAGTAGTACACATATGGCTTTATTAGATTCTATAGAACATTGCAACCAGTTGGATTTTATGATTACTGTTACCCCTGCAGTCATGTATAAGATTGCTATCGGAGGCAATCGGTTGTAGTTCTCATCTGATCATTGTTGAAGTGTCCTGGTTATTGCCTTGTAGTTTAGTTAATCAATATTTGAAGTTCAAGTTCATCAGGTTTGAATGAGCTAAATCGTCCAGTGTCTACTTAGCAGTCAGCGGACAATAATCCTGACGTCCTGGCATGTTAATCTGATAATGCTTATTTATTATGATGTTCCTCTTTGCTTTTTTATTTGATTTGTATAATTTAGGTCTCTTTGGCTGCTTCTGTAGGTATATTCAACGTCAATGGCCATGCTAATGACAATGATTTTATCTGTGTTCCTCTTCAATTTCAGGCCAACAATGCAGGTAAGCTTCCAAAAGTTTGTTCTTTGCCTTTTTGTTTTTCCTCCCCCTTTGATCAAACTGTGGTTTTCTTATCACTCTCTCAGAGGAGTATCTGGACACTAGGCAAACTGGATGGAAAATAGGACAATCCTATTTTAAATATGTATATATTTGTTTTATTTATTTATTATGTAGGGTTTGAGATATTATTTCACATTATTTTTTTTCTAGTATTATCGCATTATTGTCCTTCCATTTGTCATGGTGGTTGTCATTGTAGCTGCATGTGTAGGATGATCACATGCCTTTAAGACAGGATGGAACATTTTCTTTTTCCAAATTATGTCTAATGACTCTAATGCCATGATAGGTCAATATTATATGATTTATGTCCTTAATCAATATCTTTGAATAACTAGCTCTTTAAGACACTCAATTTATGTACCTAATTCTCTGCAACCAGATTCGGCATTCGACTTCCTGTTCTGTTTGGTGATTACCAATTATTGATCTTCTATATGTCTTTCTTTTCTCTGTGTATGTGCAGCTCTTTTTGGGTATCATCGTCTGCATGATGTCACTACACATGTATTTTGCCCCACCAGACATGCTGCTAGGTTTGCCTTTGACTGTAAAAGCATCCCCTGAGAATGACATTGAAGTTTCTGTCGATCGGAAAACAGATTCCTGATAAATCATCTTTCATCAAAGTATACAATTCTTTGGTATGTTATCATTCAAAAGGAAAAAAATTAATGATAGGTTATTCTTTTAATATGTGAAATTTGTTTGATCTAATTTTTCCATGATGTTTAACCATTAACGAACAAAATCAGGGAAGAAAGGGATCCTATCAAGAGTAAGCATAGAAATATATATTAAGAAGAAGACTATTAAAGAACTTATTGATTATAGTGGCAAATTTTTAGCTTGACCTTGCTTGCCAAAAATTAATTCAAGTTATTATTGTGGTATTAGTTGTTTATAATAGTGGTGGATGTGCCCAAGGTGTGCACAGTGCAGTCATGATTGTAACTGTGAAGAGAGGGGATCGTAGTATGAAAAGGTTCATGGTTTACAAGGTAGCAACAGCATTGATGTCTGTGGAATCATAGTGCTGGTAAGTGTGAATTTGCAATGGAAGCTGTGGGTTAGTACTTAGTAATGATGTGGTGATAATAGTGTTAGGGTGGTGGCAGTGTTAGTTATGGTTTGGTGACGATGGTGGTACCAAAACTTGCAACAAAAAGCATAATGAAGTATCATAGATTACTTATAATGTTGGGTAACACTTTTATCTGGCTTCTGAGCTCACTTCGTATAGAAAGCATGTCAAGGTAGGTTAAATGTAGCAGAAAGACCTCAATCCAGCTTCTTAAATGACATAATATAGAATACAGCTACTGAACTTTTAAAACCTTCTTTGATTATAAGTAGACTGCAGTCATCATGTGATCCATTTTAACCATTCGGGCCTGTACATTTTAATTATTTAATAAGTGCATCCATTTGGTAAACTTTACTTGTTTTATGTAGGCTTCATCTTGTTTAGAGAGCCCATTGCAGTAGTGTCAAAGACGAACTAATTTTCAGTGTTGTAGAGTCTAGTATTTTATTATCAATAGTAACAAAGAAGCGACCTGCCTCTGCCTATTGAAGTTTCTAGTATGGAAGTGTATTATATCATTTGAGGAATTGATGAGTCTTCATATACTTATTTATATCAAGTTTCGATAATTGCTTGTTTTGGTTGCACTTTGGGAGAGAAGTTGTCCATTCCAAATAAAGTCCCTGGCCAGTCTCCGTATATGGTTCCTAAAAGCAACTGTTTGCAAAAAGTTTTAGGTTGGTTATTTAAAGGCATGTTCCCCAAACTACAGGGATGTGGTGGTTATAGCTGTAACAGATAAGTCACCTTTTGATTCTTGAATCACGTCTGGAATTCTTATTTATTTGATGGCAGGGAGCTTATTCTAAAAATTATGTTGATGGAGAAAAATATTATAGACCAGGCATGAATAAGTTTCTAATTGTATGTTGTATAGTCGTGAACCAAGCCCGGAGAAAAGCATGGTTGTGATAATTAGCTTAGTTATGTAAAACATAGGATCTTTAGCAAACATGAAACTAGAAAGTGTGAAACCTTATTCTGTCATTTGTATGATTTTAACATAAGTTCTTTTACTAGGAATTTATGATAAGCTATGGAGATCATTATTACATTTCAAACTGTTCAATAACACTATCATCTTTGAATATTTTATTTCCTATTTGAATAAAAAGTGTTGATAGAAATGGAAAAAGAACGAATAATAGAAGTTCCAATATTGTACAAAATTTATTCTATCCATAAGATAGTCTTTGTGCCTTTACTGTTAGCCTGTAGACCTGTCATAATGAGAGTCCTGTATGATTGCAAACATTGTCTCTAAATTTCTTGTGGGTCTTGGGGCATCCATTCCCTTGTTGGTTTTGCCTCCGCCTACTGACAACGATGATGCCAAGTGAAGCCACTATATGTGGTTTATAATCTCTTTGGGTCTTCCATCACCAATTATTTTGATGTCAGTTATGTTTATAAAGAAATTGTGTAGCTCCTATTAAATGCTCCAATTGGTTGAAATAGTTACTAGATATATGTAATCATGTGGACAACAACAATAGGAGGAAATTGTATTTAATTATTGCATTTATTATATACCCAAGTTGGTTCTGAATTATTACTAGCATTCTTTATACATGATGTTGATTAGGTCTGGGAAGGTTAGCAATCCTTGTCCCCCTCAAAGAATTTACTGCCGTTTGATTTTGTTAAACTACCTAAAACAATACGACTCACGAGGTAAATTGTTGTTAAGAGGTGAGATATATATACTTCTTTTTTTAAAAAAATAAAAATAAAATCCCAAATAGCTATAGATTAAAGTTTTTAAAAAAACGAGCAATGCAAATGCATAGCTTTGTAGAGAGGCAAAACAAGTGGTCCTAAGAAATTATAAGCCGTTTGGTTAGGTTTTGGTCATTGGTGAAATTACCTCTTTCAATTCTTATTTATTTATTTATTATTTGTTATCTCTATACAGATTGTGTTAGGTTTGTGTGGGTTTGAGGGCAGGTAGGGTATTAATCTATGGATCCCCTAAGATTAGGGTTCCTGAAAAGTTAAATTTATTGCACAACACGTCTTTCATTCAATCAATTGGCTAACAGGACTGAACCAAATGATTTTGAACCATATGTTTATATCATTAGTAGTACTTATCAAAATGATTTTTTCATCACAAATATCTTGAAAAATTATGCAACTTTTGCTGTATTACTTGGTAATGAATTATTCTAGATAGGAAGCTACAAAATCATAAAACTTAAAATTTGTTTCCATTTATAAAATAAAATAAAATAATCTTATTCCTTTCCCAAAAAATTGAAAATCAGTTGAAGTAATTGTTTAAAAGCTTATATAATTCTCTAGTTGGGTATGTATTGGACTTTCCAAGAAGCAAAGCTCAGGACAACCATACGAATATAACACTCATCATGGAATGATTCATGGAAATGACTCACATGAATAAAAAATCCTTTTATTTTGACAAATATTTATTTAAGACAATAATGGTTTCTCCGCATTTTACTTATCAAAAAAACAAAAAAAAATGGTTTCTCCGCATTTTATTTTTTATTAAAAAAGAAGAAGATATATATAAAATCTTATCACAAAACATTGCTTTCTCAGATTGATTGCATATCCACCTCGACAATGCTGGTTCAGTACATTCATCTCTCCATGTAAAACACACACCCACACACAAACATCATGTCGTCTATATAAAGGCCAGACAATGTTCTATGTATTGTGTGTGGCTAGACATATACAAGAGTATAAAATATAGTAGTAGAGAATAGAAGAAAGCATAGAGAGAGAGAGAAAAAATAAAAATAAAAAAAAAAATAAGAAGAAGGGGGGAGGTGGTATGGAGTCCTTTGCAAGGCCATCTGAAAATGTAGGCGGCAGAGCCAACGGGCAGCACAAGAGGGAGCGATGCGGCGGCAGCTTTCAGATGCCGCTGCACTACCCGAGGTACACCAGAGCCGATTACGACACAATGCCGGAGTGGAAGCTGGACTGCTTGCTCGCCCAGTACGGGCTGCCCGTCAACGGAGATGTCAACCAGAAGAGAAAGTTCGCCATGGGAGCTTTCCTGTGGGCTCATTAAAACTGTTCCGTTGTATGATCCGTGAAGTTTATGGTATTGGTAGTGATGTTTTTTACCTTTTAATTTAATTTTGTGTCATGTTATCATTTTGTGGACGTTATGTAACAGGAGTTTGAATTCCGGGAGTGGTAAAGGCGTGAAATATCCAAGTCATGACTTAGGCCGTAACATATATGTTTAGTGTGTAACTTGTTTGCTGTGAAATTATGTAAAATTATCTACCTTTCTGTCATAAACACTTATTATGTAGTGATTTATGGGAAAAAAAAAAAAAATTCTTCTTATCTCTCTTTCTTTAGAAGATTTGTGTTAATCGTTACTTGGTTACTTGGTTCAAGCATACGAATTAACAATCATAAGTTCAAAGGTTGGTTCAACATGTTCTAAACTCATGACTATTGGCTTTGAGCTTTCTTAAATTTCCTCCAATTTCTTTTTATAAGACGCCAATTCAGTTCTCAAACAAAACACAGACTTTAAAAAAAAAAATGAAAAAAAGGGAAAAGAATAAAGAAAAACAACAGCAACATGACTAAAATCAAGCCCATCAGATTCTAAGACTCTGACAATCAATTTATAATTGAACTTTGTATTTAATGGGAAAAACAATTATAACACATCAAAATTTAGGGCTACAAACAAACAAATTGAGTTATTCATGATACTTAAAGATTGCCTTACCAACAGGCCTGCGGCTTAGCCGTACAAGGTTCTTACTTTGCAAAGGAAGGTTAGGAGTTCGAACCTCAGTAGCGGCTTAGCTGTACAAGGCTCTTATTTTGTAAAGGAATGTTAGGGGTTCGAACCTCAGTAGAGGCCGTGTGTGTTTTCCAACTAAAAAAAAAAAGATCACCTTGATAATTTTTATTTATTTATTTATTGTTATATGTTCATTTTTAATAATTTAACAAGTCGAGTTCAAAAGGACATTTTCAGGCTCATTAGACTTTGTAACATGTTCATGCACTGCGATTGCATTTTGCAATAGGCTCATTAAGGCTTGTGAACATGACTGACTTATTAGAGCTTTTGAATTTATAATCATTTTTTTTTTCTTTATCAAATTTGATCCTGAACTTGAGAATTTTGAGCTGAGTTTGTGAATTAATTCTAATTTGGCTAGTTGAGCTTAGCTCAATCTGGAAGAGTAGTGTCCGAACTGTGCACAAACACTCATACATGAATCTGACCAAAACTTGAATGGCAACCATACATGTGTATTTTACTGGTTGGCTTGAACCTTCGGTTTTGCTAAGAATGACTTAAAAGTTCAACTCATTTCTTCCTAAAGCCTGAACCCGAAAAATTAAATAATGTTACGAATCAAAGGTATGAATTTAAAAATACTAATAATTAAAAATTAAAACTAAACTATATTTCATTCCAATTCAAAACACGGGTTCAATACTATCTGACTCGTCATCAGACTAATATTGTACAGGGAGTTGAGGACCCCAAAAGCAGAGACTCTGATCCATTGACCCGGCCCATACATAATAATGTTACGAATCAAAGGTATGAATTTAAAAATACTAATAATTAAAAATTAAAACTAAACTATTTTTCATTCCAATTCAAAACACGGGTTCAATGCTATGTGACTCGTCATCATACTAATTTTGTACAGGGAGTTGAGGACCCCAAAAGCGGAGACTCTGATCCATTGACCCGGCCCATACATAAAACGACGGCGTCTTTAGGTAATGTAGTTGTAACACAGTACGGTTATCACTTGCCGCGTGAGCCAGCATTGTCCGTTTACCATAGCGAGGCCGGCACATAGCAGAGAAGTTTGGTAAAATGAGAGGGAGTTGAGAGAGCTCATAATTTCCGCGGAATTCAGTTTCCCTCTCTATTGTCAAAAGGGATCAGAATCTCAGTTCTCGTATCGGAACCCTAATTTACTGGAGCAAGAAGAAAGGAAAAGGAAAAGGAAAATGCCTCGAGAAATTATCACTCTGCAAGTGGGACAATGCGGGAACCAGATCGGCATGGAGTTCTGGAAACAACTCTGCTTCGAGCACGGCATCAGCAAAGAAGGCATTCTCGAAGATTTCGCCACTCAGGTCATTTTGATTTACTGCACCTACGTTCCGTTTGGTTCCCGAGAAAAAAAAAAAAAAAAAAATACAGAAGAAAATTTGAGAGTGTTGTGTTTTATGTAGTTTTTTAGAAAGTACTACGAAAGAAACACACTCAACAAAGCTGAACAGTTGAGTTTTTCGGTCGAGAGTTTATTGTATTTTATTTGCTTGTGTTCTCCGGTAATAATTGAGGCCGAAGGTTCTAATTATTGTATTTTATGCAACCATGTTTTTTGTTGAACGATGATAATGTTAGGTAAGGTTTGGAAATCCTTTTGATGAATTCGAACTTGTTTAGTTGCCTAGATTTTTTTCTGTTTGTGTTAGACGATATTTTTCTTCTTTGTTACTGTTTTTTGTTTTAGCATTATTTCTTTTCATCAGACAGATTAATCAGCCATTGATATGTGTGTGTGTGTTTCAAAAGTTTTCTGTGATTAATTTCATATCCTCAATACTTTCGGGGTGACAAATGGCAATAGGGATTGCTGTATGTCCTTTTGTATCTTTTGACTGAAGCTTAACATATAGGTTAGAGGATCAAGTCAGATTCTATATATAAATTGTTATAATATGTGATTTCGCCATCTGTTTTAGTTACATTATTTAATGTTAGTGTTACTAAGCTTTTTTATTTTTTCCTTCTGAAATCCATATACCATTGACATATTTAAATTTTTAAATAATTTAATAAGTACACGCAGACATGCATGACTTCATTATGCATTTTTATGGGTTAGTGTGTGTCCTGGGCAGTAAAAATAATTCAGGAAATCATTGATATAAAAACTGATACATTTGCGATTGAAAAATTGGGTCATTTCCTGACATAAAATCATTTCTCATAATGAACCTTTAAGTGTAATGTTCTCAGTATGACCGGAAATCTATACACTCTCAAGCATATTTTTTGTGGTCTTGTGTTAGTCATGCCATAAGTAAGCCGGGTTGCTGTGAAATTATAACTCTTCTGACATTGGTGATTGGTCACAGCAATTAAATTGTTATCTGTTATCTTCCTACCTCATTCCATATTTAAAATTAAATTTAAAATGATGCAGGGGGGAGACAGAAAAGATGTGTTTTTTTACCAAGCTGATGATCAGCATTACGTACCACGAGCTTTACTTATGGATCTGGAGCCTAGGGTGATCAATGGTATTCAAAACGGTGAATATAGAAATCTCTACAATCATGAAAACATATTTATCTCAGATCACGGTGGAGGTGCTGGAAATAACTGGGCCAGTGGATATCATCAGGTTCATTGCTTTGTCTTTCTGTAGTAAGCTTACATTGATGCTCTTGACTAATCCAGTGGGCCGGGTAATTTTTATTTTGAGAAAGTTGTACCCTATAAGTGTGACATGTGATTGTAATTAGCGGGTACTTGAATATTCTTTTTACAGCAAGTATATCGAGATCTGAAACAACACATCAGAACATACTGTATTTATATAGCTTCCTTTGTGAGTTTTATGCTTTGCATATACGTGCATTTAATTTGATTAACCTCCAGAGTCACCTGCTAGAGAAATGCTTGATTCATGCTTAATTTAAAAGAAGATTATTGTTGAAAGATCATAACCATTTTTCTCCTTACTTAATGATCAACAAGTGAGTCCACGCATAAAACAAATTGGATATTGTTGTTTACTTGTTGCCTATCATAAGACTTTAGACATTTTTGTCCTGTTGTATATTTGCTTTTCCTGTGATAGTTTTAAATAGTTCATACTTTTCACAGAAGTTATTTCAATTGTTTGACAATTTCACTAAGTCTGAATGTGAATGTATGATTCCTGGCTTTTGATTAATAAGGCAGGGGTGTGTGTGTATATTGTGGGGGAGGCTGAAGGTTGTGGGAGTAGGAGAGTGAGGGAAGGAGGGAACTTGTAGTAAGAAGACAGGGAGAAACCCAACCAGCCCCCTCTAAGGTATTAAAGGGTCCTTCGAATCATCTTGAACTAACCCTTGGATTATAGATTTAGACTTGGCTTAATCCTTCTTGGTACTTCGAACTCGAGTCAATGGGAATCTCGAGTCTCTCTCTCTCCAAAATGGACTTTGGTATACTTTCCGTGTGGTAGGCTTTGGTACATCTGGTGTAGTAGGCAGGTGCTCTTTTATTTAATGAAATCTTGTGTGTGCAACAAAGAAAAATAATATGTGTGGTTGTTTTGTTCTTCTCTCTTATATGGCTTGTGCATTCACGGCTTGTCTTGTGATATTTTTTTCATATATTTACTTCATTATTTTTTGAAAAGGGGAAAGGTGTTGAGGAGGATATAATGGATATGATTGATAGAGAAGCTGATGGGAGTGATAGTCTTGAGGGTTTTGTTTTATGCCATTCAATTGCCGGAGGAACAGGCTCAGGTTCTTACCCCTCTCTAACATTATATTTCTACCAAAGGTCTCTGGGTGTATGTTGTGAAATTTTGTTCTTTTTACTGTATTGCTGTGACAGAAATTTCATTATTGGGTTACGTCTTCAACAGGGCTGAAATTGATTCAGTAAGTACTAAATTGATCCCCTTCACACACACAGATATATAAGTGTGTGTGTGTTCTTCTTTTATCATTAAGCTGGGTTTCAAATTGAACTCATATAGAGGAAACGAACCATTGGTAAGAAAAAAATTAAAACCTTTGGAGTCCTGAAATCATCAGTAAATAGTTGAGGGTTTCTGAACCTCCTTAGCTCATAGTGTTTTTTAAAAACAATGTCTATATGACTGCTTTACTAATTCTTGCTACAGAACTTGTTGAGTGGTTTACATTTGGGGGTTTTCTTAATTGATAATTGTGTGATTTTATGCAGGTATGGGTTCATATCTGCTGGAGACTCTTAATGATCGCTACAGCAAAAAACTTGTTCAGACATATAGTGTATTCCCAAACCAGACAGAGGCAAGTGACGTGGTTGTCCAGCCATACAACTCGCTCTTGACACTCAAGCGGCTTACACTTAATGCTGATTGTGTTGTTGTTCTTGATAACACTGCACTTAATAGAATTGCTGTGGAGCGACTTCATCTTTCAAATCCTACTTTCGCTCAAACAAATTCTCTGGTTTCTACTGTAATGTCAGCAAGCACAACCACATTACGTTATCCTGGATACATGAACAATGATTTGGTTGGCCTTCTTGCCTCTTTGATTCCAACTCCAAGATGCCATTTTCTAATGACAGGATATACACCACTCACAGTGGAGCGTCAGGTAAATTTTTTTTTTTGGCGGCATTGTCCTATCTACAATTTTTCTTCAGCAAATTATTTGATGTATTATTATTACTTCTAGCAGATAAATTTATCTTGTTATATATGTATATTTCTTTGATAAGTATTTAATCCTGTTACATTCTCTGTGGTCCTGTGGAAAATTTTAAACTTGTGTTTTGCATAGCAGCATAGCTGTGCCTTTTTCTTCTTATTTTTTGAACGAGCATGTACCAATTCCTTTGATCAAGTTGTCCGTATGAAAACAAGATTTGATTGTTGACCTGGAAAGGATTTATTTAATTGTATGGTAACTTTGAAAAAGGAATTGGGAGTTAGATTAGTTAGTTTATCAACTTTCTTAACAAAATGGAATAGATAATGCATCTGAGTTTTAGACTGCAAAACCTTATCATAATTTCGTTTTAAACATTTGTTCTTCTTGTTAGAGGCTTAGAGCAGAATAAATTTTTGTGAAGGATTATTCTCCTGTAAGCTCTTTTTTTTTTTTTTTTTTTTTTTTTTTTCCTTTAAATTATTATCTTTGTCATTCAACATTATTTTGTTTTCCTTCTCATCATATGTTGATATGCTATAACTGAAAAGATAAAGCATGAGCAATTTAAAAACAGTCTATAAAAAAGAAATAGGGTATTTGCTCCTGATTGTGATCTATGTTACATTTATCCAGATCACGTGTTATGTTTAGGTATATGGCTAGCAGTAGCTGTCGTATTAATGAATTCTTCAAACTTGATATGGGACTCAACTCAACTAAACCTTGTCCCAGCCATTTGGGGTCGGACACATGACTCCTGCTTCCACATTCTGTTCTGTCTAGGATCATATCTTTAATTAAATACTCACTACCATAACTTTCAGTCAACGCAAATCTTTCAGTGTGGATCTTTCCTCTCTTCTCATTAATGCTGTTTTGATTTTACTGTACATAGACATATTTGTCGGTTCTCTATATTTTTATCTCCAATAAGTGCTACTTTCTTTATGCATTCTTAGCCGCCCACCATTCTATCCAGTAAAGCATCATTAAATATTCATATTGTTTTGCAATTCTTCTTGTAATCCTTAGTGTTAAATGGTGTACTTACGTAACATTGTATTTAGCATGAAACTTCTCTCGTTTTAAGAGAATTGTGTAATAAAGTAGCAAAGTTACATGTATGGAATTATATTATAGATTTGAATTGTCAGACATGCTTGTTGGTGCGTGTTTAAATTTAGTTAGACATGTTGGTCATATATCTATGTAGTGTCATTTCCTGCAGGGGTTGCTTTACACATTTAGAAGTTACCATGTAACACAATTCTTCTTGTATTTAGTTTTTGTTATTTAGTTGCGATACGTTTGATGATCAAACTTCGTAGCAGGAGGTGGTAAGTAAAGAAAAACCATAAAAAGTAGAAGAGTTAAGACTTGACTGGGACTCAAAAAACTAATATCTAAAAATCTAACTCTACTCAACAATCCTCAATTGAACAGTTTAAACTCTTTTCATTAATTTGCATCAAGAAAACAGTATATCAGCATGCATGTTGTTTCAATGAGCTCTGAACTTATCATGGCAATTAAGGCCAAAAAAAGCCTCAAGCCTTCAAAGAGGCCAAAAAAACAATAATCTCCTCTATAGATCTATAATCTCTCCCTGAAACCCAACAAAAGAGAGTGGAAATAATAGAGAACTTAAGCATAGAAATAGGCTTCTCCTTTCCATCAAAATTCAATGAGCTCTGAACTTATCATGGCAATTAGTTGTTTCTTATTGAAGGGATTATTGTAATATCACAAGAATCATAGTAAACTTGCTGGTTGGTCTGAATTTATTTTTCAGATACTCATAATCGTAAGAGGATGGAAGGTGCTCATATTCTTTGAATTTTCATTTTCAAATTCAGTTTCCTATTCTAACCAATCTGGTCAGTAGGATGACCAGAAAAGAATGAACTGTAAACTATTTACTTTTCAGTTTTCACATTATAACAATTTAGGAGTTGTAAGATGACAATGGTACTAGTCAATTTATTTAAATTTTTATTTGGAGTTGAGATTTCCAAGCCATTAGTCAAATCATGGAAGCACCGAGGCAAAAAAAGAAAAGAAAAAAGCCTGTCATATTTAAGAAATGGTGTATTCTGTGTCAGATTGATGATTTTGATATCTTAATTCAATCTTGTAAGAACATGAAATAGGCATTTAATTATCCTATCAGAGGGTAATGCTGCAGTCTGATGTAGATCTCTCTTTTTGGCAGGCTAATGTGATTCGAAAAACTACTGTACTAGATGTTATGAGAAGACTTCTGCAGGCAAGAGAAGCTTACCTTATAAATTGTTTCTAGGAAGTACTGGTGGGCATGATTTTGACAGTTTTGTTTTGTAGACAAAGAATATCATGGTATCCTCTTATGCTCGAACAAAAGAAGCTAGTCAGGCAAAATACATATCAATATTGAATATCATTCAAGGAGAAGTGGACCCCACCCAGGTAGTGCAAATATAATAATTATTGTTGTTTCTGAAAGTTTATGTGAAAATTTGACCCTCTACTTGAATTCTTCTACTGCAAATCGATTTCTTATTGAATGAGAAGTACTTCATGTATGTGATTTGTGAAGATGCGGGATTTCAGTATGGAACTTATTTTACTGTCAAATTTTTCTGTAATAAATCTTAAACAGTATTAATCTTAATTTCAGTTTTCAGTTGTGTGAAAGTTTTAAGCTGGAAGTGCCACACACCTGAGTTTTTCATTCATTGATTTGTCACACAACTCACAACCATTTATTTTTTTTACTTCTAAAAAAACATTTCTGACTATCAATTTATTTTTGTTTTCCAAGGGAACAGATCCTGGTTCGCTGCTTTAATGTCCTCTGCAATATGGTTTCATCCTTTCCCTTTAATTTGATTATGATTATAGTTTGACTGCATCTGTAGATGTGTTGGAGTGAAAAAATAACAAGAAATGATAAGCTAAACCTTTATAGGCTGCAAGATATTCATATGCTTTGAAGAGACTCAAGCCCAAGTTCCTTGTTTTTATATCTTTTAATGAAGGAGTTCAACATTCTATAATGCCTTTTTTTTTTTCTCTCTTTTTTTTTTTTTAATTAGATATATATTTTTTATAAGCTTACATTCTATAATGCCTAAAAATTTACTTAGGTCATTTGCTTATAACCCAATATTTTAACAATGGGATTAGGCTTTGAAAGCGTAATAAATTACATTTGCCAATGATGTTCAGTTAGCAAAGTCTATCCCAAATATATTGGTTCATTTGCACTGATCTTGTTTCTCCTTTCAGCTTCATAATAACAGGGCTGTTGTTTTAGTAAAATCAAGCCAAACACACACTATATCAATTTTCTTTTGTATCTGGGAAATTATTGTTGGTTTAATAGCACATCAAATTCATTAGAATTAATTTAATATTCTCAAGAGCATGTTTTATATCATACTAATGTGAAGCTGTGGTTCTTGTTAGGATGTCAATATTTCATGAATAATATCGATGAGCTGCATTCTGATACTTTTTGTTCTTCACAAATCAGGTTCATGAAAGTTTGCAGAGAATACGTGAAAGAAAGCTTGTTAACTTTATTGAATGGGGCCCTGCAAGCATTCAAGTATGCCTCCTAGATGTATTTACATTCAGTTTATATTATCTCCTAGTAATTTGATTATATATTTTTTGCTTTCCCGCTTATGGAGGTTGCTCTGTCCAGAAAGTCTCCCTATGTTCAAACTGCCCATAGGGTGAGATCTTCCTTCTGCAAATTCATTCTGAAACTATTTTCTTTTTGAAGAATATCTATTCTTGTTCTCTTTTATGTTTGATTTTGCTTGACATTATTGAATCATATTTTGTACTTTTCTCACTTTTTCTAATAATTGGAAGATTAGTCAAATAAGTATATAAATAGTGCATGTCCATTTGTTAGGTCAGCGGGCTTATGCTAGCGAGTCATACTAGTATCCGGCACCTCTTCAGCAAGTGCTTGAGCCAGTATGAGAAGTTGAGAAAGAAGCAAGCCTTTCTTGACAACTATAGGAAGTTTCCAATGTTTGCTGTAAGTTACCACCTCATAAAGTTATGCTCTGGATTTTAGTTTTATTTTCTCAATGTACTGAGAACTGCTATTGTGATTGATACACTGTATACACCTCTTATTTTCTGTTCCCATAGCTCCATTGCTTCATCTAATTCTATGATTATGAATTGTTATCACATGTAAAACAATACTTTTCTATACATTATATATTTTTTGCTGTTTCTGATGTGGTGGCTATAATGTCAATTCTACTTTAATTTTGTGAATTCCCTCCTCTTTGCTTCCATATATTTTCTTAATGGCAAGTTTGTTTTTTCAATGTCATAAGAAGTCGGCATGCTACTTTGGCAGAGTTGCATATTTAGTAATTACTTGTAGAATTAGTTTAATGTTCTTATAAGATCTCCTTCTTTGTTCTTAATTTTACAAATTGAGATTAAAAATCACGATATCAATAATCAATTCCCCTTGTGCTATTTCCAGTACTCCCCAATACCATCACACTGGCACTGTAATTGTTATGTAACCTGATACACGAGTTACTTGTGCTTTATAGCCCAGAGCTAATCACATGCACTTGGGGTTGTGAGCGTGTGGGGTCTAAATAATTGAGCTTGTAGGATTTGGCTGCTGCCATTTTATTAACGGACAGATGTTTTAATGACAAGAATCTCAACATACACAGTACATGTCATCAACATGAAGCAAGCTCTCTCTCCCTTCTGAAGAACAGCAAAATGCAGCCATCCTCGAGCATGTCTGTTGTTGTGACCGGATTCGCTAGCCTCCAACTTTAGCCACTACCCCTGTGTGCATCCAAGTGTCAACGCCATAGCTCCAGGTCATAGCACCAGTTGAGCTTCAAGCCCTAGTAGTCCTCTGAACCTGATCTTTGACCCAAGCAAGAATCAGGCTTCAGGATGATAAGTCCTGGTAGTCTTAAGCCCTATCTTCCAAGGCATGGATGCTTGATTATTTATCTTCGTGGTGACAAAAAAATCATGGTACATGGATCATGGAGTCCGTGCATCCCCTGCTACTTAAATGCCTAGTCCTTGATTCCGAGTATTCCTAATATAAGTAACATTTAAATTATATTTAGAATTTCATACTTGAAATGCATTTCAAATTGTATGAAATTATGCACATTGATTATCTATCAAACATGTGCGTACTTCACTCGGTCTCTTACCTTTAACTGTACCTCTCGCATAAGATCAGGGAGACGGTGACACCTGCTGTGTGCCTTGGCCCTTTAATAATTTCACAGCAAGATGTAGGTATTTGATTGGACACTCGCATGTGGAAAGTAGTGGAAGCACCCAAAAGCTCTATGGCAATGACAATCCCTTTCTTTTGGTGATTGTTGAACATAAGAATTTTCATTGTTAGCTATTAAGGTCCAGGAAAAGAGGGAAAATGGTAGACACCCACCTGAATGAGGCAAATTCTTTCCAGTAGCTGACTAATATGACCAAACACTACTAGGTGAACTTCCATTCCATTTTGGTACCTTGATATTCACAATGCTATGATATTATGCCATATTATGCAGATTCTTAGTCTTTACCAAGACACAAACTTAAATCATCCTTGTGGAACAGGGAACTTTTGTGCAGATATCTTACCAGAAAAAGGAATGTTGTATGGAACTGGCTAATGTTTACAAGTTATCATGTTTGATTCTGGAGAAAAAAAATATAAAAAAAATTATATTGCTGTATAACCATGTATTTATCATAATTTTATTTTTTCCACAAGGCACAATTCGTTTTTTTTTTTTTTTTTTTTTTTCTCTTTTCTCCCGGCATTACCCATTGATCAGTGAATAATGCTATAAGAGACAAAGTTCTGTAGTATAATATTTCGAAATAATGTGTTCCAAAACATATAAACTTGTCTGAAGCTCTTGAATCACACGACTTTCGCGCGATTAGTTTCTATTTTCTAATGATCTATATAGCAACAATTTTTTTATTTTATTTTTACCAACATGTTATAACTTTGTTGTCTGCAGACTGCAGTTGACACCCTTTTTTTATAAATAAAAAAAATCAGAGTGGAACACATGATAGATGGGTCATCTTTTTTTGGCTGGTCCATTTTGTGAAACACATGTATTACATTGGTCTAATTTCAGTAATTTTATTTTTATTTTTTATGAACAGGATAATGATCTCTCAGAATTGGATGAATCAAGAGATGTGATCAAGAGTTTGGTTGATGAATATAAAGCTTGTGAATCCCCAGATTACATTAAATGGGGAATGGAGGTAAATTCCAGGATGGACCCTATTTCTCCCATCTATAGTTCATCATAAATCTTACTTACTGATGAGCTTATTTTTATGCAGGATCCTGATCACATTCTAACTGCAGAAGGCAATACTACTGGAACAGTGGATCCGAAATTAACAGTGTGAGCCAAGTAAGTTACACTAGTTCCGATGAAATCACCTGTGGGCTTTATTGTTACGTTTTTCATGCAAGTAAAATTAAACTTAAACTTAAAAGCTTATGTTATGAAATAATCACGACATTGTCACATGCTAGATATTGATGTGGTCCACGTGGACTGGATAAGTTGTTTTGATTTTCTAGTAAATGGTTGGGTTTTTTTTAAGGTGCAAGCAACTTTATTGGTGGGGTCCTTAGGTGTCATTTCAAAGAGTTGAATCAAATCTTGTGTTCAATAAGGATTATAGTTAGTGTTAAGTGTTGTTATTAATGTTCTGGAACTCTTTAAAAGGACAGACAGAATTACTCATGCCGGACACACAGGACATGAGCATGAGATACACAATTGGTTGGACATGTACCTTCACTGGATATTACTTAGGTTAAATGCCTAATCGAATGCTAAATATTACATGTTATGATATGTAGCAGTGTTAATGTATCATTTTATTTGAAACTTTAAAACATCCCACATTTAGACACATATCCAAACTCAACATGTGGGGTAATTTAAACGCGTTTAGCTCCGTTTTTCCGACACAAAATATTTTTCTCAAAAAAAGATTTTCCTTTTTTAGGTAAAATGTATATATTTTTCTTTTTTCTTTTTCGGTGTTTGGTAAAGGTTGGGGTTGGGGTTGAGTTCATCGAGCAGGGCGTGTAAAATAACTTGTCGAAAATTGATAAATAAGTTATTTTTGTTAGGTTTTATTTTTTTTTATAAAATTTTACAACCAAATACCAGAAAATAAAAAAAGTATTTTACATCTAACCGAAAGGAGACTCGGAGCCTTATAATTCTTTTAGTACTAGTTCATTTATTATTATTATTATTATTATTATTATTTTTCACTTGGTAATTGCTTTGTTGGCTTGAAAAAATTTCAACCCAGGTCATCTCATTTGCTGCTGAAAGTAACCCGGATGGAAGATAAAAATCCGCAACATGTTTACATTTGTGTAATTTGCTGCCTGGTTCGAGTATGGCATGTGTAATTTGACGTTTCTTTTTTTGTGTTATATTTTTTTCCTTAATTGTTATTATATTCAGCTAAATTGAGAAAATAATTATATACACTTATCAATGTATATAAAATATCCTATAAATATTATTTCTGCATTTGAATGAGTCCAGATGTGAAAATTTTGGCTAACAACAGAGATTGATGAAGTGATTAAGTGATCGCCGGCGCAGTCAAAGAAAGATTGATAGCATGTGGGTTCTTAGTGGAGGGCCTCACATGTGTCAGCATGGTTAGTCTTGCAAGTCATATCATACATGTGGGATGTCCCGACCTAACAATCTTCAACATTTTCAGTTATGAGTCAATAAATTTTTTATATTATTTTTTTTAGCATCAACTTAGTAATTTATGTCTCATGGCATCAATTATTAAATATATTTCCAAGTGCTTTGGGATCTCAATGGCTGTGAAATTTTGGAGTGTGTGTGTATTTGGTTGAAACTGTTTTGAGTGATTGGCATTTGCGAAATAAACGTTAGGAAAGCAGTGGGCATGAAAAGCTTTTGGAATTTAAATTCAAAATCCAGTTTTGATAATTTAGTCCCTATCCGTTACTCAATTTGAAAGGAGCATAAAGGATGATGATGGAGACCACAGCTAAGACAACAGGGACGAGGAAGGATAATGAAGACGAAGTACAAGCTGTACTGATTGTTGATTAAACATTGTTAAAACCTACCCCGCGCTGTCATAATCTCTGCCAGCGATGCTATATTTTTTTTTCTATATATTAAAGTTGTCCTCATAAATTTTGTACTTGTTTAAATAAATTTGAAATTGGTAAAATTGAAAAAAAATTTAGATCAATTTTGTGAGCTATTTTTTTTTTTTTTTTAATTTCAATACTCTAATTTCATGCGGTGAAACATAATAATGTGAATTTGTTTATAACAATTTAGTTTCAAGTATATAAAGAGGACTTGAAGTCCTGCAATTCAACCATGAATGCATGATAATTTAAACAAATAATTTAACTTTATTATTATTATTATTATTATTTGTTGTCCTAAAAAATAACAAACTCAAATAATTTGTTCACATGGAAGTCGAACCATGTGAAAATTGTACAAAAGCACAAAAAAGAAAATTGTTTTCCCCCCTCTCTCAGCAACTTAACGCAAGAGATCAATTGAATCAATAAACCGTAAAATGGAGCAAAATTAAGAAATAAAATTTGATAATAATAAGGCGACATTTACAATTAATCCTCAATTCAAATTTTTTTTGTGAATTCAAAGTAGTCAGTCTGCAATCTTATACTGATTTCAATTTAATTTTGACATATTAATTAGGATAAGAGTGGAAGTAAGAAGGTAAAGGGGCAAATTGGCGAATGGAAGAAGTTGGTATGGTGAACCAGAAAGGCGCACATGGCTTCAACAACATGAAAACGAATAATCCTACAATTAGGTTTAAAGTTGGAGTTGGACCCACTTACTAACTAATACAACTCAAAACTCCATATGGAGCATCCAATGCCGTAGTGGCTGTCCTCTTCTCTCTCTACATTTCTTTCTCTCTCCTCGACAAATCAAGAGCGTATAAAACGGGAGTCTCCTCCACTCTCTCCATCACAAATTTTTCTTTCAAATTTCAAAAAACAAATATCGCTCTGTCTCTCTCACTTTCCTCTGTTTTTTCATTCTCTTTCCGATTTTGTCTTCCTCTGTGAGTTTTTTTTACTATATATATATTTTTTTGGGTTCAATTTGATCGATTAATTTCTCATCTAAATAGAGAAACTAGAGAAAAAAAATGGCGGTGTCTAGGGTTTTCTTTGGAGTTTTTGCTATCTTCGCTCTTGTTTTGGCCATTTTATCACCTTACGCTCAGGCGCAGTCTATGGCCCCTGCTCCTGCCCCTTCCAGCGATGGTAAATTCATCTCTCTCTCTATATATATATATATTACACACACATGTTTATACAAGCACGAGAGTCTTTTAGATCTGACAATGTGCCTTCGATTTCTCACTTTTGGTTGCGAAACTACAGTTATTAGCCACTTTTAAATGCGCTTCAATGTGTATATAATCATGTTTCTTCGGTTTGCTTGTAAGGTATTCTTCAATTTATCACAAAATTTTGTTCTTCTATTTTCATATAACTGAATATTAGAAAAGATTACAAAATTTTTTTGGTTGACAGGAATTTGAAAAGTTTTTAAAACTCGATTATATATATAATAATAATAAAAAAAAATAAAACTTTGTTATTTATAATTGTCTTTTATAGGTTTTTTAAAAACAAATTTGTGTTTTTCCTTGAGAACTATATTAGAAAAAATGATCCAAGAAAAAAATGTGTTAGCTTTAAATAATTTCAATTGATTTTTAGGTTTTTTTATGAAGGAAATCTTTTATGTTTTTCAGGTATTACGTGGTGGATGTTTTTAAAATATTTTGTCTTGTTTGTTTATAGCAAAATCCAAAACAATATAGATAGTCAAAGTAAGTAAAAGAAATACAAATATTGCGTAGAGACCATGGTTCAGATCCAGGAAGTTGTGGGAGCGCAAAAGTGAATTTAGTGTAATTTTTTTTGTAATTTTATAGGAGGGCAAATTGAAAATTTTATAGGTATATAATTGAAAAAAAAAAAAAAAAAGAAAACTTAGTGGTATATAACAGTAAAAACAAAATGGGGCAATCCTAGTTCAGATCCTATCATTTTGAAAGTAAAAAATAAAAATGCAAATGATAAAAGCAACGCTCATATTTTTGCTGCTGATAAACTTGGCAGATGGATATGTTTTGTAAAGTTGGGAAAGTTGGAGTTGTGATCTGCCTCATTAATGAAGAATACTGTTTCTTCTGATGAGTTTATTCCCATTATTGTTGCTTGTCCAATTCATTCTCTCTGCTTTGTAATTTACAACTTATAATGACCCAATTCCCTTGAGTTTTAATTTTTTTTTGTGGTGGTGTTGTGTCGGGTCTCTTAGAGCATCGTTTATTGGAATGTCTGACATTGTAGTTTATGGTTGTATTTATACAGGGACTTCAATTGACCAGGGGATTGCTTATGTGTTGATGCTTGTGGCCCTGGTTCTTACGTACCTCATCCACCCTTTGGATGCCTCTTACCATTTCTTTTAAACTGCCTTCTCTGTTTCTAGGATCAAATTTAATTAGAATATTGGGTAAATGAAGTCAATGTGGGTAAGAAATGGAGTTTGATTTCACCAATTATTTAGTGGTATTGTCTCGGTTCCCTTTTCTCCCTCTCTATCTCTCTGATTGTAGTTTGACTTTTCAGTTATTTTGTTAGTGAATTTCATTTTTTAATAATTTCATTGTTTCTTATTCATTCTTCTTTATTGTAATTTTATTCTTACTTAGTGCTTACATTGTTTTGTTCATATAAGCCATCTTTAAGAATAATTTTATTGTACATCCAAAATTTGAGTTCATTCAACACTTGCACCCCCCAATACCTGCATTTGGTATTCAAATACACATACGCTATGGTAAAATATAATAATAATAATCAATTCCTCTGCATTTCCTTTGATAATAGGAATGAGATTTCCTCATTGGTTGGTACTAACGTGGGAACCAAAGATTGCAAATATTTTTTTGATAGGCAATACTTGCTTATTTACGGTTGAATAGGTGATTAGGTAATAAATAAGGAAAACAGGTTTTTCCGGGAATAAATTCGGCCATCTTCTGTATTTTACACAAGCGCGTTTTCACCAAATGATCACACACAGTATTTATAGATAGGGACATTGAATGCACGAGTTTGGAATAAGTTAGGCCGATTGAATTTGCATCTTTACTTGTTAGATTGAGAGTATGACTCGCCTAGTGATGATCCATAAGGGCATGATTTCAAGTAGGTTTGAATCCTCTGAGGTTAAATATTTTCTAAATTATTTTAAATTGAATTTGCTACAGATTTGAGATAAAAAAAAAAATTTATCAAAATTTAAAAACTCCTTTTGAATTAAAAAATATTTATCATACTCTAATGGACCTTTAACGTCTTTATCTCTCCCTCGTATTTTTCCAAAAAAAAATCTTCCATCTCTTTCCTTAAAAACATGGATGACGTTCAAAATAGTGAATTTTCCTTATTTCAAAATAATTTTAAATATTGTATAATTGACGATGGTATAAAATCGACAAAAAAATCGAGTGCTACATGGCAACATGCTATTGCACTCCCAAGTCTCCTATAGTATATTAAACACACGAAATTTTTGTAGACAAAAATAACCCTTTTCAGTTTTCACTCCTTTTGGCCTCATCTTCTTTTACCTTTTCTCCTTGCATATTTGTCATTCTTTCATAATTTTTTTTTTTCCTGTCAATAAAAAAGTTTCAGTCAATCAAAAGATTTTTTCTCTATTCCCTTCAACTACAATTTTATATGTTTTTCATCTCCAAGAAAAATAAATAAATAAATACAAGAAAAGTGAATATTTTTATGATGGGTTTTATATATATGTAGTTTTTAACAAAGTTAAACTTATGATATTAGGTTTCAATTGAATTTAAGAAAAGAAATAAGGATAAAAGTACTTATTACGAAAATATATTTCAGCAATTGTTTCAGAGAAATATTGGCGAGTGTTTAGACTAGTTTTTCCGGTCATGATTTGAAGATATTCTAAAATTTGTTGAAAAACGTGAAGGTTGATTTGAGGATGAGTTGGAGAATGTGAGGGTTGTTCTGAGATGAGTTTGGATAGAAAGATGGAAATTGATTAGGAAAGAAAAGGGAGAGACTGAAAATTTGAGGATATTATAGTCCTCAAAGTTTTGTGTCTTTAATGTGTCCTAAAAACGAAATGTCAGATCATTAGTCGAGATAGCAATAAGTCGGAATAAATAAGTCCTAAATATGCTCTTCATTAAAGACTAACTGTTTATTTAAGGCTCTTTTTAACTCTAAAGCCAATAACAGTAAGTAAATACTGACAAAATATAACCTAAAACTAATTAAGTCAACATTTGTTTAAATACAATATATTAATTTAATTAAATTTGTTTTTAGAATATTAATTTCCAATCATAGAAAGATCATCCAACATTGATCGAATTTCCTTCTCCCTCTTCTCTCTCTCATTTGAAATTTATTTCAGTTTCATCAGAACATCAATCCAAGTTGAATTTTAAATGTTTTCAAGCAATACCTTTTGACATTGAAGTTTTACTTTTACATACCTGGCATTGTTCTAAATTTCATAGACCACAAGCACAAATTAACAAAACAAATTCATGGCTTCGTTCGTTACTCACTGAGCATTCAACAAAATATTAAAAATAGGAGAGAGTGAATCCGACAGAATTGATTTCAAATAGTGAGACTCTAAGAGAGTGAATCCGAAAGGGAGAGAGAGAGAGAGAGACAGTGAATCTGAGAGAGGAGGAGTTGATTTTATAATTTTGGTTCGTACTTTTGGAACACAATAGTAATTGAATTAATATCGTTACATTTAAAGGAATATATTGTATTTAAAGGAATCAAATGTTTCCTTAATTAATTTTAGGTTCCTGCCAACTGTGTCAGAGTTTTTTTTATTACAATAAACAAGTAAATTAACCAAAAAAAAAAATCCTAACTATTCTTAGGAGTCATGTCCACAGAAATGAAACAGCAATGCCCCGACTTTCATAGGATTGTTTATTCAATGATTAGATGCAAAATTGATAGGATTGCTTTGTCTAAAAAAATTTATACTAAATCTCTTCAACAGAAATTCACAACTTAATTTGTATGTTAAAAGCCTTGAGATTGGCATTAGCAATTACCCAAACTATACTTTATTTGCTTCCCAAGTTCTTACACTCATCACTTGTACATGAATGAATTGTTGTTGATGTGGGACACACTCGAAGCACTTGTTCTCAAGGTACAACAGAAATCAAATCATTCCATTACTTATATTGAAAGTGTTGTAGTGTTACATAAATTGTAAACTAAATTTATTACATCATGTAGCAAATACTATGTAGAACAAAGGATGTGTGTAAATGAGTATGAATCATACATATAGGAATCTCACCCTCTTCCACAGGAGACATCTAGAGGGGTGTTTAGAGCAGTACTAACTAAAACATCCTGTTTTCCTGCTCTTGTTGAATCCATAACTCTGAGAATTTTCGTCCCGGAACATTCATATTTCTGCCTACTTCTGTAGAAATTCATTGTAGACGAAATGCTTGCTGAGACCACAATGTACTTCATTGCAATTCTTGCAGTGTTGTGCCAATTCCATGGGTTGATCAAGCTCCTAATGCAGTTGATAAGAAAACTAGATATTCTACTCTTCGTTACTACGCGATCGTTCTTTTTCTCCATTGTCATCTCCAAATTCCAGTTATAAGCACTTCTTCCATTACCAAAACACGCATTCAACTCTTCAACAACATCAACTTCTCGTCCCCGGTATTGATTTACCTTCTCCATTAGGATCACTCTTCTTTCCTCCAAATACACTAGTGCTTGGTACTCATCATTTTCATGCCTCAACTTCAATCTCTGCAAAACATATTGTACTTTTCATTTTTAACCAAAATTCGCTTAATTTATGTATTTGTTATGAAATACAACACCCAAGATAATACAATGATTGTTTTTTTGTTTGTGAACTTGGTATTTTTCATCCATTATTTCAAATCCACTTAAAGAAATTTAGGATGTTCTGTCGCCTCAGAACTGAGAATGAAAATACTTCTATAAAATATATAGCTCCTGCATGCATGTGAATATAGTTATAAACTAGTAACAGATGAAATATAGTTATAATCTAATCAGATGAAACATAGATGCTAGTACAAAAGTTTACATAGTTGCATAAATTTTGAGAAACAACTGAAAATTTACAAGTAAATGGAAAGAAAAGGAAGAAAAAATGTGGAGGGATTGACAGAACCTGTAAAACCAAAAGCATGTCTTCAACATCTTTTAATGAATCTCTAATGGTAATCAATCTCTCCCTCTCCTCCGATGGGGTCTCTGTGATTCCGCAATAGCGACCGTGTTCCGAACACAATCTGCAGAAACTGATGCTGTCATCTTGTATTTTGTCACTCATCTTATCATGCAAAGTCCTAGCTCTCTCTATGAGACTATGCAGGTTTTTGTTCAACTCCATCAGAGCAAAACAACGACACCATCAATCAAAGAAGCCACCTGTGTTGATAATAGCTTTTGTGTATTCGTTTTTCTCACTCATTCTATATAGAGAACATTTACTTTTCTTTTTCAAGATTTTCCTAGCTTTTCTTTCTCCTTCTTTGTTGTGGTGCAAATCTTGAGATACTTGAAATGGAAGCTAGGCCTCCTCTTCTTTTATGGTTTTTTAATTGGTGTTTATACAAAATAATGATAGTTTCTTTATCTTTTAATGTGGATTTGCTTTAAAGAGAAGTTTTTGTTGCAATTGATAGGCTTAGCTGTTCATGACCCCACAATCTCACTTTCATCATATGTACTTATGTATATCTTTTTTCTCTATAGATATAATGAATCTGATGGACTAATGGGATTAATCCAATTTATTAGTAATTAGAATGAGGTGCAATGTACCATTCCATCAAGGTCCACCTTCAAGGTAGTGCAAGCAGGGCGGAGCCAATTAAGGCATGGGGCACGTGCCCCTCCGGACTTGGTCTGTCTAATAGAATATATATAGTTAATTTATAATTTTTTTTAGTATATATGAAAAATTATATAACGTAATTTTTTTATTTCTAAAATTATTTTAACTTTTTCTTTCTTTAAATTCCTTAAATTTCTTTTGAAAAAAAAAAAAAATCAAAAATTTCCTTTTTGAATCATACTCTAATTTTTTTTCTTTCAAATATATCTCAATTTTTTTTTTCCTTTTTTCTTCTTAAAATTCTTCTTTTTGCGTATTATATCAATGTTAGTTGAATTTTTTTATTTTTTTTAAATTAGCCCCCACATGAGTTAAAATCCTGAGTCCGCCCAAGTGCAAGTGAATAATCTAATATTTCATGTGATATATACAATTCATATATAACATTCAACAATTTTGATGGATAGTCATAAAATTATTGTTCTTCTAAAGTAGACTAGTAATGATATTTGCACCTTACTAAATCTGATTGATCAATACATGTCAAATATAAAAAACACGAAACCATTTACTTCCTTATCTCATGCGCTAATAATATCATTACTTCTTAACTCTTCGGCGCAAATATCATTAGTCTAAAATATGACATATCTTGTTTATGACTTTCAAGGCATCACTTTTACGTACCTTGTATGGAATTGGAAGGGGTCGCTCAGGCCCACTCTGTTTGGGCTTTTATAGAGTTATTAGTCATCTTAACAAATAGAGGGGCCCAAACTATGAAAAGAATTGTGTTGCTGATAACATTATTGGGCCGTGCTATGATCTGTTAAGAGAGAAAATATTCAACAAATGTTAGAACTTGTAAGAAAGACAACCATACCCCTTTATTTTGAATCTTAAATTCATAGTACATAAATGGGATGGAATCTTAAATTCATATTAAAGAAATGGGATGGAATCAATGGATCAGATATGCAAGGAAACTGAAATACAACACCATTTATTATTGGGATCATGCTTGTGATAGAGACATACCAACATCACCTTATTATTCATTTATGTGATTTCTTTTTATGACCACTTGAATAGACCAGCATTCTTCTATGCTCCCTTGTGGGGATCTACAAATGACTCCAAGAGAGAGAATCCAGGCAGTAGGCCCAGTAAGCTATTGGGACAGGATTAGGCTTAGGTTTTTAGGCTCAGTGCTGACCTGCTTACCTTTTTAATCTTAATCTTAGCTCACTAATATGATATGTTACTCATTTCGGAATATATACATAAACGTATACAGAAAATGGGCCGGGATGGACCGGGCCCATTTTAAATCACACTCCCTAGGCTGTTGAGAATAAGAAGATAATTTTCCAATTTCTAAAAGGTGACTGTGGTGTTTATAATTTTTTCAGACCAAGAAGTTGAAACGTCAGACTGCCCTGTTTAAGAACGCTCGACTTGGGAAACTCTTGATTGACACGCATTAATAACTACAATAAGAAGAGCAGTGGTGGAAATTTTAACAACACAATTAACAGCAACATGAGTTGAGAAAACATTAATTTTCAGACCCCACACTATAATATATATATATATATATATATATATATAGATCACCCAAAAATGTCACCGACATTCTCTTTATTTCACTGTCTTCTTTACTGGCAAGTGAAATAGGGACCCTTCTATGTGTACACAAACACGCAGCTCAACTCAAACCACACAAATTCCAATTCTTTCGCACACAAGCCAATCCTCTTCCACGGGTCCTACATTCTCTCATACAAACACACTTTTGTGTGTGTATGAGAAAATAAAGTTTCACCATCATTTAAATATACTACACATGAAACACGCATGATGCAGATCCACATGTATTCAGCGGCAACAATTTAGTTCAAAAAACAGAAGATTTGTTTTCTTTGTTTTAGTTCTTTCGCTTTAAGTTCTCATCTTTATTTCTCTTTGAAATACTTTAAAAACGGTCAGTTCTTTTTCCAAGCACGCATGTCTCACGCTATTATTTCAAGACTAAGAATCTTGTTTACAAGTAAAGAAAGAATTAATAATAATGATTGTGCATTAACACGGACTTCTGTGAATCTTGCTGACAATTTGATAATAGGTTATTTGCACATATAATAAAACTAAATTTTATTTTTTAAAAAATAAAATTTTTTTAAAAAATAATAATGACCATCCATCTTCTTTTCTCTTATCTCATTTCTTTCTTTTAATTTTTCCTCCATTTCTTTTCTCTCTCTCTCTCTCTCTATATATATATATATATTTTCTACCGTGCATTAAGTACGAAACAACCCCCCTTGGAGCTCTACTAAATTGGAAAAGTGAAAGAGGTCAAAGGCCTTGGTTGTTGGCAGTGATAAAAATGACCCTAAAACAAGAGATGCTGGAGCCGAGCCACAGTAGCCGTTGTAGTTGTAGCCAGCTGGGAGTGTTGTTGTTGGTATCTATATCTATCTGAGACGTGGCTGGTAGAAGCTGACCAAATTCAGGTTGGGGGACCCACTGCCACGTCTGCTTCCACATCACGCGGCGGATGAACACCGTCCATTTTTCCCCGCAGCCCCCACTGTACCCGTGATTTAAAGTAGATTTATCATAATCATATCGACTTGAGATCCTCCTCTTTCAATTTTCACGGATTTTAGTGAATTCATATCCGACCATATTTTGTCTTTTCTACTTCAATCACTACACTTGGTGTACTATATATATATATATATATATATATTTATTTTATAACTAAGTCAATCATTTAATGTTACTTACAATAAAATTAAATTAAAGATGCAATAACGATATCAATGATCACAATTTTTTATTTAATGGTGTTGCATCTAAATATATTTTTTGAATGTTATTTATTATTGTTATTTATGTAGGTAATAGTGTTGCTTTCTCCCTTTAAAATTTCAGAACTTTAAGGTATTAGGAGGGTGTTGATTCCCAAATCTTTCAAGATTCTTTCAACAAACATTTCTTCCTCCCAATTAATTTGCTTTGGATTTGCTTTTAAAAGCTGTCAAAGTATACATAATTCAACTAAAAAATGGACAATCTAGACTGCAAGCAATGCTATTTGTGCTGGGCTGCATTTTGTGTAATGGTTTTGAATCAATCTAGATAAGAAATAGAAAATAAAATAAAATAAAAATCACTAATCTATACGCAAACAATTCAAAGTTCAAAAATTCACTAATCTATACATAAAATTAAAAATTTGAACTGCATTTTTTTCGATTTTAATTCCAAGTCTTTGATTCGACCTCCAAACTTTAACAGATTAAATATAATAAAATATTTAGCAATTCTTGGTGAGTACTGATTCACTTTACATAAATATCAAAAGTTAAATGTCTTGACAAGAAAAAACCAGTTAGAGATGATCTTCAAAGAAATCGGCCACGTCTCTCAAATCTTCATCAAAATTCAACGAAAAATCGTAGAAATCTGCTTCTACAATGGTGTCTGGTACTTCGTCAAAGTAAATCGGAGACGGAGGCCGGAAATCGAACTGTTCATTCAAGAAATCCAACGGCCAACAATCCTCCGACGTTTCATGCGCCACCGGTTCCACCGGTCTCCGGTCATCACCCTGTCGTGACTGCTTTTGTAAATCTGTTTGTTGAGTGTTGTGAAACCGGAGAACAGAAATCGGAGATGAGAGGTCCCGATATTCCTTACCGGAATCGTAGTCGGATACCGAAATCGGAGTGATTTCCGATCTCGGCGGAGGCTTGATAAAGTTCGTGAGAGCGTCCGGTCCTCGTATCCGAATCGCCGCCTTGTCGTAGACCAAGGCCGCCTCTTCTGCGGTGTCGTAGGTCCCTAACCAAACCCTTGCTCGCAGTGTCGGATCTCGAATCTCCGCCGCAAATTTACCCCACGGCCGCCTCCGAACGCCGCGAAACTTCCTCTCGCCGTTCATCGATGGCTTTTTCGCCAAAATATTTACCTTCTTCTGACGGTAAGGTCTCTTCTTGACACTTTCGCTGCGATTTTCAGTCTTCACTCTGTTACGAGAAGCATCAATTCGTATCTCACTAACATGTTTCTTGAACTTCTTCACTCTGTGAGATCTGACAGTGTCATCGTCTTCATCGGTCGATGAGTCTGTTGCGTCACCGTCGGTGACGAAAATCCGAACAACTCGTGGCGTTTTCATACTCATCTCTGACAAGAATCTCGTCAGCTTAGTAGAGGTATCATTTCAGTGTACTCTATCCATTTTCGACAGTTTTAATGGTTAAATAAACAAATCTGTGAGATTGATTACCGATGATGATAAATCAATGGCACTGATTGTTGAAAAATGAAATCAAACCGAGGAAAAAGAGAGTAGAGAGAGAAGCAAGATGAGAGAGAATAGAGTGATAATAGGGGCTGAAGGAGAGAATTTTGAGTGGCAAAAGAGAGCGAAATGCTAAGAATGAGGAAGGTAGACACCACCAAGTCAATAATGTATTTAGTGTACTTCTTCCTTTCTTGAATTTTTTATTATTATTATTTTATATATATTTATATATATATATATATGAAAATATCAAAGATTCGGGTGGGGGATATCAAACGAGTAGCCGCATTACATTGGTGGACACTTCAGTATGATACGTGGAATATGGTGAAGCCCGTCTTTGTAATGGGGAAGAGAATTAAGTGTTTTAGGAAAAATTATATATATATATATACACTTGAATTTTTTAATTTACTTTAAAAAAAAATTTGCACTTTAATATTTAGTTATATGTGCCATTAAATCAATGGATAAAGTACAGTCACACTCCCCCAGGTTTAGCAAAAGGACACTCAAAAAATTTATCTGTTTTTTTTTTAACAAAAACACCTCTTGAATATTCAAAAATGGACAAAGACACCCCTTTACATAAAAAATTGTCTAAATTACCCTTTGACCGTTTAGAAGATTTTTTTAACTTTACAATTTAATAAATTGGACCAACCTACCCTCATGAATAATTTATGCATAAAAAAAAAAAATTTTATAGTTCACTTCTTTTTTCTTTTTCCGTTTTTGTTATTTTACTTTATAAATGTCCCAACTTCTTAAAAATATAGACGTCTAAAATGATTTTTTGATTCAATACATATATTTCAAATAAATTATATTTTGTTATTACTTTGTTTCTTTTACTTTTTTTATTTTTAAATTAAGATGCTTAATTCTTTCATCTAAAAAAATTAAACCAATATTTTTTCCTTAAAAATAAAAAATATGATACCAGTATAATTTTATGCATCTTAAATTATATATTAAATATTATGCATTTCCCAACATAAAAGAAAATAGATATCAGTATAACTTTATGCATCTTAACTTCATGCATGCCTTTATTTTATTTTTATTTTTTCTTCCTTTGTTTTATTATTTTTTTTCCCCTTTGTTTTACTATTTTTTTTCCCTTTGGTTTGCTATTTTTTTTCCCTTTTATATTGGGAAATGCATAATATTTTATATATAATTTAAGATGCATAAAGTTATACTGGTACCATATTTTTTTATTTTTAAGGAAAAGAGATTGGTTTAATTTTTTTGGATGAAAGAATTAAGTATCTTAATTTAAAAATAAAAAAGAAAAAGAAAAGAAGTAATAACAAAATATAATTTTATGTATTGAATCAAAAAATCATTTTAGACGTCTATATTTTTAAAAAGTTGGGACATTTTTAAAGTAAATAACAAAAAAAAAAAAAAAAAAAAAAAAAAAAAAAAAAAAAAGTGAACAATATAAAGTTTTTCTTTTTTTATGCATAAATTGTTCATGAGGGTAGATTGGTCCAATTTATTAAATTGCAAAGTTAAAAAAGTCTCCTAAACGGTCAAAGGGTAATTTGGTCAATTTCTCATGTAAAGGGGTGTCTTTGTCCATTTTTGAACCTTTAGAGGGTGTTTTTATCTTAAAAAAAAACACGTAAGTTTCCTTTAAGTGTCCTTTTACTAAATCTTAGGGGGTGTGATTGTACTGTACCCTTAATCCCAATTATATCAATAGCATATCATCACTACAACCGCATCATTACAACGGGCTCACTCCCATTTTACATTGGCATGAAATTAAAGTCTACAGTTTCATAATTTTTTGTAAATAAAATTTCAAAATCATGGAAAAAGGGTCTGTAATATTTTGGTACCAAAAGTGTTATTTGTGGTCCCGAAATCACACTAATTTTGCAAAGAGTGTTTTTTCATGACTTTGATTGTGAGAAGGGCAGTTTGGATATGAAAATATTGCAAACAGTGTTTTCCATAACTTTAAAATTATATTCTTTATATATGACTATTTTACAAGTTATTTTCTTTAAAAATAAAAATCAAATGTTCCAATAAAGAAAAAATATTAAGGACATGGACCACAGCTATTAATTGATGGTTGTAGATAATTCAGTACTTTGTTTTGTACCGTCGAAAGCTTGGTCTCCAATCAAAAGCAATTATTCCAAAAGACATCCTAGGAAACCGAAATACCTCATTTGTTTGCTTTCACTATTTTTAGCTTCTCTTCACATGACCTCTATTTTCCTTTTTATTTAATTATTTATTTATAAGTTGTCTATTTTTCAAATTTATAGTAAAATGCTAAATATGGTAGCCGCATAGAAGATAATCTAAAGTTTAATAGCTAGATTACATTTATTTTAGATTTGAAAGTGAAAAAAAATTAATTTAAATTTAATGTGTCAATTCAATGCACTCAAATATAACATTATATTATTTCGCAAGACAAGTTGGGGATGACAAGCACCATCCATAAGTTTAAGTCTTGGTAACCATTTTCTATTAAGTATGACAAAAGTTATATACGTCTTTAAACACCACCACATTGAACCATTGAGACCTTTATTAACTATAATAGAAGTCATGCAAAACTACGTTGTATGTGAAATAAAAGAATTAGTATTTCAGCATATAGTTCAAACACAACATTGGTTGACATGAACCACTGAGTTCACACTGTTCCATGAAATTATGTAATTGACTATTGGACCCAGACTTTAATTGCTATGGAAACTAAAACATTAATAATATTGCAATATTAATTCGTCTCTAAGTCATATATTATTAGCCTAAGATCTCGCTGCTCTAGAATTAAAATTTCAAGGCACAATTATGCGTCCTCTAATTATGACTCAAATTGACTTAAAAGGCTCAGACCAATCCCTTATTATCAATAGCAATCATAAAAACATCAAATTCAAAATTCGACTTAAATTTCTCTCTAAAAATAATTTTTGTACCCCAAAATACAGTTAAAATGTGTGGTAGATTTCTGAACTAGAAGCGTTTCTAGACTGCCGAACTACAATGCATAAAAAAGTTAAATATATATAAAATAAACAAATAAAAAGTGGAGCTATTACTGCCAGGTTGGTGTGGTCACAGTGAGAGCACGCCTAAAAGATGGTAAATTGGGTGTGGTCACAGTGAGAGCACGCCTGAAGCAAAATCGATTGCAAAAGCAATTTTTTTTTTTTTCTTTTCCCATATTGAGAATTTGAGAGCAATGAACTGAGAACAGACAACTGGTAATAATAGGCTTATTTGAAGTCTCTCAAAATGAAAAGGTCAAAACGCCTTTTTTTATATTTAAACAAAATTAACCATTTCCACAAAGCAAACAATTTTACATTTAAAACATGAATAGATTTAACATTTTTCCAAGGTCTCAAACACAAAGGTAGAATCACCTTTGTCTTTCAAGAGAGCAATGTTTAGTTCTGTTTTATATTGGTCCATCAAAGGTAGTATAGAGGACGAATCACACTTCATTTTTACATGACTAAACACCCAATTCTTAGAAATCCTCACCATGAACACCACCACTAGCCCATGGCATACTTCTGGGTCCAGCTCCTTGCAGTTGTTTCATACTTGGATCTGTCTGTTTTGTACATGTGAGCAATCTCAGGCACCAGGGGGTCATCCGGGTTCGGGTCTGTCAAAAGCGAACAGATCGAGAGCAACACCTGAAAAATGAAACAATAGAAAACAACAATTGCAAAATTAGGTCCCAAGTGTGAAGGCAATTTCACCCGCTTTTATAGATGAAAACCACCAAAAACTTTTGTCCATCTGACCAACTAATAACAAGCAACAGAGAGCTAGGCCAAGGCATATTTTCCTTTGGGATTCAAAGTTAATCACACTTATCCATGGGAATCAAGTGATAGAAACTGAATGACCAAGGAAGAAAGCCTTCACATGCTCAATAATTTATCTCATCACCTGGATTTTTGGTATGTCTATATACTTGCGAGAAGGCAGCGAATGAACAAGACAATCAAAACAGCTCCTGCCCAGCTCCTTAAAAAACTTGTTTAAGCTCATTTACCAAATATACATTAACCAAGCTTGAACCTATGTTCCAAGCTCATTTTATGATAAATAAATAAAATTCGGTAGAATTAACTGTAAACTACTCAGATATAAAGTTATTAAATTATGAGAAAAGGATAATTTTCATGAGGATATTATAAAATTATTATTCCTTAAATGTGATAGTCTCTAATAGAAAATTGATGTTAAATAGTTTATATAACAAGCTTGACAGCCCTGTTATACAAAGTATTATCAAGTTATTTAAAGCTAGCATTTCTTAAATTACAGATGCAGCAAATTTGAACACTCTTTAAGCTCTGATCCAAGTTTGGGCTTCATTTGCAGCCCTATAAGTTGTGAGGCTACGGGTATAAACGAACATGTTGTAGAGTGCTCAAAAACATAATTGCCATATGGGGAAGAAATGCAACTAGTTTCAAGTGCAGCAATATCAAGATGAGATAGTTGGGCCCACAATATAATCGCCCACACCAAGGAAGCCCAGAGTGTTATTAAAGGCCCAACGCGCACTAAGGCGCCAGGTCCTTAGGAGCCTAGGTGCAAGGTGAGGCGCACGAGAAAACTTAAATTACTATTAAAACATATTCATATTCTATATTAAAGGCGCAAATGTTGTCAAAGGCGCACCTGGGCACACAACAGGCACAAGTATTGCGCCTGTTAGCAACACCGAGCACACTAAACTGAAATTAACCTGATTAGATAATCAGTTACTATCGAGAGATCTACCATCAAACAAGCTCCTACACATCAGTTGATTTTTAATCTACGTGATAACATTAGGCCAGTATAGTGGCAGGCATCCCAAACCGTCTTAAAAAAACTTCCTCAAGGCAAAAATAACTAAAACAAATCAATCTATAATTTCCTTGGACATTCGTTATATTCAGATCCAAACACTACCAAAACAGATTGTTGGGGGGAGAAGACTAGAGACAAAATTAACCTTTGGAATTATTTTACACATGTGCTCGAACTTACATCCTCATGCTTAAGAGTTTTACCACTAAACCAAGCAATGGCCTGTCATTGTATATTATAGATTCAAAAGTATCTGTAAGGCTAGAAAATAACCTTGGAAATAGTCAGGGCTGGGCTCCACTGCTCCTTTAAGATGTCAAGGCAAATACTGCCATTGCTGTTTATATTTGGATGAAAAACCTTTGTCCTGAATGCAACCTGCAATATCCAACCACAGTCTTATTAGACTGGGAGTCTGATTTTGAATCATGCAGCCATAGCAAGTCTTCAAATAAAGGCAAATAAATGAAACATTGGACACATAAGCTATCACATATTAGATTCTGCCTAGTGATTGTATACAGTAGAAGCCTAGAAGGAAGAGAGGAAAACATAACACACAACACAGATTTGATTAGACACTTCTTTTTTCTTTTTTATGAAAAATCTTTATTTTGGAAACTTCTTTCAAGTACAGGAAACTAATCCATTTCCTGTCTACAAGATCTACAGGCGATGATCTGACCTTTTTTTTTTTTTCCCCCTTAAATAGAAATTCTGGTCATTTCAAGTTCCAAATGAATATTAGTCAAAAGGATAGGTTGCCCCTGATATCTGCACTCAAGTACAAAAAAAATCTCTCACACCACCTCAGCCCCCTCAATCCCGGAGACTTTTGTGGGTTTATTTATCTTTTAGATTAATTATACCTACCCAATTGAGCTTACACATGTTTGAGTCATAGGCTCATAGCACACACAATCTGCTATAGATCACTAAACCTTAGAAACTTTCAAACATAATCAGCCTAAAAAGGGTATTACGCAGTTCAGATCCCGGAGGACTCGAGACAAACCTAAGCCTTGGTATTTCACAGAGTCCTTCGGAAAACTACATAAATGTGCACATAGGGCCCATAAGTAAAACTTGAACTTCTTTTGTAGGTTATATGAAAACTTAAACTTCATTGCACAAAAATATGAAGTTATGCAAAATATTTACATTTATGTGAAAATTCACTGTTCATATAAGGATAAGGACCAAACTGACCTTACTGAAGTAAAGCAACACTTCATGTAAAAATCAGTTCATGAATGCACCGCTTTTAGAACACGTCATAAAGGGCTATGGTCATTTATATTAGATGAACATGATTCTTCACATAACTTTAAATATTTTACCCAACATCACATTTCTTTGCATTGAACTTTAAGCATTTAAATAATTGTATTTTTTTAGGGGCCTAAATGCACATTTGGGTAGTTTCCCTTCTCTTGGACAGATGTTTTCATTCTCTGAAGATAATATATATTTTTTTTAATAAGTAATAATAAATTAAAAAAGGCGTTCAATAGGAGAACGCGTCCCAAAGAATCCAAAAAAGAAATTAAATCATCAGAAGAGGAACAAGAACTTCTGTTCACATAACTAAAGAGAGAACGAATAATAAAAAGGTTCAATGTCGCTGTAGACGACTCCTTCCCTTCAAACATTTTATTATTTCTCTCCTTCCAGATGCACCACCAGATACAATGTGAAACAGATCTCCAATAATCACGAACACTCCTACTCACACGACAACCTCTTCAAGGATGAATCAACTCCTTAGTAGAACTTGGCATTACCCAGCATGCCAAATAGGCCAAGAATAAGATTCCAGCAATCGTGCGCTACAGAGCAATGCATTAAGAGCGATTGACTCCCCATCCTGCTTACATATGCAAGACCGATTAACAAGAATATTACCCTTTTTCCTCAAATTATTGATCGTCAGAATCTTACCCCAAACGGCGGTCCATACAAATACTGCCACCCTAGTAGGAGCCATAGAGCGCCATATAGTCTTCCATGGGAAATTATAGGAAGTAAAATTAGACAAACATAAGAACAAAGACCTTACTTCAAAACGACCTTGAGAAGAGGGAATCCAAATCAAATTGTCATAACCCCTGCCAATTCCTTCCTGTCATAACCTCTGAAGATAATATGACTAAACAATATTCTAAAGACGAGCTGACCCTTTCACATCAAAATGCCCAAGAAATAACTTCTTCACTAGAACCGTACCTGTTACTTTCAGTTCTAAGTAAACTGCTTCTTTTAGTGTTTTTACTAGTAGGGGCACAGCCACACAGCTTAAGACTATCAAAACAATACTTATTTTTGGGGTTTGGGGATGAGGTTTAGAAATTTCAGAATGATAAAGATGGAATGATAATACATCAGCATGTGGGGCACCAAAGAAGAGAACGTAAACAAACTATAATCCCTTGACGCTGTTCAGAAAATTGTGATCCTTAACATAAAATTAAGGATATGGAACATAGAACAGTCGAATATCAACATCCGAGAAGAAACTCTCCAATGTGCAGCACATTATACAACCATCAAGAGCCTGAGCACAGATCCTATTATTCTATTCCAGTCAAAGAAGAACAAATTCTCAGATTGCAGAATGAGAATCTACAATACAAGGACAATAACGGTATCCATAGCTTCCCTAATATTGATTCCCACTCTTAGAACCTACGACTTTAGGTAAATATCATTCGACATCCTTTTTTATATATTATATACCTGAATCATCCACTTTTTAACCATATTTTCAGTCTAATTTGCAGCTTTTACTCGGAGGAGATGGATGAGAATAATACGTTAGGACTCAAGAGTATTGCTACCTCACATGCCGCATATATTACGTCTGGATACTATTTTGTCACCAACTCAGGGAAAAATTGGTCCCTGACTCCACCAAAAAGGGTATCCTCTATTCTATAAAAACAAAATTCAACCATCATCACACTCAAAACAACAGAAACATTCTGTAAATGAAGAGGAGAGAGACAGACAGACAGACAGAGAGAAAGGGATCAAATCAGAACTGCAACACATTTACTCAGCAAGGACCTTCCACATGAGTCGGATACTATCTTGGCAAAAGAACTTGAGGATTCAAAACAAGGTCTTTAGACCTTCTTTTGAATACTTCAGGATGCTTCCATTGACACCCATCAATATTATTAGGATTCTCTCCATCCTCTTTAAAAAATATTCCAAATCCTATAACAAATGAGAGAGCATAATTAATGAAAATTTTCTTTTTTCACACTCCTCCAAATTGGGCTACAATTCATAGGATCACCAACATTGAAATTATACTTGAATGGCTACAACATTTGAGCCCAGTGAAGTCAATTGACGAGTACACTATAGAGCATTAAGTCATTTAAGCATAAAAGTTAATAATCAAACACTAAAATATTCCATCAAACTTATAATTTGAACAAAGATAATACCACTATAGAGCATTACAAGCCTACTAATCAACCTAAGTAATTTAGCACAAGGACATCATCAGTTAATTAAAGGGATTGATATCTTGGTTGTGTGTGGACAGGGCAATTAAAGGGAACCCTATCATACATTTTGAAAGAATAAAACACAGTTAAATGGCTGACGAGTGTACTCTGACAAAAACCATGCACAACAAAATGAAAAAAAAAAAGCATCCAAGAGAATTCCCTAGAATGATAAAGGATGAGATCTACGAGGCAATACCAGTAACTTCTTAAAACATATCATCTCCACGGCATACCTTTGGAGGTTTAAATGGATAATCGGGAGGAAAATGAATAGTGACTAGAAAAACTCCCCCTGCATAAGGACTATCTGGGGGACCCATTATTGTTGCTTGCCAGTGAAACATGTCTTCACCGACAGGGCCTGTTGAAATACAAAATGCAACAAAGGATCATATCTCTAAACTGTTTAAAAATGATAAGGAATATTCTGCAACACAGAATCACATAATAAATGGATCAGAATATCATAAGAAATCAAGTCATAATCTTGACAAATTGAAGGAGATATATATGTGTTTGCCATTTAATAAACAAACTCTTACTGCCTAACATGCAGGGGGCAGCTCAAATTTCTTGCTTGGCTAATACCTTGCTGTTACAATGGATCAGCAGTAAGAGGAACTTAGCAGTACACAAAGTTCTGTTAGTTCTCTATATGTTTAAGAAACCAAAAAAAAGAACAATCGAAGATTTCTCCTACATCCAGACCTATGCAATAAAATTAGGCATGACGTGAACAAAGCAGAAAGATTCTTCCATGGGCTAAAAAATGTACAAACAATCTAAAAGAGGTCACGAACCAGTGCTAGCCCTGCCTACACTGGGTGCTAAGAGCGAAGGATTAGAGCCATAACCTTTGGCATTATCTTTCACAAAGTGATAGCTTTCATGCTCAACCCGAAAGATCATGTTGGAAATCCAAGCTTTTAACCATTGCACCAAGCAATGGCTCCTTCAATTTAATACAATACCCAATAGAGACTGTTCAACCCAAATTAAGAAAAGGCTTTTTCCATGGCATATGGGTGTCTTTCTTTTGTAGCCCTTTTCCCACATCAGTGCAATATATTTCTTCCTTCAATCAAATGCTAGGAACTGAAAGGAAGGTAGATATTTTTCCAACAAGCAACGGTTACAGCATATGATCAAAACTAAAACAACTTATTACAAAATGAAGTACACTAAAAAAAATTATTCATTGATTTATTTTGGTCCTAAATGGCTCCATAGTCGAATAGCCTTGTAAATTCAACATGTTAAAGAAATACCTCAACTTAGTTTCTATTTGATGAGGCAGCCTCAATCATGTTTCAGACCAGGTTACCTATATTAAACCAGAAGAACTACTACAAAGAAAAATAACCTATATCACCAAATCTGTTATTCGACTACAACAAAAATGTTAGGGCAAAGCAGAATATTTAAGATAAAGAAATAAATAAAACTGTAATTGGTCATCAAAACATCTCCTTTTTGCAAGAGAATAATCCCAATTCTAACAGATAACATTATATACGAACGGACATCCTAAAAAATCATAAGCCTCAAATCCTACAATAACTCTTGCAAAGTACCAATTGAAGGACAACATATCTATAATCCATCGTGTGCATGTATGCATATATATTAACCTCGAAAATTTCATAACATGATGAAAAACGTTGAGGAAAAAGAAGGCGAAATCACAAAATACACAATAAAAATCCAAAATAGATATACACACACATGTAAATGCAGAATGTTTATGTATCTACACATGCATCACTAGATCGAGTTTCAGAACCATGAAAAAAATAAAAATAAATAAATAAATTTAAAATAAAATAAAAAAAACGAAATGAAACACAAATCTATGGAGCTAGAGATATGAGTGTATTATATGTATATATATTACCGGCGCTGCAAGAGGTGGGAGGATCTTTCTGAAGATCCTTGAGCTCCTTCAAGATCCGCTTCGAAGCCATGGAACAAGACGAAGCGTTCAAATGGAAGAGATCGGAGGGAGGAAAAGCAGCTTCGGATGATCTATCTGATGAATCTGCTACAAACAAAGTCTCATATATAGATATAGATAGATATGATTGATTCACAACAACAATAACAAATACTGCAATTATTGGAAAATCAACAATCTAACAAAAAGGGAATAAAATGACTCACCTGATTGCGAAATGGAACTGGGAGAGAAAAAGCTTGGTTTTTTATTATGTGTGGTTCGAATAATTTGGGTGGGTCTTGGGTCGTCGTACACACTCGTTTTCTGATTGGTGGGTTCTCCTGTGGCCCCCGCCTCACCATTTTAAAACTCAGCTTCTTTTGTTTTACTAATTGGTAGCATTTACTTAAATATGGTATTTAGATAAAATTAAAAAGAGAATTCATGGTTTATAATCGGTTAAACTAAATTTTGTAAAATATATATATATATATATTGAAAAATATATATATATATATATTTATGTGGCTGATTAAAACAGAAGGTTATGAGGGCCCAAACCATCTGGAACAATAAAATGATGATGATGATGAAGTGGGCTCGTTGGCTCCACCGTGCCCTTATTCTTAAAACTCCATAATAATATATATACAAGCGGACTTATTTCAGTCCATCGTGTCCTTGATGTAAGTCCAGACAAATTAGTTTGATTTGTATAGAGCACTGTGAGATGGTCCCAACGAACAACGAGAAGATATTTCTATAGGTTGTTTGATTCAATGATTGATGGATAATTTCTTTTCATTTTCAGTGGTTCGTGGTAACTTTGAATTTTGAAAATAAAGAACAATTTCAAATAATTACAAAAGATTTTTATATTTTGTCGGATTGATGATAACAATTTTTTTTTTTTTTTTCTTTTTAGCATTAGATAAATTGTAATGTTAATGGAGGTACAACTCTAAGTCGGTTGGGCTCAAACTGTCCAGCGTAAATGTATAATACTCAATCTAAATCCAAGCTCTTTACGTTTCAACCTTTAGTTTGATAATTTGATTTAGTTAGTCAGACAGATTACACTAATAAATGGAGTTAAACTCGAATTAAGCTTGTATTAGTCTAGTTTATTTGTATATTAAAAAATTCCGGAAAGAATTCATGAGGTTTTCATCTAGTGCACTAATATGAAAGATACAACGTTCACTCTTCAAACAGTGTTCGAGTCGCCATAATTTGCCACAAAAAATTAAAAAAAAATAAAATTTTCAACCTATTAAAATATATATATATATATATATATATATAAAGATTTTGGAGAGGGTTGAAGCAGTCCCTAGTGGTGGCCTTTCATTTGTTATCGCCAATTATTTTGCTTCACCAACTAAAAAATGGCCCAGCCTTTCATCTGTTTCTTCTTGAATCGCTGCCAATACTGTCTTCTTTGTTTTTTTTAACCGAGACAATAACAAGTTGTCACTGTTCAAAACATTTGTCAATAATAATAATGGTACTGAAAATATATATGTCTATGTCTTTTTCGGGAGAAAAAAAACAAAACACCTGATTTTCCCAGTAACACGTGTTATAAAAAGGATAAATTGACTTCATGAATTAAAAGTAAAAGGATTCGGTGAATCTGTACCCAAATCACAAATTCTAGTCATCATCACGTTTTCAATTTGTTAGTGATTAGTAAACCAAACATTAGACAAAAATTTACTCTATATATTTTTGTGCCGTCCATGTATATCTAAGTATATCAAGGTTGGTGTAATGTATATCTCTTTCTTATGTATACAGAAGGGAAATAAATAATTTCACTCTCTGTGTTATATTTTTTCTGCTTCGTTTTTTACATAAATAGATAATTTATTATAAATAAACCACTATTCTAATAGTAACTAGTATTTTATAATCTTTTACACAAACTTGTAGAAACTTCCATCAAATTACAGAATTAGAGAGAGAAAACAAGTAATAGGAAAATTTGCATTATAAACTGGAAAATAAAGCCACTTTCTTTTTCCCTTTGGTATCTATATATTTCCCAAACAGTTCAGGAAAAGAAAGAACACTGATTTCCTTTCCTTGCAGACAAGTTTAGCCACCAACAAGGAAAATGCATGCATGTGGAAATGGATGTTTGTTTATAACAGAAGTTAAATTCTCAAATTACAATTTTCTGTTAAAATTTCTGTCTTCCAATAAAATAAAATAAAATAACCCTCAACCTAGAAAGAAATGAAAAAGCTGGAGCAGCCATTTTTGAAAAACACAGGCTTTTTTTCCTAGTCTATCACAGGATATACCACAACCCTAGACAAAGCTTGATTATATTTTGTTCATTTCAACCTACTAATACGCCTAAATTTAACTTCAACACTCAACCTAGCTACTGTAATATCAAGAGCCCATAACTTCAAAATTTAACTTCAAGACTCAACCTAGCTACTGTAATATCAAGAGCCCATAACTGGTGTTGTCATCATCCCTCAATGACATGCGAGGGGATCAAGGTCTTCACTACAAAAAGTTGAACGCACAACTGAAAGTTCCAACCGTCCTGTCCATTCCTCACCCGGCTTCAAAGTGATAGGTTTCTCCATCGCTGCGCCATCAACAGAAAGCATCTGTTTGTACTCTTCATCGCCAAAGTCCATCATCGATTTCGATTTCTTCTCCCAAGGATTCCACACCGCTGTGGAAAGGAAAGGATATGAAATGAATAAATAGTAGAATGTTAGTTTTTTTATTTCTTTTAGCATAATTTATCATAAAATTTCTGACAACATACAACCAATTCTATATTATACTTTATTTGTTATCACATAAACTAGTAACTCCCCTACTAGCTCTGTCCTCAAAGGAAGCAGCATAGCCACACTGTCGAAGTTCTCGTAATAATATGACTAGATCTGTCCCAGTTTACCATCCGTGTCCACCTAGTTGAATTTTAAATTAAGTCTATAATTACAAAGCTTACTGATCTTCTTTCTCAAATATCTGTCCGGATTTTTTAATTTAAGTGTCCATAATTATGAAGCTTACTTATCTTGTTTCTTAGATGCATGGAATGCATACATATCATTTCAGAAGTTTTCGTTTTGTTGGTTGGTTTGTTTATTTAGAATCAAATGCATCTTACCTACATCTGGTAGCCCTTCCTTCCTTATCACATATGTTCGTTTCCTTCCATGATCAAGGACGGCAATCACATTTGGAGAACTAAGATAAATACGATCTACCTGCAAGAAAAGGAAATAAAAAATTATCTTCTAAGTGAGAGCCTTTCATCTACATATTTTCTTCTCACTTACAAACAACAAAAACCCGTTGCTTAATTCTATAGTTGTCTGCAGATCCTCAATTCTTACTAATATTAAGGAATAGGGCACCTTTAGAGAATCAAGAATGCTATTTTCTTTCTTTGAAACTTTAACAACTTCATATAAAGTGATGAAAAAATCGCAATATGTCTTGACAACAGAACTGCCTTTTTTTTTGTCAATTTCCTGGATGCTTACAACAAATTTCTCTCATTTTTCACCAAAATGTGCAGAAAATATCTCAGATTTTTCAAGGAAATGAACAGAACACTTTTCCCAAGTCCTTAAAAATATAATATCAAAAGCACAAAATTTTGCAATAATTCAGGAACATATCTTCCTCTATTATGATCTCCACCCCAAAGGAATACCGGGGTTTTGCACCATTCCATGACTCTGAAGAGTCATGTACAGCTTCTAAAGTGTCATTCTGCAAAAGGTATACATGATAATTTACCTCAGACTCAAAAGTTACGGCATCTCCTTGTTCAGTAAAGCGTTCTTTTTGGCAAAGGTTATCTAGATAGTCCAGCGTTTCTAATCCCTCTACCCTCACTTCACTGCAGATACAATTCATGTTCGTATAAGTTCAATATGTTTAGAATAGAATCATTCACTGCTATAAACAGCAGAAATAGCTGGAAATAGGTACACCAGTAAATCCTCCTAACAGTGCAAAGTTATTCAAGAAGAAGATTAAAATTCAGTGCATATACCATTTCCTGTAAAATTAAACATTGAAACATATACCATTTCCTGTAAATGGCATAACTTCTTGCTTGCAAATATAATGAACATAACTGGTGAATCCCAAACATCGAAAAGACATAATAGCTCTAACCAGTCTCTCTTTTTATCTCTATAAACTTAGATATCTGAACTTAAACAACAGAGAAAAGAGGAAAAAGGATTGTTCATTCCATTCATATGCCAGCAGACAAAGTTTAACATAAAACGCAGCATACCTTATGTCAGAGACAGACAAGTATGTGTGATAAGCAAATGAGAAGCTAAATGGTTTGCCATTGATGTTTCTAATGCGCGATATCAAGATCAAATTTCCATCCACAGCAAGAGAAACCCTAAGACGAAACTCAAAACTGGAAAAAACAAAAATAAGAAATTAGAAATCCCATCAGGCATCCATTAACTATAACTTGCAGCACTACACACCCCAACCAATCCCCCTCCCCCCCTCAACAATTAAAGAAAAAAGCTATGAACTCTATGAAAAATGTAAATCAATTTGATGAAAACATGTTCTGTAAAAGGAATCAGATGCGAATATCCTCAACCTATGACATCATTATGCGAAAATCAATCCGAAAAACTCTAACTTAACCAATTAAAGGAAATTTATTTATTATTATTTTCTTATTTTGAGCCAAATCAAAATATATCAGATTTTTATGTATAAAAGGTCCAACACTTCAACGACTATGGAGTACTAGAGTTCTGAAACTGCAACCTTAATCATCCCACAAATAAGGACCAAATATTACCCTCCCTCCTCTTAAAACATCCATCTGCAACTGAAAATTGATAGAGAAACATATATGCACATATGAATTGCAAGAAACCAACTTCATTGAAGCATGAAACAGTTCCCAACGTAATAATTTCACATTAAAAGTGAAAACCAATAGAGCACACTGGGCCAGGATCCTAAGGGATTGCCTAAACCCTGAAGTGTCACCATCTTGATATTATTAAGTTCTGGTTCTATTGAATGAAAATTTTAAGAAATTTTTAAAAAGCATCCGATTTCACACCTATGTGGCCAGGACTTGAGATCTTCTTCAGATGGTTTTAGTAGCAAGTCAACGAAGCATTTGCCCTGTGAATCATCTGGGTGCAGAGTTGGAGGTTTTTCATCAATGGTCCAATTCTTGTTCCTTGCAAATCCATGTTGCTCAAGTGCACCACGGTTTCCAAACTACACAAGTACTAACGAGAACCATCAATGAAAATACAACAAAGCTGGTATATACTATTTCATCACAAATATAGAGGGATGTTTGAAAATACCTGTGGGAAACATATAGAGGATCCTCCCCGCACTGCTTTTGGGGGCTTAAAGATTGCCTACAATTCATAAAATAACAAGCAGCCAATCAACTTTTTATATCTAGCAAGCAAAATTGGTTTCGACCATTTTCAGGAGCAGAAGCATTACATGCTAGACATTCAACTAATAGGCCAACCCATGATTAAACTCTTACGGAATAGGTCTCATATAATCATCTATTGGGCAGTAATAAACATCATTGAACACCCTAAAAGGAAGTCAATAGATGATTCATTAAGAAAATGTCTCCACAAATACAGAAATTTTATTTAATTTTTTACAAAAGATATATTAGCTTGCAACGTTTGTACAAATCAATCATATTATATCTCACTTAAAAGGTAAATTTTACTTTTGCAACCCCACAGCAACCCCCAAACCATTTCCTGGGGTAGTAATTATCAATAAATTTCTAATTATAAATGAAGTTCATCATACACCAAGTAGTTCCTCATAATGAGGAACAATTGGGTTTTAAGGTGAGATCTCCTCAATGCCACAAGAAATAGCCACCATAGTCATTAGGATGTTTAGGTGCTTATTTTTTATATTTTAAAACATAGCCTGATTATCATCTACAAGTTTTTGCTGCAACTAAAGGTCCTCCTCCAGAAAGAAACAAAAATAGTGATTTTATTAGCTAAAAACCATATGTAATAGAAACCACCAAGTTTTTTCTGTTGCGCTTTCTGTTATAATTATTTGCCTATAATATTTGACATTTAAATGGTTTGATTTACGGTATTACAATAACTGGGTTTCTATATAAACCCAATTCCACAACCTTGTTGCACCACAAACACCATATAATTGTACAATACATTATGCTGATGATGTTTTGATTGCACTTTCCATATGGTGTTATTATTAACATGTCCCAAAGTTTTACATAAAATTGCATGTATAGTAATTAGAAGATCATACCTTGCTACTAGTGAATAGTCGTTCTTCCCCCTGATGATTCCTCCAGGAAACTACCCTTCCTCCGTGCAAACTAACCTGGATAATCAATAATTAACATTCAGTAAGCCAGAAAGAATCTAATAATTTTTTTCCTACAAGAAAATATAATATTCCCATCAACACATTAGACAAAATATAGTATCACCTCATTGATGCAAGTTTTCATATAATTGAGCAAAGCATGCAACAAAGGAATATTATTAACATTCATCACTTGATTTGATCCAATTCAAAGGAGGAGAAGATGAAAAGGATCTAACCCGCGCTGAATCTCCTTGTGGGTTCCGAAGCACTACCTCCTCAATCCCATTCCAGTCCTTTGTCACTTCAAGTGCTTCTCTATAGTCCCAAACTATAGCAGGATGCCCCATTTTTCAAAGCAGAACAAAACTCTCTCTCTCTCTCTGATCTGAACACAGCCTCAAAGTAACTTCCAAGTCCTGATTGAACTTGTCAAACACAGAAATAGTCACACCAATGAATAAACTGAAACATATTAATTGAGACAGTTGATAATTTGAACAATTCCTGACACCCTTCTTGTGACAAACATGTGATCTCGTGAATCAAATTCAAAGACCCACCTCCTACCACTTTCCCAGTTTAACCCTCAGATCCAGAAACCCCCAAAATGCATTAATACCTAACGAGGAATCCTACCTCTAAACCAGGAAGTGTAGACATTTGGCAACTGCAAACAAATGCATCATTTCTGAACTTGATTTTGCTAAGAAATCCCCAGAAAATTTGTCATATTTGAAGTAAGAAATGGGAAAAACTAGAACCAAAAAAGAGAAAACTTTAAATACACTCTGTCTTTAACTTTCTATGAAGATTTCCCAAAACAACAACTTTCTATCAAAAGAAAAAAAAAAACAAAGGTCCCAAATCTCAAAACAGAACAAACCCATAACAGTAATTTTCTCCAAAGTTTACATAACTCAAATTTCTGACAAAACCCACTTGAAAACGTCAAAGACCAAAGCAACTAGAGTTGTGAAATTCAAAAACTTCTGAGAGGGAGCAATTGACTCGAACGTTGAAAACCATACAATACCTAACGGAAGAAAACAAAGAGAAATTTATATGGATGTTTGTGTGTATAATATAGAGAGAGAGGGGGAGATCATAACTGAATGATATGGATGGCCGGGATTTAGAGCGAAAGAAAAGGTATTAATCACACATTGATTAGTTGAGATAAAGATGGATTATAGCAGACAAGATTGTGGGAACACGCGAGGGAACCGAATAAAGAAATATGAAAACGTAATTAGTGAGAAAATAAATGGTTGTTTGTATGTGTCAGAGATAACAAGTATATGGGAGATACGTTAAGTCCGCAAACGGTCAAATTTTGAAAAAGCCTTCGGAGATTCAGACTAATTGTATTTAAAAAGTGTTAAAACTCTTTTTGCAAACGTATACGGAGTACTCTTTTGATTTTTTGAGTGGTCCCAGTGAGGAGGACAAAGAATGACTAGTGTTTACGGTTTGGAGAGAAGAAAAAGGAGCAGCAGTAGCTTTTTCGTGTTTGGCAGATGACTGAATTGAATTCTCTCCTCCAAATAAGAGCATTTAATAACTATGAGTTTGTTTTTTTTTTTTTTTTTTTTTAAACTGTGAGTATAGGCAAACGGTTGCTTTAAAAGAAGTTTTCTGAATTTTTAAGAATTATTTTTAACGGGCTTTAGTGTGGGTTTGATTAGATGAAAATTAATAATAAAAATTAAAAGTGAAAGAAAAATAAATTTTATTTTTGTGTTTGATTAGCATTAAAAATATCAGAATAATTATATTTTATGAGTTGAATAGAGTGAAACTTACCATAAAAAGAGGGGTACAATTGAAATTTCATATAATTTTTTCAAGAAAGTAAAATTTTCTTGTGGTTTTTTTTGAAAATTTTTATGGAAAAGTTAGATGTTACTAGTTATGAGAAGTTAGTTTCTCCCAAAAAATTTCTCTTTTTTTGCTATTCAAACTCTTAAAAAATCTAAAAATTGATTCCTTTTCCTTTCCTACTATTTTCAAATAACCAAACTAAAGGAGAAATCTTAATTGTATAAAAAATTGATAGGTTGACACTACCTAGAATTCTAATTGTATAGCCATTTCAAAGTAGAATATTTGTATAACAACCATTTGAGAGTAGAAAGCTGTTAGATCTGGATGTGATTGTGTCAAAAGGGAGCAGTTCATGGGTTGAAATCTTGGGTTGGATACTACAAAGTGAAATGGGGAGTATGGGTTGGTCAAAAAAAAAAAAAAAAAAGACAGTATGGGGGAGTATGGGACTTCAATGGTCATACAGACCTTTTGGTAATAGTTGAGAGTAAAATTGGATTAAATTAGACATTAATTTCGAAAAAAGAGAGTTTAGACTATTTTAAAGGAGGAGTGCAATTAGCAGTCGCACACTGTGAATGGACGGAGAACGGGCTCCACCCGCGGGGTAGCTTACGGAGGTCCGATCAGAGAACCCCAAAACGAAGGGACCAGTTTAGAGGTCCCAATACCATACCAAGGGCTAGCGTTCTTGCAATGGAAGCTGGATGAACAAACCCTTGAAACAAGGGTGTATCACGATGACGATGGTGATGATGTTGATTGTTGAGCACTACCTTGGTATGCACACTTAAAATTGGTTAGTCTTAAATGTATTAATTACTTTGAGTTTGAGCCTCTATTTTTAATGAGACTTTACAAATATTACTTTTTTTAGACAAAAATATTCTTTTAAATTATCTAATATTTCTTCTTTTTAATGAATTCATATAGAATTGTGTGAATATGTATGTATGTACATGTATATATAATAACGAGGTGAATGGATGCTGTAAAAAAAAAAAAAAAAATGAAGAAGAAGATAATCCATTCAAAAGAGATGGGTTCTGAGAAAAAATTAAAAAAAAACAAATAGAGATAGAAAAAAATTCGAAAAAAAAAAAAAAAAAGAACACCATAGATTCTCAGATTTAAACATATATATATAAACAAAATTAGTTTTATATGTAAATTATAAATTTCCGTGCCAAACATGATCACAAATAAACATAAATTCCAAAATCTTAGAACTTCATTATCTTCACATATCTAACATAAATTCCAAGATCATAGAACTTCATTTCACATATCTATAATGCACAAACAAATAGTTTATTATATAAATACCTATATCCAATAGAATAATCTTGGAGAAATCAAACCAAACGTCGAGATCCTTTATGCAAAAAGGATAACATGATAAAATGCAAGTCCAAACAATAACCGAATCGTGGAAACAGATTTCTGTCTCTTGGTCTTTTATACACATAAATTGGTCTTTTATACACAAACATTATATTGTTATTTGTGCATATAAAGACAGAGAGATGACCAGTTTTCTTTTAGTAACCATAATATCTACTTTCCATCAAAGGAACAAATAGGAAAACACTTCTCCAATAATTAATTACCAAAAAAATAATTTATAAGTTGACCAAATAATATAATATTAATCCGATATCTATTTTATTTAACCTCCAAATAATAGAAGTAAATCACGTGTCCAAATCGTGTAGGCACAAATATAAGAAAATATCTTACATTATATACTTATATATTTCTTTTTTGGTGAATGAATTATTTTCTTTTTATTTTAAAAAAAAAAAAATCCATTTTTACAAGGATAGTTGTAAAAATAAAAACAAAAAGAAATGTATATATATAGGAAAAAACAAAAAAAGAAAGAATTCATTCACTCAAGGATAGGTGCAAAAAGAAATATATAATCCATCTCAAAATCTATCTTGCACGTGTATAGATTCTTTTCTCACTTTTTATTTACCTCTCTTTTTATTCTTTTTGGATTTTTTTCTCACTCTTTTTTATTTTCCTTCTTCCTTTTATTTTTTTCCGAATCCATCTCTCTCTTGTGAATGAATTATCATATCTATATTTTTTTTACTTTTTCATAATCCATTCACATAACACTAGTTACACCTATACGCACACATCCTCGATTAAATTAAAGAGGAGAGAAGAATAAAGATTAGATAATTTAAAAGGTTATTTTTATCTAGAAAAAGTAATATTTGTAGAGTCTCGACACTGGTACAAATAGAAAACCCAATCCTAATTGTGATGTAAATGGACAGTCGCTTAAGCGACTAAATACTTCATTCAATAATACAAGTATTCATGATGATATTAATGATTATGTTAATGTAATTAGCGCTCCTTATTCTTAAGTCGGTGCTTCGTTCAATAATACAAATATTCATGATAATATTAATGGTTATACAGAACATGAATGGTTTCAACCATCTCCTTCTCCTCCTCTAAACACGTGAAAAGAAAAATGATACTTTTCTATGACAATAAAAGAATGAATTATATACGTTGACATTAGACTCTATATATTTACACAACACGTGAGAAAAAAAAAAAACTTTTTATATACTAATATTTCAAGATGTGATGAATAAGAATGCTAGTAAGATATAACAAGAACGCTTAAGTTGAGATTAATAATTGGGTCGTTGATTAGGACAAACCATGAAAAACTATATAAGAAAGATTCTCTCACACACAGACGGTGATGGAGACACGTGGTCAAAATTAAAATTGGTCAGTCTGTCTGTCCTGCAATAATGTTCATGTCATCGCTGCGCTGTACTTTGCCAATTGGCACGGGTTTAATCACGTGGGAGCAGCCTTGGTTAAGAAGGTGAACACCATCTCAAAGAGATCGACGGTGTATGTGGGGTCATCTGACGGTCAAAAACAACGCTGATTTGAACTTGTATGTTCTTCCTCTAATGTTGGGCCCGCGAGGTTTAAACCCGCATATATTAGTAAACTACTATTTTTGGCGCAGGTAGAAAAATGATATTAAAAAATGATTCGGTTATTTCAAGTAGTCCGAACTCCGAATATTTAAAAGTGAAGGATTGAGCGACTACTAGAATGATTATTCTCTAATTAAAATCCTTAGATTAATGATTACCACTAAATCCTAATCCCACTAAATTTCAAATCAAATTGTAACAATTCAATTGTAGCTGACTGAGATAAGATCTCTTCATTTTATTTTGAATTATGCGAATGTCAAAAGTTTGCCAAATGGTTCTCTTTTTTGACTGTAGCAACCGTAGGCCTGCCTGCCATAGGGTTGGATTCGGAGGAGAGGTTTTTATTCTAGTAGTAGGGTTACATTTATATATATATATATATATATATGCATGCATATGCATAATTTTATTTTTAATCACATCCAAGGCATTGGAGAGTTGTAATTTGTAAAGGGTAGTTTTTGTACACTTGCAAAGGAAACCAACCCATCAATAACATCATTTTAAAGTGAAGTCTCACAATGAGCACCATGTGAGATCATCAGTCAGAGTGAGCATATCGTTTAACAATAGCCACATACACCCATAAAGCACATTTCAAATAGTTACCAAGCTCGCAACAATATTGGCAGCAACAAACAGGAGGCATATATTTCAACGAAAAGAGGTTCATACAGCTTCGAAAATCACAGGAAACGTATAAATAGGTTTCATGACATTAGCAAATCTAGATTTCCAAGTTACATCAACTATCAGTGGCCATCCCAGCACTCTGAATCTAAAAAAACACATCAGTTCTGCCAAGGAAATAGTTACCTCACAAGTGGAAGAGTCCAGTGTCTTCAAATCCTCCTATTCCATTATTTAATTACTATGCTACTGTTAGCAGCAACTTTGGGCTTGTAATTATGCCAAAATCACATTCTAAATTTAAAATTTAAGATGGGTGCAGAATTACAGGTTACTTGATCAGCCAGCGCCAACAGCATTGGCTCGGCGGGAACTTGTGTCCAGGAGTGGACGAAGCCTTGCACTGGAGTTTGAGTTATTCTCGTGCATTTCACTGTCATTACCATTTCCGTCAAAGGAACCAGAATTGTGGACTCTCGACAGCAGGTTCTTTGTATTGACCCCCCAATTGTCATCAGCCTTACTTAAAATCACCTCTTCTTGTTCTTGTAGTTGAGGATTTTTCAGTTTGTCCTGTGAGTTCAAGCCCATTTATAAGGTAACAGTTCAGAAAGTTGAGCACTCCGTAAGGAAACATAAAATAATGCCGAAAGAAAATGAGGTAATACCATTAATGTAATGTTTTCAAGCTTCACTTTTTTTGAATTATCTGTTAATCGAGTAATCTCTGTTTTAAGTGACATATTCTCAGTTGTTAGGGATTCGACAGTCTTTGCAAGTTCTTCACTCTCAGCCTGGACGGGAAAAAGGTATAAGAAATGAAGCTAGATTGACATATAGACTACCAAATAGATTTAAATCAAGATTTGGGCCTTTTAAATTCTCATAAAACAGCATATTTACACATTCACCATACCTGCTTCCTTAATCTTGACCTTCTCGCAGATTCTCGATTAGACTGTTTTCTCTTCTCCCGTTTCAGCTCCCTCTCATTCTGAGTAAAATAATAAATAAACCACAAAATCAAAATTTAGATGCAAAATAATTTAGGCGCCATGAAGCAATTCCCAAACTAGAAAGATTAATCCAATAAAATAATATATTATTCTTCTTCTTTTTTGTTTTTTGTTTTTTTGTTTTTTTGTTTTTTTTTTTTTTTTTGTGTGTGGATAAGAATAACAAAAACTTAAGCACCACGTGCTTGTCTTTGAATCATCATCTCAAAAGGAATCATTAATTTCAATGGTGCACATTCAAATCCTCTATATAAGTTCAAAGATACATGCAATGCAATAGGAAAAGAAAAGCAACTAAAATAATAAAGGAGGAACGCGTAGGAACACCTTTAACCAGACTTCATTCGGCATCACCACACAAGGTTGTGGAACACTAGTTGAATTGGTCTTTGGATTTGCACTAGGAGTATTCCTAAGCTCCAATGCTGTAGTTGCCATGCTAGGAGAAAGTACATTTCCCAACACTTTTCCTGCAACACTTGCAGGAACAGCAGTGACTCTAATCGCCTTATTAGAAGCTCCACTAACTTCACTGGAAGGAACTGGACTGTTCCGTGTCTCCATCTTCCCATCTCCACCTAAACAATCAGATCAAGAAATGAAATCAAGTGTATAGTACCCAAAACTCCACCATTTCCTTTTAACTTTAATTCTAATGGTGTATAGAAGAGTTCAGTTATGATTCATGAAACTATATTTCGCATAGTGCGTCATGTTTACCTTATATTCAGTGTGGTATATCCACTAATATTTGAGAAAAAACCATTCCTACCAACCAAGGACAACATGAAGATACAAGTACAGTACGAAGAGCAGGAAACTGATCATACATGTAATCAATAATTTGTATCTTATTTCTTGAAAGCATACAGATCCAAGAAGATAAATATTAAACCATGGGATAATTGCAGTAAAATTTTATTTTCATTGAACTGACCATTTAAACTAGTCACTGCACTCTCCATCATTCTTATTTGGTAGCAATTATTGGATGTAGGGGGAAAAAGGAAGATGTAGGGGAAAAAAAGAAGATGTTAAGGGTACAATTCCATAGGCCCATTATTATCATCATTTAATACAATTTGAAGAGTAGTCCTTGACAATATCCCAAATTTCAGTTTGAAACATTTGGTGCTTCCAAGAATACCTCAATTCGATAACCAGAATTTCTTATATATGTTAAGGCGTAAATGTATGCCATCTTGTCAGACACAAAGCACTGCAACGTCTCTCGACTTTGTCAGCTAAATTTGTATGCAAAGCATGTGCTCCAGCAGTGTAAGAGACTGGTCTTGTTATTGCACATTTATAAACTTGCTGGAGCACATATGCCATGGGTGCATTATATAGTAGGGAAGGAACCTTTTGTACTATAAAATAGTATAGCAGGCAAATTCTGTTTTACTTAGATATTACTATATGTGAAAAACAAATCTTACCAACAGTAGGTGTTCCCTCCCGGCTTCTTTTCTTACCATTTTGACCCACCTGACATAAGATGGGAGATCTCTAAGACTTAAAATTTTCTTCACCGGAATATACATAAAAAAAGAAACAAGTCAAATGATGTGAACGTCTAGCCATGTAAGAAATTTTTAAGCAGATAAATTACCCCTGCCATATTCCCATCACTTCCATCACTGGAACCTTCAGTCTCCGCACTGTTCACAGAAGAATCATATTAAAAAGTTAACCTTGTTGCAAGAGGTCTAATAGGAAGAATCCACTAGAAGGCACATCTCTAGAAGGCTGGAGAAGGCATACTTCTGTGTCCTAAAAAGTAAGAAATTGCTCCCAAATAGGCGGAGGTTTTACAAGATTGGTGCTAGTTCAACAAACCTCTGAGAAACCCCATGGTAAGCCCCATCCTCAGCATTATCACCCCCTATTGACATTGCACACTCTTTCAATTTTTTCATTAAGCCTCGATCTGTATTTCCTTCTGACTTGGTAGGTGTGTCCATGCTCGAAGCTGTAGCAGCCTATATCAGTTGAGAGATTAGTTTTAAGATCTATTCCTGCATGCTAAGCAGCTAAAAGCAAAATTATATGACTTCTTGCATGGATGCAGTTCTTCTCAATAACAATAAGAATGAAAGAGTTAATGGTAAATACCACTACCAAGGCTTCATTCACAGCAGGGGACAATGGAACCCCATGACCTTGTGAATGCAACCCCTAGAATTATAAAAGCAACATAGACCTATTAGAGTTCTATCTAGTATTGCAATTAGAGGTAAAACTTAACTCAAGAACAACATTATGATAAGGGGGTTTATTTCAAGAGAAGTAGAAAGGGTGAAAGAATTGTTTATCAAGAGCTACACTTAACATGAAGGCAATGCAAATTATAAGGGCAGGCTTATGGTAATATATACCATATAATATAATTAGTTGGTGCAAATAAGAATCCATGCAGGACCTAGAGAAGGTCCTGATACCAAAGCTTTACCAGAAAGTCCAACAGTTTCTCACAGGCAGTAAGAAGAAGCTATGACATGATTGACATCCTATGAACTCAACTCTGGGACATTCTAGGATTACCTGATTCTATTGTGACTTGTGAAGCAATTACAACCATGACAAGCTAGTACATTATCTTTAAAACAGCTGGGCCTAATCTCAGAGAAAGTAGGATGATTGTGGTAAATAAATGGCCCACCTGAAACTCAAGTCAACATGGCTCTACAAAAATTTCTATACGAGGGACTCATTTAGCCAACCCAGTTTAGTTGATAAGGCTTGTTGACTCAAGTATCCTAAGTAAAAAAGACTAGTTAAGTAAAACTTCCACGTGATACAAACTTACAAGAGGCACTCCAAGATGTGCATAAACGCCTCCATGAGCGTAGATTGCCGCATAAGGTGGCATCATAGCCTGGAAAATTAGATAGTTTACGTAAGAGTCACAGATCATCGTAGTCAGAGACATACTGAATTTGTTCCTCGGCATACCTATATGACTTGAAGGTGGATGAGAAATTGAAACGGAAACTTTAGACAGCGTCAACGATTTGCATAATACCTGTGGTGGTCCCCACATATACGGGTGAGGGGCATGACCAGATGCAACAGCTGAGTTGAAATATGGTGGTACAGCAAACCTGGGGCCATAATATGCCTGAAGTTGTAGCAAACAAACTTGAATCAGTACCAAAAATTTAATGAAAGAAATCACAACTGGAAATTTTCTGTTTAATTAATTAATATTCATGAAAACTGGGACGGAGTTGATGCATTAAGCTAATAACCTGCATGGCTGCCCAATCAGGATACACATGAATACTGGTTTGATCCTGTCAGTAAAAATGGATTCACCAATCAAGAATGCACTTCAAGTGGGAATTAAAAAAAACCATACATTGTTCACTCACACAAATAAGCAATCAGTCAACAACTCTTTTCTCAAATCATATAATAACATTACAAGGTCCCACTCACTCCATTATATTAAACAACATGAATAGTTTCTCAGCTTACCGGTGCAGGTGAGGATGGTTTCTCAGGCTTACAAGCCTTTCCCTCTTCACTATTTCCCATGGTCAAGCACCAAACTGAGACTCTCTATTGATTCAGATATGAAGCACGAAATTCCTTTTTCCACAGCCACCAAACCTGTTCCACTTAGGGAAGATGCACAAAGGATTGCCTGTCAAGCTGTGAGTAGTAAACCCAAGGTAAACAAAGAAATCTCCATATGAAATAAATAAATTATTATTATTTAGCAAATTGTCTCCAGAATATAAAAATGTTATCATCAAATAATAATAACTGAAGCTGAAAATGATATACACATATATTATAGGGAAACAAGTAACTACAACTAGTTAATCCTCAATATAGAAGCAGAAAAGTACACCCACTAATGGATAGGAACCCAGAAATATGTGGATTTCATATATCATTGCTTCTACAGGAGCAGAGGCAAATTAAACAGACGACCACAGAAGTTTAGCAGGTTTGCAACCCGGTTACTACTTGAGCTCGGAACACCCAGTTCTTACTCTCGATTGTAACCCGATATATAAAGGATGCTAAGTTGTATTGTTTATGCAATATTGAAAATCCAGGAATAAGTATTGGGGTTAGGGTTGGAGACTTGTACATCTCCTTTCTTCTTCAAATAGTGAATAGTGAATCCGTAGAAGTAGACTATAAGCCAAACCACATTATAGTGCATATACATCTCCTTTCTTCTCTGCTCGGTGTAGCGCATGATTTTCGTTTCTCTTATTTTTAAATTGTTCTTGTGATTTTAAGAGCATTAGTTTTCAAGTCTAAATACTCTAAAGTGCTCATAGTTATACAGAGACACAGAGGAGTGCATATACAGCTTATCATCAACCCAAAAACCATGCTTAAGAAAGAAATTAAATCGTACCAATCAAATCTATGCAGGCCAAGTAATTAATGATGGTTGTCATTCCTAAAATTTTGTAACAATAGTCAGCAAGATCTATATGCACAACTACAGGTAATCAAAAAATAAAAGTAGAAAAAAAGGAGGGAAAAAAAAAAAGGTTCCCACAAAAGTAAAAGCAAGAAGGCAGAGGGACATTATTGTCTATCAGCCATTTCCACCTAATACAATGACGAGAAGTAATGGACGAATTTTGAAGTGCTGTCGTTCCAGTGTAACCTAGTTCGTAAATGACAAAATTATCCTCACATGTGCACCTAACAGTTGAATATTTTAGGGGAAAAAAAGAAGAAAAAAAAAAATCCTTATTTTGTTTCAATAAATAGAGTGAAAATTTTCAATTGATACTATAACTGTTCTTTTAAGAGTTATAAATCAACACGTTATGTTTATATGAAAATGATGGTAGAAACAGTATCAAATTTTCAAGGATTTTCCTTTTTTTTAACAGACTCTCTCTCTAGGAAGTTTCAGATTCGAAGAAAGATGCAAAAGTACACTAAAATCATATGAAAACTAGCATTCAAAACCAAATGATCAAAATAGAGCTATTTAAATTGAAATCTTATAAAAAGAGCAAACAAATTCAAGATATCACCGCCAGTTCGAACTCTAGATATCCAAATTTATACATAAATCCGCAATTCAACACTGTAATTCAACAAATCGAACTTCAAACTCAACATACCTTCAATTCTCGAACCACATAAACTCCTTCTCTTAACCTCCGGAACCAAAAATAGAAAAAATAAATAAAAAGAAAAAGAAAAAACGATTGAAGAGCTTCGAATATCTTCAATGCTGAGAAAAAGAAAACAGAGTATAAACACTTTCTCTAACCCTAGATTTATCAGTCTCTGCACTTTCTCTCTCTAAGAAACGTTGAGAGGGAAGACTTCATCACTTCATATTTTGCAGAGAGAGAGAGGGAGAGAGAGTGGTGAAGACGGAGGGAGGAGAGGAAGTGCCAAGGCAGCAACATCCACGTCATGATACACGTGTTCGTGTATAGATATGTATATATATAAACATCGATTGTATCTACGGAAGGACTATTGTGGTCGTTGAGTTGGCCCATTCGATATTCGCGAAGGCCCTCCTATTTTATTCGAAAGTCACATCTATTGTATACGTGGCAAACAAAGACTCGATCTACGCATCGTGGACTGGGGATATCATAGGCCAACTAATACCACCAGTCATGTGGCTGACATGGTCTTCTTGGAATTAAATAAATATCAAATAAAATATATATATCTAATTTCCTGGAATTAACTGCAATGAATAGGTGTCCTTCGCGTCCGTCACGCGCCATCCATCAACGACCTAGATGTGATCTTTTTAACTTTTATCAACTTTGTTTGTACTCTTTATGTTTTTTTTTTTTTTGGGCTTCAATCATAAAACCTCCTACTGTTTTTATTTTTTATCATAAAATTTTAATTTATTTATAAAAATCCCAACAAGATTATAAAGTTTCCACTTTATTCCAATTATGTTATATTGGGCCGTTAACCTAGTGCAGGATTAACGAGTGCTTTGCTAATCGAAATTTAGTGATGAAAATTCCCCTGGAGAAACATGTGCCAAACAAGTTGAGATTTTATGATCATGAGAGTAATTTAGTCATTTCACAAACCCTTAGTGGTTCATTAACAGAATTGGGGCAAAATGATCATTTTGTAATTATATTGAAATTTTTACAAACAAGTTACAATTTTATGATAAAAAAATGAAAGTAGTGGATCTTTTATGATTTAAGCCCTTATTTTTTCAATATTATTATTTTTACAAATAAATTTTACTTGTTTTCCTTACAATTTGTCAATATTTTCATTTTCAAAATCACACTCACTATTTATGTTAGTGAATGCGTCTAACTTTACTATTAACTCAATAATAATAATGTGTTATTTTATCATTTTGCTTAATAAAATACTTCTTGTCATTTTAAGCATTCAAATAATAAAATTGACCTCCTATTCATTATTTGCAATTATGTCTATGTCAAATACCCTAATAGTAAGAAAATCTATTACATAAAGTATAACATCACGAGGTGTGATTATGAATTTAAGAGGGAATCTATATAAAGCATTGACAAGTTTTAGAAATATAAAATCATATTACCAAAAGCGGCCTAGCTAAGTAGGGATGACAATTTGCCTTGAAGAGACGGATACCTGCCCTGTTTATAGCTATTTTGGGAGACTGTTTAGCTTATTTAGGCGGGAATGATTTTTATTAATGAAAATTCATTCAAATTCAGAGCGAGGGAAAGGGAGGTCACCCCGCCCCATTTTGGTAGGTAAATTATTAAATTATCCTTATTTTATTAGTATATATAATTAGATTTAGCAACTCTATGTCACATTTACTCACTTGTTCTAGAAAGCGGCAAAGCCCTACGAATTAAGAATGCTCATACCTTTGAATTTTATATTGAATTATTGATTGTCTATTTTTTATGAATTTTTTCAATAGTTATATAATTGTATTTGATGAAAAAAATAATAAAAAAAGAACAGAAATTTTGAAACTAAACTGGGCGGAGGGGGTGTTTGTAGGTTGAAAAAGTTAAATAGGAGCAAGAATAGGGTTGAAATGATCCCTATTTAGGCGGTTTTGGACAAGAACGAGATTGGAGTTTTTAAATAGTTGCTGGGATAGGAAATGATACATCCGCCCAAAATCGTCCCCATTTGCATTCCTATAACAAAGTGATACAGTATTTTTTATGTCTCTTTCAAAATAAATGGTACGGATTTGGTTGGATATTTTGTCAAGAAAAAACAAAAGCTTCTACCTTTTTTTTTTTTTTTTTTAAGAATAGCTCAAATATGTTATATTAGACTTTATATGATTGGTTTTGTAGGAGCAAGTTGTCATTTTTCTTTATCTAAATTTATTAATATTCATTTTTTTCTCATATTCATGTAATATTCATTTTTTTTCTTTATCAATAGAAAAAGCCTAATCTCTGAAACCAATTGAATTCAATCTGACTTTGCGTGTTTGGTTCATTTTAGTTTCGATGCTCACTTCGATTCATTTCATTGAGAAATTTGAGATTGAGCTAGAATTAGTTTTAGTTTTATAAAAGTAAACTCGTCTACTTCCATCTACGATCATTATTCAATGATCAAATGTTAGCCTTAATCCACACTCCAATTCCAATTTTTTCTCAATGGTACTCCATTGAAATTACACAAAATTCTATAAATGAGTAAATACTTCAAGCTGCAATTGAAGTGAATACGATAAGTTCTCAACTGTTGGATGATTAATGTGACTATGACAAGTTGACAACCTTGAGAGTGATTGACGCGACTGATTTCTCTCAATCCTATTATAAAGTGAGTTTTTTTCACCATAGAATTCGAAGGCATTTATGGAGATTTTTTATGCAGTAAGGTTTGAATGCATAAGAATTGAATTTGATGAAATTGAAAAAAAAAAAAAAAAATTTAAAGTTACAAAAATTTGAATTAATCTTTTTAAAATTTTATAAATTCTAATTTTAAAATTTTAATTTAATACAGACAAACATAGTCTTAAAGAATTTGAACTCTCAACAAATAATTTATTTTATTTTTTAAAGCAATCAGAAAGTCATAAAATTCTCTATTGAAGGTGATACTAAAGAATTATTATTATTATTATTATTATTCTTTTTTTAAGGTGCTTAGGAGTTAGGATAAAGTTAGCTTGGTCTTGTTTCATTCCTGCCTATCATAAAAGTATTTCCATTTCACACATCACAAATGTTTTTTTTAAATAATATATCACTTAGTATCATCTTATCATCATATAATAATGTGGATTGATGATAGTTTAAAGAATGAGAATCCATACATTTTTTTTATGATTTTGAGATATTTTTATAACTTGATTTATGCACTTGAGTGTTAATAATATCATTGAAGAAATACAATTAAAATTAGTTAATAAAAAATCTAACCCTATGAAATTAAATGAAATTTGATGAAATTTTAATTTATGAAATATTTTTTAAAATTGATGAAATTTACTTCCATATGAAGTGAGAAAATGAGTTAGCACGGTCCTCGCGGATACAATCTATTTGGTGAAAAAATAAAAAAATTACAATCTTTATGATGCAGTAATATCGGAAGTTGCATTCCGACGCGGAGAGCACTCCGTGTCTGACGCACCATGTTTTTGAGTTAATCCACCATGCTTTGTTTATCCAATCCTCACCGTCCGTTGAGAATACTGAATCTCCTTACTTGTAAGCAGCTTAGTCACGACAACGTACACGAAATCTCTGGGACCCACTTTTGACGTAAGGGTAAATCAAACCCCCCACTCAATCAAAGCTATGAGTATTTCAATCAATCGGAGAGGAATGAGTCCACGCCATTTTGGAACAATATCATCTCTGTGCCGACGTGGATCAAGGAGCATCTCTAATATAGTAGTATGAAACTGGATCTTTCCGGTACAAGTTCATCAGTGAACAAAAAAAATTATTATTTTAACGGTCAGGTATGTACTTTGTTTCTACTATTTATATTTTTAGAATGTTACAGTATCGATTTTGATAACAAAAGTATATTTTATGCGATCTTATTTTATTTTACATAGTGTTAAAACACTTTGTGAACAATAACTCAAAATCAAAATATCAAAAAATTATTTTTTTATTATTTTGACAACTGTTCGTGGTCCAAAACCATAATAGTAGTTCAATACAGGCCCTGACATTTTCGTCCCCAAACATGCTTCTGATTTTTTTCAAAACACTCTTACAACAAAAATATTATTTCTATTTTAGCCAAAAACAAAACATCAAAAATAAAATACATGCCAAATAGATCCTAAATAACATTGCATTTTCAAAATTATTAGGTGCTTAGAGTTTTTTATTTTTAAGATAAGATTGTTTTGATATCAAAGGCAATGCTAAGTTATTATATTGCATTCGACGGCAAACAATGTAGGTTCGGGATGAGAACATGTGTAGAGGAAGAGAATGAAAGTGTGTTAAGAAAAATTATGTGACTTAAATTATACTCTCCCAGTTCTAAAAAAAGTGTTATACTTTTCTTTTTTTTTTTTGTTCCAAAATAACTGTTCATTTTTCTTTTTCAAATAATATATTTCATATCTTTCCATATATCTCATTAGAGCTTAAAATTTAAATTTAAAATGACAAGTTAGTAACTTTTCAGGAAGATAATGCATATTTCATATATTTCTTAAAAATCATTACTCCCAAAAAAACGACACTTGAATTAAGACAGAATGAGTGAGTACTGACCACTTATAAAAAGTATGTGAGTTTGTTTTACTGTAAAAAATAATAATATTATTCCCTTTATCTTAAAAAAAAATTCATGCTTTTCTTTTGATATGTGTCAAAATAATGGTCACATTTTTTTTTCAAACAATATGTTTTACGAATTTTTATACATATATTAGAGTTTAAAATTTTAAATTTGAATATTCAAGATTTAGAAGAATAAATTAATAACTTTTCAATTAAATAAGACATGTTTCGGGTGTTTTTTAAAAAATTCTTACATTTACGTCAAAATCAGAACAGTAATAAATAATGATGAAAACCGTCCGATGAATAACGGAACGGAGAGGTTGGACGCAGGAGAGAGAGGGTGTAGGTAATAAAAAGGTGGTCCCCACCGGCTTTTGATATGTCGGTGGCTTGTGGTCCAAACACCGACGTGTCTTATGAGAAGCAGTTGGGCCCACTGATCAGCAGAGGTTGCGTAGCCAACTCAAGAATCACGACTTTTTTTTTTACAGATCTTAAAGTGGCCCACGTGTCATCACGCGACCCCACGTGGTCTTCCTCGTGTTTCGAATTCCTATGGGTTCACCGCTTTTCTCCTCCACTTGTGATTAGATTATTCGAAGGGCGCATCTGACAGATGGGCTTTGGTGGGCTTCTGACATAAGCACTAAAGGGTCCACGTCACCGAGAAAATGATCCGTTGGATGAGGATGTGGACGGACGGAGATGCGTGTTTCACGCTGGACTGAAAATGGGCAAGAACCAGAGTGCCAGCTATGCAATAATCTTCACAAATTAACCTCATGTTTTGATAACATTTTATAAAATTGACAATTTATATTTTCAAATTAAGGATAGATTAGTTTTGGAAATTTGAGAGAAGAGAGGCATCCATCAATTACATGTCTCTGTTTTGAAAATTCGAAAATGTGATTTGAAGGGAAGAGTCACTGCTGGATCTCCACACCTAAGGCTGCAATTCCGTGGCAGATTAGAAGTACAATTCAATCCCATTCAATCTTTAATCTTAAAAGGGTTATTCAAATGACCAAATCTAGCTTACTAAGGGCCATGTGGTCAAATAGTATTTTCTCTATTTTTTAAAGTAAATGGTAAGTTTTTTAAATAAACAAATTGGTGTGTAGGGGCAGAATCAGGATTGTAAAGTGGAACTGTGAACTGACATATAGTAATATTATATGAATATATGTTTTTGGGACCTAGGCTATAGCTCAGGTTAGCCTTATTGGGTGTGTGAGTTGGTGTGTGTGTTTCTTATTAATTAAAAAAAAAAAAAAAATCTAGCAAATTGGACGTAGGGACGGCAATTTTCAAGTTTTGTCCGCTCCGCCCCTAATGGGGTGAATTTGGTAGCCCCTAAATGGATTTAGGATGGGTATAATAAAATAATTGAAAATCGGAAGCGAGTTTGGGGCGGAGGCAGATTTAGTGATGAACCCGTCTCGATTATATGTGTACCTTTAAAAATTATATATATAATATATATAATATTTTTAAGACCCTTGTTACTTTGCGTTAAGTGTATTTAATATATTAATATTCATTTTTTTGTAATAATATACATTTTTTTTGTAATTTAAAAATTGGGGTAACTTATTTATTAGCCTAATTTGATCATATTGGATTAGTTTTTTTTTTTTTTTTTTTTTTTTAACTAAATAATAAAAGTGGCATAATCTACTCCCGCCTCGCGATTAAACGGAGTACGCGGGACAGAGTCAGTACTTTATCTGCTAAAATAGAGGCTGAGATGGTATACCAATTACAAATCTGTCCTGAAGTAAGGGTGGAGTTGGTAGGACGGAGTTGGTAGGACGGATTTTCTAACAAGACGGAATAAGATTTAGTCAAACCCATCCCAATTTTGCATCCGTTGCCATCCCTAATTAGACGTATTAGAAATACAATTTTGACCCTATCTAAAATATGAAATGATCAATTTGAACCCAATTCTAATCCAAATTACATATCTAAAGATTTTGGGCTAGAAAGACAAGTTAATTATTTTTTTATTCATATCACCGATCATCATATTTGAAAATTTCAAGTGAACTTTAATTAGTTTCATATTAGATTACTCTCAAAGTACATATTTTTTTAAAAAAACTTAATGCAAATTTTTAAAAATTACAAAAATTCTTAAAAAATTAATTATCCAAATATACAATAGATTAAGATTTAAACAAAGGAAGTTAAAAAGAAAAAGGTGATCACAAATTTTAAATTATATATAATATGTTTAAAATTAAAAAAATATGTATAAAATAATATTAAAAATTAGGTTTGGATTGGGCTCGGGTTACTAGCACCTCAACCCACGCTCGATCATAATTAAGTTTGGTTGAGATTTTTCAATCCAAACCTAACTCTAATTATATAAATAATTGTCCATGCTTGAAAAAATTTGGGCTAAACTTGGGTTAGGTTCGGGTTGGCCAGCCTAAATTGCACCCCTAACTGCGCCGAGTATTGAACAAATTTTTTATTTTTAAAATTAACCTTATGTTTTGAAAAGTTTTTAAAATTGACCACCATTTATATTTTCAAATTTAGACTAATTTTGGTGTTTTTTTAAAAGAGTAACATGCATGAGTTACACTTCTCTTTAAAAAATGGAGTTTGAAATATTATATAAAAAAATGATTCTTAAACCAAAATTTCAAACTTATTTGTATAGCCAAAGGTTTCTATTCCTTTAATTTTGATGACACACTTTATTTAGACGAATATGTCTAAATAACATTTACTCATATTATATTCCATCAAAAGTGATTATTGTATTATATAATAATAATTAGAGTGACCATGATAGGTGGATGCCTGCTTCTCTCCACCCTTGGTGAATTTCATGCCCTATACCACGAATTTTATAAGTTTGTGTTGAAAAATTTATGCTAAGTGGTGGACCCAGTTTGTAATGGTCAAGTCATGGATTTGGTATTCAACCCAACCCAAACTTCCATCTTTCGTACTTCAATCACAAATCGAGCGGCCGAGGCCCAGCTGTGCTTAGACCAACCGAAATCTCCAATCAATCCATGAAGCCTGGATATGAGGTAATGGGCCCATGCTAAACCCAACCCAACCCAACCAAAATTTCGAAAAAAAAATAAAAAATTAAAGGACATGAACACACAAGCCTCCTGACAGATCATTTTTGCCTCTATACCAATTTTTGGACCCCCTCTCTACCCATTTCGGTCCCTATATTGATTGATAGTTACCATTGCATGCATTAGATTGTACTCCTTTTCCTTTTTTACAAGTCAGGCTTAGCAGTAGGGTGCACCAAAATTGATTGAATCGATAATACGAACCGGATCAAATCAGATCGGTATTTTTGATTCGATTTTTTCGCGATTTGGTTTGGTTTGGTTTCGATTTCAAAGATATGAAACTGTTTACAAACTATTCGGTTACAGTTTGAAGTACTAAAAGATCAAATTGAATTGAACCATTATATATATATATATATGTTTTGTATTATATAAATAATAGAATAATAAGACCACTCTTTTAATCCTTCAACTATATGTGTAATATATAATAAAAAATTATATATATATATATATATATATATATATATATATATATATATATATATTCGGAGTATCAGATTGAATTATAAAAGAAACATAAAATCATGTAATCGAATTGAACCAAACCGTTGGTTAAGTTTCAATTTCATTGATTTCACAGTTTAGTTCGGTTTCAATTTTTATGAAACCCAAGGATTTGGTCCAACATATTTTCAAATCAGTCCAATCCCAACAGTGTACATCCTACTTAGTTGGATTATTTTTTCACCATTTCTTTTAGCTGCAACGCAAAAAAATTACTTTGTTGCAAGGATTTAACTCATTAACATTCATAATTGAGTAAAGAGAATGCTTTCCTCTGTCCAATCTCATTTGTTAAATGATATTGATTTTTACACAATTTCTTTAAATTCACCGATACATTAGATTGATTGGATCTAAAATACTAACAAATAATTTCTATTACATTGCATAAACTCAAAACTTTTATCTGATCCAATAAATAAAAATTGACTAACACAGTAGTTCTCCTTCAACAACCCTGTTCATGAGATTGGCTAAATCTAAAATACTACTCCAATAGATGAATTTTTTTTACATTCAATAAGTCCAAAAATTTTATCTTATCCAAAACATTCACCAAAAAAAAAAAAAAAAAAAAAAACTAGTCCACGTATCGCCACATGTCCTTATAAAGTTATAATAATATATATTTGCTTCGACTTTGATACAACGATTACGCAGTGTCTTCCATAATTCAAGAGTCACTATATGCAGACTGTTGTAGCAAAAACAATGGCTAGGACTCCGTGCTCACCCAAAGTTTCTGCCTCTTTGAGGAAATTATTTGGTATTTGGATGGTGTTAGTGGGAGTGTTAGGCCAAGTAGCTGATTCTAAATGTGGTTTCAAGGCTATCTTCAACTTTGGGGATTCGAATTCGGACACAGGCGGCTTTTGGGCTGCTTTTCCGGCACAGTCTCCGCCCAACGGCATGACCTACTTTAAGCGACCTGCTGGCCGGGCTACCGATGGGAGGCTCATGATTGATTTCTTGGGTAATCTTCAATCACCCTTTTATTTATTTTATTTTATTTTCTAACCAGCAAATTGGAATATGCAAAGGTTTTTTTTTTTTTTTTTTCCTGGATTTTCATGTTGTTAATTTTCTTTCCGTAAATATACGAAAAGTTCAATCATATGGATTTTGTTGTATTCCAGTTTCTTACATTTTCTCGGAAACCAAACAGTGCATACCGGTTAATTTTCTTAGGAGGAATACCCTTTTTTTGGTTACAGCTGACAATTATTGACTTATTGTCTTGATGGAATGTGTTACACGAATTAAGCATACGCTATAGGCCAATGCAACTTGTTCTGTCCTGTAAAAGACACCTTATTTCTCTCTCTCTCTGCTCACTATAGTGTTACTTTTGAGCCATAAGACGTCTATAATATAATAATGCAATTTCTGTTGATGTTACGTTTGGTTTGGGAGCACTGAATCGTGCTTTGAATTTGGGATCTCAAATTCAAGCCGCCGATTCAGTGCTAAATATAAACTTTATATCTAACAAAGTGTTACTTTTGATTTTAAGAGAGAGAATGTAAAATTTCAATCCTTTTGTTTCCTCTCAGTACATAATCTAAGAGATAAAAATCTATCCTTAAGGTTCATAATTTGGACACCAGAAGACAAAAGTCCTAGCTGGAAAAGTGTTTGATTAGTCCATATTCAAACTGTGAGGTAACTGCAAATACAAATTCTTGTCACGGACCACACGAGTGTTTTGGCATGGTGTGAATCATTTTAGATCAGCAGGCCCCTTTTTTCTCAACTTCTTAGGTTACCCCTGAAATGGCCTTTAATTTTCATTTCACTGCCCTTTAAATTTTGTGGATTCGTCGCAGCAACAGACAACCAAATACAGCTCAAGAACTGATTTATTCAGGACCAAATCATATGATCATTTGTCCCCCATTAAAAATGCAATCTTGAAAATTCAATTGTGTAAATCCAAATAAAAAAATGTTTCGAAAACTTATGATTAGTAATTAGTATTGTGTTATTGTTGGCAGCACAAGCTTTAGGGTTGCCATTCCTGAGCCCATACCTGCAATCAATTGGATCCGATTATAGACATGGAGCCAACTACGCAACACTGGCATCCACAGTGCTCCTGCCAAACACTTCCTTGTTTGTCACCGGGATCAGCCCTTTTTCCTTGGCCATTCAGCTCAACCAAATGAAGGAGTTCAAGGTTAAAGTTGATCAATTTTACTCTCCAGGTATAACTTGTGCACCATTATTGTACCTCCTCAATTGCTTATTTAATTTAAACTTTTGACAGAAAATTAACATAATGTACATAACTTGGATTTTATTTTCAGGATCAACCAACCTTCCTGCACCAGACATTTTCCGAAAATCACTCTACACGTTTTATATTGGTCAGAATGACTTCACTTCCAATTTAGCAGCTATTGGTATAAATGGAGTGAAGCAGTATCTTCCTCAAGTGGTTTCCCAAATTGCTTACACCATCAAGGTGAGTATTTCACTTATTATAGTCCCTGATTTAATACCTTATCTGTTTGGGTAACAGCTTAAATTGATAAGGCATATATTGGACTATATTCTAATTTCAATGTTTATATATGTTGTTCCATGGAATTTCAAGGAGTTATATGCGTTAGGAGGACGAGCATTTCTTGTGCTTAACCTTGCTCCGGTGGGTTGTTACCCTTCATTTTTGGTGGAGCTTCCGCACAACAATTCCGACCTTGACAAGTATGGATGCATGATCTCCCTCAACAATGCAGTCGTGGAATATAACAATATGCTGAAGGAGGCACTGCTTCAAACTAGACAACAACTTCCACATGCTAGTGTCATATATGTAGACACCCATGCTGTGTTGCTAAAGCTCTTCCAGCACCCCAAATCTTATGGTATGATTCTTTTCCACACCTGCCTAAATCAACTCTAATGGTCTCATGGACTTAATTAGTACTATGTCTTGCTGCTATGTTAGGAACTAATAGTTCATATACATGTCAAAACAGCACTGCAAATAATTTGATATAGTTTTTAATAATATTTAGATATTTTACTCTAATGCAATTCGGCTAGATGGTTTGGATTTACAGACCTAGTGACGTGCCGGTCAAAAGAGGAAGACTAATTGCAATAGAAGGTAAGAGATGGAGAGGGTGACCAAAAATAATATGGGAGTAGGCGAATTGGCATGTAATTAATAGAAAAGCTTAGAGAGAGAGCATTCATGTGGCCGACCCCACATGGGATTAAGGCAAGGATGATGATGATGAGTCTATTGCAATCCTGCAAAATGTTAGTTTGTATAAACACCAGCATAGGAACAACCTGCATAGGAACAACCTCTTGCAACTTGTAGGATATTATTTACAGCATGGTTTAGTCACTACAATCGTGTAGCCTATACACAATTATTTGTAACACAAGAGTCTACACAGCATTATAGTCTTCTTTTTATTTATTTTCTTTTTTTGCTTGATTATCTCTAATACATAGTGACTTTGTTTTTTGCCCCTATATTTATTTTTACTTTATACACACACACTGACACACATTTATGGTTACACTTATTTATTTGTTTTAATGATGGCACAGGACTGAAGTATGGTACCAAAGCATGTTGTGGATATGGGGATGATACCCACAATTTTAGCCCTAAAGTGTTTTGTGGAAACAGCAAGCTGATTAATGGAAGCAATGTCACAGCAACAGCTTGTAGTGATCCATACAACTATGTGAGTTGGGATGGTGTACATGCTACAGAAGCTGCAAACAAGCTTGTTACAAAGGCCATTCTTACTGGCTCTTTTTTTTATCCTCCTTTCCCACTTCATAAGCTCTGTCACCTCCAACCTATTCATTGATCCTCGAGTATCGATCTCCTTTGATTTATATTAATCTGTTAAGCAAAGTTGTTTCACTGTGAAGATTGTTTGACATGAACACTTTTGAGGGTATAAAGATTTAGATTGTTTCACCGAACTTGTTCTTGTGTTTTACAATTTTCATTTTAATATATGTTACAGACTTACAAGCACAAAAAACAAACTGACAACTGCTATATTATGTAAGCCACAAACAGACATGAATATGCAAACGCTGGAACAAACAGAAATTTAAGCAAAAGCATATTGGTATAATCGTTAACTTCAATTGAAGAAATTCATAAGCCTTGTAAATCTAAGGGTCATTTTTAGATTCAAAACATTTGTGTAACACCCAAATAATTTTCCTATTCTACTAATCTAACTGAGATGTAAAAAAAAAAAAAAAACAGATTGAATCATGGAACATAGTCATTTTCGAGCACTGGCTGTGTTCTAATCCCAGATGCTGAAGGCATTTTACTCATTCCAATCCACCTAGTCTCCAATGCTTCACTTTTTTCAGACTGTTTCTCCATCTCTCCAAGTCTCTTCATTTTAACCAATTTATAGATCAACAAACCACCCAAACACCCCAAAACCAATCCAACAAGTCCTACCCCAAACCCTACCACCCACCATTTCCAGAACCTCTGTTTCTTCTCAGACGACGAAGGCACAACAATAGAGAAATGGCCTTGACCACGCGCAATACACGCATTTGGCAGAGTCATATTGCTGAACTCAACTGAACCATCAGTGCCAAATCTCACACATTTCATAGTCACATTTTCACCTTTAGGCTCTGAAATCCGAGGAAAGTGGACCAAAATGGGGTCACCCATGATGCTAAGTTGAAGCACTGCATTGTCTCTTGTGCTCGAATTCCAAGCATTGTAAGTCATGAAGCCAACAACACTAGTGACTAATGTATAATTTGGCACACTATAGTAATAATTTGACCAATTGCCTAGATTTTGATAGACTATAGCTAGTCTCTTCACCAAAGGCATTGGTACAATCCTTGGAGGGATTTGAAAGGAGCTAAAATTGGCTCCTATTGTCCAGAAATTTCTACTTCTGAGTTGAACAATCGAAACTTCCATACCGGAAAAATTAGCTGGCAGAGAGATATTGTAGAGAGTACCTGTATGTGGCTTTACTATTGCATTGTATGCGTAGTCATGAACAAAAACATTCAAAGAATCCGGATTATATCTATCCATGGCCAGAACTAATTGCAATAGGAGCAGCAGTACATAGAACACCACCGGGATGATATACCGGCTTTTCTTGTACCCCATCAGCACCAACTTGATTGCTTCTCTGAGTATTTCATGTGCAGTTCATGTCACAAATGCACAAATTTGTGATGGAAATTTAAACTTCAAAAAGGCTATGAAGTTTAGTCGCATGGATGAGGGTGGGCTTTTGTATTGTTCAACCATTCTATGAGTTGGTTTAGTTGGACTTGGAGAGAGAGGGAAATATATATATATATATATATATAGAGAGAGAGAGAGAGAGAGAGAGAGAGAGAGAGATTGGATATAATTAAAAGATATTAACTTGATAATTCTTAAAATTAATCAACTAAATTGGACATATGGTTGTTTAATGGGGCACATTATGTGAATTAGCTAGCCTTATATATATATTCTTAGTTTGAGTGCTAATGTAGCAGTTCCAGTTGGGTAATTCGTGAGCAGTTGTGTGTATTTGGCCGGTTGATGCTGGTTATGACACGTGGACGTACCCTTACATTTTTTGAAAAACAATCTATCTGAATTTACTCTGTCAAATGGTTTAACTCAGAAAGGAGAGAATCTGAGACATTGGAATCATATTTTGGGCCCAATCAACAATGGTGCCAATGGGCTGGCCTAATTGAGAACCTAAACGGGCTGATAGCATACACATATTTGATTAACTCTCAGTGCCCGGTTCCGCTATAGCTGTGCTGTAAAATTTTGTCACATTTAAAACATGTTTTAACTATGATTCGCAATCGGTATGTGTAAAAAGTTTTTAAGAATATTGAAATCTTAAAAAAAAAATTACGAATCAAACAATACCATAAATTATAATTTCAATATGTTTGTTTTAAATTTTAACACAAAGTTAAAATCTTGGATCCTTAAATCATGTTTGAATATATATTTTTTAGGATCATAGGAGTAAATTTTAATTTTAACGTATTTAAATTGTGCATCGGAAAAAAAAACAATAACATAGCCCTCCAAGGTGGATATATTGAAGATAGGGGACGACCAATCAGGGAGCTCAGCTGATCCACATGTCACACCCTCTTTCTAAAGAAGATACAGAGGGAAATGTTGTGGATAGAAAGAAATGGAACACAAAAATCTTTGACAGAAAGACTCGCAAACAATCAGCGATTGGCTTAACTTCCAACTGAGGATAGAAGCGCTTTGGCGGCCATTCAATTCACATGGCAACAACTGCTTGTGCAGTGGCAGCTTCCACCTCCATGGCGACGACCGCCGTCTTTATGCCTTGTCGCCTCCCCACCACCGCCGCCAGAACCACCATTTGCTCTGCCATACCTTACCTTCCACCGCGTTTGTCCTCCCCAGTCTTTTCCACTTGCTTGAAACCATCTCTAGCAGGTATTGTTTTCTTCTCCTCGTCTCACATTCTCACTGGGGCATTTTGTCAAACGAGTAGTTGAAGTTACCAGGCAAAATACTTTATTTAAGTAATGGTTGTTTCTGTTAACATCTGAGCTGTTCAGCATGTATACGTACAATTGTTTTCCTTGGAGAAAGTATTACTTGATGTATATATACATATATATGTATGTACATGTTTGTATTTTACCTGATAGTGATTTCTTTACTTTTATAACAACAATTTAGAATGAACAAAGTTGTCTTGGTCCAGTGGTCGCTATGGAGCTGGGTATGTGGTTTATAGTTAATTCTACCAAATGATAAAATAAATTATAATCATTTAGAATGGATGTGATGGAATTGATAGAAATAAAGGCAGTGATAAGCTACAGCAAGAAGAGAACAAAACAGAAAATACAATAGTACATTGAATTCTATTTTTGCAATACACTATATATATATACACACACACACATACTGTGGAAGCATTAGAGAAAAATTCTACCTTTGAATTCAGAGAATTAATTTAACAACACCCTTTTTCATTTTTTATTTTAATCCACTGAATGAAAAAGATAATCAGTTCATTGAATGATATTTTGTAATTACCGAAAAAATTATATTTTGCAATATACTCTACTGAAGCAATACTGAATGTGGTTGAATTAAGAAAATTAATTTCATGATGCCCTCTTTAACTTGCTGGTAGTTATTCGACCATTATCAAATGAGTCAAGGGCTGCAAGTACTTGGGGGTGTCAACCGATGATATGCTAAGATGTAGAGCTATAATGGTTTGTTTTTTTTGGCAAGTGTTCAAGTGACCTAAAATGTTGTTTTGATTGCTATGGAATTTTTGGTTCTTCTCCTTCCTCTATTACAATTTATTCGGTGATTCCTAGATAATCGTGTGGTGGTGGTTTAACTTTAACATAGTGTATGCGATTAGGTTAGTGGCGTAGTATTTGGGAAATAACCATTGTGACTTCTTTTGGCATGCTTGGAAGGAGCGGAGTGTGAGAATTTTTGTGATTGTATATTTATGCACCTTTCATTCTCCGAACTTCAAATTAATTTCCTGAACACTGTTTGGATGGAGGGGTTTCGATAGAAACTAGTCTTCTTGAAGTTCTCCAACTGGCACACTTATGTTTCTCGTTTCTCTTTGAAACAGAATCCAGGAGGTTCTCTTTGCTCCAAGTCAAAGCCTCGTCAGAAGAGACGTCTGTTGATGCTGGAGAGTTGTTTGAAGATCTAAAGGGAAAGGTAAGAAACACACTGTGTAACCATCATCAAAGACGAGGCTTGCAACTTCTCGTTTGCGTTCTGTTTTATACATGGCCCGTTTTCGAATATTTCTTTCAGTTGCTTGTTACCACTTCTCTTGATTGAGTTATTTTTATAGTGAATTTGATACATTTTTCTCTTTGACAACATGGTAACTAGTGGGATGCAGTTGAAAACAAGTCTACAGTACTTTTCTATGGGGGTGGTGCAACAGTTGCAGTTTGGTTATCTTCAATTGTTGTTGGTGCCATCAATTCAGTTCCTTTGGTAGGTATCTAATTGTTTTTTCCAATTTAATTTGAATAAAAATTTGGATTTTGGTTACAAGAAATGAATTTAATTAAGACTTCTTAGCATATTATTGAATCATTCTGAACTTCTTCTTCTTATATTTTAACAATTACCAGCTTCCGAAGATTATGGAGTTGGTGGGGCTTGGATACACAGGATGGTTTGTCTACCGGTATCTTCTATTCAAGGTAAATTTTGAAAATGATTTTTGGACACGTTTAAAATGGAGTTTACTTTCTTAAGTGAATACAGCTTGTTTTTGTTGATTCTTCTATGTGCTGGTAAATATTCACATGCATTCCAATAAATAATTGAGTGGTCGGTTTAGATTGCTCATAATATAGCATAATTATATTTGTTGTATAACATTTCTTGAGTTGATTATTATATTTTCCGTGTATTCTGAAAAGAACTAATTCGAGAATTAACCAACATTATGAAGATATCTTTGGTCTAGGGCACGTATCAGTGCATTTTTCTGTTTCTTTTCTCTTATTTTCTTAATATTGATTTATAGACACAAATATTTGTTTTTATCCAACAGAAAAATATTGAAATAATTTCAACATATGTTATGTAGTTCAATTCCTACTTGTTAAACCTTATATCTCAAATAGACATAGGAAAATTTACTTCACAACAGTGATGTATAATCAATAGTGTATCATTTACTCAAATCTCTTGATGTTTTAATCTTTGCTCTCCATGTATGTTTCTGTGTCTTCATATTGTGTGCTTTGTCAATCATATTAACCTTTAGTGGCTTGTAATCGCATGTTTCTCACTAAAAGTAATTTATTTCCCAGTCAAGTAGAAAAGAGCTTGCCACAGACATTGAAGCATTGAAGAAGAAGATTGCTGGAACGGAGTAAAAGCATGTGGTTGGATGGCAATGCCATCTTTCATTTGTTCTCTGAGTGTCCTATACAAGAGTTGTATGCACCTATAATGTAGAATAGTTCTATATTTTACTATTGCTCTTGTATTGCCCAAGTTCTTTGTCTTTCAAATAAATTATTTGAAAATTTTATTCTCTAAATGGCATACAATTGCTTATTGATTGTGTTTGGAGGCTTTTGGCTAAATAAGCCTGTGTGTGAAATCCTTTTTATAATCTGAATATATGAATGAAGTTCAGAACATCAAGAACTAGGCATCCAGCCTAATTTCAATTCTATATCAGAATTTTAAGTCCTGAATTTAGCTAGCCCAATGATTTATACGATGTTAAATTTTGTTAATCTGTCGTTCCTTTGAAAGGATCGAGTATCACTGTGAATGTAATATGAGAGTTGCTTTGCATGAGCACTGCGAAGGCTTTGATCTTAGTTTTTGTGTACACAACAAACATTCAATCACAACGACAGACTGTTACAACAAATGCACAAGATTAAACCATTTATTAACATGGTTAGACAAACCCGGTTGTGTCCACTGATGGAAGAAATAATTCACTACATTCCATAGCGAAGTAGAGAATTTCCTACTTCAAATGTTCTGAGGTATCCCATGACCGATTGCAGTGAACTTGCCCCATGAGAGCTATCAGCTTATTTACATATATATATATACTTTTTCCCAAGGACTATGTTTCAAATGGCTATATTTTTCATCTTACATAAACAATCATTTGCTCATCTATGAATCATTACCACATTCACATCTCTTTCATTGTAGCAAAATATCGTTCTCCATCTCCTTCAATCTCGAAATTCCCAATGGCTTCGCCATCACGATCTTTTCTTACTAGACTCTAATTCTTCATCTTCTTCGTCATCCTCTTCATCAGACCCTATTGACACCTACAACTTGCTTTTGAATTCAGTGAGGCCAGACTTAGTAGAACAAGTCTTTCAACCACGTAACATTGCCGTGACTGAGAGGGAAGCCCAATGAAAGAGTACTTTGACGAGAATTACACATATCCACCAGAGTATTTTCACAGACGATTCAGGATGCGACGAGAACTATTTTTTCGTATCCTGGATGATGTTAAAGCTTATGATGACTACTTTGTCCAAAAAAGAGATGCGATAGGGCATTTGGGGTTGTCTTCTATACATAAATTGACAACTACAAAACGTATACTTGTGTATGGTTGTGTAACCGATCACTGTAATGAGTATATTAAAATCGGCGAGAGCACTGCCATTGGAAGTGTGATGACATTTTGTAAGGCTGTTGTTGGTGTGTATGGGGAGGAGTACATGTGCCCACCTAGCGAAACCGACATAACATAACTGCTTTGAGAAGGGGAGGAGAGAGGATTCTTGTGTATGCTTGGTTCTATCAATTGTATGTACTGGGAGTGGAAGAATTGCCCAGTCATGTGGCATGGGACGCTCAAATTCGTGGGTATGCTTGGTTCTATCAATTGTATGCACTGGGAGTGGAAGAATTGCCCAGTCATGTGGCATGGGACGCTCAAATTCGTGGGTATGCTTGGTTCTATCAATTGTATGCACTGGGAGTGGAAGAATTGCCCAGTCATGTGGCATGGGACGCTCAAATTCGTGGATCTGACATGCATTCTTTGGAATGCCAGTATTGTCCCAGGCTGATTGCCTCCGATTAATTTTGTGGTGAATGGGCATCAGCATAGAATGGGGTATTACCCATTTCCCCAGCGGCAAATTCGAAACTTGTACAGAGGGAGTAGTATATTTACTGACAATTCATATTATATTTAGTAAATATGTAATTGCAATCTTTTACATGTTATTTCATGTACATTACTTTAACCATGAGTTTAATATCTTTCGTGAGGATCTAATTTATTTATGATTTTAAATATGATTATGATTGTGTGATTGTTTATTTATAGTCCACTTCGTAATGTCCAATTTTACCAAGCTTGAATTTGTGACACTTGATATCCTGGGCAAAAACCATTTGTCATGGATCTTTGATGCCGAGATCCATTTGGATGCCATGAATCTCGGAGACTGATGGTATATACCCAAGTGTACAACTTTAATGCAAACCATCGTGCTCTCAACTACTAGAAAAGAAAAACTATTTGCTCAAAAACAAGAGGCATGTAGGAAAAATGTAGAACGGGCTTTTAGAGTCTTGCAGATTAAATAGGCAATAATGCAAGAGCTTGGGTGTCTTGCAGATTTAAGTAGGATTTAAGTGGGCAATAACACAAGGACCGGTGCGTGTTTGGGAGAAATATGACTTGTGCCTCCTAATGAAAACGTGTATCATCTTTCACAACATGATCATTAAATATGAGACAATATGATCATTGAAGATGAACATCACGCCAATATTATGTAATATAATCTCCTCATTAAAAAAAAAAAAAAAAAAAGCAAAATATAAAATAAAAGTGGTAAGAATTGATGCATATATAAAGGTATTATTATTATTTTCCTACCCATCAAGGAACCAAAAACAAACCTTAGATTCAATTATTTTGATAAGCATCTAATCTACATTCGCAACTCTTTCATTGTTTGCACCCAGACGAGCCCTTGGTGAGCTATCCCAAGTTCTAAGAAAAGGTTATCACAGAGGGCGTGAGAACGGATCTTGTGCACTCGTAATAGACCTGTTCTAAATTCTAAATAAAATTCACAACCCACCGTTTCTATTATCAATCAAGCCAAATGCAACCATACATATGGTACAAGAATAAATAAAAGCACCCATTATGCAGTCAAACAGGATACCAAAATTTATGTTAAGGATCTCTGATTTAAAGGAATAACAAGACAAATCCAAATATATTATAATCTAATTATAAATATGAGGGTCTAAAAAGTCTCTCGGGTTACTCTGACCGTAATTAGCACTTCCAATCAATGTAGGAAAAATCCAAATTTCGCAAAGTGTGTAGCTTCAACTGAATTTGAAAACTATAGTGGGAGGAGGAAATAAATCCCATAAACTTCGAGCACCCAAAAACCTCCAAGAAATTCACAAACAAAATCTTTGGGAACTGCTCTATTTGTTTCTTAGGCTTGACAATCAAGATAAAGCCCATGTAACCTTGTGATGTCATCTAAGGGTGAAGACCTATGGAAACTGTCACAAATCTTCCCCTTTGAAGATATGAACACCAACCTTAATTGGAGTCCATGCCGGCCAATTCTCAACAGAGCTCAAACCTGGCCTTAACTACCTTGGAGGTAATTCATGTAGACATATCAAATGAATTCTTGCTAGTGCAGTTGATCACCTCACGAGGCCATTAAGATAGAACATTAATCTAATTTCGCAATGCAGTTTTACATCCGAAGCCCCAACAATTTGTAATGTATAGAACTAAAATACCTTTAACATACTAGACAATTTTTTTTGCCAAAGATACTGTCAACTCCTAAAGCCTTCGAACTGTCAGCAGATGTCATCTGCTCCTAAAACCCTCCCTGTTTCCATCTTTACTAAGAGCAATTTTTTACCCCTAATCCATCCTTAAATCCTGCAAGAGGGGCAATTATAATTTAACCATATTCTGGTAATTCTAAGATACTCCTACGATTTTATATATATCTAAGATACAAGAAAAAAGAAAAAAGAAAAAAAAAAGAAAAAGGGGGACTAATGGTGGGAGACAGGAGTGATCTTGACAACCGACCACCACCTTCAACAACTATAGTCGGAGGAAAATATCTTCTATAGTTTGGATTTGGAGTCTATTTGTACTCCAACAACTATAGTTTGGGTTTGGAGTCTATTTGTACTTCAACCGGTTCAAGACTTCATACCTTATTTGCATCATTAATTCCATAAGGGAATTATCAACGCCCTTTCAATAACAGCCAAACTAGTCAATAAAGAAAAAAAGTTCCAAATTCCCAATTCATCTCCACACATGACACAACGAATCAAAAGATTATCAATTGCCGATCACACAATTCAATCATCAAATTTAAGATTGAACAACAAAAACTACTCAAAAACCAAATATTTTGCAAGGACAATAACTAAAATTAAACTCAGAATTATTGCATCCAATTCATCGTTATCAAAAGCATAAATCATCATACATGAATCCCCACGCAGACTGCTATATAGATCCAGGTATTACACATAAAGCCAGTATATTTATACCAAATAAGCCCACAGGCAATTATAATAATTCAAAGACGAAGACCAGAGATAGATGTCCACAAACCCTAGATTTTATCGATGTCTTCGTCCTCAAACTCGATGTAATCATCACCTGCACCCTCGTCCTCCTCGTCGAGGCCTCCGGCGATGCCCTCGTTGAGCCTGGTGTTCTCCGGCAACTCGCCGTACGCCTTGAGGAGCCTGGCCTCATCGGGCATGTACTTGAGGATGACGTCAGCCTTGTCGTCCTGGTAATCCCTGAGCCCGACGAGGATGATGTCTCCGGCAGCGATCCAGACCTTCTTGTGCATCTTGCCGCGGATATGGCAGAGACGCTTGGTTCCGTCGATGCACATGGCCTCGCAGCGGCCGTTGCCGAGCATACGGAGGACCTGAGCGTACTCTTGGCCGTCTTCCTTAAAGACAAGCTCGCGCTTCTCGTCGTCGGCCTCGTTCTTCCCTCTCTTGCGGTTCTTGCCTCCCTTACCCTTGTTCTTCGGCATGTCTGAAAACCCTAGATCGGACGGTTGTGGTTCGCTGTTGTTGTGGTTGGTCTAGATATAGAGAGAGAGAAAACCTAGTTAAGCTTCTTATCGGATCTGATGAGAGATATATGTACGTGTTCGATTTGAGCCCTTTTTTTCTACAGTTCTCTACTTTCTCTCTCTAAGCTAGCGTTGAACTTACGATAGTGTTTTACGGGTTTGGAATATCTGGGAATTGTGGACTTTAATACCCTTTTTGATTTTAGAATATAGGCGAGGCTGTGGCGGTGTCCTTTTTATGGGCTCGTGGGCTGCATTTGGAGATTGACACGAAATCAATCGGTCCACCAAATCCATCGGCTGGTGTGAGTCTGTAGACGCGTGGCTCGAGAGAATCTTCTGAGAAATGTTACCTTCACAGTGATAGGTTGCCAATAAGGTGACAATTTGAAAGAAGTTGGACCTCTCACGGCCTTATTAAGAAAGGATAAGTCACACTAAAATTCGTTACCAATTAAAATAAATCCATATAAGCTACTATTCTTGACCATATAAGTTATCAATTAAAATAATTAAAATAAATCTTATAAGTTATTATTTATTTTTGAAAAAACATCATAATTCATTTTGATTGATCTGTTTCACAGTATGGTTCAAGTTTTTTAATTTTATTACAGGTGTATTATGTTTTCTTTCAACTTTGGAAGTAATTTATTTAATTTGTATAAATTTTTTCTTTTGAATGACTCCATTTATTTTTGAAAAAATATTTTAATTTATTTTAATTGATCTGTTCCATGGCATGATTCAAAATTCTTTCTTTATTACAGGTACATCATTCTTTGAATTGCATTAATCATGTTGATTTTTTTTTTTAATTATATTTTATTCTTTGAATTGCATTAATCTTGTTATTTTTATTTTATTTTTTGTGTTTGTTTAATTATGTCACATCACCATTTATTTTTGAAAAAAACATCTTAACTTATTTTTATTGATCTGTTTAGCTGCATGGTTCAAAATTTTTTATTTTATTAATTGCAAGTACACTATGTTTTCTTTCAACTTTGGTAGTAATTCCTTTGAATTATATATATGTATATTCTTTTAGATGACTTCATTTATTTTTGAAAAAATATTTTAATTTATTTTGATTGATACGAACCATTGTTCAAAATTCTTTATATTATTATAGGGACATTATTTTTTGAATTGCATTAATCAATCAATGGATCAGTGGTCTAGTGGTATTTATCAACTCTTACTTTCTAAAGGGAGGTCAGGACTTCAAGTCTCAGAAGAGACAAGTGTGTGACTAACTACAAAAAAAAAAGAAAGAAAAAAGAATTGCATTAATCATGTTGATTTAATTTTTATATATATATATATATATTTGTTGCATTTGTTTAATTATGTTTTATTCTTTGAATTGAATTAATCATGTTGATTTATTTTTATTTTTATTTTTGTGTTTGTTTAATTATGTAATGTCAGCCTTTATTAACTAAACAAATAAGTTTTGTAATATTATATATTTTCTTCTCTATAAGGTTTTAAATATTATATATTTCATTCTCTAATTATTATATTCATATTATACAAATAATTACAACCCCTTCAACTTTAGATTTACTTTTAATCTTCACAACACATTTCATTTCATAAATATTTAAAATTTTAATTACTCACAAAAATTATTAATCAATTATTTAAAAAAGTGAATTTATTTTGATAATTTTTATATAATTTTTTTTTTAATTAAGATTACAAAATAAATTAATTTTCATCTATCACTGCCACACGCCACTGCCGCGCGCGCGAGATCTAAAGACATTTGGCCGACATAATATAAATATTTAGATGAGCTGGACTTAAGATTAATAAGATGCTGATATGAAAATGACATTAGTCCTTCAAGAAAAGTAAGAAAAGCTTGACATTCCACAACTACTTAACGCAGTTGAAGTCTTTGCATTGAGCCCCAGCCCAACGATATATCCATCCTCAAAATGCATTTTAAAATGGATTTGGAGAACCAAAAAACTCCTCCATTATAGGAACACATTTACATCTTTTTTGTGTAACAAAATCTGGCTCACATACAAAACAACAATCTTTCGAACCAGACAGACATTGGCGGCACTACCACCTAAGCATTACTTTGATATGCTTTACGCAAGGCAAGGTAAAGGTTAGGAACTTAGGGCTGTATGAATCAAGCAAAATTAGCATAATGACTATCCTCAGCCATGAATGTCAGTGCCTAATGGTAAGCTCAGCTCGGAGATGAAGGATGCCATTGACGAAGTAAAGACTATCCTCAGCCATGAATGAAGTCCATGGTATACCAAACAAGTTTCGATAGCCTACTGCCTTCCCCCCGGTGAAAGTGTAGTTACCCTTGTATTTGCTAATGTAATCCTCTGTTGGCTTCGACCTGGCAGAAAACTCATAGTCAACTGCAAAACTCACCGTCCCCTTTTCTTGCATCCCTAAAAACAGCCCAAAACAATGGAAAGAGCTCTGCTGGTCCATGTTGCAATGTGCTGACAAGAAGAACCCTTGTCCACCCAAGTGGAATGCTTGAGAATACACCCGCCCTGATGGGAACAAATTTGCACACTCCTCCCGTTTCAGATCCAGGTACACCACACACTGTTGCCTTGGAAGTTCAAACTCAACCACCTTGATAGGCCGATACTTGTATGCGCGCTCCACAAAGCGGCGATTCGTAATGGCAGACTCCTCTGCAGCCAGGATCCGTTGTCGGTGTGGAGCCTCAGCCTTGAAAAAGAGGGCCTCCAGCACAGCCTTGGATGCAAGCTCGTGATCAAAGTCATTGCAGGTTAAAGCCTTCTTAAGCTTTCGGCAGGTCATGTAGGGGAAGCGGATGAAGCGACCAAGGCGGGAACCCAATATTTCTCGTCGCTCTTCCAGTTTTGGGTACTGGGTCCTGGCCCACTTCAATACGAAGTCATATACAGCATCTTCTGATGCCACCTGGAGATCATCACTGGACAAAATTGCCTCAATTCCAGCAAGGGGCAAGCTCATAACCTCGTCCTGGAACCTGCCAACATGAACAGAAGTCTATAACTGAGCTATTGAACAACATTATGCAAGCAGTAACACTACTAGATAAACGCAGCTCAGATATTATAAAAATAGCTGAATAACCCTCCTGCGATTTCAAGATGCAATATAATACAATGTTGACACTTGGACCAAAACCATGACCTACAAGATGTCGCATGAAGTTTCATCAAAGGGAATGAAGCTAACAGGCACTAGCCTCAAATAGATGGGGGTTTGGAATACAAGTACAAGAGGTTTTTGGAGGTTTCTGTGCTCAACAAATTTGACATGTGGCATTTACTATATTTGAACCTAAAATAAAAAGAGGAAAGCATCTAAAGAAATTATTAGATTTTAATTTCAAGTTGCAATGAAACATCAATAATACGTGAAATTGGCACGGGAAAATGACAAAAAAAAATTTCATACAGGCATGTTTGGCCTGAGTTATACATGCTATCCAAAACTAATCTACCTACAAAGTAGAAAAGAAATGTTTATTTTAATCTCAGCATTCACACAGGAAAATTTTTAAAAACAATTATGAAAACGGTGTCGGACAAAATATACTGATGAAAATGAAAAAGTTTTTGGTCATAGAGAATAATAAAGAAGTTGAGAAAGGACAGGAATTTTAAAATTTCAAACATAAAGAACGTGGTACATATTAAAGAAGAGCTCACTTGGTTATGTCTTTGTAACGGGCAGCAAGAAACTGCTTTGCTGTGTCTGTCAATGGTTGAACTGCATCTCCAATTAAAACACTGGATGGAAGCTCCAGGTATAGTAATGCAGACTCGGGTGTCATGGGTAAATTCCTCAAAAGTCGGCTGCAATACCTCATGCATGACGCAACCTCAAATTTGTCGGCAGCCATTAGCACATCCAGCAAAGCAGGAGCACTAGTTGTAGTTAAGGTATTGCTATACATAAAATTCAGGAGCTCCATGAGGGCAGCTTCCTCTGTTCCATGGGGAAAAAAAATACTGTAAGCTGACTTTGTTTGTTATATAACGATATTTATTTTTATAGTCACAAATCACTATAACCGAACAAAATGTTAAGTTGGAATAATTATGACCTTAAACAACACTCAACTACCACAAAAGAACTATTACATGTATAAAATTTGTAGCTGCTGTGATTAATAAATATATATATAACTAATTTCAAGTACTAGTTATGGGAAAGACCATTGTCAAGTTCAAAGTTGAGCAAGAACCCACCACACAAGTAACACTTTCAACAAAGTTAAAAGAACTACTAGAGAAAGTAGAATGCTTGGAATTTTATGCATACCCGAGGCATTTATTCGTAGGGTGACATGTCGCTGTTCTGACTCCCTCATTCCATTTGAAAAGAGCTGCATAATTAAAGGAAAAAACATCATACAGAGATTTTAAAAAGCCAAGGGGAGAAAAAGAAATTACGGGAAATGTGACCTTTACCTTGTAGAAAAAGGGACTTTTTGCTGCTAAAATTGGAGAACTAATATGTAAAGTCTTAACTCTCAGAACCGTAGAACAATCCATGCTCCAGTTTGAATCATTGATATCTGCAGCTTCCTCTCCTGAAAAAGTAATATGCCATCTTAACATCATGCAAGACAAAATGTACCACGTAAGAGTTGATCACAGCAGCCTTAAGTTGACAAGACATTACAAATGTTTTAATGCAAGAAGAAATAGTAACTGAGTTACAAATGCTTTCATATGGCGCAGCCTCGCACCTAACGCAGTTAACTAACTAAGATCTTTGGGAAAAATCTGTGGACAAAAAGTTCACCATATTTGATATATACATACAAGAAAACAATTTACTTGAAACATGTTTTCAATCCATTTGCCGCCCAACTAGAATCCTATAGTTATTATTATTTATATAGAAAAGGAGCTTTCCCTTGATAGAAATTCTCTTTGAATAATAAGTGGTTCACTTAATAAAATCCTTTATCGATTGCCTAAAGCAAAAATAATAACCTCACTTGAGAGGTTCAAAAAATTTCACATATCCCTTCCCTTACATCTGCTGTGATGCCACTATCTACATCATTAATGCTCAATCAGCCATGCTGATATGTGCAGTGCAGGTTATTGCATTGCAACTTATTCCAAAATCTTCCACTCTTTCATGTCTTCTATGTTGTATATTTGTGATCCAGTTTGGAAGACGTATACCAAATTCATAGAGATCACTGTGCCATACATATTTGACAAACAGAATAACCTGTGATCAAAGGGTGCAAAAGGCCTTAGATAGAGTTCAAATGGCAGAAATAGAATTTGTCGCGCCAATAACCTAGAGTTGGGATTTTAGGTTTCCTGAGCCAAGTAACTGATACAGTTAAATGTTTCAAGTTAATTTGCTTTCCTTTTCCCCCCAATTTTAACAAATTTCACTTAAAAACTAGTCCAACAACTCACTGAAAGTGAGTTGTACTGCCTTATCGATATTATAGGGAAAAAAAAAAAAAAAAAACAAATAAACTAGAATTCTGAAATTCCTAGTGAATTCTAGACTAAAGCAAAGTTTAAACACACAACTTGAAATCATTCCAACACCTGAAGGTAATTCTTCAATCATTGCAACAAATTCCTCCTCTTGGTTTTTAAAGACGACACCATCATCATTATCAGGCTGATTACAATTCAAAATCTGCTCCTCTGGGCATGCAGAAATATCAACAGCTGCAAACAGAAAGTAAATGTCAGTTAACATTAGTATAATAAACCGTAAGGGAACGTGTTATAAGCATGCATGATACACGTAATATGGCAGGAAGGGAAAGCATTCCTGTGAGTGAACAGCCCTCCCGATCATTCATCAGATTTTGTTTTTTCGGTAAGTAAAGAAAAATCAGAAGATTAAATGGTCCAAGGGCTCTAATAATATAATTAGGATCCAAACATGAAAAAAAAGAGAACAAAAATAAGGTGCTTTCCTTTTACTAAAAATTATTAAATGATCAAAATCAGCTTAAGCGTAGACCAACTAACATGCACTTTCAAGTATGAAGTGCGGTATACCACTTTCCCTGTGTGACTGTACTAGAGAGAGAGAGTATACTAATTTGACACACAAGAGTCGACCATCTCCCTAATTGCACACAATGGAAAATTCACCATAAATTTGATCACAACTTAAACATCAGAAGCACATTCAAACTGAAATAATGATATAGTTCAAATTCTAGCATTTAATCGAATTTCCGGAACGATGTTTTCCCATGTACATCAATCAAGTTGCTATCATAGCTCTAAAGAGTCTAAAACCCCAAATTTGCACTTGGTTTGCAACTTTACCCAGTTCTTTCTTCCTTTTTTGATTTGAGAGGATGAACTCATCTTAATTAATCCAACAAATAGTCGAATTAGGCTCAATTAACTACACTTTTAGTTTCCCAAGTCCTATATAGTAAAAAATTTCACGAAGTTCCCATTCCGTCATTTTCCTGCATTTTCTCAGCAGCCAAACTTTTGTGTGTGTATATTTATGAGCAACCACAACATCAACATCGACAAAATGACAGTCAAACCTCCAAATTCTAGCAAAATCTATAACGGCAGATGATCATCAACAACCACATGTCATGCCTTAACCTTATCTATATGAAAAAAAAAGGAAAAAAGTCATGAAATACCAACCATTTTCCTTCTTAATATCTTCTCTCCTCCTCTTACGGCTCGCCCAATCGGCCAGAGATTGACAACTCTCGCAGCCGTCCGACCGTGTCTCCGGCGACTCGGCCATGATCTCGATCCGCAGAACCCGGTCGGAGAAGTTGCTATCGTTAAATGCGAACCCAAAGTCACCGTCCCTACTACCGCCGTCCGGCAAGTAATCCGAATCCATCACCGTTCTCGGATCGAATAGATCCAACTTCGCGTCCCTCATCCTCTCTCTCTATCTCTCTGGAATGGAATAACCCTATGAATTACGACCTTTCTGACCCGATTATAAGAACATTTGATATGAGAGAGAGAGGGAGGAGAGATTTTAGAGAGAGAGAGAGTCAGAAAGGTCGGAAACTAAAAAAAATTGTACAGCTTTTCTGTAATAAGCTTTTGGTGTTTTTATTACATAGACGTGTTTCTGTTTTGGCTAAAGGTCAACAGAAAATTCGGTAACAGTATGGTAAACATTACCTAATATTTTTCATATTTTGAGAAATTTCACAATGCTCACCACTGTATATTGTATTGTGCCTATACACAACAGCTATTATTATGATCATTATTATTATTATCTGGTAAACAAAGTTTCTTATTATTAGTTCAAGTTTGTTACAACATTCATATTTTTTGTTTTAAGCTCAAACAGTTATTTGATTAGAAACTCTGATAAGCACAAGTTTGGAAAAAAAAAGGAAAAAAAAAAACTTATAAATAAATTGAAAATGAATTAAGAATCAGAATTATAGGCACGGAAAGTCTTATGTCGCTTTCGTAATGACTTACATTGTTTATGTAACATGCATATTACATAAATATTTGAAGGTAACATAGAAGAGATTTTGTTAGATAGTGAATTACAGAAGATAATCTATTCTTCTTATTTATGAAAATATATATATCTTTTTTAAAGAAAAAATTAACGTGTCAATTAAGTAATTACATGCATAGATTTCTTAACTTTTTGTTGAATTTTTTTTTTAAAAAAATAAAGTGTGGAAAAAATTAACAATAAAATGAGTAGTTATCAATGATTTATGGGGTACATTTTTTTGGTAACTTATCCCAACCCTGATTAGCACAAACATAAACTCATCATAATGGAGACAAAGTTGGAAAGAACCATGTGGTTGGGTTAAATGCCATGTCTAGTCAATAGCAATTCTAAAGTAATAGCTAAATGTAGTTTCTTCCAAAGTAGGTCAAAATCTTTGGCTAAAATTAATGTGAATTGTGTTTTTGTATCAAGAAATTCTTTAATTGCTTGCAAGTGTTTGTGTGATGGATTATTGTTATTGGCACCGTCTAAAATATAAGGTCGAGGGTGAAAAAAATCGTGTTTGAATTTTGACTACGAAATACAGAGTACGTAATTGCATAAATTTTTGGGGAGCTTTATTATTATCTATGAAGTTTGAAGGGGGGCAAGTATTCAAAATATAAGTTGAGAATTGGGCATGAAATTTTATGAAAACTAATCATAAAAAGTGGTTCTGTGGCCACCCTAAAAAGGAGATAAATCATATAGTGCAAAGCCCACCATCTTCATGTCGGCCGAAACAATGAACACCAAGTATAATGAGATATTTGAAAAAGGGTAAGCTCTAATTTCACTATTCATGGGCTTAGGTGGCCTAATCATACCAATAATGGAATAGTGTTTTCAAATCAAATGTGCCAACCATTTTTTTAATTTTGTTTTACTTTTTATTATTTTTTATGATTGTGGTATAGGCCTCTTAGATCATCCCATGATCTACTTCTGGACATATGTAGTATTCTGTCTTACATGCATAGAAAAATATCCCGGTACAATTACTGGGGAAAAAAAAAAAAAAAAGTGCACTTATTAAAATATGTCACTTAGAAATAATGTTGTATCCATTTCATGCTATCTATCTATTTTAAAGCGAAAAACAGTGCGTGTCTATTATTTTTTATTTATATTTATTTTTGATAAGTACAGTGAGTGTCTATTATATTTTCAGAAATACTGATGCCAGGTCATTTGGAATGTCAATTCTTGTTAAAAGAGTTGTTTATAATTTTTTTTTCCCTATTTGTAATTCATAGGATTTAGGGTTTCTTCCAAAACGCCAATTTAACACCCAGGTTGCATAATGGAAAATATTGCCTTGCTCTTCTAAGTTATGTTTATTTAAAAAAAAAAAAAAAAAAAACCCACAACACAACATATCTCATGGACTCCTCATACCCACCACCGCAAGACCACCTAATTTTATCATATTAAATCATGTTTAAAAAAGAAACCTAAGCCCATTATATGTTGGCAGCTAAGCTTGCTGTGACACCAACTACTCCCTGGGCAGCTCAGTAATGGAAATAACTACCACCTTCCAATTCACGACGAAATTAAATACAGTAATAATTATATATCTTTCAAGTTTCCCGCCCTTAAATTTCTTTTAATTTTCCAAGTCAGGGTGAAGAGTCAAAATAAACTCAAACCATGGTGATCATTAATATGCTCTAGACAGTTGATGTGTACAATAAATAATTCTTATGGAGGCATACATATAATCCAGTTCGGGTATCAGAAAGCCTAATGCAAATTCTTCCTCAGTTGTAAATTGTCCCCTTTACATTATATGTACTTCACCGGACGATTCATCCATGACTCGCTCGTGGTTAAGAAATTACACAGCTGCTAATTGACGAGGAAAATGATTTCTCTAAATAAAAGAAAATTTTCAAGGTTTGACACCAACAAGCTCTGTTTCTGTGGTTGATCATCATTGGACAGAACCCCAAAAGGGGAAAGTAATCACTTACTATCATTCAATTCCTCCAAACAGTAGGAATCAGTACATACAACCCCAGAAAACGGTTGCTTCTTTTGGTTGTGCGTGAAAGTATCATGTTCACCTTCGGCAGTTCAAGCAGGCTCGAAGAGACCCAACATGTGCCCATCAATGCACCGCATGGCTGCAACCTGCCAGAGCCACTCTATTGTGAGGGAAACAGATAGAGAAGAATGGAGGGAACTTGAATACTTGATTTTATACTTGATAAAAATGAATTTTACAATCCATGCAACTTGGAAGTTGGGTATTCACCTTTCCATGGATCTCATACTTGATGGAACCATCCAACTCTGCACCTAAAGCCATTAATTTTGTCACCGTATTGTTTATGTCAGTCACCGTAAAGGATAAGACTGAAGAGTATCCCTTCTCCACGGCATGTACACTGTAAAAAACTCAAGTCAGCTACTGCTTCAGATCACTGTATTCCGACACAGTCGCTAATAAGGATATAAAATACATTATGAATTTCCAAAATATGGCCACCAAATCACCAGAGAGGAAAGGAAGCCAAAAACATAAGAGAATTTTCTGTGCAAAATGCCAAAAGATGAATGTAAATAGAAGGGAGTGAAGTTTTATTGCACAATTTCTGCCCAAGTGAGCAGAGAGTTTATACAACTCAAGTTATGGAAACTAGTGACAGGTTAGGGAATGAGGGCTCCTACTATTTTTTTTTTTTTTTAAGTATTATTATTATTTTTAGGGATAATTTCACTTATCTCCCCTGAGGTTTGGCGTAATTACAGGCGGTACCCCTTACGTTTCAAAAATTACACTGACCTCCCTCCAAACTGATCGGCATTTTATTCCGGCCATTGACCATGTTAAAAGACAAACACCCTCTAGTGTTTTATTAATATCACATAAAGAATATCTTTTTTTTGAGATTACCATATTGTCCCTAATATTTTATTAATATCACATTAATTATTTTTTCTAAATCAACTAATCAAGGTCAAAAATATATGGGTAATTTACACAGACCTCCTATGGTTTGTCATAATTACAGGCGGCGCACTTCCTGTTCCAGAAATTACGCAGATCTTCCTTACTTTTGAAAATATCTACACGGACCTTCCTTCCGTTACGGTCAATGTCAGTCAACAACGGAAAATGATGACATCAGCTACTATTTTTCATGAAATGCCGAAAATACCCTTTCCTATATTATTTCATATATATATATATATATATACCTCTCTAAGTAAATGTAAGATCTGGAAAATGGAAATATATATATATATATATATATATATTTCCATTTTCCAGATCTTACATTTACTTAGAGAGGGCCTTCAGAAGCAGAAGGTTACTTATGGTAGCTGGTAGGTTAGAAATTTTGTTTTTGCTAAGATTCAAAAATTCCAAGGACACCAAACAACCAATTTCGCTGGGCACATATGTTAGAGCATCTCCAATGTTAAAACCTATTTCCGCATACCAAATCTATATTTTGACAGGTGCTACAGTGCCAAAATGCTACATTTTAGCAATTCTGCTCCAATGGTACATTTCACGTAAAATGATTTTTTTTAACATAACCACTATTCTTTTTCAACTACCATTCTCACTATTCATATTTGTATCAGTAATATTAATATTAGGTGCATTCCAAGTCAAGTTGTAGACATTAGAAGGAAATTAAAATTAAACCTAATTAAAAAGAAGTACAAATTTAAAATATCTTATCAGAAAAGGACAAAAACAAAAAAAAAAACAAAAACAAATTTTTTATAATTTTTTTACCACTATTTGTGAATTAATTTTTTTATATAATTTTTTTTTTCGGAAATTTATATATATTATATATATAATATGCATATAGAGATGCGAGTGGGTGATGACTGGTGAGAAACGACACCGTTTTGGGAAATGAGAGACTTGCCAAAAAAGTTTAGCAGCTGTGAGAAGAAATTTGAGAATCTCAAATTTTGAGAGCTCAAATAAGATCCTATTGGAGAGGCCTTTTTTACCTAACTCTCATATTTTGAGTTTTAGAGGCCCAAATGAGAGAGCATTGGAGTTGCTCTTATATTGCAGTCTTCCATATTCAATTCCCTGATGCTACTTGATAACTGTAACGACGAAAAGCTTAATTCAAGTGGGGATCCTTGAAAAAATGTTGGCCACTCTAATTTGGAGCAGCCGAATAAACTGAAATCAAGGAGAGAATTCAACGTGAAAATGCACAGAGGAATCTTTGAAGATTATGGCAATTCTTCAAATTTAAGACAACAAGATTTTTCAGATGTTCAGATGAACCATGATTCAGTTCAGATGAATCAGCGGACTGATTGAAGACCCAATAGCAACCGGTGACACACCCAAGTTTCAGTTCAGATGAACCATGATTCCAGTGATCTACCGTCTGTGCAAATATAGAGAAAGCTTCATCTTCTGTGTACTTCTATTAGTGCGAACTCCGGTAAAGATTGAAGACATACCCATTTCGGTGACGGGGACACAACGGCGAGCTCCAAAACTACAACTACTAGTTTCGGTGACAGTGATTGAACCAGCGCACCTCTAGTTCAGAAGTATCCAGCTTTTCCAGTGATCTTCATTCTGCAGTAACAAGTTCGACGAGCTACAATTAAAGACCGAACAACCCCAGCATGTCTTAGTTAAGGCGAACAACAGTTCCAGTGACAGAAATCCGGCAAGCTGCAATTTCAGCAAAACCATAACAATTAGACCCATTTTGGTGACCATCTAGTGAGTTGCAAGACATGCATGCGACTCTGGTGAACAAACAGCGAGCTTTGTCCAATCTCTTTCGGTAAGCTTGGTCTGACCTAGTAACGAGTACTGGTTCGGCGTGTTTCAGTTCCCGTTCAGACCAAACAAAGAGCCAAATCGGAAAACAACACGACCAAACCGACCGGATGTAGAGCTGTGATGTTCATGGACCAAAAACAGAAAGCTTCCATCTTGATTCATCTCTCTTGAAGATATATATATGGCTGTGCTCAGGATAGGGATGTTGTACGGCGGCGAACAAGGTCTGATAATGAGTTGAAACGGCAGCGAGAAAGAAGCTTTTCCTTTGGGCTTGGTTAGCCAAGATTGTCTCTGTGTTGGTGACGACGGCGACGGCGGTGGAAGGAGGTGGCGGAAGAAGTTGCCAGCGGTGGGAGGAGATGGCGATGGAAGAAGTCGCCGGCGGTGGGAGGAGATGGTGATTAAGTAGAATATTTATATTTTTAATTAAAAGATGATGGGTAGGTTAGTAATTTCAGATGCCAAGGAGAGGGTATTTCAGTAATTTTGATAGGTCCGTTAGTGTATTTAACGGTCTGTCACACATAAGGGAGGTCCGTGTAGGATATTTTCAAAAGTAGGGGAGGTTTGCGTAATTTCTGAAACAGGAAGGGTGCCGCCTGTAATTATGGCAAACTATAAGGGAAGTCTGTGTAAATTACCTAATATATATATATATATATATATATATATATATACATATAATTTTAGGGCAAATCATTTCAGCCTCCCTAATCGCCTCCATCTCAATTCTCGTTCTCAACTCTGAACTTGCCCTCTCTCTCTCTCTATCTGCAACTGCAAACTACAAAATCTACAAGAATCAGAAGTTCAAAACACATATATTTCAGTTAATCTATCTGTCGGCAAGAATCAAAAGTTCAAAACCTATTACCCATACCAAAACCCATATCGGCATATCATTTCAAATTGTTCAAAAATCAAAACCCATATCTTTCAGTTTCCATCGTCCGTTGTTCCAGTTAGGGTTTGCCGTTGGCAAGCTTCAGCCACGGTCTCTCAACTCTTGGCTTGCCTCCCTCTCTCTCTGCAACTGCTAGCTTGATGTTGTGGTGTGCTTTTAAGCTTTTTCTACCTAAAATCAATGAATTAATAGTTTGACAAAAACAGAAAATTCAAACAACACATTATCAAATTAAATCCAAAAAAAAAAAAAATTCAAAATTCAATGAAATTCTTCCAAGAACCTGCAACATCCGAGCCAATTCCTCATCGGATTTCACCAATTCGGCATCAACAGCATCTGTCGGCAAGAATCAAAAGTTCAAAACCTATATCGGCATATCATTTCAGATTGTTCAAAAAATCAAAACCCATATCTTTCAGTTTCCGAGCGGCTATGGCGATGCGGTGGTGAGCTCCGATGGCGTTCCTCAAAAGCTGTCATGTTATCGTTGGCGACGGCAACGTTGGCACTATTAGGGAAGTCCGCGTCGTGTTCGGGCTTCCGTGACCTGGTTTCTTCATTTTTTCGGCATCAAGGGTCGCCTTTTTCCTTCGCTAATGTTGGGACACCGATGACAGCGATGGTGGCTGCCCGTTCCATATACTAGGTCACGTTGCTGTAGAAGTGGATGAGGCGCTTGTAGATTGCAATTGGGTGTGTTGGTTTTCGTCCTCGTCATTGACGTGCGTTCTTTGGTGAGAATTGCAGAGACAGAGAAAGGAGAGAAGCGGAGAAGGAGAATTCCAGTTTGGGTTTGCCGTTCGCAAGCTTCAGTTGCTGTCTCTCAACTCTCGGCTTGCCCCCCTCTCTCTAGCTTTTTTGTCTTTTTATTCTGGGTATATAGGTTATTTTAATACAAAAGTAAGGGTTAAAATGTCTTTGCAAAGATAATAAGGGCAAATGTGGTATTACAGGGTTAAAAATAGCTTATGTCATCAGAAATCATCATTGACCGGAGTTGACTTTGACCGGAGGGGGCAAAGTGTTATGACGGAGCAAACTTTGAGGGAGGACGGTGTAATTTTTGAAACGTGAGGGGTACCGCCTGTAATTACGCCAAACCTTAGGGGATGTAAGTGAAATTATCCCTTATTTTTAATTGTAAAGCAAACACACACATACACACACTTTGCCCACGCCCGGGCTCAAACCCCTCCCCTCCTCTTTGAGGGTAGGGAGGTTATACCATTGGGCTAGAGGCCCTTTGGTTATTGAGAGAGTTCTGTGCAAAGCTTGGCTTAAAGATATCTCCTTAAGCCAAGCACCAGCAATATCTGAAAGTGTAACTAGATAAACCACACTGGTTCCAGAATATGGGATGCTTTCACAGATATGTCAAACATGATTGGGACATCGTGTGAGGTCTGGCTTCATGCTTCCACAAGGTTCTTTAAGAAAGTAACTTCGATCATTACAAAATTTTAAGCACCACCTTGTTTTACTTTATACCTTCAAATGGGTGAGAGTTGAATTTTTTTCAGAATAATGCAGAAGAAGACCTTTATACCATTCTGTTAAAACTTAAAAGTATCATTGAATCATGGTCCCCGTCAACATCCACCCTACGGGAAACATTTATCTGTTTCCCTTCATTGAAATGTCTCGTATTCTCTTCAAACCTATAGCCAACCACAACATCATATCTAAATCTCAAACTAAAGACGCTCCAAAATGGAAAATAATATCATAAAGAGTTTAGTTTTAAAGCTTCCCAAAAAATTAAGGTTCCATCAAATATGGAAAAGTCAAAGAAATTATTAAACTGCTACTAAAAATGTAGAATAAACCACTTAAACATGCTTTCTTTTGGATATGGGGTATATATAGCCCAGGTGCCAGTTTCTTTCTTGGGCACTTGTCCTTTCCAACATTAATTCTTGGGTCATACTGATGATTACTTCACTAAACTTATTAAAAAAGTGATCTTCCAATTATGCAATAAATAGGAATAAAATTCTCTATTTGTGAAAGCACAAACTTTAAAAAAGATGTGTGAAACTGAAAACATAAAACATAAGAGAAGAAAGGAAAAGAAACAAAACAAAACAAATAGTGAATAATGCAGCTTTTAAGGATGCCTTCCCCAATAGCCTGGCGCAGTGCTTTTCTGCTTCTTAAGTGTTCAAGGAAGCAGGCTTCCTCCCTTACACGAAATTCATAATCTGCTATCCAAAGTCCAAATCAAGTACATGACCCTCCCTAAGAATTCTACTCTACCAACTTTTCCCCAAAAAGTTCCATTCTGCTTCAAAAAATGCTGTGATTTTTTGGTGCAGAAAATTATATTGGTAGTGACAATACCTTGAGCGATATTCCAACTTGCATTTAACTGCTCTAAGGTTTTGGATGTAGATTAATAGAGAAACCTCTTAGAGAGGCTTTAATAAGCGCAATGCGACCCTTGTAAATAATATTAGGTCCTCCGTGATTTAAGTAAGCAACCTTTAGATTTAATCCTTGGACATCATAAACCCCACCTACAACAAGAACACAATGTCGAACATAAACTAAGAAAAATGTATTTGAATATTTTGGAACCCTGGCCTCTCCAGAAGTCCACAAACCTGTCTTACATTACCTCATGTCATCTAAAGATATGTCCTAGAATCAATACTAGGATGCATAAAGCTTGCATAATATATTCCCATCAGCAAAAAACGTACATAAGGAAGCAAACATTTCAATTAGGTCCTCATAAACTCTCTGGGAACTGGGGATGATCTTGATATTATAACTACTCCTAGTATACTTTCTTCTTATTCTTAATGATATTTTAAACCTACCTAAGTTAAACGGTTGCTAGTAAATAGCAGGACTGCTGCAAAAACACAAACAAAAATACTCACCACCATTTTATACTCTGTTTACCACGTCATTAAGGCTTCAGTATATCCAAATAGTACACGAAGTACATACAGTTTGGAGAAAGTACTAATAATTACCATACAGCACTACAATAGAAGATGAAGTAGCAATTCAAGTCCCCCACAAAAATAATAACCATTTGTATTTATTCCATAATAACTGAGTAACTGCAAATGATAAAAATTAATAAATCCATATCCTGATATGTCAGAGAGAGAGTATCAAAACAAACAACACCTAATTCTGACCGAACTAATAAATTACATAGGGGTCTGAATGTTCACATCAATAATTTTAGATTTCAGAAGTTAGAAGGGATAGATAATGAGAGAATGATTGGAAAATATCCAAGAATGGATCTGAGAGTAGGAGAATTGATGCATGTAATGAAAGAAGGACATCTTGCCATTCCAAAATTCTTGAATGATTAGTTGCCTTTAAAAGAACTGCCTTCAACATTTTTTCATTGTGGGTTCTTTACTTTACAAAACGTCCTAATGGCAATAAGGATAACCAAGGGTAGGAATTGCCAAGCCACAAAATCACCTATATCCTATTTAGTGACAGATAAGCAAGTACAGCAATAGCCAAGTCATGGATATTCCCTCCACCTCCACCATTTTCCAGCATCCAGCCAATAAGGTCTCTGGATTATCTCTGGCAACTTGGAAGCACAAATCCACTAACCCAACAGGCAATAAAGCTGGCTGAAAACTCATTTCACAAAAAAGAAGTCCTGTAGCAAATGGAAAATTCACCGACTCCTGAAATTCAGGATAGATGTCGCATGCATATTAGAATGATTTTGGATGGTTTCAATAAACACTTGAATCCTATCTCCAACAGAGGACTGAGTGCCTAAGGTTTGAAGATTGTCACAGAGTTCTTGAGTAGGTGCACGAAAATCAACCACTACAACAGACTATGCTGTCTGTGACAAATTTAATAGCAAAGATGACATGTTAATTGGTACCATAAACTTTCTGCGACAAAGTGTTATTTTCGTTGGGCAAATGAAAATTTGTAACACTTATTGCAATGAAGGTGTCGTCACCATAGATCATAAAAAAAAAATTAAGGCGCAAGAAGACTTTGCCCCCACCATATTGCAGGAAGAAGTATTTGCAAGGAATGATAGAAACTGTCCCAAAATAAAGGAGAAATACAACATGTCATGGTGATTGGTGAATGTATTAACTTATAAAGACAATATGGCATCATAGTAAATGTTGCAATCTTTCAATCTATCAATCTCGTTAAGTCTCACTCTCTCTCATTCTAACGCTCACTCTCCGCTCTCTTATTCCCCACACCATCCACCATTGTCCACCATCTTCTTTGCTAACGTGAGTCAGCATCTGAGCATCCAACATTGCTGGTCTTGAGCAGTTGAGTGGGCTGCACAAATGCATAAAGCCTACACTGTTGGAACACTACAGCTTCACATGACCTGTTCTCCTTTCTATTTCCCCTTTTTCCTAATGTACCAAACTGGCCCATGTGCTACAAGAACCTTGTGTTAATTCCATTATGGTCAGGTGTTCTCCTTCGCCTAGGGCATGTTGTCGGCCAATGTTCGTTATTACAGCTGTACTATTTTCTTTTTAGAGACTCCGGTTGTCTTTCCAGTTTTCTATTGTTCAATTTAACCTTTCTACTTGTAATAATTTTAGTTATGGTAGGTTGATGTTTTCCTTTTGTTCCACAGGAAGTGTGTTTGAGCTCCATTCTGTAAACCTTTGTACTGTCCTTTTTCTCCGGATTAATAATACTCAACTTACCTACTAAAAGAAGAATAAAGTAACAATTCAGATACATCCTGACCAATGAAAATGTATAAATTTGTATTTACCTGAACACTGTGAGCATCAAAATTTTCAACCCAACAATTTCAACAAAGGTTATGTTGAAATTTAAAATAATCTAATATTTCAAGAAATTAGATGATAAACAGTGATGATCCACAAAGGTTATGGACAGAATCAAGAACGGTATGCAATTATATAGATCATATTGAAACTATGTTCAATTGGGTATAATTATAATAATTTTGCAGAAGAATACATACCAGAATACGAAGCTTAAAATAGATAAAGGGTATCGAGTAGCAGAAGAAAATGGTTAAAACCCCAATGTAAGAGAGAGAAAGAGTAGAGACCTGGGGGAATGCATGAGAGCAAGTTTGAGGGGACCGCATTGGAGCTCAGCCCAACGAAGAGTACAAACATCGATTTTTAATCCCAAACCCTCTGAGTAAAACCTAGCGGCTTTTGGAACGTCCCTGTGTAGTTGCACTATCCACCTGAACGAAGCCGCCATCTCTCTCTCTCTCTCTCTTGAGGTGAACAAGAGGAGAGAGAGATGATTGCTCTGCTGGTTTCTACGGAAGGAGAACGACGCCGTGTTACCGAGTGTTCTAACTTATAAGCTAATGTGGGCTTCTTCTCCATGGAAATGCACACATAAAATAGCCCACTGTTGTTACTAAAGGCTAAAAGCCCAGTGAGTTATCATCAAAGGCCCACTGAATTTTGTGACGTGTCGAAAAGGTTGCAGAGCTTTTCATTTATAACACTTTCATCAAAATCATTTTCAGATCAATTATCGGGATTTTTTATTTAAAAAAAATCATTTTCATGATATCTGGTAGGGAAATTCTTTTTTATTTCAGCTCGTCTCATTTCTGTCACACAGCGTGTGGAATGAAATAGAACTTATAGGACTAAAGTCTTATCAAATTTTTTTTTTTTTTTTTTGTTTTAATTACTTAATCTATGGGGCTTAAATTGAATATAAAATTTAAAATATAAAATTTAAATAATGAAGATGTTTGGTGCACCATTTTCAGTATAATCTCTCCTCTCTCTTGAGATTCAAGAACTTCGTCCGTAATTAATAATTTGTGAAATGTATATGTAAATATTTACCTAATCATCAAAAAATTAAAAAATAAATTAACTAGTTGGACATGTTAGAAATATTTTAATGTGAAAACCTAACTGAATTATATTTTTACCGTGATCTGTTAGGAACTTTACTCACTTCTAGTTTCCATATTTAGAGTACTACTGTTTTGTTAGGATAATTACGTATACATGGAGTAGCTTTGGATTCTTATTTTTTATTTTTATGGAGTCAAAGTTATGATGCTTCAAAAATATGGAGTTAATAAAATTCTTATGTGTGAACATGGAAAAAAAAAAAAAAAAAACTATTCATTACTATTTTTAGGTCACACTTTTGTTTATGAAATTACCACTTATGTGCACACAAATACTTTTGGGCACACCATTTTAATGACAGGATTTACACAGAATATAGTAGTTGTCAACTTCATTATTTTCGTAATATCGTGAGTTTAACTCCATAAAATAATAAATAGTAGTCCAAAACTCCATATATATATATATATATATATATGGGCTTGCTTTTGTATCATTTTAACATGGATCACGTCTATGGACAAAAAGTTCAGGGGTTCAAGGTCAAGACCTAGAAAACCATGTCTAACATTTTGTATGGGATTGGGGTACTATATGTTCTGCATAGACTTTCCGTGTTCGTATTATTTAGGAATTTTGAGATTGATGAGATAAAAAGTTAAAATAAGGCATAAATGCAATTCCAAAGTACAAAGTATAGAGAATTCTAACCGTAAGAATATATGTTTATGTTAGATTCATATTCCTTTTTTTGTTTGTCTGTTAAAAGTGTGTGTATATATATATATATATATATAGAATTGTAAACTTAAAAGCTACAAGCCTACAATTATGGATTTAAGTGTGTGTGTTGAAGTTGGATCTTACAGTTGTCACCCCCAACCTCCTAGAGTCATGAGAGACATTGATCTATCATATACATGTACTAATGGGGAGAACTATTCTTCCAATCACCAACACTGGAAAGGGTTTATCTCTGAGAATATTAACTTAACCCAATGAAGATCTAAATGGGTCATAGAATCAAAATTACAAATAAAACCATTTTAGTACTCCAATTGGACACCCCTTGTTAAAAGATGCTCATTAGTGAAGAAGAGACAACTAAAAGATTGTGTTTCTCTCAAATATCTCAATAAAAACTAGACTCCAATAATTCAGGCAAACAAAAACTAGACTCCAATAATTCAAGCCTACAATTTTCTCAAGATCGTTGGAATAAAATCATATTCTTAATTTAATGTATTACTATAACCTGAAAAAGGAGATATTTTGTTTAAAATATTGTTCTGTTGAAAAAAGAAAGAATTTTTTTTCTAGTTGGTACTCACACATACACGTCTCTTCTGAGATTTGAACCCATGATCTCCTTTTGGAAAGTAAGAGGCCGATACCGTTAGACCACTGACCTGTTAGTAAAAAAAAAAAAAAAAAAGAATTTCACCCATTTGATTAGTGAAATTGAATGTCCCTAACACCTATAATCATTGTCAGGAAGAAAGAACAAAGAAAGAAAGAAAAAAGAAGATATTCTAGTGCAACAGTAAAGAAAAAAGAAGAAGATATTCTAGTGCAACAGTTCATTTGTGTGTCATTTCCCAGTGGAATTTGTTTCAATGACTGCTATGCAAGAAGACAAGCATAGAAAGAAATTCCTTTTTGTATTTAGGGAAGAAGCAAAATCTTCCAATCTTATTTTCCAATAAAGTATTCTTTTTTTTATATATTAGTTCTCCTCCATACTCCAAAGGAATTTTTTAATGAAAGAACCAAAAAAAAAAAATTGTTTGTCAACATTTGCCCAGCCAATAAAGTGGTCAACACTTGCCTAAAAGTTCCACATAATGTTCAAGAATAGATTAAGAGTAATGATACTCATGAAAATTTGTATAGAGAATTATTTAACCGAATAATTTTTAATTGGCTATTTATATTAAATACAATAAAGTGAAGGGCTCCACTTTTTTATTTGTTGCATAATTGACCAATTAAAATAGTAGGTCTAACAATTCACTGCAACTATTCGATACAAGAATCATTTTCTGTAGATTAATGACATAACAAATATCATTCACAGGCTCGCGGGTATTTCCGTTGTATTGCAAGTTTGGCAAAGAACTGTCTATCACCTCAACACTATGCTAAAAAAGAAGCAGCATATACCTAAAACATTTTTTTTCAGTAGAGCTTCTCTGAGCAGCAACTCTAGTTATGTCTTCAACACTGAAGAACTAACTAGTAACATGAATATGATCATACAGAAAGCAATTACCTTCATTACCACATCTAGCAGCCACAGGATCACCACATTTCTTAAGCAACTAACCAACCATGTGACACATTACTCTTATCAGATAACCTAACACTGATGTTACATCCCACCATTTTCGCAAACTCTTATATATATATATATATATATATCCCACCATTTTCGCAAACTCTTATATATATATATTCCAATAGATTATGTCACATAAGGTCCATGACTGTTCGGTACATTTCAGAAAATTTAATATGGTATAGAATTATATTAGGGATATCTGGAACAATTGAGTAACAAATTACCCTAACCATTGAAAATTGCAGATATCAACATAAAGAGTAAAGGTAATGGCAGATTTGTAAAGATGCTCATTATGCATAGAATGCCATGTAAAGGGTTGATACTATATAATAAAAACATAAAGACATTACGGAGTTTTGGTAGAAATGACAAAAGTATTAAGAAGGAAAATATACACCTTGAACTAGTATTCACTCCAGTACTCATGAATGCAAAGAATAATATTCCCATTTCATGAATGAGCTGGTACATTCTCTATAAACGTTTTCAAAACACAGGTTATAAGTTATAACTTATAAACTCAAAAGAGCAATGAAATAGAAATCAGATGAATTTGTCAGTACCACGACAACATCCAATGCAATGAGAACGAAATCAGGGAGCAATTTCAATCCTAGGTTCGAAGCAAAAACCAGTAAAGAGCTGAAGTGGGAACCTCTTCATCACTGGGCATTTCTGGGACCATCTCCATTGCTTCTGGCTCATGTCAAAAACAAGAAGAGTGGGGGCCCCATAGCTTTGGATGTATATGAGGTCATCCGTACCACTGCTAGCAAAAACATCATCAAACTCTCCAAATCCTTGGAAGAACTTATGGGGCATTCGAGCAATCTCTTGCCACTCCTTCCCATTAAGAACCCATATGCCAATCCCCTTAATTATGTCTGGCCGATCTTGTTTCCCAATCCCTCCCACCATTACCAACTTCTCCTTTAGGTTCATCAAGCGGCCACATGTAAGAGAACATGGCACCGGGATGAAACTCTTTATTAGCAAACCATTGGTTGAGCGGCTTGAGAGGTTATAAGTAATTAAACCATGACGATTATCCGGCAAACGACCCCCGGTTGAGTAAATCAAGAAGTACAAAACTCCATCACAGATCACACTTTCATCACCAGCTCTCCACCCTGTCAAAACTTCTGTCAGAGGCGTCAACCACATCATTGTTTCCGAGTCATAAATGTGAATTGAGAGATCCCACTGAAAAAAATTTCCTGGGACTTGCTTAGATTTCACAACTGAGACATTGTAATGGTGTGACATCCTGTTCACCGAGATTGCCAGTGCACTGTAGTCTGAAAATTTCAAACCTGGAGGCTTCTCAAGCTTATTGCAGCATTTGGTAATTGGGTTACAGACATAAAGCTCACTTCTACTCTCATTGTCCATGAAGCAAACTAGGCCACATGATGAACCAATGAACCAATTAGATGTCTGAATGCAGGGGAGTTCAATGCCGTACCACTTTCGAAGGATGGGATCATATGCATAACCAATTGGTTCATCAGAGCTTGTAAACATGAAATACCAAGGTTTTTGTGATAGATCATGCGAGAAGTTCCAAAGAAACCTTTTTGAACTGACTATCTCATGCCATCTTTTGCACACACAACCTGCTTTAAAAATGCTTGCAATGGGGAGATAGGCTAGGATTCGCTCCACCAAGTCGTCAGGTAGGATTGAATCCACAGAAACAGCTGTAACTTCTTTATTGCCTTCATCACTAAACTCCGAGAATGAATCAAACTCCCCAATGTCTCTTGCAATGTCATCAAGGCAGTGGCTGAACCATGATGTTTCCCCCTCCATGATCAAGAAGAGTACAGAAAACCTGAACATAAGGATAAATAAATAAACAGGATTATACAATCATAATAAGTTGGAGATCATCTCCAGATAAGGAAATCATCAAGCGAACGAGAATACCTTAAAATTATTCTAAATCATGGGGAATGTAAAACCCCATGACTTGGTCAATTTAACTCAAATCACCTGGAAAATTATCAAAATTGAGCAAAACAGATGAGTTGTCCAGTCCAAACCAGTTTCAGAAACATAACTAATAATTTTAAAAAATAAAAATAAAAAAATAAAAAATAAAATAAAAATAAACAATTTGTAAAAGATCAGATATAAAAATGATCTATTATGTATTTAGAACCACATAGCTATGACTGCTATCAAAATCAAGACAAATACGGTCCTGCAGCCTCGTCCCCCTTTATAAGGTCAAGAGTAATTTAATATAAAACGTGAAATACACTACAAATCCATCAAATGGGCATACATTTATATAGGAATTGCCTTTGAATTCTACAACAAATCACTTTTAGATATATATACATCTAACTTATATTAAATATATTACTATAACAGCTTCACCACGACAATTATAATAACAAAAAAAGGATGTTCAACAAATAATTTTTTTAAAAGAAACCAAATTTCAGAATTTACAACCAAAAACAATGTCAGAGATTTTTTTTTTTTCCTGAATCAATGTCAGAGATCAATGATCTAACAAGATTAAATAATACATGAAGAAAATGTGCTGATTTAAACAAGAGAAATGAATAGAGATTCGAGAGAATAATCTTCAATATAGTAAGAAAATAGCTGAATACCAAGATTGGAGATGGTATGAGAACAGGAGACAAAGCAATTACACATGAGCACTCAAAGAACAAAGCAAGAGAAAAAATAATATAGAAAAACCAAGACTTCTCACTGGATTTATGTCTGTTAATCCGGAAACAAGCCATGTTCTTATCACAGAAAACAACCATTTACATACTTTTAAACACCAAACCCTAAAATGGATTTGTGTGGGAAATTAATAAAATAATCTTAGGTAAGAGATTAGACCACATAGAGCTATCAATCAAACATCAAAAGCACACCAACAGACTAATAGCAATATCAGAAACAACTAAACAAAACTGAAACAATAACCAGATCAATTGAAAATTCGTGAAACATTATTTAAAGACAACACAAACACTTGAAGATATGAAAATTAAAAGCATACCTTAATGGGTCTGGTATGTAACACCTTCTTCTAATTAACTGACCAAATGGGTTTTGCTGGATTTGTCAGAAAGCTCAAAGATTTGTTCAAAAAATTGGGAAAAGATGACAATCAATACTCAATGACCCTTCATTAGATATTATTAACACTAAAAACATACAAATATGAAATGGGTCTTCACATATTGTTCGTAAGAGATGGTGAAGGGGCCTGAAATGGGACGGTTTGGACTATTTTAGCTGATGAACATTCTACGTTACAAATTTACAACAAAATACAGGACACAAAGACAGAGAGTGGTGGTGGGTTTCTTTTTCATTCGTTCCTCTGATGTGGTAACGAAAGCGACAAGTAGAGTACGTTTAGGGCTGTATTGTGTATCTATAGAGAGAGAAGGTGGACAGAGGAAGTGGACAGATAAAGGGGGAGGTGGTGTCTGTTGAGGTGTTTTTCAAGGGATATGAGGGAGTTAACGGGCAGAGAGAGAGAGAGAGAGAGAGAGAGAGAGAGAGAGAAACATTTGGCAAATAATCAAAAACCAAATAATGCTCTCTTAGTCATCACTTCACGCATTTACAGTAATATTTTTGGCTCTTGCTTTTCCCCGTAATCCCTATTGTTTCTATTTATTCCAATCGAATCCCCTCCTTCCACTGCCAGCTTCCCTCGCTGATTTTTTAGCCTTTTCTTCTTTTTCTCTCTCTTTTATATATATATATATATATCTTATGGTTCGCCAGCGGTGTCAGTTGCGACATTATTCGTGTCGTGATATTATGGATTCGAACAAATATTAATATAAATGGACCGATTTATAAAAATGTGTAATAGTATTATAATGTAACGGATTCGGACAATTATAAATAAAAAATATACAATTTATAAAGATATATAATAGTATGAAACAATTTTAAGATTACGTCGCGTATCAGCCGATACAATGAACCATGATATATATATACACATATATATATTTCAAAAATTCAAACAAATGTGGGCACTCAACACAATATTATTTAAACACTTAATCTATTTTTTTTTTTATCTTAAAAAGAAACACAATTACACAACTTATTTAAAAAAGATAAATTATATCTTTTGACAAGAAAAAAAACCCCCAAAAAATTGAACCAACAAGAACTAATTGGTCATATAATAAATTATATATTCTAAAGTCAAAGTCTTTGTCTTTTCAAAATTACCACATTTAGTACTAAAGAAATGAAAAATAGACCGATACAAATGAAGGAGGAGCAGAATAGGCATCTAGAATAGGAAGAGATCATGCTCCAAATAAAATAGGTGACAAGTTTCATTATTAGGTAACAATGGAGTTTTAGATATTATTTTATCAACCCACTCTCGTCATATATATGTATAAATATAGAAAACACATTTAATTTACTTTAATAATAACATTCTTTTAATTTATTCAAATAAATAATTTTAAGAAGGAATATTTGCACTCTATTTTTATTTTGTTATTTTTATGTGCATTACAATCTTAAATGAAATGACAATTCTAACATTAACTTTACAAATAAATAATTATTAATTTTTAAATGACACAATTATTCTTTTACATTTTTTATTCTTATTTCTAATTTTTAATATTTTAGGTCTCTTTTGACTGAATAAAAAATAAAATAAAATAAAAAATTTATAGGACAAATAAAAGAGAAAAGAAAAAGAGTACATAATCATATACACTTAAGTGAGCCAGATCATTATAGCTTTAAGAGAATATCATACCGAATCCACATTATTTAGCCTCCACTTATTTCAAACCAGACTTGTTGCAGTGGTAGAGAGCTATGGCTATAGTAGCATCCATTAGGTTCAGGCCATTAACAATTTGCAGACCTTTCTATTACACACGTTAACTCATGAAAAGTAAAAATATCTTGTTTTTGTGTCATTGAAATTACATTCCCTTAAACAGAGGTTGGAAGAGATTTTCCCCCACTGGCATTGATTGAACTTGTTTGGAGACATAAAACTAGGACTAAACTCTGCATTTTTACCCCAAATGGGGTAAATTATTTTCTTCATTCACTTGGTTTTGGACGGTGGTGGGTAAAGATTTTTGGGGTCCCTATATTTCCATCTGGTTCAAGCCGCTGTGAGCAATAGCTTCCTTTTTACCTAACCAAAGCTCTCATTTTAACTGTCCTTTATGACACATCCATTAAAATTCGAACCACATGTGGAAGAGAAGGGCAGGTCCCAAATATCACCATGTCACCCTTTTTTTTCTTTTTTCTTTTTTCTTTTTTCTTTTTGCTTCCAATTTCCTGTTTGAGTTTCTGTCAATTAGGCCAGTATTTTTCCAATTTTTTTTTATATTCTTAAGTTCTTTCCAACTAATTATATGCAAATTGGCTTACCAATATAAATTTCTTTTAAACTTCCAATATAAATATATATATATATATATATTGGGCAGAATAAATTTGTCATAATTTCATCTGTAATGTCACAGGGGTGGGGATTGAGTAAAATAAATGCCCTAATTACGTAGTAAGTGGTACGGTTGGGAATGAGCAAAAGAAACAGTTCAATAGTTGGTGAGACTGGGATCCTATGAATTTATGTACCTCATGTTGCCAGTCTTTATATATATAATATAGCCTGCTGCAATACTAAACCCACTGTTTTTGTACAAAATTACTGTAAACAAGTAAAACATTGCTGCTTGCTTCTGTGACTTCTCTCTCATCTCATCTATGGTTGCTACTCTCTCTGTCTCTCTCTCTGACAAACAATTACAAATGTTACAACTTGTTATGTTTCATAAACTCGACTATTTGTTGCTATCTTGCATAAACTCAGTTTGTACTTGGGTTTTGGATTGAATCACTGTCATTCTTTATAATTTAAGCTGCATCATTACCAAGCAAATATGATGACTTTTTTTTTTTCTTTTTTTCCGAATAAAAACTATAGTTAGATTGTAACCTAGTGCAAAATCTGAGTTAGTAATTAGCGAAGAATGTGACCAAGGCCGATGACCAGTAATATTTTCTCTCCTTTTAAATTGATAGGTAGGGGGTTCGAGACTCTTTGAGTGGATTAGAGGAGTTTTTTTGTTAGTAAAAAATATATATAATTAGTGAAGAAAATGATGTGAGCACAAAAACGATTAGTAATTATTTACACCCACTTGTAAGCTTCCAAGTTCCAACAAAGATGTTCCTTTATGGTGTTGTAAATTTGTAATAAAGGTTAAAAGTGAGATTTTAATACCCTTGGTAGCAATGTTATGCCTTAAGTCATTTAAAGCGGGAGTGTCAGCGAGAGCGGGAGCGTGAGATCGACAAAATTATGTAATAAAAAGTGAGAATTTAAGCGAAAACGCGTGCATAACGTAAAAACGACACATATTGAGAAAGATTATATGACTTAACTTATGCCCCTCTCTCTCCCTCCCTCCCCGAAGGTGAGAAGAAACCTCTGTTGGGTAAAGGAATAAAACATGTCCACTAGAATGTGCAAATCCAATCCTAATCGCAATAAATTCAAGCAATAAAAACACATTGGAGAATATATTAGATACAAATTGTTAAGTGAAGTGTGCACTTACACGTACTTTGAACCGTTCAATGCCAAATAGCACTCAAACTCGATGGTAATGTACTAGCATGTGTGTGATCGTTCGATACATAACATCACGTCAAATATATGTATTCTAAATTGTTAGATACATAATAGCACTCGTTTTGTATTGTAGATGATTTGAATTCCAACTATATTTATAAATAAATAAATATATATAAATATATATATATATATCTATTTTTGTGTCAGTGATGCAGGTGATTCAAAAAAGGTGTAGCTTCACTTTTAAGCAATGGGCATTGACTTTTTTTTAAAAGCCATATATAAAAGTTTATTAACCAATGAGAACTGAAAGTATGCAGTGAGTGGAAAACCCACTATAACACCTCTTTCTGGCAAAGCTATGTTAATGGGTGCACGTTAAGTCATGTCTCACTTCAAATGGTTAGTTTTCATTCATATTAATGTGCCCACAAACTAACTGCAAAACATGCACTGCAGCATATGTTTTGTCTTGCTATACTCGGCATCTATTCAGGAAAATCTAATCCCACCAAATGCAAATGCAAATGCAAATGCAAATGCAAATTCAAACATAAATTAATGCATAAACATCTATATATATATATATTATCGGGTAAAGTGCAAAAAAAAATTCCCTAATCTATTAGCTAATTGCATGAAACCCTCCTGAATTAAGAATTACCCCCCAAACTATCAAAATAGTGCACTTTAAGGACAAAACAAAAAATTGCTGTCATTAGATATCACCAAAAATGTTTGATTACGAAATTACCCTTTAGTGAAACTCTGTCGTTTTATTGTTTTAGTTCTGATGTTGCTGACGTGGCAAATGCAATCTAAATAGCCAATAGTATTGTGACAGCACATCACCTTATCGCAATAACCCACTTAACACTTAAAAAAAATAATAATAACCCATTTTAAATTAGCGCCAAACACGTCCTAATTAGATTACACTACATATTTTAGGGCCAAACACGGCCTTACGCATAACTCTTTCTCTCTTTAGGCTCTCTTATGAGCTTGTTCTCTCGCAGCCAAAGATATTGCCGACCAATCACAGTAAACCCCCCTGATTTATCCAACTCCGGCAACAATAAAAATTGAAGAAGACAACAATGATGAGTGAACAAGGTGAAGAGGTGAAATTTATGTTCGGAACCCCAAATTACTTAACACAAAATGAACAAGAATGATTAAGAGGACGAAGATGAAGCCGACAGTCAGATCCAATCTATTTTCTGATCTTCAACTGTGATTGGCTTAAAGGTCATGCTCGAAGTGAAAATTCTACTCCTTCCGCAACCATTCGATTATTCTCCTCATTAAATTGTTCCAATTCTAATAGTTAATTCAACCATTGGTTTTTTTTTTGGTGATAAATTTGATTGTTTGTTTCATGGAGTTTGTATTGAAATAAAGAAGTTAGGGTTTTGTCTTTTTGCGTATTATACAAAACTATCGAATTAGATTGTTGATTTTTTCTATTGAAATTAGGGTTTTGATTTTGTTTAAATGGTGGTGGCAGAAAGAAATGTAGAGGGAAAGAATTGTTAAGGTTACCAGATTGAACGAAGGTTGGTGATAGGATATCAATTAAAAAGGGGTAAATCCTATGGGTATGGGTTAACCCATTATATATGGGTATGCCCTAAATGTCATAAAGGGCAAAATTGTCTTTTTTAAAAGGGCGAAGTACATAGACACCCCCTGAGGTTTGGGGAAAGGATATGCAGAGGAAAGTTAGTCAATTTTTTGACAATGACACCCCTTCAAGTTTGAAAAATGGATAAAAGATCCTGAAGATAGTGAATTGACCTTATTACTCTTTGATATAAAATTGATATTTTAATTGACTTAAATACCTTTAACCCAAACCCAAACCCATCTCAAACCCTAACCCGAACGCCTGTGTAAAGTACTATTCTTCCCTTTTCTCTCTGTATCGTCGTTCGAGTCCTCTGTTCCGAAATCCAAAGGCGATTCGAAGCCCTACAATCTCGGAGCTGATATGGACTACATCTTCTTTGGTTTTCTTCGCATCATCGGAATCGTGGCTGTTCGTCACTAGATAGTTTGATCGTTGTCCCTGTCGTCAGGTCCGCTTCTCTTCGCCGTCACTGGAATTGGAAGTGAAAGGTCACAGATTGCGCCTGTGTGTGTGTGTGTGTGTGTGTGTGTGTGTGTGTGTGTGTTAGATAGATAGAACAAAAATGGTGGGTTAAAGATGTTAAAAGGAGAGTTTAATTGGTCTTGCATTTCACACAGGGCTTTTGCCTCGGACGATTTGGGAATTTCGTGGTTGTGGTGATGTTGATGATTTAGGGTTTCGGTGATTATGAGAAGTGAGTTGATGCAGTGAAGGGGTGGAGATGGTTGTTTTGTATGGTGGGTGAGAAGCAGAGGTGCCGATTGTGGGTGGTAGTGGTGAAGGGGTGGAGATGGTTGTTTTGTATGGTGGGTAAGTAGTGGTTGAGGTGCTGATTATAAGTGGTGGTAGGAGGTTAGAGAGAGATAAGAGGACTGGTGGTGGTGGTGGCGGCTAGAGGTGCACAAAAGAACCGGAACCGTGGAACCGGAATCGAAACCGTGAGAACCGGAACCGTTTTTTCCGGTTCTCACGGTTCCGATTCCGGTCCCGGTTCTTAATTTTGGAACCATGAGTATACGGTTCCGGTTTCGGTTTTAGCCCATGGAAACCAGTAAGAACCGGAACCGTATATATATATATATATATATATATATATATATATATATAATTAATTAATTAATTATTCTAAACTAAAGCCTACAAGCAGCCATATGGATAATGACTAATCCACAAATCTGAAACCTCATCTAACCACCTAAACCAATCGCCTCCATCTCTATTCTCTCGACTCTGAACTTCCCCTCTCTCTATTTTCGTTTTCAGATCTAAACTTGCCCTTCTCTCTCTCTCTCTCTGCAACTGCAATTTACAAAATCTACAAGAATCAGTGTTCTCTCTCTCTTTGCAACTGCAATTTACAAAATCTACAAGAATCAACACGAATCAGTGTTCTCACTTTCTCTCTCTCTGCAACTGCAATTTACAAAATCTACAAGAATCAGTGTTGATTTGGTGGCCCAATAAAGCCCATGATTGGCTTCCTTCTTGATAATTGCTCACGTTGTTAATGAAAGAGTGCTTAAGGGTGATGAATTGATTGGGATGAATGTTGGTGCAGAACTCCCTGAATTATTGCTTTAAATTGTTGAACACTAATAACAAATACTAGTAACATAAAACCACACGAATCTGATTGTTCAAAAAATCAAAACCCATACCATCGCTGATGTTCCTGTTCGTGTTCTCAAGCTTCAGCCGCATGGTCAATGGTTCTCATGGAACCGAACCGGTTCTACGGTTCTGTTCCGGTTCGGTTCTAATCTATACGGTTTCAGTTCCGGTTCCGTTTTTTAGGAACCGTTGTGAACGGTTCCAGTTCCGGTTCCGGCCAGAACCGTGAGAACCGGAACTGTGTGCACCCCTAGCGGTGGCCATGGTGGTCGTGGTGGTGGTGGTGGTAGGTGGCTTCAGGTTCAATCTCAGCAACGTTGGCTGGCTTGAGTCTAAGTCCGCCTTCTCGGTGGGGAGGAGAATTGTGGGCTTAATGTCAGATTTTGACTGATAATTTGACGGTGGCAGAGCTCCGGCAAGGTTGAGGTTGGGGTGGTGGTTACTGTGGTTGTTTGTATATATATATTTATGAAAAGGGTAATTTGGTCATTTAAATATTTAAATATTTTATAATTAAAATAAATAAAATAGTGAAGGGTAAAGTGGACTTTTCACATGTTATAAGGCTCTGTTTGGGTGACAAATATCACAAGGGGGTGTGATTATTCAAAAATAAGCCAACTTTCATCCGCATGTCTTCTCCTCAAACCTCAGGCGATGTCAATGTACTTTGCCTTTTTAAAAAAATTGGTTGATCACATGACCGGAGCAGCTTGGGGTATTTTGCAAAAAAATTAAATAATTTAGGGGGTTAACTATCAAAATAGTAGTTCATGGGGTTTTTTTTGGGAGAGAGAAGATAGTTTAGAGGGGTTTATTGCACTTTATCCTATATTATATATATATATATATATATATATATTTGTTGGCCAAACATTGAAAGTGATATATATTTTGAATTTTAAAATAAAAATTAAAAATTAAAAAAGGAAATTATTGCAAAAGCCCAGTCACGAAAGACAAAGGAAAACAATGAATTAAATTTAGAGGGAAGTGTCAAACCAAATGCCCAAAATGCTCATAGTCTTCGTGGACAATTGAGTATTAAAAGAAGTGATTTTGCAAAGTGAAGCTGTATCAAGTTTGCGTGGATTCCAGAGGTAGAGACCAAAAGTTGCAGGTTATTGGTGGTTGCACTTTGTGGGGTCTTCAAGATTCACCACACCCATCATACAAATAGAATGTTTTCTCCTTATGTTATTGTGCTCTAGGGTTTGTTGACTTTGAAATTTAAATCAGAGGTCACACTAATTTTCACCATTTGGGCAAAAAAACATAAGTTACCTGTATTGATGCAACAACGATCACTACACGCGCCACAAAACTTGTGCTCTTAAGCTAAATCAGAATACTAAAAAGTACAATGAAATTTGTTGGTTACTTATTGTTGGAATTGCACGTGTTCTACCCACAGTTTTCAAGTTTTAGGGTACCAAAAATAAAAAATTACTAATATTAGTAGACGTCAAAAGTCATGTCAAATTGAATAAAAAAAATGGATGCAAACAGTGAGGGTGGGAAGAGCAATTACCTACGCACTCTGTTGATGCAGACTCGGCGCAGAACCCTGTGATATGATCTAGTACAACCGGATCCAGAGCCGTTGCGTCAGATCATATCAATCTTTCGAATGTAAATATGCTGATGTCACACACAACACGTTTGATTTGCCACATCACCATTACCAGTCTCTTTTGTCGATCTCTGATTGGCTGATATCATGTCGTGCCTCTGTCCTTCGTCCTTATGCAGCCAACACGTGTAGGAAGATATTGCTGCAATAGATAGAGAGAGAGGTGTTTTGTAAAGTTGGGTTTTGGTAGCCCAAAACTTAAAAAGATCTCGGATCTCTTCTTTGATGATCTATTGTCCAAGCCCAGCCCAGGCCAGACAACAGTTTCAGTGATTTGGGTTGGGTTGGGTTGGGTTGGCTAAAGTTTATATTGGAAATGGCTGGTCTTGCCCAGACCAGATAACAGTTTCAGTGATTTGGGTTGGGTTGGGTTGGGTTGGCTAAAGTTTATATTGGAAATGGCTGGTCTTGGACCAGCCCACATTTTAGAGCAAGTCCACTGTGAGGTTTGTTCTCACTCAACTCAGCTCATGGTTGGTTTTTCCAATCTTTAAATCAAGATGGAGAACTAAGCATCTAGAGAACTAAACCAAATCAAATCTAACTCCAATTTCAAATTTCACGTGTCATCTAATCAATGACATTAGGGGAAAAACATGAATTCTCATGTTACAAAGTCCTGAGTTCCACAAAAGAGCTCACGAATCCAATCCAATTGTGCAAGTTCACAGATTCTCAAAAATCTATTAGCATTTCTTATAACTATATTCTATCTCTTGTATTATTTGCATAGAGCAGTCCATAACTCACAGATCCAAGAGCTTAAATCATGGATCCAAGAGTTGCAATCGCGACTGCACTTAGCTGTTCTCACAAATCTATTAGCATTTCGTGTATGCACCGAAAATGAGCATCTAGTGTAAGCACCGAAAATCTATCTTACCATCCAACTACTTGTCCAAAAGAGTTTAAAGTTGGAAGTCTGTAACCATATTGAAACTCAGTTGATAAGAAGCCAATTACATCCCATAATTATACATGTAGAAGGGAATTTGTATTCATGGCATTGAACCTTACTTTTAGGACCATAAAGTTTCATAGGACCACAAAAAAAGAGCAAACCCCCCCATTTTAAGAACCAAACTTTTGGACAAGCTACAATAGGAGGATATTAAGTAAATGCCCAAATAACAATTCTAATGATGTGTCCATCCAATTCTAACTCCACTTCAACTGAATGGACTGCTAACGGCTAACTGAATTTCAAAACTCCTCTATAAAAAAAAAAAACAATAAAATGCAGTACAGCTAAGAAAGTGTGGGAGGGAGGATCAAGTGTACATGAACTCTGCTTATCGAGATGATATCGACCGTTCATCAAAAACTACTGTCACCCAACAATGATGAATTCCTGGAAGTTCGGATCTCAAACGTTGATCATCCTTGTTAAACAAAGGGATCTCCACCGTCCATCTTCTTCTTTCCCATTGACGCTGCCAAAAACTGGAATTTTGGATCGGACGGACACAAATGAATTTTCCTCTGAAGCGTCAATCCACACAGCAATCCTCCAGCGTCGGATTTCGACTCTTTCTTTCCCGCCATCTCCGTCCTCTCACCATTCCACTCCTTCAGTGCCGTTGATGTGGCTGACGAGGACGAAGTCGTCGAATCAGCGCCGTCCGAGTAATCAGCCGACTCCCCGCACGAGAACTCACAAGATTCCCCACCCGAGGACTGCTGGCTCTTCTTGGATTCTCCGCGGCTGAGCTGTCGCTGGTGGTGGCGATTCTTCCCCATCAGTTCACGGAAACATACGGCGGACATGCCAGAGAACGCAGCGAATTCCCCGCCGTCGAATAGCGTCACGGCGATGTTGAGAACGCCGTGGAATCGGCCGGAGGGGCGTCGGATCTGGACGGCGGTGAAGGCCGGGATGCCGATCCCGCTGCCGGAGGCGGCGGAGACGCAGCTGCTGACGAGGAGCCTGACGGAGCCGACGATAGGATCTTTGATGTAACCGACGGCATAGATCTCGATGGAGACGGCGGAGGTCTCGCTGGAGAGGAAACCGGAGCTGACTCGAAAGAGGAACTTGTCATTCCAGGTAGGGTTTTCGCCACCAACTCTGTCGACGCGAGACCGGATCTTGGTAGAGGGGTTGACCCAGGCTAATGCGTAGGTCTGCATCCGGCGTAGGTTAGCGGTCGGCGCCTTCAGACCCTGAGCAGAGATTAAGTTGATCTCCAGAACATGAGTATCCTGTTCCATTTGAGTCTCTCTCTCTCTCTCTCTCTCTAAAACTCACTTTCTCTCTTTATATATATACACGAGTGTCCTGCTCCATTTGAGTCTCTCTCTCTCTCTCTCTCTCTCTCTCTAAAATTCAGTTTCTCTCTCTATATATTATACATGCCTATGCCTCCCGCTTTCTTTTTTCTCCGATGATTGAATTGTACGAATCCAGTTCTTGCTTTCTTTTTTCTCCGATAATTGAGTTGTACGGATCTAACTTGATTCAAGAACGAAATAACTCATAAAGAAACGAAGGACTATGCGAGAGAGAGAGAGAGAGACAGAGAGAGAGGGGTCTCTGAGAGAGGGCTCTCTTGTTGGTGGCAATAGAAGATACCACAGCAGCACGGAGTCTGAAAGTTAACCGAAAATTACAAATATAACCTTACAAGTCGTTGTGTTCAGAAGTGGGCCGAGCAGGCCCAAGTTTCAATAGGCTGGACTTGGTTCTTTGTGGGCTTCCTCCTATTTAACAGTACACGTAGCTACCCTCGGTGTATTCTATATTTTTCTGAGTTGGCATGGAGCCCTTAGACACAAATTTTATTATAATTAAAATTTAAAATAAGTAAAATACCTTTAAGAGGTTTATTACTATTTAAAACTTTTAAGAATTTTTTAAAAACATATTCTTAATCACCGACTAAGAATCCTTATTATTTAAAATGAGAAGTGTTTCGATATGTTTTTGTTATCATTGAGATAAATACTTTGAAATGAGAGAAACTATATCTTATTTATTATTAATAGTTAAGAGTTCTTGTTGGACACTATCTAATAAAGTCATACATAAAATCAATCCAACATTATAACATTATATTCTTCGTCACATGCATATATCTCTCTAATTTTTGCCCAAATTTTGTAGATCTTATTTAGATTCTAATGATCTAAAGAGTGGGCTAAACATTTGGATTAAGCAGTCTGAAAAGTGATTAAATGACCTGTTGTAATAAGACGACTACAAGAAATATGGTTTATAAGAAATGAAATCTCCTCTAAACCCTATTCTATGTGCGGTTGTTACTTGGCATGACTACTCGTTCTAATGGTTTGTCATTAAAGTCTTTGCTCCTCGATTTTGTTTGACAAAAGTTATATATTTGGCCGGAATTCTTTTGACTAAAAACACAATCACTTCTACTGATTCCTTTAAGCGGGTAAGTCACTTGAGTGTGATACTTCATAAACTATTAGGTTTAAAGTTTGATTTCATTTTAATATAAATAATTTTTTTTAAAGAAGGTGTGCAAATATCAACTAAAAAAAAAAATTGCTCAAATTTACTAATTATAACTGCATGATTACATTCTTCAAATTTGGAGGATACCGAATATAGTATGTGAGTGGGTTGATGTGGGGGCAATTGTCCCCTCTGAATTATTTTTTTTCCTCACTATTTTATCCTAATATTTTGTCATTCTGATATATATACTTACAAAATATTACCTTTGCCCCCCTAAAATTAGTTAAAAATTTCAGTATCCCATTCACTTGAGTTTTTGGATCCGTGCCTGCTCACAACTCCTACTTCTCATCTTAATTCATTGTAGTTTGGATGTCTTTCTTCTCTTAACATTATTCTCTGTATATAGATCACATCACCTTTTGCGTACAGTTTTTGGTTTTGTTGCATTTCGCAATCCAACTTAATCAAATTTTCTAATAATTTCTACATAAATATGGGGTTAATGAATAGTCTAATTATAAGTAAAGCCCTTAGATTTGTGAGACTCACAAGATTCAAGGGCTGGGCTTGCACGGAATTTTTTTAGATGGTCTTGGCGCCAACGGTTCAGTCTATCATTATTCGGACACAAAAAAAAAAAAAAAAAAAAAAAAAACTCAATAAAATATATACATTTATAACATAATTTATTTACATGTTAAATGGTGATTTGGGCAATGGTACCGGGATAATGTAATAATTTCTTGTGTTTGTCATACCTAATGATTGATTATTGTGAACCTTAGAACTCAAATTATGTAATTTGGTAACGAGAACTTTTGACCCTTGTGAACCTTAGAACTTATATTATGTAATTTGGTGGCGAGAACTTCTGACTAGGTAGGGGCTAGCTGCTCCCCGCCCATGTTGCCCCACTAGATTTTTTATTTATTCTTATACATAAATTTGAAAAAATTGATAAAATGCCCCCTAAAAATTAATAAAATGGCTCTTATGCCCCTAAATCCACTAAATTTTATTTTATTTTATGCATATAATTTGTAAATATTTATAAAACACCCCCATAAAATTTATAAATTATCTCCTATAAAATTATCTATTTCTAAAAACGTCTTCAATTCTTTATTTATTTTCCTTCTTATTCTTCAAATTTCCTTTTATCACCTTCAAAAACTTTTGCATTCTCTTTTTACAATTAAAACCTATTTTTTCCTTCAAAATTCTCTCATATTTTTTTTCTTTTTATTTTATTTTCTTCTTAAAAAATTCATTTTTCTTGCACTCATGTATAATTTATGTGCAATCATTTTTTTTTTTTTTTTTTTTTTTTTTTTTGTCTTCTCTCTTCTTATTCATTTTTTATTCACTTATTCTAATGCAATGTTGTTAAAAAAAAAATATTTTATCAATGTTAACATGCCCCTTGAACCAAATTCCTAACTCCACCCCTGCTTCTGACCCTATAGTTTCTTAACAGAATTAATAGTTGTCAATAACAATAAAGAGTGTTGATGCCATTTTTTGTAACTTCAATTACCATTTGATTTACTCTTTTAACGTTCTTTTTCGCATTGTAAACGCGTTTAATGTTTCTGTACATGATGTCTCTTATCAAGATTTATTTATTTATTTATTTTTTAATATTCATAGTTAATAGAGAAAAATTGATATAATTATTTTGAATATTTATAATTAATAGACAAAAATCAAAATACGTAGTAAAGTTGTTAAGGTCTCTTTCATAGGAGGAAGAAGAAAAAACATGCATGGAATCAATGGACAACAATTCAAGCCAAGCAAATATTTTTGGGGCTGCCGGTTGCTCTGAGAGCGGCTTCATTCCGGCGGATGGCGGCTTCATTCCGGCAGATGTGGTTATGGAGGTGTGATGCTCTGGTCTAAGACAATATGACAATGGGTACGTATAGCTCCACTATTAAGCCCAGTGTTTGAAATGTGATCAAAATGAACTTTCTTACTCTTAGGGTTCACCTTACTAAAATGTCATATTTGATGAGAATGTGATGTGAACTTATATAATGAAACAATTATAAAATTTAAATAATAAATTATTATGTTTTTTTTTTTTTGCTCTTATGCCCTTATCTGAAAAAATAATAAAAAGTGTACCCACACATTATCAAAAAGTCGAGAAATGGTACTTTCGTAAAGAAAATTCTTCCATTTCATTTTTTAACTAGGCGTTAGAACCAGAACTGTAAAAATGATTTACTTGTTAACGGATTTGCCCTTCTTATTGACTAAAACGATGTTAATAACCTTTTAAATTTTATAAAATTACAATAATACAGTACTCTTTTCCCCTTCCTCTTTTTACCCGTCTCTTAGACCACAGTGGAACTCATCAATGTAATTTGTTTCTACTTTCTAGAATCTTCATGCGAATACATAAAGAAATATTATATTAATTGAGTTTAGTGGATATATTAGGGTAGAATATTGAAGATTATTATGGAACTTTAAAGAAGTGTTAAAAATATCTTTAGATTATTTTTTTAATTATTCTAGATAATCGATTTGAGCCATTGATTATATTTAATCAAAGACTTATTTGCAATCATCAACCCTCATCTTCAATTATATCTCCAATTATGGAGTAAAGAATCAACTTTTCTCACCACTCACAGATTAATTAGTAAACCACACCAACCTTTTTTTTAAAATTCTAAATTCGAGAAACATCCAATTAAACAGTAAAGGAAATGCAATAAGGAAATGATGAAAAAATATGATCAATGACAAAATATATATAACAACTTTAAGATGTAAAATTTAGGAAGTCCAATTTTGGCAAGCCGATTTTGATGGACTGGCCTATCACTTGTGGTACAATAACCAACCCATTTTGGGTAGGTGTTAGCTGGGTAATATGTTTAAAATCAGTTTTTAATATATTGATATTGAGATTAAAGAGCCGGCTAGGCACCCAAAATAATAATTTTAATTTTTTTAAAAATAATTGTTTAATTTCTTTTATTTCCATTTATTTTTAATATAGCTATTTTAAATATAGCATATTATTTTTGAAAAGTAAAAATGCAGTAGCACAAACGATACCTAGAATTTAAAGAGTTTATTAGGCAGACTTGTACGGCTCTTGATAAATGCTTCCGTGAAATTGTTGACTTATTCAACTTTTCTTTTGTCATGCATATAATTTATTTTTTCTTTGACGTGCCCATAAAGCGGGCCCTAGTCCCTTTTGAGAGTAACAAGGCCCAATGGCTAATAATGATTTACAGAACTTATCAAATGTCCCGGATGAACCGAGGTACCAAACCAAGCCTATTTACAAGAGTTAAAATGTATAGTACATTTTCTAAAATTCAGATCGATTTGAGTGGGATTGGGGATTTTAACTTTGTTTATTATTATTTTTTTTAAAACTTTGGAAAAAAAATTTCTTGGTACATTTTTTAACCTTTACACAGAGCTAAAACACTAGGCTATCATTTTGAGAGAAGAGCTTATACCATCTAAACTAAAATTGATTTGTTTGTTTTGTAATTTCTTTGCTTGGTTTATATTTTCTCTGTATGACATGTGATATAACTAGTTACGCTTATTGACATCTTTCATCAACACATAGGATTTGTCCAAAATGGATCCATTTGATGGCCTCATCTGGTTTTGGAAGGGAAATTAATCCTTAAACATTTTTTCCAGAAGTGTTTAAGGCTGCTGGTTTATTACCAATTGAAGTGATTGTCGGATGGAGTTTTTCATAGGAAACACTCTGAGGGATCCCATTGTATATCATCTATTTCATGATGGGAATCAGATCCTTTGGAACAAGGTTGTAATAAAACCATGTTACCATTCATAAACTATTTTGAACACTAAAATCCAACTTTTGGAAGAACATAGTACATGTTGAAATGGATGTTTCACGAAGCCATGCCTTTGATTTACTCTATAGGATCAATAAATTTATAGCATTTCAAGGTTAGGTGTAGTTTATCATATTGGAAAGGGATCCCTTTGTTATATATCTACCTATTTCATGAAGCCGAAATTCGGAACAAAATCACATAGACAAGAATTGCAGAACGTCCAGATCCAAATAATATTGCTGAAGCCAATTTGTTACTCAGCCTGAGTGTTATCAAACTACAACATTATCTTCCTCTTTCCTTTCCAAATGTTTTTACAGAAGTGGCAGAGAAAAGAAGAGTGAAAAAGACACAAAACAGAACTACTATACACTTGAGGCATTCTTCAGCATGATATCAGAAGGATGCAGTTGTTACTATATACAACACCCTCATGTACAGAATATAGACCTAGGCATCCTTTCTGACAAAAGAATGAAAAAAAGAAAGAATGAATGGAATGGTAGGTATCTAAAAGAATTGAATTAACGAATTAGACTGCTTTCAAGGATGAACAACACCTATAAGAACAATGCTACTGCTACCTCGAAAGCGTTGCTGCAACCACTGTTGACTCTGAATTTACTCCGAATTTTCCACCTCTTCTGGTGGAGACTCTGAATTTTCCACATCTTCTGGTGGAGACTCTGAATTTTCCACCCCTTCTGGTGGAGGCTTCACATACTTGCCAATCGGTTTTTGGCGGCGAGACTTTTTCTTCATTCTTGCGATTTTCTCCTTACTCCGCTGCTTCCTCTTCTCTTTCTCTTGGTTTCTTTGAATCTTTTCCCTCTCATAGACTCCTTGCCAGAAGACTTCACCAGTCAACGGCCACAACCACCGTTCCCTAGAGTTGTCAGAATCCGATTCCTCAGCCAGGTCCTCATCCATGCTCTTAAGGGTGCTATATGAGAACCATTTGAGCCACATTTGACCTCTACGACTCTTCAACTTATGGTGTTCTTGCATCACTCCTGTGTCTGGGTTGACATACACCATCCGCCTTGCGCTATGGAATGCCCAGACGTTAACAAGTAGCTCAAGCACCCGAGAGTAGCAATGCTTATCCTGCTAAATCATGTAGCATTATATGCAGTTCGAATAAAGTAAACTTAATGAAAATTAATTATAAAAATTTTGAAATGTGGAAAGGAAGAAACTAATTGCATAACCAACTCTACTCAAAGAAAATGATAAATAAATTTCATTTTTTACTCATCCAATCCATATCAAAGAGAAATAATTTTTAAAATATGCATGTTGCTTAAACTATGGACATTGCACTTTAATAGCCTTAACTCACTTGTTTTACTTCAATCTGGATACTTACGCTAGCTAGCTAGACCATTATAAATTTGACTGTCTAGGTTGTTAAACTTTTATGGAAATTTCTGTTGGTCTGGGATGGGAATTCAAATTAAAATTGTCTCATTTCTACATGATATTAAAGTGACTGATAAATATTTCTTCTTATAATACCCCATCAATTTTCGGTTGAAGTTTAATCATCATAACTAAGCTAAATATTAGAATTTTGAATTAAAACTTAAATTCAAATCATTCCATGGTTTGGAGTGTCTTCAGATGAACATGATCAAGAGCCATACTAGGTATCCCTACGGTTTTGATTCTGATCATAGTTCTAGACAATAATGAAATTTATAAAGACAGAAACCAAGAATGAACAGAAGAAAACAGAAACTCTATCTTGCAAGAACTCAAAACCAATTATTCAAAAAAAAGAATGTTACCTTTGATAAACTTAGGTAACAGTGCCCACTTTCATGGTGCTCATCATAGATTTGTGAGTCTAGGGCATCCACAAACATTCTGAAAATGAGATGGCATCCATATCAACAATCTCATAAGTGGAGTAATTCTTGAAGAAAAAGTCATATCAAGAGATGAAATAAACCATGAATGTTGATTAAGCTTTCTAACCTTGAAAACATTACAAACTCTAGGAAGGACCGGGTTGGCAAAGCCCAGCTGTGCATGACAGCCCAAGTGTCTCCATTTACTGGCATAGGAGGGAGATAATTCTGTTCATGCTTTATGCCATACATCTGCTTAAGAGCCTCAGAAAAAGCAAACCTACAATTGATTAAGAGAAGCTAATCAGGTCAAATATCCCAATATGAATAAAAAATAAATTTCAACGAACAAATTTTAATTATTGGAGGAGTATTATAAAGAACAACTTAACGGTTAAGGCCAGTTACCTGCAATTTCCAGCATTAATTGCATCACAGAATGACCAAAAATCCTGTTGCAACGGGTTTCTTGGATCCACGTCCATGCGAGCCCAAAAGTAGAGAGTGTCACCGTGCTTTCTTGCTTGGATAGCCTCTAGCAGTGCATTTTCAGCAGTCTTAGACAAAGATCTCTGTTTAAGCCGCCACATTAGATATGAAGCCATACTGTGTTTAATGTACAAGCATAACTGTAATTGTATATTGTTCTTTTTCAATTTTTATGCGCTCCAGACCAAAGAACACTTCAAGCTGGTGTTTCTGTGTTTCTGGGATAAAAGTAATCTACCAACTGGCAACTGGGTGATTTGGAATAGAGTACCTTAGATTTTTCTATATAACATATGCATCAAGATTTTCTTATTTCTTGGATTTAAAAACTACAGTACTTGTTCAAATAACAGAATTCTTAATGATAAGTTGCTTTGTTAAAGGTTAATAACGAGAAGGCCATTATATGGACAATCCTTTTTTTTTTTTTTTTTTTTTTTTTTAATATTCCTAAATTATTCAGACTAATTTCTTCAAAATTCAAAATATATTTAGTCAAATTGAGATAAATATATAATGGCCTTTTCTTCCTCAATTGCAAATATTCTGAAGTCACAACCTAACTTCTGTCAATCCTTCTTCCAATGTGATTAATGGGTCCAAATCCATAATTTAACAAATATTTCAGAGCACTCAGTACATACTAGAAGAAAATAACTTCAATTGACCGGTGCATAACTTTGTGAAGGGAAAAAGATAAGGTAACTTGAGGAAGAGTTAGGGAAGAAACCCAAGAGCAATCGCGTACCTTAATTGCTGTTGCTCTCCAAGACTGGAACCCAATCCAAGCATTTTTGTGTATGCGGTCAATCCCGGTGGCAATTGCAAAAAAGGCTCCATATTCACCCAGGACATCACGGTAATAAGCACTGTTCAGAAGCGGAAGGCGGGATCGTGCATCAATATCATCTGCCCCTGGTCTTCTACCTTTAGTGGACTACAATCACCAAATCCATGTATTCACATCAGATTGAGGAAGTGAGTTGCTTTTTTTACTCATCGACTTTAGTGAAACAAGTATATAACTACTAAAGTAAACTAAGTCATGGAAAAAAAACAAGAAGGTAAATACACTGTAATTAGCATTTGAATGACATTTCATATGAAAAACTACATCATTGTTAAACCAGGCAATCAAGTGTTGTTTCAAACTCACTGTAATTAGCATTTGCATGACACTCCATATGAAAAACTACATCATTATTAAACCAAGCAATCAAGTGTTGTTTCAAACTTCTTTTTAATTAAAAGTGATGAATGAAAAAAAAAACCAAATAAATTAATGTATTTATCACATAAGAATAACTCTGAACACAGTTTCTGACACAGGAATCACAAGAAACTTTGAATGTATAGCTCAATTTCAGAAACCTGTCTCAATTTTTTAGACCATAAACATAATTTCAATTATAAAGAAAGAAGAGGCTTCTCACGCAATAAACCGCTAATAGGAATCTTGTACAGTTAACACAACACATTATTTTTCAACACTCACTGTCAGAACTAGCATTCTTATAGATATTAAATTCACAACAATCAACAAACTCAGTAAAATTGCAAGTACCTAGTCATGTGAGAAGAAGATAATCCAAATTTACCACTTTACCACTTTACAGAACATAATAGTCATTAAAAAAGCAAACATCATATCAATGAAGTGAGAATAAAAAGATGATAAAACTGGTATTTTGCTAGTGGTAAGTTTAGAGCCACAATCTAGCAACACCAGGGTTCAAACCCCATAATCTAAAGAGTAAAATTAAATAAAAGAGGATGACAGAATGAGCATGATAACTCACCAGTCCAAGTCCACGATAGAGTGAAGTCTGGTGCAAAAAAGGCCAGGTTCCTTCCCCAAAGTAAGGTTCATAGATGCATAATGGTTGACCTGTCCTTTCAAGCTCCCCGTCATCCCTTTCATGCAAATCACTCTTCCGATCAGCCTTTTTAGTGATTCGATTTGCTTCTTCCAATGTTCCCCGAGCTTGATAAGTTCTGTCCTTCAACTGCATCAAGTTACAAAGAAAATGAATTTCCTCAAAGGACAAACATTAATAGGGAAATGGCCAGGAACTTTCCAATCCAAATTTATTAATAATAGATTACTGTACAACAGTTACCTCTTCTTCTTCTCTTCTCTTCCTAGTGTCATCTGTCTCAATATATTCTTCTTCCTCCCAAATAGTATATGAGAAGGTTTCGTCTAGAACACTCCCAGAACCAGAACCTTCTGTTTGAGTATAATTCCACTGTCTTTCAACCTTGTCTAAAAACCTGTAATTTCTCAAAGATCTATTTGGATATGTTGAACCTGCCATTTTTTTGAATAGATGCCACTGCCATTCCTCTTTCAACTTGTGAGGGATTTCGCTAACATCCTTGGGAGTAGCAACTTCAGATGGGAACTTGAGAACATTTTCTAATAGTGAAGCATAACCTTCGACAGTTTCTTGAACCATTAAGTTTTTAGAAGAATATTTTCCAAGCAATGCAACTTTGCGAGCTAGAGGTGATAATCTTCCCTTTGATACCACTTGCAATACAAGATCTGTTAGAGCCCTGATATTCTCCCTTGGGAAAAGATAGCCATTCACCTTGTCAACAACCTAAATGTTATAGCCATAAGAATAATAAATGAGTTACAACCAGTAAGTTTTAAGACATTTTCATTATTATAATTGGACATGTCATAACCTTCCAGAAAGATTGGAGACCCATATTTTTAAAGAGTTGCTGCACACGAGATCTCTTAAGGCCAAATATTTAACCTTCCAGAAAGCCTTAGACACATGATTTAGAGAAGGTTCACTCAAAGTGCAATCAGAAATTCTAAGTAAAGTAGGATCTGCAGATAATTTTTGTTGTGCCTCCAAAATAGTTGACTGGAAGAAGGTTCACTTAAAATAAAATATTAGATTCTAGTGAAAATTGAGGCATGACAGTATCTCTTTCTTAAAGTCTCCTAAGCCTGATCATGTTGGCCATCAAGAAACTTGTCCACAAATTAGAGCATACTTGAACTGATAATGTTGATTTAGACCACTGTGTTGGGGGGAAGACATGGCTGAATGAGAAATGAGAAATGAGAAATGATTGCATTTAGAAAAAGCTATAGCACCAATTAGAGAAGGCCAAAGAGAACCACTAACAAAAATGTGAATAAGACAAATCTGTTTTGCAATTTGAAAGAAGATATAGTCTACATAGAGGGGCCACTACTTGGTGTAATGACAAAAGTTCTAGGTGACAAACGTAGGTGTACAGATTCAAAATTGAGAACAGCTACTTTGTGCAAAATAATTCCAATATTTAGGTTTGTCTCCAATCTATTCCCTCAACATCCTGTGAGGCGGGACTAGAAATTGGGTAATGGCATTTTTATATGGTGTGTATAGAGTTAAATGTAGAAAAAATGTGCAATGTAGCCAATCCCATGTAGTGGAGAAATCTCTTTTCATGCAATGAGCTTTCAAGTGCTCTTTTAACTCATATAGACTTATGTTAGATCTAAGGAAAACATATTATAACTGGCATATTAAATGCATAAGAGAAAGCAGCAATTCAAAACATACATATTTCCTGATACTCGTGAGTTCTGGGGCTATGATTGGTTTCCCAAAACACATGGCTTTTGCCAATATGTGAGGAAAAGATAACTCGTTGAGGAAAGATCCATGTATCACAAGATTGGCCATATGTAGAACACCGTCTGCATCTTGATCAACGACAGAAACATGCTTCACAATGCCCGCGGGGTAACTTAAGTTCATAGCAATGGCCTGTGGGAAAATGATGTATGTTAATCATGCTGAATCAATAGAAAGTAGAACAATCAAGATCATGAGAACTGAACCAAGGATCTGCAGATATTGAACAAAACATTACCTCCACAGCCATACTGTAATTACCAGTAGAATCCCCAGTTAAGATAACGATTTTGAGATGAGAACTATAATTGTTAACAGAAGAGAAGTCCGCAAGGAGTGGTAATAAAGCCTGTAAAATAAAGGCATGCTCCAGCCACAGACCTGTGTACAAAAATTGACTTCCCACAATTGCAATAACGAAGTCATCTAGTCCATAATCCATCTCCCTACGTAGATTGTTTTGGTATAAAAGCATGTATTTATCTGCTTCCCATGCTTCATCTGGAGAACCCGGAATAACAAAGTAGTTTCCAGAATCACAGGCAGCATAAAGCATCTGACAAAAGTATAAATAGAAATCCAATAGGATTTAGAACCAAATTATGTAACTTTGAAGCATAAGTACAATGTCAACTATATTATTTTTAAATAGGAGATGAAATACGATTGAGCTATTCAAAGCTAGGATGCTTCCTCAACAAAAAAATATGAATATGATAGGATAGTTGTCCCCATTCAGCATGTAACATTAATAAAACAAACCACTGTTTGTCTAATATATATTACCGGCAGGGCATAATTTGGGAAGACAACAACAGTAGCACGGCGGAAGAATTTTTTCCAATTGTTTACAAGCTCAACCTGGCCAGCTGATATGTATTGTGTCAAACGAGTAGCAAGTGCACTTTCATGGATGGTCCAAATAAGAGGTACAGACTTGAAAGGCTCCTGCATGAGGCTGTCACAAATAAAGTCTTTCATGTTAACTTAATAAGGACATTGTCAGCAGAATCAACTCTAACCTATTAGCTAAAATTAGGAACAAACAGATAAAAGAAAAGTAATCATGTCAGAAAACTTGTATTATCACGTATGAATGAGCTTCTACAGAAGCATATGCAAGAATATACTTGCTACCGCCAAAAAAAGTACTAATAGGCCAACAGAAAGATTTTGCATTTTGATCAACCCCAAAAATGCTAATGCATCAGCTTCTGCATGAAATACTTTTGGGGTTGGATTGACCATTAAATTGCACAACTATTAAATTAGTGTCTTCAGCATAAGGAATAATCTGGTTATTAAAATAAAATGATATAGCTTACCAAGGAAAAATTCCACTGGCTTCCAGAGAGTTTACGAGTATACCATCATAGCTGCAAAAGGCATATACCATGATCAGAAAGACCTAAAATTATTGCTTTAATAAGCTAAATCAGTCTCATCCAATCTGTAAAAAAAATAAATAAATAACATGCAAACTACCAATAATGATATCGTATCAACTATACACTAGCACTGATGAGATATTCAAAAGTGTTTAAATTATTCTTTATGCAAAGTTACATGAGACTAGTTGATTGTTGCCCTCCCACACACACACACAAAATAATGAGATAACTGAAAATACAATGACGCAAGGACCAAGGACACCCTATATAGCAGCAAAAGAACTGAACAGACTGCTGTTAATGCTAGAAGGAAAGGAAGATCCTAAGTTAGTTACCATTTCTAACAGTTTAGTGATTAATTTAAGTGTAGAAGTTCACATATATGAGAATCATACTTTTGCCAATCTACAATGATCTCCATCTTCCCACCAGTTTCCATGATTTTGACTGGAACTCCAATGTTTCTCCAAACAGCATGCACAGGACCATCTTCAAGTGAGTAAACCTGCAGACATAAAAACAAATGATACTTAAGATGACTATATTTATCTCATTGAATGTTACCTGAAGAAAATTGCACCTAATAACTTAAACTTTTAACAAACGAGAGCTTAGATATAATTTTTCTTCACGTGAGGAATGGGCCAACAATTGGATTGTGAGTTATCCCAGTTGAGACTTGAGATTATGACTTCTGCAGGAGGATTTTCCCTCCCACTTGAGAGTGTTTGTTACACTACCCTGCATTTTCCTCAATTAAAAAAGAAAAAGTTCTCCAAGTATCATATCTAATAACATAAAGGACTGATGTGTTTGCATTACATAAACCCTTTGTCACAAGGTTGTTTGCATGTCAATAGTAAAAACCCATTTCCCACCGAAATCATTTGTTGTGTGTGTTGTCATGTGACCCAAGTAAGATACCTTAATCTCCAATTTTTAACTTTGTTAATTGCATGAGTACTCTCAAATAGAAAGCATTATAAATGAAGCAGAAGATATTCAAGATTCATGAACAAAGACACATGTTATGATTAATGAACTAAGCAGAAGATATTCCAGATTAATGAACGAAAACACACGGTCAACAGAAACAAGCATTACACTATGAGAGGACACTGCCAACAATCTTTACTGAAAACTCCAAAATGATTCAATTCTGACTCCCTCAGTCTCAGACATCTAAATTTGAACTTTAAACATATCAATAAGTGATAATTGAGATTACCACAACTTTGTAACCAATCTCCCGCAATGCAACTACAACACTAACCATCAGTATCTGCAGTGGATCAACCAGTAAATGCGCAAACACCTACACATAAGAATTGAAAAAAAATAGCTAAAAGCACAAGAAAAACGAGCAAAAACAGTTCCAAAAACAAGAAACTTCCCAAGAATTGAAAAAGAACGAATAAAACACAAGAAAAAGAATCAAAAACCCAAGAAACAAATAAACCCATTCAACATGACAATCCATACGATTAACAGCTGAAAATCAAACACATTCATAAGAAACGCATTGCAAAAGAAAACAAGATTGACAGGAAATAGGAATACATACCAAAGCCAGCCTGGGTTTCATATACCCATATCTCACTCCTTTCCCCGAAGCAGAAGATACATTATCATTCTCTTTCGGAAATTTAGCCAAACGCTTGGAAAGCTCAGAGTTTATATCCTTCCCAAAATCAAACCCACCATCCCCAGAAACCATGCCTCTGTCTGCCAATACATCGCTAGGTCTTTCCATCCCCTGCAAGTACATATATAGAGCAGCTGCAACGAACAAATGAAAAAGAGCTAGAAAAACGGATAGTCTAGAAATAATTGGACATTTTGCGAATCTCGCTCGGATTCTTTGACCCCGTGACTGTCTCTCATTCCTGTTTGCTGCTCGAAGTGGAAGACGATCCATTTATAGTCCCATTAATATGCAGTAAATGAACTTCGCAATACACACACAAACAGAGAGAGAGAGAGAGAGATATGAGAAATGGGTTTTATTCAGAGTGTTGTGATGGTACAAGTGGCAATAAGAACAGAGATTCTTTGTTTAATGCTACCAAAGAATTCAAGAATGCGTCTCTGAGTATTGAATTGAGTAAACAAAACAGTTAGAAAGATGGAGAGAGTAGAGAGAGAAAGAGAGAAATTAAGAACAAGAAAGTGAATGGATTCAAGAAAGTGCCTGTGAGTATTTGAGTAAACGAAACAGCCACAGGGAGAGAGAGAGAGAGAGAGAGTAGACAAAAAGCGCAATTAAGAGAGAGTCTTTTCCGCTACTTTATTGACGTGGCTTTTCGGCGTCATGATCGTCAACGGTGGGGCTTATCGATATTTTATATCTTTAGATTGGATAATAACGAAAATTTAGGAGAGATAAAATAGAAATTACTAATAGAATAAACTTGTTTTTGTGGCGACTTTACTATGATATACTGTATTTTGGGGATGAGAATCTAATAAAAGGGTTTGTCTGCAAAGGACATTAATTTCAAGATCGATGGCCTTTACTGTCTTAATAGTTGAAACTCCTTGTTAATTGACCGAAATGTCCTTTGAATTGAATTGGAACATAGGGAGCAACATTAACTATACATTAAATGCAAAAATTGTGTGCACTTAAAGCTCTGGTAAAATATTTTTCAAAGACGTTTTTTTTTTAAATAAAATATTTTTTTATTTTTACTTTATCGATATTTGGTAAAGGTTGATGTCAAATCCATCAGATTAATGTATAAGTTATTTTTATTAAATCTTAATATTTTTTTCTTCGTAAATATTTTACGACAACCAAACACCAAAAAATCAAAAAAAAATATTTTCTGAAAAATATTTTACATCCAAATAAATGTAGCCTAAATATTAAATCAAGATTAAAATTGCTATTTTAAGTAGGAATGGTGTAGGTGGCGAAGTACACTATTGATATTTATCTCCTAAACATATTTCAAAATATGGGAGAAATTTTATTTACTAATATATCTATTTTATCAAGATGCAGTTTATATAATCCATGTGAAATATTTTAATTTGATATAATTATCCCGCAAGTTATTTATTAGTTTATAATTGAATAATTTGACACGGAATATATAAACAACATATCTTTATTTTTATATTCAGTAATTACTTTTTATAGATACATATTTGGTTCGAAAAGTAGAAGTTTTAGAGTAGGCCGCCACTCTTCTTCTTCAATCTTTCTGTGTCCTTATCAATTATTCATTTAAGTAATTGGTCAATCTTCATTTGTCAGGTTTAGTACTATTTTGACTTCCCATTAATTAACAAGGTAATTTTAATTTTTACCACTTCAGGAGGGTACTCCTCTGTTTGTTCCAGCGTGTCTTTGTTGCTATGAGTAGTATATATAATAATGAAGATTTCCATATATATACTAGTAATTATTTGAATTTGTTTGATTGGAACACATGCACAGCTTATCATATCATATTCAGCTGGCTGTGGCGGTGAAAGTGTTACAATAGATTTTCATCAAAAATGTAATGAATATAAATGGGTTGGATATAAATGTCATCGAATAATTTACTTAAATTTGAGTTCGAATAATATTACTGAGTTAAGTATTAAAACCCCACCCACTTCATTAAGTTATAGTGTTGCAGTAATTTTTAACATCATTATCGGTGGATCAAAATATTAGTCTTGAAGAATAAGAATATTATAATATGGTTCACTTTATCGACCAATACTCACCTCCATGAAGCATGACCTATACCCTGGTCACCTCTAGGTTGACTCACCTGACATTGCCCTCCAAAACACAGGACCTAAAACCATAAATGACGTAAGAAACACTTATCATTTTGTGAACAATTTGAAGGTTCTTTAGAATGATAGAAAAATAAGTAGAACTAATGAATAATACAATGTGGAACCCCAATACACACAGTACAAGAAAGTTTGTGCAACATATGCTGATTCAGAAAATTTTGGACAAGTAAATCTAAGTACACTGGACAATGGAGCATCAATCCAACTGGTATAAGTAGCTGAACTGGGTGATCAAGCAGTTTTAAATATAATAATATATTCCCCAAGGAAGAGAAATCAATACACATTCTGTATGGAAAAAATTAATTCTTCAAGCTTGAAGAATCCAGGGCAATAGTGAAGGAAACAAAATAGGCTCAATGTTTTGAAGAGAATCAGAAATTACTGATTCAGGAAAATTTGATTAGCTGACGATGCATGGCATCCTTCGCGAGTGCAAAAAACATGAGCTAATTGGCAAATGGCATTGCAAGTTTGGCAAAAGAAGACTGCTTCGGCTATGCAGAAACAGATTGTAAGGTCCTTCAACCCATCCATTCTAAAAGTTCATAATCTCATTATAATCTTCCGAGTGGGGACTCCAAGGCGTGATCATCCACCAACCAAAGACCAAAATCATGGAACCGCTTTATCTTCTTATCAAAACCTGTAATGTAATTATTATGAATGATAACATGCATTCCCTTGGTTTCCTGAACCCAAGTCTCGTTCTTGAAGTATAATCCCCCTGTTGGAAATGCTGCCTGCGGAAGCAGATACAGATCCACCTGCAGCAGTATCAGACATATATTATTAGCTAATTATGTTTGCAGGAGTTGATCAGCAAAAATGGAATTATTATCTAAATTATGCAAAATGATGCAACCAAGAAATCATGGCATCCTGGCTGTTTCCCTCCCCCAAATTCTCAAAATATTTGCTTAACCCTTACACCAGAATCATTTGAATAAGGGGGCAACCAAAATCATTACTCTCATCAATGTCTGGCAAAGAGCAGCATACGGGACCATCCAATAATTTATGAGTGGCAGAGAAGTTTGAATTTAGACATACAGACATAAATGACTACTAATTTGTAGTAGAAAGGTGCTATCTACAATTTCAAATTTACAGTTGAATTGAAGTACATCTTTCGACAGCACGTAATTTGAGAAGGCTACTGCACAAGGACATACCTCAAGATGTGAGAATTTTGAAACTTGGAAAATGAAGAGGCAAAGGGAGATAGGTGAAGAAAAACAAAGGAAGGAGGGGGAAGTACAATGAAATCTCAAATCTCACCACAGTTCTTCAACCTAGGGTTGGAGTCTCACCCATCATGAAATTTAGGGATCTGACAGAACCTCATCACCACTGATAGAATAAGTTGTAAGAATGTTTAATCTAACAAATAAAAGGGGAAAAAAATCTCTTTATTGGTTAAAAAATTTAGAAATTTCATCCGTCATACGGGAGTGGAAACCTTTTTGTCCAAGTTCTTAAGATTATTAAAAATACAAGCAATACCTGTCCTGCAGTTTTGTTTAATGCCCAGTTAAAAGCAGGCTGGTCATTGGCTTTCTTTGCTTTGGACCATGGCTGAGCTTGAAGTTCTTCAATCCACTTTTTCATCACTAGTTTTGCTCCTTTAGTTGGGCGCAAGTAAATCATGCAGCTGCAAATGTAAGTCCGCCCTTTTTTCCCCGGAGGTGGCAAATCATGAGAGTGATTCAGAGGTTTCACCTGGTCATTGGAAAGGAGAGGAAGAGTATAATGGTCAAGAATATACATGCAGCAGAAAAAATTACTTTACAGAAATGTTATTAGAGTTATATCCTACAAGTACAGAGAGCTGGATCAACTGGCGTGTCTGAATCAACATAATCATCACTTGTGAGCAAAAACTATTGGTTTATTTAAATCAACTTGAACAGATAACGGTATCTGCTGCTTAAATTTTTTTATTTGGTTTATACTGCAATGTTAAAAAGAAGCATAAAGGGACAACATCAATTTTTCTTTTCGGAAGATAAAGGGACAGAATCAATTCTAATCACGTTTATTTGATCTAATAGTTTCCAGGATTTGATCTTGTACAACATTGAATTCAACTAGTATTCGAAAAAAATTGATTTATAAGATGCAGAAACCAAAAGGTACAACAAGGATAGTACAAGAACATAATTCCTCTAATAATCAGAAGCAAAGGAGTTTCCAAATTTGTTTAGCATTATTTTCCCAGTTCATGTTTCTTTTCTTGTGTTCTTTTTTAATTTCATTTTTATTTTTTTGACAGCTCATGTGCAGACCATCTACCATATTCTGTTTTATTTCACCACGTTAGATTTTTGTCCATTGGAAATTTGAAGCAACATCAGTGCACTTACTGCAGTCATGTCATCTGTGAAGTAAACATCATGCTCGCCTTGCAAATGCGGAAATGGATCAGCTAACCAGACCATATCAACATCATTATACATAACATTATAACCAAGCTCCAAAATATGCAGCAGGTGTCGAGGCCTTCGGGATGTAAAATTGAAGAATCCCTGTATGATGAAAAGAATTGAGGTTATCTCCAAAAGTCAACAATCTAATTCACACAAAGTTATATAATCACTAAGGGAAAGCAATAGAAGGACAAGAGAATTATCAGGCAAGGAAAAGAAATAGAAAAAAAATAAAAAGAATGAAGAAACTAAGAATTTGTCTTGTTCAGTGGAGAACATATAGGAAAAAAAAATGCATCCATATTCCATACAACATATCATTATGGATGTACCATTAGAGCTACAATATGGAAGAATAGAAAGCATGATAAAGGAAGGATATGCACTTCCTTTTTCTTTTCTTTTTTTATAAATGGTTGAACCTTATACCCATCCGTCCCTCTTACCTTCCATGCATCCAGGTTATATTTTATATCTATACATATACTCCATATAAATATAGTATGTGATAATTGAACCAGAACCATGCCTCCTTCTTAGATTCCATGTCAGCACTTAATTACTGTGCTATACTGCCTTTGGATAAGACATACAAAAATGGAAAGGAAAATCATTTTTCATCATCACTTCAAGGAATTGTAAAGTCCTGAATCAAATTTAACATTAAGCATGACAGAGAAAAGCTATATGCAGTATCAGATAGTGACATCCTACAAAATAGAAAATAAAGAAGTCGATTTTTCATCATGCTGATTAAGTGTACAAAATTGGAATAGCTACACTGGGAAAGAATTGTAAGCTTGATAATATATATATATATATATATGCACCCTATTGTTGGACAGTGAAATTCCCAAATTAGGAAAGGAACAATTTTTATAATCTTTAAGAAGTGTAAAGTTTTATATATATAAAGTGCAAAATTGTAATCAACAAACTATATACTTATGCTGCAGGCATATTAGCCACAAAGTAGCACTAACAGCTGTATTTCTATTTCCTTACTTATGTCAAGCTACTAAATATTAGTAAATAATGGAGAGTAAGAAGGAATCTTTGAAGGTCATCATGTAATGGTCATAAGATCTTCCGGGTAAGAATCATGAATTCAAGTTAGAAAATCAATTGCAAACACTGAAACATAAGGAGCTTTCCCTCTAGTAATAAACTTCTAATCCACAATCTCATACTAGTTAAAGAGCACACACATGAACGTATTAAAATAACAACGCTAACAAATGGTCGAACGCAAACAAAAGCAAGCACTTCTTGCAACAATATGAGTCCAGTAATCCGAAACCTGAACAACAAAAGCAAACCCTAAATGTAAGAATATACCTGGGAGCCAAACTTATGAGCAGTTTGAGCATCTGGTGCCGGTGGGATGAGCACGGCATGGCCAGGCCATTTCTCATTCACAGCATAAAGCGTGGCATAGTCCTCGGCAATCACTAGCACCTTCTCGTGTTGCTTTTGCCTCACAATGCTAATCAACCAATTGTTCAAAAAGGGCAAGTAAGGCTGACTCACAGCACAAACTATAACCGTCCCATTTTTCGCCACATTGGACACAGCCTCAACCAATGTATAGTCCCTCCATTTCGACACCGACACTCGGGAAGTACTAAAAAGACCTTCAGGCATACCAATCCATGGACTGAGAACCCCCAAAATTACCAGTAGACTTACCAGTACTAAGAGACCAGTTCGACTGAAAATGGTGACGGGTTTTTGGTAATTAGTTGTAGAACGAGGGGACAGTGGGTAAGGGTCTGAGAGAACGTTGTTCAGTGGCCTTTGATGTAAAAAGGATGACATTGTTATTGCTATCACTAATTCAATCAATCAAATCAAAACAGAGTTTTACACAAAAGGAGATATTGTACATGTATAAGAATTTGAAATTGACCTTGATTTGAGAGTAGCGAAGCAGTGATGATATTCTAGGGTTTAGATCTCCGATCTCGAACGCCTCGAATCTTTGTGAATCGGATGTTATTAACAGGAGTTGATGAAGTGATTCTCAGAGTAGAATAATTTGGGGAATGATGTTTGGAGGTGTAAAGATCAGATCTGAGGCTGTGAAGAATGATGATGGGACAGTTGAGATGGATCAAAGAGTGAAGAGTGCCATGACAATCTGGAACTCCGAGTTGATGATACTTTACTCCGGTCGGTGCTGAGATTAATATTGATGCGTATGCTGCGTCTATGATGCACAGTTAGTTGAACACACAAATATAAATATATAAATTACTACGTAACTTGATAAGATTATACTCCGTATTTCCATAATGGAAAAAAAAATCTCCACACCGATTTGTTGCAGAAAATTCCTAGACTTATATATTTTTTATTTTTTTAATTCTATCATTTATGGAATAAATAAAGAATTCGATGCTTTACTTATTTATACTGTGCATACATAAGCAATTATAAATATTCGGTTAGGTTTTGTTTGGTAGTTTGGATAGACGGAAAAACGAAAAGAAATAGAAAATCTTATTTTTTATTTTCTTCCAAAACTTTTTTAGTTCGTTGTTAAATGAATGACTTTTTATTTGACATTTTTATTTATCCCTTAACTTAATAGGGCAAAATAACTTCTTTCTTTAATTTTTTTACTTTTCAAAGAAGTTCTGGCAAAATAACTCATTCTTTATTTTTTCACAATTACATATAATTTGTAACGACAACATACATTAATATTTTTCTTACAAATTAGTATTGCCATCAGTTTCTTGATTTTTTTTTTTAATTTCGTTTCTCTTAAATTAATAATTAGTTCTACTTCTACTTAAAAAAAATATTATGAAGTCTTATTTTAAATATAAATAGTTATATTATTAAATTTAATAATCCATCATTTTACTATTTTTTACTAAAAATATAGATTATCAAATACAAACTAATTTTTTTTTTTTTTTGAATTTGAAATCATAAAGATAATTTTGGTATGTTAAATAACTTTCTTTTCACTTTCATTGTATCCAAAATAACAAATTAATGTTTTCTTGAATAAATTTTCATATTAATCAAATGCTAGAAAATACTCTTTCTTTTCTTTCACTTCACTTTTCTTTTATTTTTCATTTCTTTTCCTTTCTTATTTATTTCCATCTAATCAAACGGAACCTAAAATTCATATTTAAGAATAACTGTGTCATTTACTTTTTTTAAGAAAACAAATCATGTGAAATGTAAAAGTACAAATAGAGGACCAAATTCATATTCCTAATTTTTTTTTTGGAAGTTAAACTAATTACGCATACACCCTACCTCCACCGAAATACGAACCCCCAACCTTCCCTTTTCGGGGAGAAAGGGGTGATAACGCTGAGCCAATTGATCTTTTGGTAAAAAGATTGGGTATTAATACAGTAAAGAGTCTGCAATCATTATTTCGTCAATTTTTATTTTATTTTATTTATTTTTTTGTCCTTGAAATTTTAGAAATTATCTTTTGATTGATTTGATAATCATCGCAATGTAGGAACGATGCTCTACATTTGCACATTGAACATTTGCACTTCACTTAATTTTTTAAATAAAATATTAAATTACCTCTCAAAAGTTTGAATGTATCAAATTTTTTAATACATACATAAACAAACAAACAAATAAACAAAATTGAAATGGAGTAATTGTGAAGCATGAGAATTTTTTTAAAATTATGAAGCATAAGAAATCTTTTAAAAACAATTATGTTATTTGACAATTACAGTACAACTACAAATATAAAAAACAAAACTTTAAACTGGTGTAAGCTCTGATGTGGTTCATGTAGAAATGCAAGTCTGTAGTTTGTAAATGCTCAAAACCTCATACTCACGAACATATAATAGTCTGTAATTTGTAAATGCTCAGAACCTCACGAACGTATAATTATTTAGACTCGTACAAGTTCAAGAACAAACTAAAACACGATATTAAATACGAATTAAAACGAGTCATCAAAATAATTAAAAGTTGAGCCCAAGGCCCCAACTCAGCTCATTATAATCCCCAGCCGAACCACAAACAAACAAGCTGAACCATCTAACATTAATGAAGAGCAAATGTAGAAAAATGTCAATTCCACAAAGTTTCATTGAAGCATTAATAACCAAGATAGTTGTGAACAACACAAATTGCATGGCTTGAACCATTTCAAGGCCTTTTCAATATAACCCAACGTCACAATAACAACACCAAATTAGTTGGAATGTACAAACATACAACAGAAACACATAATTCAACATACAACTTGAATCTTCTGCACAAAGCAGTTTATGCATCATTGACAGACAGATAATTCCTCAGATTTTTCCCTACTAGACTACTATGTACTTCCTCATTATTAAGCAGCCAAACGAAGGATTGGAGAATAGAGGATCATTTGACTTCCAGAAAGTAATAAACAAATGAACAGAAGAAAGTTCATCAACCATAAGCAAAGAAATTTAATGGAAACTTTCCCCCACACAGAACGGTGGAGGGTTGTTGGGTGGCATCTTTAACTTGCTTGCTACAGATTCATGAGACAGGACTGGTCTTGAATTTCGGGTTCTTCTGTTTTACAAAGAAAGCTGACAGCATGCTCTTGCTGCGAGCAGGGGCACGAACAATCTCACGCCGAGTTGGGTTGTCAAACGACCTAAATGCTGTTAAGGGTTTGGAGCCTTCCATAGAATCCTACAAAAGAACACAGATTAGATACTGGAGGACTCGCAGTAGTTTACAACACAAGAAGCGCAAATCATATGATTATTCCTCTACAGACACAACAGAGGCACAGCAGTAAATCTTTAAAACACGAGTCATCAAGTCTCACATAGGATGCACATGTTTTCGCTACAGGTAACACACGGAGTAGTACAGACAGTTCTGATTATTGTTTAGATGATAGTATAAAAGAATGTTAGAATCAATCCCAAGTCGACAAATGTCCTAACAATAAATTTAACCTATAATAATAAGTTTAACCTACCTGCAGAACCTATATTTATAGGCTATTATACAGTACTGGTATTCACAACCAACATCTAATTGGTATTTGCAACCAACATCTAATTATCATCACTCAACTTCAATGCTTCCAGCTCTGACTTCTCTGGATCAGCAATGTGGGGAATGCATAACCACAAATTTATTTTAGCTTTAGCATGCCATTACCCATTTCCAATTCCTTAAAACAATTGAAAATTTTAATAGTTTAATTTGAATTGAAAAATAATCAGAGAATGACAGCAAATACCATCTCAAATCTCTTAAAGCTTCAAAGACAAGAGTTGAATAACACTCTCAACACAGTAAACCTCCAACGAGTAAAACACCTTCCAAATTCGAGCAACTTGCCACTTCATCACTTGTAATGAGAGCCCAGTCCCCGCCTCAAGTCATAGCCTACTAGAGCATGGCTCTGTTTCTACTGCGATTCTCGATTGAAGAAGCATACTACTATTTACACGATAGACCCACAATAGTCCATTTGCTGTTGTAGTTGTCAAGAATAACAATATGTTGTTGTCGCCGTCATTGTTGTTGTTGTGAGTGGCCACTGACTCTAAAGAATCAGTAACACACTTTCATATGAATTTGCCTTTTCAAAGTTGACCTATATAATGCTCCAAATCTTCACGAGTCTCGATTCAATTATCATGCCCAATATTCTCAAAAATTCAATTGTGAAGCAATTATTTGATATCCTACTCACAATCAATAGATTCAATATCCACTCATCTATAGACACATAATTAAGAGACATAATCCTGTTAAGCCTCGAATTTGAAAGTTATTCGACATCCAGTATAGTTAAAACAAAGAAAGTAGCACTCACCCACCATGAGCACAAGCTTCACTTTTTTCCGTTTTCTAGAGAGTTGATAAATGGAAATTATCCAACTGCTAAAATGATAGTGTTGGACTATGAAGATGGCTAACCAAGCACCACTTTTGAGAAGAAAATCAGTCCATATCCAATTTAATAAATCTGTTTATTATGCTTCAATGAATCCAATAAAGAGAAAGTGTCTTCTCTAAGCCTGTACTAGTGTCTAGTTACACCTTTTATCATTCTCATTTTATCAATACAACTATAGCTACACTCCAAAGGAATACATCAAAGCAGCAGCACAACGTTTGGCACCCCACATCTTTGATGACACGTATGGTGATTCCCACATGCTTGACAAATGATGAATTACTCTTGATATCATTAGGCTACCCCATCTGCCAGCAAGCATAATCACACACCAGCGATGTGCAAGTATCTTAAAGATCTAGTGGAAAGGGCAATAATAACTCCATTAAAGACAAAGGTCAAACCCTAGGTAAGCAATAACCTGGTTTAATATCTTTCTTGGTGTTTAACACACCAAGCTACCATAAAACATTAACTATACATGTAAGGAAAATATTATGCAATCAGAATATTTATAGTTTTTCCTTCTAGACGTAGTGGTGGCTTGAAATTACAAAACACGTTGATTGTTTTTTGTTTTGAAGTGATTGGAGCCTAAAAATAAATAAATAAATAATAAGAAGAAGAAACTAACTCCACTTGAAATTAAAATGGGTATTGATCTAATAATTGCAGCTGCTCTTAGTCAACTTTGTCCAGATCATATTTCATGATAAATTCAGCAATCTACTTTCTTATACAAGCTGGAAAAATTAATCCAGGCGTTTTAAGAATTTATGACAGGTTGGTTCTATTTTGTATGCAATTTTAACCATCTATAATCTATAAAAAATGTTTGAAGCTACCTCCAAAACACCAATTTCACTAAAATATATATATATATATATATAATGACTGTTCTCCAAACTTCCATATGGATTTTGAAAATATGTGCTTAGTTATTATGCAAACCTATTCAAGAGCATGTGGGAACCCAGAACCACCATTAGATATGTTAGGGTACAGTTCTGCAACAGAATCAGAATTCCAAACAAATTACAACTCATGCCAACCCTGCACATCCAGTATGTGCAACTTTTTCCAGCACCAAGACATGACAAGAACATAATTATTAAAAGTTAACGGGACTCCAATAGCAATTCAGCCACCCTAGCACACATTCCACCCCCCTCCCCAAGAGAGTGAGGGAGGCACCCAAAGAGCTCAAACATCTACCAAATAAAAAAAATTAAACACTATAATGTTAGGCCAGTTATCTTCTGTATCAATCATCATTCATAATATGCTCAAATGATGTGATATGCAAAAGTCAAACTCAATTGCCCAAAGAAAATGCATATTTATCGTTACGGATAGGCCAGAATTGAGACAAAGCTTCCATGAATTGTAATTTTATGATGGCATGATGTAAAACTCAAGTAAAAAGGACTAAAGAGGTAAAATCTTTAGGCATATGTAACATAAAGAATACATGACAAAATTATAAAACAATTTCATGGAAGATAGCATGCGAAATATGCAAGGAAACGCAGACAAAAAGGCTTGCCGAGCTATTATACTGAAGTATAGAACATGTCAAGAATTTTTTTCATTCACTCTCATTAGTCATTATCTTTAGGCAGATGCACTTAGAAGAATGTTGAGTGTGGACTCTTGATGATTTTGACATTACCCTCCGTGAGACTCCTAAAGTTTGCATAAATGCATTAGAAGCAGGTCCTCCACTGGGCACCTGAAGATGAGCTGCTGAGGATTTCATCCGCTTACTATCTTCAGCTTCTACAAGCATAAAATTTGAAGCAGGGGTGTAAGTAATTTTCAAGAGGAAGATGCGCACTATAACCAACAGCACAGCTGAAAGTAAAACCTCCACTTACCTAACAAATGGAAGACCCCAGAAGTTTTTGTGTCTTCAGTGCTGCACAAATAAACATCAAGAAACTTTTAAGCTCTTCTGAAATATTATTAGCAGCAATTCCATTAGACAAACAAATAAAAACTAATCCTTCTGTTGATCAGTTATTCAGATGTTTAACATGGTTCATGGACTAACCTCGTCACAGCATGTGGAGTCCCTTTCAAAGTAGATTTAGTCTCTGATGCTAAATGCCAAGACAGACTAGTGGCAGCAGGGGTACCTAAATACAATGCATTGAGTAAATGATAGCATATGAATTAATCCCTGAACCTAAATAAGACCTAAACAAATATGAAAATTAACAGAGTGTAAACATCCATGGAGGTGAACATTAGATACCTGAAGGATATAGACGTGGTCTTGTTTGTATATGACTTTGCCTAGCATCTGACTGTATGTGTGGGCTAAAGTGTACCTTCTTGTTGACAGAATCTAGCTTGTGGTGTCAAGTCAAAGAAAGATTGAAAAGAAATAAAAAGTTATAGGTCTCATTTTACCAACTAACATATCCAGAAGAACATAGTAGTAATAGTATGCCTTACTTGGCAAAATGTAATGCTTGTGATGCCTCGGTATGAATGCTAGCAATTGCTGCTGCCTGAGACCTTCTTTATCCGTGTATGTTTGGCACGTTAGCAGTTGCTTACATTAAAAAATCTAATTTCAGCTTCTATTCACATGAAGTTCGTCCTAGAATAAAATTTTAACTTGGATAACTATATATATGTTACCTGATTTAAACATGAAACTTTTAGCTCCATGGTTGAGATATCTAGGGTTTGTTGGTCAAGGAGGTCAGTTAATTTGTAGGCTACAGTTCCAAGGTGGTCAACAGCATTGACAAGGGCTCGTACAGCATAATCTTTTAGGTTGTCCAATACCCTGATACATCCACATTGAATTCCAGTAAGAACCAAAAAAAAAATCACTTAGGATCACTAATGGACATAAGAATCCCACACGGGCCACACACAACAGGCATAATGATCCACTCAAAATGGAGTAAGTTCATGAAACAAATTAAACCTCTAAACCACTGAAAACCAATTTAAACTCATAAAAACTACTAATATTAACAACAATAACAAAGATTTCACAGCTCCATTAACATAAATGTTGAGAGAATCTAGCATATATAACTGGTATTGCCTTGTCCATTAGTCATTTATATGAGAAATAGCAACTTGAATGCTTTGGTGAACTATCAGATGAAGGTTTTCATCATTCTACATGTTCTGCATGCCTAATTATGGTGCACAAGCAGCCAACTTCAGTACTCATGAATCTGCCTATGCTTTTAGTGGACACATCTTGGAAATGAGTTACCATCTTTAGTGCAAGAAAAAAAATGATCTCCAACAAATTACTGGTTCATGTAATCTATAAACTTTTGGATCAACTAATCAGTAAACTTCTTGCTACAGATTTTCTAAGATTGACATTTTAGGAGTTGTGGCACTTGACATTTTTAATAAATTTAAAATCTGAGTATTTAATGCCTAGAACAGATTTATACCAAAGAAGTTGTTTAAAGAGGTTCGAGCACTGGTACTAAACATTTACCTGGTGATAAACTAAATCTAAATCAAATTGAGGAAAAAAAAATTCAGATTAATTTAGCAAATATTCCTATGGTCCAGGCAAGCACCAATTGAAGATAGTTACCAGGGGAATTGCACGGGTGATGCTCACACAAATCAAAGAGGATGTAAAGACACCAAGTGCTCTCCTATAACAGAACTACAGAACTAATGGGGAAAGATGCAGCAAAATCACTAAGATGTCCAACAGAAACCAAATTATGCAACAATAGCATCTAGCAACTCAATAACTGAGGTCTTACATCTCCTTCTGTTCACTATGAAGATAAGACTTTTCACAATACTCTGCAGCGGAGTAAAGTTGAGGCCTTAAGTTCTTGAGTTCCTGAAATAGTCATATGATTCAAATTGGAATCAATGCAACAAGTAGCTAATAAACTGCATAAACAAGTCCTAAAAAAGAATTTGGTTAGGAAAACACATTGCAACAAAATATATGACTGGAACAAGCACAAAAGCAGCTATCAAGAAAATGAACTACTTCCAGAATTGACTAATCAAATTAAAAAGTTTAGCCATGTTGAGTTGGTACAAAGTAGCAGATTTGAGAAATCCAAATTGACACACATAATGAAACAAATATGTATCCCTAGACAAACATTTTGCTGAAATAGAGCACTACTATATCTATAAAAAGCTCTAGATAAAAAATCACATTTTTTTTTGAAAGATGTCATCAGTAACATCATCATTTGTCCCACTAACACATTTCGTAGACTGTATCGAGTTTATTGGTTTGTTATGATACCTGATGCATAAGGAGTAAAAGTATGGCTATCTTATCCAAATTTTCTCATCCATAATATCATTAACTATTGTGCTACACGGTTCTACAATAATTCAGAACCAAAATCTTTAAATAACCATGTCTTGTACAGGGAGTTAGAAAACAATAGCCAACTGTCGACATTTGAACACACTAGGAACACAAGCATTACTCCAATTATGAATATCAGAAAATATTAACTACTAACAGGGTCTAACCATACTGCACATATGCAAATGCAATCGATAATTGCTGGCACACAAGTCACAATCATATCAAAAAGTTCCAACAACGGTGACCACAAATAACATCAAAAGCAATAATAATAAGGAAAAAAAGAATATCAAACAAAAGGAATACATAAAAAGATCTAAAATTTGCAAGGAATCCTCATAAATGAAGCCACATTGAAGTTAATTCAATATAATTCAACATTTGACTTAAATGAGGCCATTTATTATTCAACATTTGGAAACCCCAGAAACAAAAACCCAAACTCAACTCCACCTAAAACCACCTGTATCACTTAAATGAGGCCATTATTTTTCCAATTCTTAGGAAGCTAAAACCAACATGCAAATAAGATGCAAAAATTCAAAGTCAACTGGACATACAAACACATAAATATGTGTGTGTATATGTACAGGCAGATCAATTAAGAGATCTGATCGAAATATGGTGAGAGATAAATTCAAAGATATGAACCTGCAAGGCTTTGACGAAGCACTTGCTACGCTCCATGGACACCTCGTCGAAGGTCATAGCCGGATTATCTGGCCGTGATTGCTCCAATTCCATCCCTCTGTCCTTGACCTTCTTCTAATGAAAATTCTGAAGAATTCAATCGCTGAGATTTGTAGAAACCCTAAGAACGGTACTAAGAACACAATAATTTGCAATGGTGATTACATATATAATAATGAGATAAGTTAGATTCGGAGTTAGGTTATGGTGGGAGAGCTATTCTAACCAAAAAAAAATTAAAAATTAAAAGAGACGCTTAACATATAATTATATAAATATAGAGACAGAGAGAGAGGGAGAGAGGGAGTGTGTGTAGTAGAAGCAATCTGGGGAAGTGCATTAGTGGTAGTAGAATCATTTTTTTGTTGTTGGAGTTAATAGCAAGTGAAAATGATGTGGTATTTATGAAAGGTGGTTGAAAGGACAGATTTGCTAGAGAGAGAGAGAGAGAAAAGGTTCCTTGGCATTCAACTCACCGCCACCTTGTCGCTTTCAGACCACCGCGACCCGATTCAAACCCGGATGCTCAATTTTGATCCTTTTCTTGACTTCCAAGGTGGATGATGTTAGTGTGATATAAAAGTTGATCAACTGTGGCAAGCGCAATCCTCTGAATTTTGTGTCCCCTGCAATAGGGAAATTTACATATTCAAACCACAATTCCGACCGCAATTACCACTTCGTACATCTCTTTAAATTTTGTGCCTTTTAATTATGAAATTTAAAAATTTGAACAACAATCTATCATTTAGTATTCACGAGAAAGTCATGCAAATAGTTTGCATTGGAACTTTGCTTCTTCCCCCATATTATTCATATGATGCATCATCCATGATGGGCTGCATCCAAGCCATCCTTTTTTATGGCAGAAAGGTTGACCTTTTTTTTTTGTTTTTTTCAAATGCTGCCAGCCTTTTCCAACATGGTGGGGTATGTAAGGGAAAGTTGGAGGACGAAGGCCTCTCTAAACGTGTGTTATCCCTTGTGCCTATTCAGATAATATTTGGGTGTTTCGGAGTTGGTGTGACCCGAGTGTCATGATATCACAAAAAATTCGGTGAAATTTTTTGAATTTTTTCTGTTATAACGTTTGATCAATTTTTAATATATTCACTTTTTATCTTAGTGATATGATCTAATTGGACGGACATTATTTAATTAACTTTTTTTAATTATTTTAAGAAATTTACTTATTTTTTATTACCATTCCATACTATGAAATGACAAAAGTAGACATTTAACAAACATTTAAGAATATACTTTCTTAAAAACAAAAATTAACAATTTCGTTACCCAGTAGGCTATTGATTCCTAATAGTTCATGATTGTTGCGAAGGAGAGATGGAGAGATAGGCAATTGGAAGAAGCTAAGACCTGCAACTGAAAAATGCAATAGGCTATTGATTGTTGAAACTACAATTAAAATACTACACTTTCAAACCAATTAATTTGCAGATTCTTATTGGAGTTTTACTAGTAACAAATTTGGTGTAGAGTATACAGATTTTTAAATAATACTTTACTAAACTAATCTAGTTAAAGTGTAAACGATTTGGTTTATTTGGATGTTATGCCTAAGACTAAAAATCACTTTGATTATATTTGCAATGAAGCTTCTCTCTATATACCTGTTGAGCTTCACTTTAATTTTGCCAAGTAGACTATTTTAATAAATTTATTAATAACAATTCAAATTGATGTGAAGCAACAGGAAAAGGATATAAGGTAATTACACAGAGCATCTCAAATATGAGAATCAAGAAACCGTCTACATTTTAATGAAAGAGAGACTTGTAGTTTTTTATTCTCTTCCAAGAAAATCTCTAATCTTACTTTGTAAGAAAAAGAGGAATTTTTTATTTAATTCCCTAATCTAAATGTATATATCAATGATGATCACATAAGTTAAAAAAAATATTTCTATCCATGATTATCACATAAGTCGATGACAACAACCAACCCTTTTTTATTTTTTCCCGTATATGATTATATATATAATTGGACTGATTGCACGTACAAAGGATTATCAAGCCCTCAAAGGACAGGGGACGTACAATAGTGTGTGTCTTACCCATTTAATAACAATTTAAAATAATAACAAAAATAAAAAACTGATTAATATGTTACAATAATCATGTATGCCTAGAAGGTAGATATGGTATGGAGACAGTGGCGTAGTCAGGAATTTCTTCAACTGAGTAATTTTTAATAGCAATAATATATATATAATTTGAACCAAAATAATATATGTAAAAATTAAAACATTGATTCATAATATTTCTATTCAGTACATTCACAACTGGCCTCGACGATTTTTCATATTCTAAAAGCGTTGAATAATAATATCATTGTCAACAGTACTAAAAATGTCTCTCTCAATATACACAACCATCATATCATTCATCCATTGGTCTTCCATTCAATTGCACAGTCGAGTTTTCAAAATATTCATGCCAAAAAAAGCCCTCTCCACTGTGGCAGTAGCAACCGGCAAAATCAATGCCAATTTCAAAAGCAAGTAAATTAATAGATAAGCCTTGTCTCTTTTTGTCTTAACCATTCTTCAAGCAAGATCACCAATTCCTTTTAAATTTGAAAACTCCTTGTTAGAGCACATGTCAATAATGTAAGTGTTTCAATAAATGAAAAATAAGATATGAAAAAAATAATAATAATAACATTGTTACTTAAATCTAAGTGTTCTAATATATTATATATCACATATGTAAAAATAAATAAATAAAAAATTACATGATAATTGATAACCAATGTCATTCCAAAAAATTTCATGGTGAGAAAAACATTCTTAATAACTACCATGTCTGTCAATCGACTCATAATAAAAATTCATTCATATTAAAAATAAAATAAAAAGCAAAGATATGAATAGTAATACACTTCCTTAATTTTTTTGGTAATAGCCAGTGTCATTATTATACAAGCTAAAACTCCAACTGCGAACTAAACAATAAAGCAAAAGATATAAATATCCTATCAGTTGTTAAGCGCGTCCACTTCCGTGCCCCCTTCCCCCAAATAGAACTTATCCCTTTCAGCCCCCTCATATGCATAAACTAATTATCTACCCGACGTCAAGCCTATACCCAAACTCTTTGACTCCACACTAACAAGCACTGACCCTATTCCTACAGGAGAAATGAAGTCTATAAAGTCAAAGAAGAAGAGGAAATTCTGGAGGAAGAAAAAAAAAACGAGACGAATAAAAGATTGAAGAAAATACCTTCACGTATTTGTCTATTTTGTGATTGGGTCATGTGGCTGCTCTGGCTTTTGCACTCGAATTTTTTTTTTTCTTTTTTTATTAATTCTGATTGGACATTAGGCTCTTATGGCCTTCGCCTATTCTCCGAAATTTTTTTGGGGTCGTTCGATTTTTTAGGCCGTTGCCAAAAGCCATAATACATTAACTGGGTGAAAACCATGGCCACAATGAACAAAATTACAGCATGGAAATTATCATAGAAATGCTATGCATGTGAAGTTCGTTTTTTGTAAAAAAAAAATACCAACCAGCCAGCCAGCACAAGGCAAGTCAAATCCCTTTTCAGAAAGGAGTTGGCCAGAAATTTCGTCAGCCTTCAGGATCAGGCATTGACTTGGGCTTCTTTGCTTTGGAAGATTTTTCAAAGCAATCCCCAGAAGAAGATGTGTTTCCGCTAGTAATCTCTGGTTGCATTGCCTTCTATAGTAATTACACGGGCAGGACTCTTGTAATCTACATTCCATATCTCAAGAATAGGGTTAGATTTAGATTTTAAAAAATGATTGTTTTGTGGAACTAATTGCTTTTAATTTATCACGAATTTGAATGAGAGATAGGTTTTGCTTTTACCAATTTTTTTCAAGAGATTTCACTGTAATATATATTGCCGTGGTATAATTTCAATACCAACTGTCTTACGAAGAAAATCACAAAAGAAATTGGATAACGAAAAATGAAAATCAACTTCATTGGGGCAATGCTTTATTGAAAAGCAAGAGGTATAATGTAAAGTGCAGTGGGGTGAGCAAAAGCTCAGTAGGTGACACTTAAGACACGTCTCTTGTGTCTCCGTGAACCCACAACAAAAAATAGAACAATGAGAATGGAGATCATATCATATCAGGATATTACAACATACTAATCAACCTCAAGTGTAAACACTTCTATTTTATTCCTTATATTTGCTCAAGTGAAAATGAATATATTAGTTTTGGAGAAAGAAGGCATAAAAACTACAAATAATTTTTCCCCTTTACTTAAAGGAGAAAAAAGATCAATAGGTTAATGGCCTAGCGGTATCAGCCTCTTACTTACCATCCTTATATTATCTAAAGGAAAAACTACATATTGGTAGAGTTAGAAGTCTAAATAACAAAATGATCTATATTAAAAGTTTATTTTTTAATTTGATCGATTTAAATAAAATAATTACAAATGTATCAAGAATTATTATTAAAGTTACAAATACCCTCTTCCCTTCACCTGATTGTCCTTCCCCTGCCCCCTCTGAGAAGACCCTTCCATGTTTTATTACAACGTTCTTTCGGTTCTCAAATTTGGTGGCATATGAGTGATTAATTTTGGTAGTGGATACATTATACATAGGTTCAACCTCGTGTTATAACTAATCTTATAAATTAAAACCATATAATCCCATCAATTGCAAAATTTAATAGAGTAAGTGAATATGTAATTTCATTGATTTGGGCTGCAAGCCTGCAAAAAAAATAATAATAATTTTTTTAATTAAAATTATAATATCAAATAATAATCGTAAATTTAGATGGAAAAAAAATAATAATATGACTTACCGAGTTTTGGTCTACTGGCGCTTGCTTTTTTTGGATTGTGAATTTGTGAAATGTTGAAGACTCGCGGAAAGAAAAATATTGAAGACTGAAAAATTGAAAAGGCGATGGAAATGAGAATATCTCGTATTTAATATCATATTCTTTGGGGAAGTAGAATATAATATTTCGAGAAAGTAAAAAAAATGTTATATTTTGTGGGAAAGTGTAAAACTGTGAACGAGCTTTTGATTATATATATGTATATATATAATATATATATATGTGCACTATTTAATTTTAGTATACATATATAAAAATCTTTCTATAAAAAAAAAATAATAATAATTAAAAAATTTTAAAATTAAAAGTTCAGTGGGAGCAGTTGCCCCCACTTGCCCCTCTGTGGCTACGCCACTGTATGGAGACCCAGAACCAAGCGAAACTTTAACCATGTAAACCCAACAAAACAAAACCATGTACTTGCTCCCATTATACAATATATACAGAGTAGTCATTCCTTGAGTTTAAGAACTAAGTCCAGTAATTACACCCAACAGGGTAATTAGTAACACTTGGAAACCAACTCTAAGCAGCTCCAGCACAGGATTGCGGTAATTGGCCAAATGGTACTTCAGTCAACTACCAAAACAGTTCAATATATTTAGTTTAAGATATCACAAACAACAAAAATTTTGGAACTTCCCTATGCTCTCCGCGATGATTCTGTCTTAGACCTCCGAGGAAAGGCAAATGCAGAAGCCAAATGATGCCTAATCCGAGTGAATTTCACCAATAATGGTGCATAGTTAATGATGGAAGTGGCTAAAATCTCAAAGTAAGTTGGCTTTGGCGTTGAGGGGCAGCCAAGAGATTGGATTAGTTCATCCACAGAAAGTACTAGGAACTTTGGGGGTGCATTTAGAGCAATGTTGTGAACTTGATGCTCAAATATCTTCCCATGCTTATCAAGTTTGTACTCGGAAATCCCATCAAATCGGCCTCGACTCTCCCATGGTACTCGTGGGATACCATGGACAGTCCAGCGGACAATTATGGTGCTCTCCACAGGTTGCCACACACTAATAATGTCAACCCACAAGGCCTTGAAAAATATCCTGCCGTGGAATCTTAGAGCCCAGAAGATTGACTTATAGTTCTCAATGCCGGCAAAAGTGTTGAGCGGATCCTTGAAGACAATATCATCCCTACACAATGTTCATGGAAAACTTTAATATATATCATTTAACAAGAAACACTGAAGATAAAATCTACGGAAAAAAATCTGACCACGTATAAATATATATGAACGAAACTTTGTGTGACCCTGTGAAAAGGGTATCTCTTGACTTCATGCCATCAACAAACCAAATCACCTCATATGGCCCAGCTGTAACATAATGTTCATACACAAGCCTCTCCCTCACAAAACTACATTGCATGTGATTCTCAGCTAGGCTATATGGCAAGCATACATAGTCAAACGCAACAATTAACTGTTCTGGAATAATATAACAACTTAAGCAGTGCATGTGATATGCTCCGACTCTTGATTTTTAATAATTTATGGTTCTATATCAGTCATAAATACAAAGAATTGATTATATACAAAAAATAATAATAAAAACAAAAACAAATGCAATCCTGCTGCTCAAAGCAAAAAATAAAAACCATGGCACACACCTGACTAAAAAAATGAAAACCACGGCACACACCTCTCTATCTCCTACATAACAGCCTAGTAAGACACTGACTCCTATGTTACCACAAATCCACATACTAATTTATCTGAAACACCAATAGCTTTGGCAACATTCCACAGATTTTACAAAGCAACCGATAGAATCCAATCCTGTTAACATGTTCCCTCAAGAAGTATGAGCATTGATACGGGTACAAGTAATTTTTCACAAATCAATAAAAATTGATAAACTATGTTGCATTGATATGGGTACGAGTAACAAAATCTAAGATACGTATAGAGCATGCTTCAAAGTACACTATCAACAGTGACTCGGGGGCGCAAATATGCCTCGATCATAGAGCATCACGTATTGGTATCAGGCAATACACAGAAACAGACCATAAAAAAGGCTCAAAGAATTCTAAAAAATCATAAAAAGATTGGAAAAAAGAAGAATTGAGTCCATCAAATAAATAAAATATATCATGCAGCACATATAACATGGTCAAAATGATGAACACATGTTACCAAGCTGGCCCACCACCGTAAATATTTGAATACTAAAAATATCTTTATAGGCAAAAATCCACTAAAAGAGGCACCCAACAGGGGCACAACCCATGTACATGCAAGGTGTTCAAACTATAAAAGAACCCATAACAAAAGCTCATATATCCCAAGAACTCCATACAAGAATAAATTGAGATATAATTCTACGACCTAAAACAATGAAGTTCTCAAAGGAATTTGTTAAAGCTTAAAGGGACTATTCCCTCAAAAGTACACCTGCTCCTTTCCTGACAATTGCACCATATCAGCCAAAGGGGAGCAGCATCCCACACCTTCCGCCCCGACACTGGCCATAGAACACTCAATCTCAAACAAAAAGAAAAGAAGGCTCCACAACTTCTGAACCACACAACAATGTTAAAGATGTTGAACAATTTTCCCTTCCACCTCTTATGTTTTAAACTAATTCGTCATTTGTTCCACTCTTTTCTTCAACTTGTCTATAGTGAAAATAGCTCCCAACTCTATGTACATGCAAAGAAAAGCCTTCATACATCAAATACCCTTCCAAGGAAGACAAGTCTTCCTTCCCCAATTAAACCTTAGAATGCACTGAAGGACTCAACTCTAACCACCTTCCATCTAATAGGGTCTTTTAACTCTCCACAATCATTGTAACCTTGAAGCATCCTAACCAAAGAAGTCACGAAAACCATCTCCCAATCTCAGGCTCCAATAAGCGATAAACATTGGGCATGAAACGATTCCACCAGCCGAGAAAAAAACAAAGTTTGAAAAAGCTGCATCCATGTCTGTTAATATCCTTCATGATGCCTCTGCACGAACCAGCGCGAGGCCTATAAGTCACATTCCAAAAATCTCACCTTGTCACATTGCACATCAAAAGGTAGATATAGGAAGTGACCAACACCCAATTCTTCGTGATGCCTCTGCACAAACCCACATCATGGGACATCACCACCTCACCTAATATTTGTTCTTCACCACTACACAGCTCCATCTAAAGCAAACCTCCAAAATCAATTGCCTACCTGAGCTTGATTGAACACAATGAATGTCTTGATTCCTAGTCCACGTATATATATATATATATATATATATATATATATATATATATATTGGATAGCACAATTTCATTTAGTCAACCAGTTATGCTTAAGACTCTTCGCCAAGGCATCCCAATGAAAGTCTGTTTGCAACTTTCTCAACCTCCTCTCACCCGTGACCTGACATATAACGGTAAAACAAAATATGATGCAAGTAGGATAAGTCAACAATGTACTCTTAACAAGAGTAGGTCTACCCCCTTAGAGAGATATTGTCGCTTCAACCCTATTAACCTTCTTTGGAACTTGATTCGTAATTTCTTTGGGTTAATTATATCATAGATCTTCAAGGATCGAATAAATTAAATTATTATGCTTAATTTTTTATAAAAAAAATAATATATAAATAAATTTTAAATGTATGTGAAATCAAACTTAAATAATTCAAGAACAAGTGAAAGCCATAAGATTTTCTTTTGTACAAAAAACCTACAATGTCATGTGATAGCATGATAACTCAATTAAGTTCTTAATTCTGACTAAATTAAGTGATTATCCAATTAAAGGTAATAATTTTCACTTAGAATGGGATAAACTTTAAGTGAGTAATACTTTACTTATCACTAAACGCTAAACACGTAAAATTTAAGCAAGTATCATAGAAATCCTCAATTACAATTAGCACTTAAAAATTTGAAATGCTTAATTTTCAGTTTTATCAAACACCACCCAAGCATCAAACTCAAGAAATTTACAGTTTTGGAATTCGATGGTTTGAGAAGGAAAAAAAAAAAGTACTATATATATATATATGGTAACTAGTTTACCAACTTGTAAGGTAATATAGCTCTAACCTAGAGATGCACAAACAAAAATGCATTGTCTGCTTTGTCTTTTGCAGCAAATTAATAAAATAGACATAAACAGATTTATATTTTACACGTAGCAAGGAAAGCTAAATGGAAGGACGCAAAAAATATTGCTATGCAACAACGCATGGCACAACCCATGAGACATGGTGAGATGTTTATGGATATTAACTTCTTTCCAACGCTGCTTTTTGTGTTGAACACTGAATTGAACGAGATGAGCAAAATGGTAAAGTTCATTTTGCAAGAAAAACTACAGAGCTTCTCAAAGACATATTATACTTCCAACAATGTGGATATTTTTATTTTATTTTTCATGCCAAAGGAAAAAAGAAGGGAAGAGGGGCAACCAAATTTTGCTAGAAGAAAGGCAGCTGGACAGCCGGGAGTTGATTTGGGGAACATTTGACCTCGAAGTGATGGAGTAGGTTCAGTGGAGAGAGGGGTAGAGAGGACTCATGCATTGCTGGCTCGGAGTTACCAATGGCCGAAAATGGAGCAGGGTGTACATCTGCTTTAATTATATGATTGAAGGTTCCTGAAGAGTGAGATAATCTAATATCTAACCATTTACTTAAAAACTGGTTCTACAACCACGAACTAGCCACTCTAATTTTAGAAAATGAGATATGAGTCCGTCATCAAGCATAAGTATTTTTTTAATGTGTGTTTAAACACCTTTCATTTGAGAGTGAAAGGAGATCATCTGTCATTAGCTCAACAAAAGCTTACATTTTGTCATCATAACCCATTAGGTGCAAAAGCAGCAAATGCTAAAAACCGCGATGGCTTCAAACATAATAATCTAGTTTCAATTTTGTCTAATTTTCCTCAATTTGAGTAAGATTAGTTGATTGGAAGGCGCTGTTCTCTCAGGTCCAAAACAATGAAAATTCCAAATTTGTACAGCAATCAAACAGATAATAACTGCGAAAAAACAAGAAGGAAATCAAAATTCAAACCTGTAGATGTCAAAACTGAGTTCCTTATAGAAAATCTCAGGAAACTCCTCTCGCAGAGTCCGAATTGCATAACCCATATTCAAGTAGTAATTCTGCTTATCTTCATCCTCTTTGTTCTGCTTCGGTGACGACGTAGTATCGGGCATCACCGGAGCTGCGAACTGTTCGTACAACCTCAAGGCATGCCTCGAAGAATTTGAAACTCTAGCCTCCAAATCTTTTATTCTCGTATACAACCTAAACTTGCTATTGCTTTTCAAGATTGTGAGGTTTTGAACATTTCTAGGGTTTGTGATGGACACAAACTTGGAAGTAGTTTCGGGGCGACAGCCGGAGATGGAGGAAACTTCAACGGAAGGTACGAGAAAAGCCATCGGAATTATATTCCGGGGAGGTTTTATATACTAAAAGAGAAAGTCAGAGGAACCTTAGATCGGTGGGAAAGGAAAAGCCATTTCTGTGACGCGAGTGAAATACGAATATTCGGGATAGGAGGTGTTTGTATGGAGAGAAAAATCAGATTTGGATTTTCCCGGAAGGAGACAACTCGAAGAAAAAAGGAGATAAGTAAGGCATTGGATAAGGATAATTGGATTAACAGTAATAAGATTGGCAGATGAGTATCTGGTTTGTTTCAAGGTTGTGAAGCTTCCACGAATTGCTATTTGCCACGTTTTCAGCATTTTGATTTTTTTCTCCCTCTTTTTACGATATACATTATGTTATTAACGACAAGGCTAGTTTGCAGCGACAGTCCAGATTTACTTTGAAGACACGTGGACACAATTTAGATCATTTTTAGATAATAACATTTTTTTAAATTTATAAATTTGAACAATGATATTTCATTTTATAAAAAATAACAAACACAATCTTAATTGATATAAAATATCTAATATGCCTTAGATTTTATTGTAATCCTCTAATAAAATGGCCAAACTATCCTCATTTATCTCCGTGTCTTTTCAATCCCCTATTTGGCCAAATAGACTCTCGTATCTCTTTGATCAGATACATTATTTGTTTATTTGTGTTAACTTCAAAGGAGAGGTTTTTGCAGCCGTGGTAGAGGCTAAACTGGGCAAGGGTGGCCGAAAAAATGGAGGGAATTGGAACAGCGAGACATCAGTGAGGAATATTGAATCGGCGCTCGAAGTCGTTCTAGAACTTTAATTTCCAATCAAAAGTCAGACTCCGATTCTCTATAAGCACTCGAACTTTCTCGCAAATTCGTCACAGTCTCGAACTCGGAAGAACCAAGTCCAAGCGTGCGTGCGATCGATGAAAGCTCTTCGCCGGAATAACCAGTTTGGGGATCGCCGACAAGTGGGTCAGTTTCTGGGGGTAAGTCGCCGCGCTCAAGGGGGGTGGGCGGGAATGGGTTGGGTGGCGGGCCAGATGTAATGGTAGGGATTCAACAAGTGGTCGAAGGCGGCGGTGAAGACAAAAGTCGTCGTTAAGAGAAGAGAGAAAACGATCGATGAGAGCTCTTCGACAGAAGAACCAGTTTGGGACTTGTTGCCAACGAGTCTAGTGGGTCAGTTTCTGGAGGGGTAAGTAACCCAGGACGGGTGGCCAGCGTTGGTTGGATGAAAGGTGGCCAGCGTTGGTTGGATGGCGGGTTAGAAGTGATTGTCGAGGTTCAACAAGTGGTGGTCATTGAGAGGGGTTGAAAGAGATACGAGAGTCTGTTTGGCCAAATAAGGGATTGAAAAAATAGATATAAACATAGGATAGTTTGGCCATTTTATGGGAGGATTAAAATAAAACTTAGGGCATATTATACATTTCATATCAATTAAGGTCATGTTTGGTTCTTTTTTATAAAATGAGGTGTCATTATTCAAGTTTGCAAGCCTAAAGGGTATCATTGTCCAAAAATGGCCTAAATTGCATCTACCTGTCTTTTAAGCAAACATGGGAGTGTCACTGCAAATTACCCTAAACAAAATACATCAAATATATTTATAGTAATATGTAAAAAAAAAATAGATGCAATATAGTAACTCATAAGAGCATTCGCACTAGCCTCTCTGAATTTTGGCTCTCAAAAAAGCCATTTCAACTTTTTTATGAGCCAAGTCAGCAACTTTCTTTCTAACTCAAATTCAAGGCCTGTTTGACTATGAAACACTTCGTTAGCTTATGTCATCTACAAAATAAGAATAATAATAATAATAATTTATTAATTAATTAAAAGTCAAATATTTAAAATATTTACGAGTTATATTTAAAACAATAAATAACTCTCCGTATCATCAGTGCTAAAGCCACTTGGGCGATTCATATCGATGTTAGTCATGCATCCAAAATATTTGTTGATTTGTTTTCGGATGATGGACCAATGATTCGTCAAAACTATTGTATTTCGTAAAGATGGAATACCAAGATGTTGTGCACAACTTTTAGGGATTAGCTCCCATAATTTTTTCTTGCTTTGATCTACATCTGTATTCACATCGGAGTTAATGGACGTCCACGCCCAACATAAAGCCTCATTTTCGGCCATGAACTAATTTCGATTTCGGATAATCAGTTATTGTGTAAAATGTTGGAAGTTACTTGATCGAAGATCCATGGAATTGGGTTGAGTTTGAAAATAGTAGTTAAGATTGAGCAAATAAAAGATGAAATAACTTGAATAGTAGAGAATAAAGATGGATTAGATATGATAAATTGTGGTAAGAGTTGGGGTACTTATAGAAGAGAAGTGAATTTTTTATTTTTTGAAAAAAGTTATAAAAAAATAGATTTTTAAATTATAGCCGTTAAGGCACTGTTTGTATCAGCCAAACAGTGCTTTAACGGCCAAATACACTATTTGTGCCAGAAATTCAAAATAAAAAGTAAAAAATGTTTTTAAAAATCAATTTTTAAGGGGGGGGGGGGGGGGGGGAAAGTTTTTAAATTTATTTTTTGCCCAAATCAAAATTTTTTTTTTTTGACAAACAGTGCCTAAACAATATATTTTTTATTTAATTAATTTAATTTAATTTTTTTTAGAAAAATGAGATCAAAATAACCTGTATTTGGGTTTTTTCCAAAAAAGTAAGTCGCCAAACAGTGCCTTAAGGCACTGTTCCTGATTTTTAAAAAAAAAAAAAAATTGCCCAAGACAATATCGTTTTGGCAAAGGAAAAAAAAAAAAAAAAAAAAAAAAAAAAAACCCGACGGTATTCCGCGAGCTAGATTAGTAGCCCATGTGGGCCCACCCAATTACTACTAGCCCGTTGCGGGCTAGTTTGGACTAGGGTTGCAAGTTGGGCAGCCCAACCTAGTCTAGTCCCAACCCAACCTCAATCCGAAGTTGGGTTGGGTTAGTCAACCCGATGTCAAAAAATCTGGGCTTTAACAGTGACCCAAGCCCGAATGTGTTTCGGCTGACCAGATTAATTTTTTTCTTTTATTTTCTTACAAACAAATATACAAATTACATCGTTTCCTTTCCAATTTGAAACATGAAATATTCAATTATTAATTTTTATGTTTTTTCAACTCTAATTTTATTTTTATTAATACAAAAATATAAAACTTACCTATTTTATTTTAAATATAAAAGTAAAAGCTTTTTCTTTTTAATTTGTTATTAAATAAAATTTTATTTTTAAATTACGGCAAATAAAACCCTAAAACAATTCGTGTATATATATCTAATTCTATAGATGCCGAGTAGGCAATGGCTCCAATCAGAATAGGCAATAGCAAAACCAGAATAGACAAGAGTATATATATATATTGTTTGTGTTTTTACCAATTATCTCTCCAATCTCTCACACACACACATATACATACACATATATATATACATATATCAAATATTTGGAAGGAAAGAAAAAAGAAAAAAAATTTGGAAGGTGAAAAAAAAATGAAAGTTTTTTTAATGGAAGTTTTTTCAAAATTTTCAGAAAATTTTAATTCATTGATAATTTTTTTAAAATCTTATCAAACTACTATTAGTGTGGCTGTGAAGTATTCAATTATTATTTTTTGCATTTTTTTAACTCTAATTTTAATTTATTAATACAAAAAAATAAAACTTACCTTATTTTATTTTAAATATAAAAATAAAAAACGTTTTTCTTTTTATTTGCTATTAAATAAATTTTTTATTTTTAAATTATTCGGGTTGCTAAGTAGAACATTTTCACCTGTTTCAGTTTGCTAAGTCGAACATTTTTAAAAAGCTTTTTTCTTTTTATATGTTATTAAATAAATTTTTATTTTAAAATTATTCGGGTTGCTAAGTAGAACATTTTCACCTGTTTCAGTTTGCTAAGTAGAACATTTTTAAAAAGCTTTTTCTTTTTATATGTTATTAAATAAATTTTTATTTTAAAATTATTCGGGTTGCTAAGTAGAACATTTTCACTGCTGCTAATTTTTATTTTTAAATTATTCGGGTTTCGTAATAAAAAAATTTCTTACGAAAGAAACTCACAGTCGTTTGTTTCTTGTGTGATGGTCAAAAGTGTGAGTTACTGTCTTAAAGAAAAAAATAAAAACAAACAAGCAAACAAAAAACACGAAGCGTTTTTAATTTTTGGGTTGGGTTCGGGTTGAGCCCGAGCCCAACCCGAATTGTCTGGGTTTTAAAAAATTCCAATCTTATTTAGGCCCGATTTGTGAATTTAAAAACCCAGGTCCCAAAAAAATTGAGCTGTGCGCGGGTTGGGCTGGGTTGGCCTACCCAAGTTGCACCCCTAGTTTGGACTGATCCTTGCGAAAAGGGCCGTTTGACCAGGGCGCTACAGATGGCCTAAGATGGTGATGATATATGCCACTTTATTAATTTAATTTTTATTAATAAGAGTAGCTTGGATTTTTTTTTTTTTTTAATAGCGAAGGGTAAATAATTTTATGTTGAAGAAAGAAAAACATTTATGTTGAAGAAAGAAAAACAAAACACATTTCATTTTGATTTTAATAATTGCATTCGTCAAACATATATAAAAACATCATTTTATTTTTGCATCATTTCATGATCATTTATTTTCCTTCCTACCAAGTATAGTCTAAATGTAATTCACAAATTACATTGCTTTCACCGAAAATTAAAGGTGGTAGGTACAAGTAATGTTGAATTTTTGGTGGTAAAACAACTCCAACCTAGAATGAATGTGATTGATACTAAAAATAACAAAACGAAAACAAGAAAATGAGAATAGGTTCACCGAATCGTTGAGAATATACTACAATGAAGAACAAAACCAAGAGTAGAGAGTTGAACAATCAACAACCATCCCCACAATACTAGCATAGATTTAGAGCTACGTAACAAATGTACCAAAACACCTCCCATACGAAACTTAATACTTTGAGACTACTACACGTAACACATTACCTGTCAGCATAGCTATATGATCTGTCACACAAACACGTCATAACGTACAACACCTCACAGCATTGCTCCATGTCAAATTTCTCTCTCTCGGCTTCCAACACATCCTATCCTAAAATGTCTCTATTTAGTTCCCAGTTTCAACATCTTTCTGAATGGTTTACATGCCATTATTATTATTATTACTTGTCTAAATACCCATTTTCCATCTTATAGGTAGAGTATCATTACCATGATTAAAAGGGCTAACCGATGAAGAGGCTGTTTCCAATTTTGAATCCGTAATTTCGAGATTAGAATGGGCCAATACTCACTCTAGGTGCCATTACCATAATTATTGTCCAAAGTCGCAAGGCCAAATTATGAACGAAAATAAAAGACATGCCAAATGAACCAAGTAAAACAAATCGGTCATCATTTCCTAAAAGGATTAGTAAAAATTTAATAGGAAGCCGAATGATTTTATAGTTCAGAGGGGATGAAAATGAGTGCAAGATGAACCCGACCAATTTAGTCAAATGAGAAATCTGGATTTGGTCTTGGTTACGAATATGGCAGGATATTAATGAACTAAAAGCATGCAGATGATCAGAAATGTAAAACTACATGTGAAAGCCATATTATAGAAGGAATGCACATCAGTGGCAAGTCTTTGCAGTATGAAATTCAAAATTAGTTTTGACATTGGAAATCACCCACCATCTAGCAAGCAATCTATGTCAAATGCCACAAACTCGGTGCTAAAAGGTAAATATGCCCAAGTAACGGAACCTAAATTCTTCAAAAACTATTACTAACAATTGCTCAAATCTGAAGCACGATTAATCATTCATTATATCCTAATAAATTAAGATAAGAATGCATTACCCTAAACCAATAACAAGTTATATGAAATAAATAGCTACTTGTATTGCAAGCGTGCATACAAATCAGATTGAAATCTACCTCATAAATCAGTGCACTTAATTATGAGTGAGAATCAAACAGAAAAGAGAGAGACTGTGACATCATTTTACTTCAAAAAAATGGAGATAATAAAGCAGACATAATAGCCTGAGGACCTGAAATCAACACCAGTTTGTCTCGCTCCTAAAAACCATTTGACAATGGTCAAAACTGTTCAAAAGACTCACTACCAAGTAAAACAAATTCAATTTATAGAAAATACAGCCAAACCAGTTTCTATAGCAAATTATACAAACTTCTTACTGCCAGTTAAATTTTTAAATTTTTTATTTTTAACTCTGCTTACAGAAAAATCGCACCTCATAAGTTACCAAATCAGAGTTCTGAATCATTAAACAGAGAGACGCATGAAGATGTTGTTAAGCAGTAAAATAACTCAATCTACTTTCCCCATCAAAAAACAGTCTGGCACAACTGAATCAATAGAACTTTTTTATTGGCGAAATTCTAGCTGTGCATTCGTTGTGTTTCTACTTCCCTTCCCTCACCCAACCCCTAAGGCCATAATGATGAAAAAGAAACATCGAACTGACGGTCCCTAAATCAATATCCACTGACAATTTGTGTCTTTTCATTTTTCTTTCCCCTTCTCTCTCTTTCGTGCTTGCTTTAGTTTACCTTTCTGCAATGTTTAATGGTCAAGGAAGCAACAAAATAAAATAAAAGCTTAAAATCTTACGAAAAAACAGACAAGTCACACTTATGTTTTTAAATCTTAAGAAGTCAATATTGATATAGGTATCTCCACCCCCTCTACAGAGGGGAGGGGAGGGGAGGTTTATGGTTCAAGTCTCTCTATTCTTGAGACAAAAAGAGCTCACAGAGTGCGTGAGCTGTTTTCCTAACCAAAACCGAAAAAGAAAAGGCCTCATAAGAATGATTATACTGTCAAATTGGACTGATGATCCCACCATATATGCTTTTAGGCAGTTTAAATTCAATAAGTGAACATTTTCATTATCATAAATCCCCAAAAGGACATTCACCGGCACATATAATGATAAAAAATGAACATGCAACTCTTTATTGGTTTCATTACTTCTGTTTTTTCCCCTGGCCATGTGAGAAACAGTACAATGTCATGATTTATCAACCAAAAAGCCCAAAAACAGACATCAACCTCATATTCATTCATCTAAAGTCATTTGATGAGTAAATTTCTAAATCAAAATTGTATTATAGACAAGGGTTCATGTAAGAAACATAAATATTAATTCCATTTAAGCTCTTAGGAACCAAAATACTATCTGCAGAGTGCACAATTTTCTGAGCCAGTAATTCCCAAACAATAATAGCAGCTATTAGTATAAAACAGAAAAACTATATCTCATTTTCACCATACAGAATTGAAAAACTATATCTCATTTTTGGTGCTTGATTGAGCACCAAAAAGAAAAAGATCACTGAAATTCAATTCAAGTGAGCAATAAGAAAAATTACAAGGTCACCACCAAAACCTTGGATGAATGGCATGCCCTCCACCTTCCCAAAGCGAAGGTTGAGGGTTCAAACCCCAGCGAGGGCACGAGGCTGTGAGTAAATTTACCCATGGGAAAAAAAAGTACACACTGTTTTGTTTTGGAATGGAAATTAAGAAAACAAGTCTGCCAGCTTTCTCTAGTTAGTAATGTTAACAGGTGTTGTTTTGGTGATGGATTTGTTTTGGTGATGGATTGGTGGAATCGTTGTTGGTATCAGAATGCAAATAAAGGCAACCTAACCAAAAATTGTCCCACCAGGGACTATGATTTAGTTAACATAGAATTTCTTCCAACATTCGGCAATTAACAGGCTTCCGTGATTGAACTTGGCCACTGTGATCCATATGGATGCACCAAGCTCTCATATAAAATTATGGCAAGCATAAGGAATCAAAGTAATGGTCTATGTTGGAGGAAGGGCTAGGAGTCACTCCCTTATCCTCTCACACACTGTTATGATAAAATGTACTATTGCTGGCGAATCAAACCAATGCTAGGATGAGCTTGCCAGATAGAGGCAAGAAGGTTTGCCTAATTGCATTTCTCCAATGCCTTTCTCAAAATTCTTGGATTGAAGGTGCGCCCTTAAGACAGGTCCTTTTGAGGTTACAGTTAGATTCTATACAACCCTCCTTATGATTTATCCCCCGGCAATGTAGATAATCTCATAAATCAATGGAGGCAATGAATTTCAACTATCCTGGGTACCAAAATTTACCTAGAACCACATGTTTACATGTATATAGATATAAAATATTAAAGTTTTAATTAGGGTTGACTCAGGTGGGTAAGTCAGTTGAGTGCAAACAATTCCTTGGAGGAGAGTTTGTGAGTACCAACTAGGAAAAAAAAAAAAGGGTTGTAATTAGCTTAATACATCATACAAAAATTCATTAACATATTAAAGGTGGACAGTTTGACATAGACGTCAGACCATCCCCCTTTTTTTATCTGACACGTCTCCTTTACTTTGAAGGGAACATTATACGATTTGCATTATTCAAAAACAGAACTTTCCATCAGGCAATAATGAAAAAGAGCATAATACTTTCTTCTTCTTTTCCAACAATGTATAAACAATTCTTGTTGAAACTATACAACAGAAATTTATATATAAAAGTAATACTTATATTCAACACGAATCCTCAACGAACCCATAATTAATTTCCATTGACAGCTTATGCCAAAGAAATGAAAAAAACATAATATCCCAATCATGTAATGAAATGAGAAGCAGAGTTTGTGAAATATAATACTAGAATTGAAAATAAAAAGCCACTATATGGAAAATACAATTTTCTTTCTAAGTGACTCAGTTGCAAAGAAACAAATTAAATCACCCATATAAAATCTGTAATTAAGCAAAAATACGACAGATAAAAATTTCACAAGCCTTATAAAGATCTCAACCGTGAGTGTTAACAGCTTCCCAAAGCAGATTCTGAGCCTGAAGGGCTGCAGTCCTGAGTGTCTTGATAGTCATCACATTGGCGTCGAAGAAGGACAGGCTCTTATAAGGCAAATTGTGCTTCTTGCATAGTTCCCTCACAAAAGGAGCAACATTCCTCAATTGGCACCGCGGCATCCGGGGGAACAGATGGTGCTCTATCTGAAATTGCAGCCCACCATGGAACCAATCCATCCAACTCGAGCACGAAATGTCAATTGTCCCTTGTGTCTGTATCTCAAACCAATCGCTCCCCTTAGGCGGTCCAACAAAGACATTGGCTGAAAAATGGTTCAAAGTGAATTGAACATGCTGAATTGCACACGCAGCAAAGCTCACCAACACAAACAACACCCTCTCCGTCCAATTGGGTAAGCACGAAACAAGGAGAGGAAACCAGGTCCAGAACACAAGAATCCCCGCTAAATTCAACCACCTATCGGGCACTTTTCTCTTCGAAAACAACAACAAGAATGTTTGGACGAAAAGATTAACCCGAGCTACGCACATTACAGGATAAAATGTCAAATGCTGCTTGCTCACTAGGAACTTACACAATGGATCAAATGTCAACTCCCTACCATAGAAACAAGATGTAATGGACTGAAAAAGCTTCGTAGAGACGCAAAGAAAGGGGAGGTGTTGCAAATCAGGATCATAATCAAGACTATTGCAAGCTAGATGATGGGCATTGTGAGTCCACTTCCACCAAGCAATACTGATCCCGGTTAGGCAATTCCCGGTTAGGATTTGTGTAATCCTGTTACATCGACGATTCGACATCATCACATAATGCCCAGAATCATGACCCAAGAAAGAAACTTGAATCCAAGCAAATCCCAACAATGCAGCACCACCCATATGAACCCAGAAACTATTGGAATACAAAACACCATAAACACATACGGAGAACAACAAAACAATCGCAATAAGGGCATAGATAACCCCATGTCCTTTTTTCTCAAACATACCCGATTTGACAAACTCAGAAGCGAGTCTTCGATAGTCCTTGGACAAATCTGAGACCTCAAAATCTTTTAAATAATACCCAGTAAATAATTTATCAAGGTATTGCCAAGCAGTACCTGGATGATAGGCAATGAACGCATCGGTGACGTCCTGGCCAGCCTGATTCAGGAGTGGGATATCCCCACCCGGGTGTTCCTTAGCCCAGTCCGTCACATCGTAAACCTTACCCTGGATAGAGATCCACAGATCACCAGGCTTGTTGTGCTGTTTGAGATCTTCGGCCGTAATGTACTTCTTCTGATCACAAGCCATTGGAGGAGGATAAAACCAGACCAGCGAAACAATCACCCCTGATAGATAAATGGGGTGTTTGGCTTGATTTTGAACTGCCCCAAAATCAGTTTTTTGGTTTTTCTTCCGATTTGTATGCGGATTTGAGTTGCTTTGTAATTCTGTTATATGTATATATGTCTCTGTATACGAGGAGAGGCTTGTATGTATTGAGAGGTTCGTGTTTGTAGCGACGCGTTCGGTGATTGGCCGTATAATGTGGGAGTTGATGAAGTTGGGAGACGTTGTAGAGAGACTACCATCACCTAAGGGTGACCCCTTATTACGTGAACCTAGATCCTGCCTAGCTGGAGTAGATATTCGGTGAAACTTGAGTAGATATTTAGTTGTTAGTGGACAAATTTTCACGTAGGTGGAACCTATGGAACGGCCTCATTCACTAATATCTTCTTCAGGAGAAGATATTCAATGGCATCGGACACATCACTAATTTTTTGGTTAATAAAATGCATTATTTTATAAAATTAAATACGCTTATTTCTTAAAATAACTTACAATTAATTACTATATTAATTTCGATTGGACGACACATACATATGATAGTGACACAGGAAATATCTACGGCCACCCAATAATTTCAGATCCCTCACGCAACGGTTACCTTACACGTGGCTCAGGCTACACCCTGTATCTTCGCGCTCCTCCTAAGACATGTATGTCTCAGTAATTGAAGGGGTCAATCTTGACATCATTTGCATGTGGGTCCCATAGTTGATGTAAATATGAGCGGCGGCGAATATTTGGGGATCCTACTCTTTTTAACTATTCTTGTACAATCGACAAACGTTAATTTTTGACAATAAATAGTTTTTGTTTATGAGTTAATTACGTACTAAATGTTGCTTATGAATTCAGATTATAACTAATTACGATTCTATTACGATTCAGAAAATCGTCTGTAGAATTCAGTTGTGACGTTAATACACTCAAAAATAAAATAAAATAAAATAAAATAGAAAGAAGACACTAATTAAAATTGAAAAAGAAATTGAATTTTAATTAAAATGGGATTACATTTTATGGTTATAAATAAATTGGAATTCATTTAAAGGAAAATACATTTTATTCCTTTTTATCCTTAATGGATATGTATGGGTATAAGTATATTTGCATAGGTAGCTACTTTAGACCAAACATATAAAATATGAGGAATAATTTTGGTACGTTAAAAATATGAGTAATAATTTCAGGACAAGAAGAAAAATGTAAAAAGATAGAGGAATAATTTTGGTAAGTTAAAAAATGAGTTACAATCATTTACCAAATCCCCTAAAATCCTTCCCGTTTTATCCACCTTATCTAAGATATAAAATTTCCCGTAAAATTTGGTCAAAGCCCAATTCTTATAAAATCCCATCCATTCCAAACATGTGAGATTCATTTCCACATCTAATTCTAGTAAAATCCTCCCATTCCAAAGAGTGTAAAAGTATGATTATTTTAACTAGGAAAAAAAATAAGGTAGGAATGGTTATTTCTTTTTAAATAAAAAAATTAATAGTTTTTAAGAAGTTTATATATATATACACACACACTTACAGAAATTTAAAATGGACAAATAAATCTATTTTTAATAAGAGAATTTTAAACATGGTACATGATTTTTCTCATCCCTCAAAAGGAAAAGTTTCTATACAATACATCCAACCCTTCTCACTAATTTTCTCTTTCTATTTATAGTGCTCTTTCAACATTACTCAACTATTTATATTTTTGGATAAATAGATAAGTGCTTATCCGTTACATTTGGCCTCTTTTTTTTTTTTACCCGTCTTTGGGTTGATGGGCCTTCTCCCTTCTTGGGCCGATCCAGCCTGTGTGAATAGATAATTTTGATTCGGCCTTACACTTATCTCTTGGGCCTATTCTTTTGTCTGGCCCACCTGCTTAATTAGGTGTGCTAAGTAGAATTGAAGAATGGATTGAGCCATGATGGCTTAAGTTTCTATTGTTAATACTTTTTAGGTTCTGGTAGCATGTTTATTATCGTTATTATGTAATGAACAATATGAATATAAATGCATTTAACCAAAGAAAGAATTTGTACAACAGATCTGGAGTTTCACAGCTACCATTCACACCTCAAAACGAATGAAATACTACATTGGAAACTGTCAACATACTCATTTAGTAATACTATAATTGGAGTCCATTTCCTGAATGTGCTCTAAGAGTTACTAGAGCTAACAATATCAATATATTATGTGCATATCTGTCACTCTCAATATATCCTTATGTGCATGTCTTTCACTTCTACCACGGGCCACTGGAAAAAATTATGCTTTTTAATTCACTATATATAGCAGATTATTGCTGTAAAATTCGTATCCCAGAATTACAACACTAGAAACTTTGACAAAAAGGCCCCAAATCACTCTGATCCAATAACATCCCAATTGTGTCAATATTCAAGTTTGTAAAAGTTCTCAGATTCTTGGTAATCCCAAGATGATGTTAAATTTCATTACCGTTCCCTATATTTCTGTGATCTCCATGTAGCAAGTCTGCTGAATATTTTTTATTTTATTTTATTTTTATCAGCTTGATGATTAGTGGTCATGAAATTTTGAAAAAAAAGAAGCATATGGCAAAAACAAGAAGACTTATTAATTTTTATGTCCTAATGTTATATGAGATAGTAATATAAGCAGAGAGTTTATATATGGAAGCTATAGAAATATAATCATGAGAAATTTATTCACAAGCACCCCATAGAGAGTGGTTTAGACTTTCAGACATCACTTTTGATAGAAGCACTATATTTAGTCTGATCATCATAGTACTTAGACCACAGCATCACACCACCATACTTGGCAGAACCCTTGATTGCTGGAAGCACTTGTGAAGTGAGATCAGGTACCGGGATGAAGCCACTTCCAGCTGCTTCAGGGGCTGCAGGTAGTCCCAGGAAGATCTTCGTGGCCGGGATATCTGAAGTCCACTGCTTCCAAGCATCTTCCAGGTTAGTAACATCACCCGAGCTGTACTGACAGGGAGGGTTGTTATAGAATTGTACCCAAACATTGTCAAAAAGGCCGGTCTTAAGGGCACCCCCAATCCAAGCATCAGGAAATGGGCACTGGGGAGCAGCAGTTAAGTACACCTTCTTCCCGCGCTTGCTGTATGCAGAAAGATACCTTGCAAGATCATCCCAGTGTTGGCTTGTCCCTCCTTCAATGTCAAAGTCAATTCCATCCAAGACAGCACTGCCAAGAGGGCGCGAAGAGGACTGTCCGCCCAAGAAGTTATTCCATAGGTAAGTTGCAACTTGTTTGGCATCCTCGGATGAGGTCAGAGAGTAACTCCCAGCCCCTCCTCCTATAGATAGGATCACTTTAATGCCTTTAGCTTGACAAGATTTTATGTCCGAGCTCAAGCCAGTGCACGCGTTACTGTATGGATCACAATGACCAGCAAGATTGATCATGGGGGTCTGACCATTGCCAAAAGTGGCTAGAAATGCTACGTTCACGAAGTCATAGTTCCCCGTGGCACACGTCTCAGCCAACGTGCCCTCGTTGCCATTCTGGCCCCAATAGATGGCGATTCCACCGGCATCAGAACTAGGAGCTAGTATTAGCATTAATAAGGAGAGGAATAACATTGATGTAGCACATTGAAATGCCATTCTGAGCTACTTTTGCTATATGTAATGTAGTTTCTGTGGTTAACTGTGCTGGAGTGGAATGCCTTTTATAGGAGAAGGATGTTTGTACTATGAGGACTAATGTTTTGTGCTTGTGCTTAAGAGGCCGTGGCTTAACAGCTACTTAGTCCCAAGAAATTGTTAGAATTTTTAACCATTAGTGTTGGCTTTGCGTAGGGGGTATGTTACTAGAAACGAAACAAAACTTCATATGACAATTTCTCCTTCTTTCATTCTGAATTTCTGCTATTAAAATTTCTTAAATCTGCGTATATTGCTTTCTTTATTTACTTTTTTTAGAAAAAAAAAAAAAAAAAGGTATACAGATAGAAGAGAGAGTTAAAAAATAAGAAGTAAATATATATATATATATTTAAATTTTTTGTATATTGCCTTCTTTATTTACTTTTAAAAAATAAATAAAGTTATACAGACAGAAGAGAGAGATAGTAAAAAAAAAAAAGGAAAAATGAAATAATATGTCAGAAGTGGGATTTGAACCCACGCTCTCTCACGAGAACCAGAACTTGAGTCTGGCGCCTTAGACCACTCGGCCATCCTGACTTTTGTTGAGTTACATATTTTCATTATCAACTAAAAACGTAATTTTTTTTTTTCCTGCTGCCTATTTCCCCTTCCTTTTTAGGGGGCACAAACCTCTTCCCGAGCAACTTTGGCGCCCCCAGCCTCTAACGACGCCCCTTTCCAAAAAATATTCCGCGGATCTGATCTATCTCTTTGATGATCTTCTGTTACAGGACAAATACTGAGCTCCGATAAACAAGAAACTTGAATAGCCAATAGTACATAATTAAGAAGCTGCAATCTCCCGGAAAACGAGAACCAATTATTCAGCCAAGTCCGCACCCTCCTACAGTCCTACTAGTGTTACGACTACCATCCCAAAGTCGACAGCATAAGGATAGCTAACAGCGTAGAGAAGAAAATAAGAGCTGAAGCGTCCAAAGGATCCTTCACATTGAAATCGCCCAACTCTACTGGTTCGTCTGCTTCGGTGTCTTGATTAGGGCTCGGATGCTAGAGGGAATCGAAAGACGCTATGGCAAACAGATATTGGGTTATATCTAGTTTATTTTAACTATTAATTGTACTGAAATTTACAGATTATATAGTCTTATTGAGGAACTACTCGGGAAGAATCCAGCAACTCCGATGAATCGCGCTCCATTTATGTCGACGGACGCTCGACCTTGGGCTCCAATGCTACCTCCTCATCCGCCTTTGTCCAGCACTTTTTGGGCTACCATTAATGTGCATGATCGCCTTCAAGAATTGCATTATACTATCGATATTGCAAAAGCAATGTGAGTAGCTATTTCTTTTAATTTTGAATTCCAAGTTAGCGAGATGTGTATTATAATTAGCAATGTTGGTTATAATTGATTAACTATTCCATACACTACAGGCAGAAAGAATTAGAGATGTTGATGATGATCAAAGATGATAAAAGGTCTATGGAGGAGGAAACAGATAATGTGTCTAATGAAACTTCGGTTTGTGGGTTTGCTAAATTTCTCAAAGAAAATAGGTTTAATTTGATGTCACGAGAGCCACTTTCATTGGAAGCTGCAAATGCCTTAATATCAAAATTACGAGCTCAGCTTGAGCCATTTAAAGTTGTCACAGATGAATTGAGTCCTTGGGAGGAAAAATCTGCACCAGTTAGATTAGCTAATAAAATACAGAAGTCCAAGAGAAACAAAATTTGGCGGAAAAGAAAGAGAAAACGTGTTGCAGAAATGCTTGCAAAGGTGGTGCTTACATTTTCAACCTGTATCTTCACTCCTTATTTACTTATGTTGAAGATTTTAATTTTTTTCTTTTCTTATTTAATATTTTAATGACCTTCAGGAGCGTGAGCAATTTGATCAAGTTGATCAAGAAGCTGATGAATGGAGGGCTAGAGAGATTGCCAAGGATATTGCAAAACACAAGGTACTAAAATCATTTAATTTGTTGTGTGTGACTATCGTTTCGTAATCTCTTGTTTATGGTTCCTTGACTTCTGGGAAATCCTATCTCATTTTAGGACTCGTTAAAATTTAGTATTTTTGCCTCTTGATTATTTATTATGCCATCAGTAAGTTAGGTTTCAGGTGGTTAAAATTCATGCTAGGTCATCTAGTTCGAATTCTAATATGTTTTACGGAGTAATTGTTTCAGTATCGATTTCTAAAACGATACTTTGCACTATGAGGCTTATGGTACCTTGCACCCTTTGCCCTTGTAACGTTTCTTTAGATCCTTTGAATAATGGTAGAATTGCCTTAATTTGCAAACATGAAGGAGATAGGGTTATTTTTGTTTTAAACATGATAAACATCCTTTTAGAAAACTTGAATAATTAAAGAAGATTCCTATTGTCAAACCTCAAGGAGTGGGTACAAGGCATTTTAGATAATGAGAATACTTTGAGAGAACATTCCACATGGGTTGAGGATTGTAAGTCCTTGGCTAGAAATAGAGGCTAGAGTATTCTCGTGGAATGTTTAATAGGTTTAATACATCAATAGGTTTAATACAATCTTCTTGTGGTAATTTCTGCACTTAATGGTCTATGTCCTAGGGTATTCTCAAGTCAAGAGGAAAGCAGATTAAAAGGAAACAAGGGGGCCTTTTTGGTTTAGTTTTTGGGAACACAGTTCTCAAGAACTCAAAAAACAAAAAATTGCTTTCAGAGAACTATAAAAGACTGCTCTCTGGAAAGCACTTTTTTTTTTCCCCAACCGTTTTTAAGGAACTGTCTACCAAACAACTTTTTGTACTGTTTTAATTACCGAAAAAAACATTTTGTACTTCTTTCTGACTTTCAATTTACTGAAAACAGATACTTTTTTTATTTATTTATCTAGGCTGACTTTTGTATGATGGTTTGCCATCCTAACTTGTCTGATTATTTGGATTTAAACAATGTTATCAGTGACATGAAATGATAAACATTTGTGACCCAAATTTTGTTCGTTTTCCTTGCTTTTGTTCATGATTTTGATTAAGCGAATTCAAATTTTCGTGTGCTGTTTTCATAGCTCATTTTTTTTGCTTTACTAACTAAGCGGTAAGCCATATGTGTGCAGGTAGAAAAGATGAAGGAAATCGCAAAGCATAAGGCAAAAGAGGAGAGAGAAAGATTAGAGTCTGAGGTGAGTTGGTAGAATGCACTTCACTACAATATAAACTGATTAACTCTCCTGTTATACATCTACAAGTTTTTAATCTATATGAATCTCGGTGAACGCTTGACATGATATAGTGTTGTCATAAACTAAATTTACTACATTTGCTCTTTTCAACTAAAGATAGCCCCAACTACTTATAATTGGCTATACGGGTCATTTCAGCATTCTTCTCTTACTGGCTGTAGCATTTCTTGAATAAACCTTCAACTAGAACTCTGTCACTCCTTACCTGCAGGTGGTGTTTGTTGCATGCGATCTTTATTTTCAATCCATTGTGTTTGGCCGTCGTTCTTTATCTGTATTGTATTATCTTTTCTAGGTACAACACACAAGTAGCTTGACAATTAGCGTAAAACTTTGTTATGATTCTTATGAACATGAATCCTATGACTACACGAATAGAGTGGAATGTAAACATAAGATTCAAGTAGCCGACCCAAGTAGTTGGGAAAAAGCCAAGCAGTTGGGAAAAGGCTTATTGTTGTTGCTGTACTATTTTTTCTAAGTATTATTAATCACTAGATACCTTATTTGTAAAAAGAATCGGCCATTTTTATGCCCCAGTGAGATTGTCTATTTCTTTCTATTTGCTTTTTCAAGGTTACTTTATATGTTATATAGGACCACTGGCAATAGTTTGCATTTTGAAAGAGTTATGACCATTTAAGTAGTAACAAGAATTTGGATGAGAGTGTTTGGAGTTAAGAATTGAGACTAAAGTGCCTTGACCTGTTTATTTGCGATATCAAACACCACAATTTTCATACGAGATAAGACTGCTAACCTAGAAAAACTACAGCTCTTACAACCCAAGAGGTTAGGTAACGCAAAATGAGACAACCAGAAAACAAGAAAGTTACAAGAAGTCAGCTTATAGAACTGATTGCTAAAGAATGCCAGAGGCAAATGGGTTAGTAGTCCAGCAGTGAGTTTAAGACCAGGTCAAACCCGAAAAGACCAAAGGCTGGGCTTCAGTAGTGTTCGACCCACACAGAGAAAACTCAACCTTTAAAACATATCTTTCCAGTTCACTTAACGGGTGGGTAACCAGTAGGACATATTGGAAGATTTGAATCCTATTATTATGGTCCTTTAGAAATGCTGAAATGTCCAGTCATTATATGCTGTTTCCGATGTTATTTTTTTTCCTGGCTTCTTTTTTGTCTTTTTACTTTTTGGTTGTCCAATCTAAAAAGGAGTTTCTAAATTTCAGCTTGAGCTGATATTGATGGTGGAAAAGTTGCAAGAATTACGCTCCATCAGAATCCAAAAATTGAAAAAACAAGGTGAGTGATTCGGTGCTCTTCTTCTTTTTTTTTCCTAAGCTTACTTGTACCCATTTTGACTTGTGGCTTGTTGTAACGGGCCGAGCGCTTCTCAGTCCGACCCAGAAGCTTAAGCTATTAGGTGGTGCTAACACCCAACCCATATATACCCAATCACTTCCCCATCCGGATTTGATGTGGGACAACACCCTCTTGTAACATTTTTCCCCACCCAAACTTGCAACACCCTTGTTGTGGTCGGGCCACCGTGATTGGGTTTGGCTCTGATACCAATTGTAAGGCCGGGTGCTTTGTGGTCCGACCCAAAAGCTTAAACTATTAGGTGGTGCTAACACCCAATCCATATATACCCAATCACTTCCCCATCTGGATCCGATGTGCAATAAGACCCCCTTGTAACGACTGTCTTGTTTGTTTTCATGTTTTCCAATCTGGCTTGTAAATTTGTAATAGTGCAGATTCTTTTCATGCCAAGTTACTTTTGGCAATGTTCAAACTTATATTTAGATCATATATCATAAGTTATTTTCTCCAGTGTTGGCTCAGATCCTTAGTTTCTACTTGTTACAATTTGACTTGAATACTCCTTGATAAATGAATAATGTACCAGGACAGGTACTGTAATGGAATTCACTGATGCCTTTGGTAGCATGGGGTTCACACCTTGGAATTAAAAACCATATAACTTCAAACTTTAAACTGATTTTTCCTCCTATTCCAATCCTAATGGACAGACTCCATTCTACCAAACAGAGAATGAGAATATTTATTTGTTTGTTTTTCATAAGCAGGTATTGTGTTGAGGATTACCAAAAGACATGTCAATCAGTACAAGATGATCACAGTGAGGGCATACTCTCACACTCCAAACAGAGCTTGAGAGTATTTTATTACACTTCGACATTTTGCATAAAAGATATCTAAAATGCTTGTATATTCAGACAAAATCTAATACAGAATAAATATTCTTGAAATTCAATGCTCAATTTGTAATTTGGAACTTACTAAAAGAAATAAATCTAACATGCTTATGCAACTGACTATAAGACCTAAGTTGCTCCTTGTGAGATAGTTTAAACTCCTCATAGATGGGTGTATGTGTGTTTATTTTGATAGGAACTCTTTTTTTGTTGCCATTATCAGAGAATGAGGCTTTAACATATTGATAATTTGGTGGAAATACGGAACACATCGACTTGCATCGTCTTTCACTTTCATATCGAGATAGTTACAGATGATGTTTATGTATTTGGTATTATATGTCAATGCACCAATTACAACACATATGACTCTCTCTTTAATTTCAAAATCATGCCTGGTTGTGAAATCATGCAGGGCATTTTTTCCCTGAGGAGGATGAAAAGTTTCTTGATAGAGTTCGAGCTGCCGTTGAGGAAGAGGAGCGCCAAGCAATGGCTGCAGCTGACACCGAGGCTGCTAAGGATGCTATTGCAACTGCTGAGGAATCTAGAAAAATCATTGAGCGTCATGTGCCTGAATTAAAAGATTTGAACAATAACAAAGTTGGAAATGAGGAAATTCATGACCAGACAATTGACAATGAAAGTAAAGGAGACTCTAGAACTGTCAATGACAAAGAAGCTGGAAAACAAGGATCAGAATTACATGGTTATGGCGGGGCATATAATTCGTTGGCAAGTTTACCAATTGAGTTTTATCACTATTATCATGGCAGCAATACAGATCTGGGCACTCTTATAGAGGTGATTTTGACCAGTACCTTATCAATTCTCTTATATCTTGCAGGGTACTGCTATTTCTTATTGGCCAATGAGCACTAGGGTGCAAAATTTGGTTGATACCGGGGGGAGGCTTTTGCTATTGACCCTGTAGTGATTAGCCCTAAGGATGGTAACGATCCTTGTTCCCTTTCATTGGATGTACCTGGGGGGCAATCAGGTAAGGTGGAAGGCTCCAAATCCACTTTATGCTCAGGTACCACCACAGCCTGCACTCGGGGGGGCAATATATGACCAATCAGCCATGAACTTATTAATCAAGGACAATTCGTATGATATGCCACCTAGTCGCATTTATAGATTAATCTTCCCTCTGTAAATCAGATAAATGTAGTAAGCCATAGGAGACTGCTTTAAGTTGTGCATCACCAAAATTGTTATTTTGTGAAAGTGCTCAAAAATCATCTGCGTCTAAAAAAATTTATTCGCACCAAGTATATTGACCGTCAAGCTTAGACAGGAAAAGACTTATATGCATGTACATAAATAACGATGAAGCAGGCTGAAGCATAAGGAAATACCGTCATGCGCTCTAGGATTATGCATGGCAGTTCGAGTCCGGTGCTGCTTTCTTGATGGGGGCGGCGACTCTATGCATGCATCTGACATGTTATAGTGGCAACTACTTAACCCCAAAAAATGTTTTAGTTGCTACCTTCTTTTCTTTTTTTTTGGCTGTGGTATCTATGTTCTGTTTATGCCCTGGCTTGACTGCATGTAGATGCACACATATAACATTAACCAGATACTTCTCCACATTTGGAACCTTTTGCTTATAAGCAATTTGATTGTCACAATTTTATGATCTTTATTCTGTTTCTGAATTCTAATGACTCCCAGTTGACCTAAGGAATTCCATTCTTACGTGCAGGTTAGAAGAACTTGGGATGCATTTATAAGACCAGGAGGAAGGTGAGGATACCTATTCATTCTTGCTAGAGGATGCTGTTTCTCTTATAATATGTTCTAGTTATGACATCACTGTTCTTTCATTTGGAACATGTGAATGTGTGGTGTGGGGTTAGAATTGGATTTGCTCGTCAGTTCACCTTGAAAGTGCTTTCATGGAATTGACAAAGAACATTGCTTTCTGGTGAAAACAATATATTTGCTTTCTTCCTTGAATCACTACCCTCAAATGTCCACTACTGCTGTCCCACCCCTGATATCACCAACTCACATACCTATTGCCACTCCACCACGAGCAACTAGATTGCCGTTGCCTTTACTACCAGATTCAACATTATTCCTGCAAAATGAAATTAATAAACATTTTTATGTTTATGCTACAACAAGAAGCAAAAGAATGGAAATTCTATAGGACAATCATTAGGCCTATATGGAGCAGTGTTGTGAATTAAAAGAAAAAAGTACAACGCATCTATTTAATTGAAATGATAATGTTAAGATGGATGATAGAAGTCGATAGTAGAGATAGAGTTAATAATCATTATGGAGGAACTTGGGTGACTATTAGTGATAAAATGAGATAAAGTAGAGATAGGCGGTATGGATATGTGCAACGTAGACCTGTAGATGCACTAATAAGAATAGGAAAATTAGCATGCATAAAAAGTAAGAGAGAGGCTGACCAAAAGTAACACGGGATGGAGTTACTATAAAGGATTTATAAATAAATAAATATAATAGTAGAAGTTGCTTGTAATAGAACAGAGTGAAAAAGAAAAATCATGTGGCCTACCCTGTTTCTAATGGGGATAAAGCGAGGATGATGATGATAAGATATTTGAATGTTGCCTTGATAAATTTGATTCGTAATTATCTGTTGTTTTATGTTATAATTATATATATACAGACTGACAACTTACTCTTTGTTACTTTTCTTAAATTCCTATTCTTTGAAATTGTTGACTGTACATGACTGCTTTACTTGGTAATGGAATTTGTAATAGAGTTTCATTGATTCTAGTGCTTGCTTTATTCTATCCTTGACAGACATTTTCTGCGTCACCAAAAAAGAGGCTCACGAGAATTTTTTTCCTATTGCTCCTTATAAATCTCATAGATAAGAAATTATACTAGAAAAAAGATGGGGAAAATTATTTCTACATGATTGAAATTGAATTTTATTGCACTTCATAAAGGTTTTTGTCTGAGTTTTTTTTTTTTTCCCTTAACTTTTACGGACTGGGAGTCTGTTTTATTCTCTGATCAACTTATACTTCTAAATAGGCCTAGCCTATCAATGGATTGACTTTTGATCCAAGCCGGTGAGGATCTGAATCCGATAATCTGTTAGATTAATAAACCGAATGTGTATTCTGGTCGATTCAAACCGTTAAACCAATTATAATCCAATCCGACATATGCTATAATATATAGTGTTTTCATATTATTAAAATTGCCTTCTCCTTGTTCTTTCCCCTTCTTCTACTCACTCTCTATTTTTTTCTCTCTTTATTGTTTTTATTTATTTAATGACGTCAAAAACTCAATTTCTCTTCCTTTCCCAAGCCATATTTTTTCTTCTCTCTTTTTTTCTAATTTTTGTTTGCCCATCTCTTGTGATGGTACATAGTTTAACAAAAATTGCCCCCCTTAACAGATTTGGGTTATCAGATCAGATATCCGATAAATAGTAAGTCAGATATAGATTCATTTGAAAACAATTCATCGGATTGATCAGATTGGGAAATTTCTTAATGGATTTGGATCGGATCAAGTCTCATGTGTTCTGTATCTGATCTGTCAACAGGTTTACTTAATAATTTTAAAGGTGAAGTCTATGAAACAGTTGATAGATCACTTTGATGTTAGCAGCTAGAAATGACATATTTATATAACAAACGTGGCCAGAATGGATGATGAGATTAATATATGAGAAGAAAAAATGATATTAGAAATAAATACATTCATGAGTGGGGGCCATTGTTTGATGCGTTGGTAAAATGTGAGAATGCGGGTTCGAATCCTGAAAATAACCACTTTGTGTAAATAATGCTGAATGTTTAGGTTTGTATTCAGTGTATTCCTCCCAGCACTCTCGATTAACAAGGACCACACTGGATAATGACCTTTATACATTCATGGGAGAAAAGTGAGTAGCATACTAGCATGATTTAATTATGTGCAAATAAGACCAATAATTGTACTTGTGAGGAAGATTGGCTTCGTCCATGTTGAGGGTAATGTTAGGTAAAGGGAAAAATTATAAATAATATGTTATAAGGAAAGATGCGATTGCTTGTGGAAAACCATGACCTTAAATATACTCCCTTTGTCCCATATGAGTAGTCCCTCTTTCCTTTTTGGGATGTCCCAAATTAGTTGTCCCACTTGAAAAGTCAAAGCAAAGTAAATGCTATGTTTCCAATATTACCCTTTAAGTTTTCAAAAAACTTATACATATTTAAGCTTAAAAGAACAACTTAGTTAGTAATTTTAAAAGGAACAATGCAATAATTGCATGTCCTCTTAAAAAGTTGTATGATACCAAAAAGGGACAACTAATATGGGGTGGAGGGAGTAGTCGAATAATGAAACAGGATTCATGCAAACTAAGTTGAGGGCCTACTAGTGGCACTGATATGAAATTGGATTACCCTTGTCTCCTCCTTGATTGACTAGTATTGAAAAAAGATTATGTAATCTATATTGAATGTGTACACATAAAATTGTTATATTCATTTGAAATGGTCAATCTAAAGTGAGTAGTAGCACTATAGCTTTAAAATTACTATCCCATCAAATAGGTCCCTGACCTTTGAAGCTTCTTGAGATCAAGGTAAGGATAACTAAGGAGGTCCGATGACTCTGATGAGAAACAATCAGTAATTGGAATTTCAGGGAGGGGCTCAGTTTCTTTTTTGTCGTATTCATATAAACTTTGGTCTGTGTGGCAAAGCAGTTCAGACAATACAATGACAACAGCTCTTCCTATGTATGCTTTGTAGAATCAGGCATTCTTTATCACGTTGAAGAATTTTATTGTGGTGCATGGAAAAATTCAGTTTTTGCTCCTGCTGCATCAAAAATTACTTTGTTGAATTATCCAGATTTTACTAATTATGTGGGATTTGGTGCAGCCGAATACCAGGTCACTGGGTTCAACCACCACCACCAGCAGATGAGACATGGGCATCCTACCTAGTGAAGCCTGAATGACTTCTCAAGTATCTGGACTACAGAATTTTTTAGTAGTGACAGGTATGTAGCAACAAAATGATGGTGCCTGGTATGCATGTTTTGAGAACTTTGCTTCAAATTGGAGTTACTTTTCCTCGTCTGATAGCATGATTTGTGTATCATGCTTGTAGGAACAAGCTTTTTATTTTTGGTTGAATGCACATGTGATCCCAGCTTCCCTGCTTTATTTTTATCGTTTTTGTCACTTGAGCGGGGTGGTGACAGATTTTTTTTGAAATATGCCTGAATTACATTATGCATTTTCAATTTTAAGAAATGGAATTGAGATTTTTATTTATCAAAAAAAAGAAGAAATGGAATTGAGATTTTCTTTTGCATACCAATTGCTACACATGCTAGTGTCAGGAAACATGTGCACCTATGCAATATTAAGACATGGAGTCCTTACCTGCCGCATATTTTTCTTATCTTGTCAAAGAGGGCAGTCAAAATCTTCCATTTTTTGGTGATCACAAGCATATAAATATTAACTTTGACATATATCACCTGACTCTTCTTACTCAAGAACTCAATTAAAACTCGTTTACTTATATTAATAGATTAATGCGGCACTCTGACAGCAAAAGTTCAATCCCGAGTATAATCGTGAATCAGTTGGTTCAGTCATAAGGCACAGACATACAAGGCAGAAGTTGCCATGACGAGAGGAGTGCACAAGTGCAGCAGAGGTATGTCTCAGTAACATTCGACTTTTGAAGGAACGCAAATGTCTACAGCAGCAGCCATAGATGGTCTGGCGTCGACTGCAGTCAACTTATGTGCGGTTTTATAAGGTGGTGTCTGGTTCTCAATTCAAATTTTAATCAGAACCCCTTCAATTAGAGGGACACTGAACGTTGCAACTCTCGCTGATTGTTGAGGTATAAGCATGCCCTGAAAGATGCGATGAAGAGTTCAAGTACACTAGTTGGAAAAATAGATTGTCATTTCAAATCATGCTTTGTTTTCATTAGAAATGCAAGGCCAAAATGTACTAAATGTGTAGCTGTTGCATGGTATGATGACCACCATTTATATATTTATTATTATTATTATTATTTTTTTGACACATTATTATTATTATTATTAATATTGTGGGTATTTTGACGAGTAAAATGACATGCAAGCAAAACTTTAATTACTTGGCTGGGCGCTTGTTTAACGAAGCTAATTCAGGCTAATTTGATTGAACTTGATAAGCACTTTGAGATCATAACCAAGAGGTTTGTCATACTTACATGGACATCATATTGTAAACTAATGTTTCTCATCTTCAATTTTATATTAGGGTGGAATTTAGGCAGGTTGAAGGCACAGTTTAAAAAAATAATAATAATAATAAATAAATTTAAACGAAGTTCAATCTGAAATATTCAACCTAACTTTCTCGTCCGGTTTATTTTTAGCTATATATATATATTACCTTGTCAAGAAGTTTACACACCCAATTTGCCTCATACTTAAACTCTCACCGAAGCATTTTGAGTTGCAAAAAATTACCTTAAAATATAACTTTTTATAGCATAAAAATTGGAGGTTAAAATTCAGGTTGATTTCCGGTTATCTAAACCATGTTAGATTTGTTAAAAAAACAAAAAATAAATAAAAACAAAACTAGGTTGGATTAAGAAATTTGAATTAAAAATCTCAAGTTTGGGTCAGGTTTCTGATTATCTAAAATTCTAAACCAGACTGGGTTAATTACAATTTGAATTAAAAAAAAAACCTCAAGTCTGGGTCGGATTTCGGGTGATCTAAACCGGGTTGGATTAACAGATTGAATTAAAAAATCCCGATTGTTAAACTGCAAAGTTCTCTACCCTTGGCCCAAAAATCAGCGCCAATAGCTGAATTCACACATAAAAGGCTTGGTATGGTTGTTGGTTCTAAGGAGGGACGTAACGTCCCTACTTATAATCCATGATTACATGCCATTGCATTGCCTAGTAAAATTTTGTAATATTTGTGTAGTTAATATTACTCTTCTCTTCAGATCTACCAAAACGCACACAGATCGATTCGAACCTCTTCCTCCAAATTGGCACGTCATGAACTGAGACTCCTCTACGCCAATTTTGATCATCTTTTTAGACTCGATCAATCTCCACAACACATTTCGATTCATCCGTGAGATAGATTCAATGATGTGGAGTTCAATAGCTAATTTGAAAGAAAATCTCAATAAAATCGCACTCGATGTTCATGACGATGACGATGAAGAAGAAGCGCTCGAGATCTACAATTCGCGTGACCTACGAGATTCTTCTGTCTCCGATCGCCGAATTTCTCACAGTTCGGCTTCCCATTCACCCGTCGCCAATGGCTTTGATTCCCCATATATTTCTGAGGTATATATATATATATATATATTATTCGTATGGATGTATTTATTGTTCTTGCTATGGGGCTTTTGAATTTGCCAAATCTTAAGAATTTGTATGCAGTAAGAACATGTGAAGATCATTTGGAATAGCTGCCTTTATATAGTCTTTAGTTGGGGCTTAGGGATGGGCATGACCGTGGTGTGTGGATTGCCGAGTTAGATTAGGGTTCTGGATCCCAATTTTGCTTTTCCAGTTAGGTTCGTGATTATGTGCTATTTATTTTCGGATCAGTTGCAAAAATGTGGGCTTTAGGGTTGCCGTGAAATGCTGGTACTCTGGCAATCTTTGCTAATGTTAACCAGCTCATACCATTCCAACTATTCGAACAAAATCTTTTACCCAAAACTTTGTTAAACTTAAAAGTTATAGGGCTTGATGATTTTGGTGCCTTGTTCGAATTATGCTTCATAAGTATGTGGTTACTGTAAAATTATCTATCCTTCCAAGGCTGATGGAAATTCTAGGTATAAAGGGTATTTAATAATATTGGATTATTGTATGGCTGGTGATATTATACTCAGGTGTACAATGCTGCACAGCATGGCAGTGGTTTTTAATTATTTTACATGAACTCTCTTAAATGTGTTTTGTTAGTTCTCATCACTAAGGCAACCTAGTCTTTTGCAATTGTTAGTTTTATTTTTCCGTTACATGGATTATTTCTGTCAATAATACGCTCCCCCCCCCCCCCCCCCCCCCTTCCTGGTTGTTGCAGATTGAACAATACAAAACAGAAATTAAGAGGCTTCGAGAATCTGAGGCAGAAATTAAGGCTTTATCTGTTAATTATGCAGCTTTGTTGAAGGAGAAAGAGGTGTGTTTTTGCTTCTTGATTGGTTTTTTATGCAGTGTTGAATTGTTTGATAGCTATTTGCTTAGTTTTTGTGAAGGCTCTAATCTGGTATAAAAATGATTTACTTGCTAGTTTTAAATTTAAAAATTATGACATGCTAATGGTTAATATAATAATTTGGGCGTTAGGTTCAAACCCCACATATGGTACTTTTACTTGTAACCTGGTAGATATCTCGGTCAACTTCTAACATAAGGTTGAATCTAAATTTATTTAGGTCAGTTGCTACTAGCAGTGATGTGTTTACTTGTACTCCAGCCAATTGGATACTTGAAGGATGTGGAAAATTCCAAGAATTAAAATACTAATTCTTAATAAAACCATTTTTTTTCCATGAGAATTTTGGCATTGCTTTGTTATTTCAAAGATGTGTTTTTTGTTGAAAAGCTTATCACTGTTCTTAAAATTGGTAGAATGCAACGCTTGTGAACAAAGTTGAATTCAAGCTTAATTTCAACTTCTCATAACTTGCATATAGTTCGGAAAACAAATACAATTCATTATAAACAGAATTGTATGGTTTTCTGTGCCTTTTTCCATTAACATCAAGCAAGTGGAATGCAAAATCTTAGTAATTGGGTAATAAGAAAGGGAAGTTATGAAATGCAAAATCTTAGCTCATGGGAGAAGCAGAAAATTATATATATATATATATATATATATATATATATATATATATATATATATGTAGGGCAGCATTAAGTAAGGGTTTAAAATTTTAAATGCTGATTGTTTGAGTTTTTTGGCTAAAGGATTGCTAAAAATCATGAGTTATAGGTTCGTGAAAGTGAAACAAAAGGTTAGGTTCTTGGTTTTATAATCAAGTACGGAAAAATTAAGTTTTGGTGCTATTCTGGGCAGCTGTGAAGAGTACACTTGAACAAGAACTTTGGAACTAGGATTTTGTTTGCTATGCCTGAGTAATTTGAGAGACAATTTTTTGGAGCTTGAAGGGGGCTAAAAAGGATCTTGCTGTGGGCTTTGAGGCTTAAAAAGTGCAGAGAGTTAGAGAAAACTCTAGGAATTACTCCTACAACACAAACCGCAAGAGTATAATTGTTGAAAATTTCCTCTAAATTTGTTGAAAGCGTTACATAGCAATAATTAGACTCCTAGGTATTCCTAACTCTTTTAGGACTTTTGACTCTGTTACGAAGTAGCGAGTTTTACTAGTAACCAATATAAAAACGTATGGAAGACTGAAAGTGCACAATCTAATACCATTACAGTGCATGTTTAATGATTTTAAGATACCCGATCCTCCTACAACTAAGGTAAAGATTAATAAAATTTGGACCAACAATAGGATAAAGAGTACAAATTAGACTCAACAAAGGCCAACTTTAGTATGAGAGGTTCTAAGTGAATCTTACCTTGATTTCCAATCAAGTTTCTAAAGCCCTCATCAAGTTGATGAACTTCTTATAGACTGCATCACTACTACACTTTCCTGTCACTAATATTTTTTAATCAATCCTTGTATTTGGAACCTTCTTGCCCAACCGGGTATGTGTTTGACCCAATGCTGCATTTTCTCTTATCAAATCAAGCATATCAAAACCCATCTTATTTTCCCCATGTTTTTGTTCAATAGTCAAAGCTTCAGTGATTTCACTGTTGGTAAGAACAGCAATTGGGGCTTATTAGTAAATTTGTGTATTTCAAAAGGGTATATTTGGAATCAGAAAAAAGAGGAAGCAAGTGCTTCTTTTTCTGTACTGCAATCACCACGTCTTTTGTTGAAAAACCTTAGTAGTTGGAGGGGTGAGGTTGCAGCACTGTGATGAGAATTTTGTCTGTTGGTTGTACTGGCAAGTTGAACAGCTCATCCCCTAGCTGCCGTGTCTCTTTAGTCAGACCATTTAAGGCAGAGAACTGGCTTAGTTCACCTCAACCTGGTAAATCAAAGTATTTTGAGCTACTCATATCAATTTGTATGGATGGACCAACCATAGGCTGTCTATTGAGTAAACAAAAACAGCAGTTTGCATGCTCTTTAGACTTGAATACACGTGTTAAAGGGTTTTACTGCTGCGTCTAACTACTTGTATTATGCATTAATTTAAATTTGCAACATACATATGTTTGGCCACAATTATTACGTTTTCTATTATTACCAAGTTAAACCAGTGGCTGGCTGTTCTCAACAAAAAGGTCCACTTTGAGGGTGGATACAGTTCTAGATGTTTGAACCAAGATCCTACTTGACGGGTGGATGTTTAATTTGGTATCAACTGTATCATGAAGTTGGAATGACGGGCCAACTCACTTGCTACGTTGTAGTTCTGCCATAGAAAGTATGCATGGTCATCACCTATCAGCTGTTTTATATGGGAGAGGTTAGGTTAACTTTCATTTTTTATTTGATTTTAACAGAACATTTATGTGGCAATGTGATTTGAGATATTCATATTTTGTTTTGGCTGTACAAATCATTTCTTTACAGTCAATCCTGATGTATTCAATGTACTCAGATGGGTCCTGCTGATTGTAATGCTATCTCCTTATTTGCCTGCAGATTATTGTTTATATCACTGCTTTTGCTGTTACTTTAACCCTCTTCCTTCACCACAGACACACACACTCACAGGGGTGGGTGGGGGGGAGAGCAATTCGTTTTTTTCTTAAGAACCTCTGACATTTTCTTCTTTGATTATTGTTCCATTTGACAGGATCGGATTTTCAGATTGAATGAAGAAAATGGCTTGTTGAAACAAAATCTAGATGCAACAAGTGCGGCTATGAAGGCATCTAAAAACGAGAGTTTCAAGACATCAGCCAATAGCCTAAATGTGGTTAAGGTAGGCTTTAACACTTGGGGTTTTTTTTCTCTTTTCAAGAGTTTATTCTTTTGAAGAGTTGAGTAGCAAAAAGTTTGTTACTTTTGCTAAGATAGTCACCATCAGCTCAACCTTGACATTATTATGTACCTGGCTTTAGTTATAATTCTTTTAGTTGGATATGAATGTCACAAGCGAATCGAGTATTTCACTGACAGCTTGATCTCTAATCATTTAAAGCTCGGTTCGTGTTTGTTCAATAGTTAAACACATTGAGTTTGAGTTCACTTACGGGACTTGTTTATTAAATGAGCCTAGCGAAAATAATGTTCTGCTTGGCTCGTACAGGCTCATGAATACACTGCTCATATGGTCTTGGATACAATTTTGATGAACAAGTCATATAAGTTTATCTCATGAAATATGTCATACAGAGTTTTTGTAAGTTTGGAAAGATTGAAGATTTATACCTATTTATCGATAAAGAAACTAATAAAATATAATTAAAATATAAAAGGCTAATAAAAACATAAATAAAAATTTAAAAATTATATTTTATAAGCTATTGAGCCGAGCTCAGCTTTCTTAGCTTGTCATGGGCCTGCCTAAGTGAGTTGAGCGCCCATGAACAAACCAGCTAAGCCCAAACACTCCCAACCTTGGCTCAGTCTTAATCAAAAGTATTCCTTTTGATGACACAATGAGCTTCAATCGTCACTAGTAAGTTTATTGCTCAGGTATAAAGAACTACCTAGAATAGCTGCATTTCATGGTATATCTTGGCTTTTCATTTTCTACCCCTCATGTTTTATCTTCTCACATTTTTTGCTTCCATGTCTTTCGTTTGGCCATATACTGCCCTGTTTTCCGTATTTACTATTTATTAGTAGAGGGAAAATGAAGTGAATTCTTTGAGATGCTATGTCATGTGTCCTTCTCATCCCCTATGTTTAAGGTTGTCGCAGCCTTTGATGCCATGAAGCAAATGAATATAATTAACTGTGTATGTTTACAACTTTCAAAGCCCTTTTGATAGGTGTGAAGGGGCCACAAAATTAGGTGTACAATTCTCACATCAGAAGCACAGGCTGTCCACCACCTGATGGGTACCTTTTCTTGATAGTTTAATTTTTATTTTTTATTTTCATATATAAATCTTAAAATCACAAAAGTCAAACCCACTCAATCTCATTATCGGGATATATTGAATCCATAAAGTTTGCGGGATCATTTTTTATGTTTGTGGTAATTTGGAGTGTGCCAACCTGTGTATCTAGATATTTTCTAAGGTATTGCAATTGGTCATATGATACTAATAATAATAGCCTCTTCAACTTTTGAAGATGTGATAATCTCTTTGCAGCCTTTTTTCTGGCTGCTTGATGTTATTATTGTTGTTTTTATTAAGATCGTGCTGCCACTACTATAAAATATTGTGCTATTTTATTTATTTATTTATTTTCATGGTCCTTTTTCTTTATAAATATAAGATAGGTACTGTCTTTGTATGTTTTGAATTTTTAGTTTGTTTTAGTTTTGGCTGATCTTGTTTGGAATTTGTTTAGGGGAGTAGCGATCAGTCACTGAACCGGCAGCAGAAAGCTTTAACAAAAAATCGTTCCATCACCAACCAAATGCATAATGGAATCGTCTCAAAGCAGGATGGACTAAGCAATGGAGCTGCACATTCTATGCAATTTGATGAATTTCAAAGTAACAGGGAGGGTGGTGAAAAGGTAATGGGCAGGTGTCTTTTCTAACTAAAATGTATCTTCTTACTTTGGAGTGAGTTCATATGTTTTTTTTAGTTAAAATGAATATGAATATACTTTGTGGCTTAGACTTGTGTCGATATTATGATCTCCCAAAGGGACTTTGTAGCTAGCTTGCCATAATTATTTCAGTAAGTGACAACTGTGAAACAAAAGATATGCATTGATTTATTTTTTGATTGGCACATGGAAGTAATTTCTTTTGTTCTTCGATGGTGCAATTTTTCTCTTTTTGCCTCTCTCAAAGTGTTTTGTTGTTGTTATATTACCCCTAATGAATATAATTGACAACAAAAATATTGAATACCTTCTAGGAGCTTGCAGATTTGCTAGAAGAGAAAAACAGATCTCTAGCAGTAATTCAAGCATCTCATGAGTTACAAGTAAAACAATTGGGGATGGAACTTGAGAAAGAGCGTACCAAACTAGCTAATGTACAGCTAAAATTACGAGGTATTTCCTATTTTTTATGATCTAGTTGTGGACATATACATATTCTCATCTTGAGTTTCTGGTCTGATATTCTATTTTTGTTCCTAGAGGAACAGAAGTTGAATGGATCTTTTCAGGAGAAGCTGAACTCACTAAAAGTGGATAATAATAAAGTAAGTTCTTACTTGGTTTCTTATCTTCTCAGAGTGATGGCTATTTTGGCCTTTCGACAACTGATTAGTTAAAGTTAGCCAGAATTTATTTTTCGTTTTTATTCTGATATCTGGGGATAAAATATCAACAATGTAGTTATTTTATATTATGCGATTGTGATAGCATTATCCGACTTAAATACCAATAAGGGTACTATTGAGGTTCCAATCTTTCAAGGTTTTAGAGGGACCAGATAAATGGTTTCATTGCCTAGTACTAAAATTAGAGACTTGCATGGAGCAGTGACGATATCTCAATCCTCATTACCTATCAAAGGGGAAGGGGAAAAAAAAAAAATAAAAAAAAATAAAAAAAAAAAAAAAAAAAAAAAGAACTAATGGACCCAATTTGGGGGAGAAACCAGATAACTATGAGAAGGATCTGAAACTTTTATTTTTAGAACTTTCCATATTTCAAAAACTCAATAATTAAACCCAACGCAAAGTTGTTTAAATAGAGTTAACTCAATACTTTGACTCCGCCCTAAAAGAACTTGAATCGTCATAACGGATCCCATGTGTCAATTATTTTATTAGTCAAAATGTGATAACAACTAGCTTTTGGTAAACTGGGACATGGGGTGTTAAGATACTTTTTGTACTACGTACATAAATAAAATAGAAAGATGAAGAGTCAGAGCTTCGCTTTTCATAAGAATGAGAGAGAGGGGCCTGATCTTTTAATCATATCCATAAATCGGCATTGGGTTATTGATTGGTATAATGGTAAAATTTTGAGCTGCGATGCTAGAGAACTCAGATTCGCGTACAAAGGCAACCGCTTTATGCAAATAGTTAAAGGTCAAATCTGAACTCAATTACTCGCCCAGTACTCAGTATTGCCGAGGCTGACACCGGGTAGTGGGCATTTAGCTAAATGCAGACATATATGAAAACTGGTAAAAGGGTTTACTCAAATTCAAATTACTTCAGGAAAGAGTTTACAGATACGATCTGCATATTTGTAGTCTTGGATGGCATCACTGGCATACTCAAATTCAATTACGATCTGCATATTTGTAGTCTTAGATGGCATCACTAGCATACTCAAATTCAATTACGATCTGCATATTTGTAGTCTTAGATGGCATCACTGGCATAGTTTTGGGAATTTAGGGTGTGTGTAAAACATGAACTTCTCGCATTATATATCCGTCAATATGCATTTTCATCCATATTAACTAAAAATATAGTTCAGAAATGTAGAGAGTTCATGGTTTTGTTAAAGCAATTATGAACATGGCATTAGTCTAAGTTTTCCATTTTTTTGGTATGCCTTCAAGAATCATGTTTGGTATTCCTATTTCTGTATTCTTTTAAAAAAATTCCTGCTGATTCTTGCCTCTTGGCCATCTAACCCATTTCTTTTTTCCTTTGTTTTTTTGGGTTTTGTTTTGATACTGGTTACCTCTTCTTGCAGATTTCTATGGAAATGAACAAGGTTCATGACGAATTGAATAAGAAAATATCAGAAGTAGGACGACTGCAAATGGAACTGAAACATAAGGAGGATACCAAAATAGATGATGTCGTGGATGATTTGAAAAGAGTAATTGCAACCATAGAGAGGGAAAATAGTAGTCTTAAGGTTGAAATTCTTGTTCCTTTCATATATTTTCTTTTTATTTGTATCTTTGTCCCTTTTTATAGTCTTGAGCTTGTTGCTCCCAATCAGTTGGGGAAAAAGAAAAATTGCTGCCTGCCCTTTGATTATTACATCCTCAGACTCGAACAACGTTGTTGAATAATCTTGTCCCTTGAACTTGCTGTAATATTATCTCATCTGTGGTTGTAGATGGAGAAGGAAGAACTTGAGGCTGCGTTGAAAGTCGCGACTAACTCTTCAGCCCAAAAGCAGTCGAGTAGTTTGGATGAGGTGAGTTGCTACAGTTTTTGGAAACTAACTCAACTAAAGCCTAATCGCTCCCAGTTGTTTGGTGTCATCTATATGAGTCCAGTTTTTCAATCATCTTTATACTGTATCATAACTTGGTTAAACTATGTGTAGCTATGTCTTTCTAAATATAAATATGTCAGCCTGCATCAGTTTTGGTCTTCTCCTTCTCCTAGCATTAGACAAAGTGTAGATAATTTACTTATCCTCAGCGGTACATTTATTAGTTTTTTTTTCTATATAGCCAGACCATATTAGTTAGTTTTACTCATTTTCTATAGCGCTTCTCCTACCATTTCAAAGTTTTGTTAATTTCTGTACTTTGGAAACTGCCATTTCTCTAGAGCTCTAATAGACAAAACTCCTCTACCATAAATTTCATTGTTGTCAGTATTATCGCATGAAATGGGACTCTTTCTTTATTCGCATTTGATTAAGTCCTTTATAAGATCTATCAAACAATGGGGTGAATGATTTGATCAATAATTATCTGATCCCTTCTTCAATTTGGATCTGTTCACAACAAATTGTCGATTATTCTTATTAAAAGATACAGATACAGATTCAGTTTCTTTGAAATCTAATTTTATAAGGGAAGAGCACTAAATGAATTCATCCTATTAGAGAAGTTTAAATCTTCAAAATTAACCTCCAAATAAGGCAACATTCTAAAGAAGATTCATATTGACTTTTCAGGAGTAGATTGTAAGTTCAATTCTTTTCGTTTTTCTTTTTCTTTTTTTCAAAATGGACATGTATTTTTGGATTACTATAAATGAAAAGCTGGAAAGTTCATGTAGGATAGGAGTACAAGGCATACAAAATACTTTCTGTTATTTCCCCTTTAGACTAGTATTTGCTGCAAAACCTCAACAGAAAAGGGGGAAAATGTGGAGAATTGTAATTTATTGACCGAAGATAATTGCTACATAATGACCATGGTCATTGATTCATTTTTGTTCATTTACCATGATCATGGTCATTGATTCTTTTTTGTTACTTAACCGTGACCATGGTCATTAGACAACAAATAATTATATGTGTATATTTTTCTACTTATAAGCTTTGTTACTTGTGGTAAGTAAGTTTTTAGGGTGTGGATATTTCTCTAAATTTCAAATTTCTCAAATTCTTAATTTATTAAGTGTATGCAACTTTTTTTTTTTTCTAGTGTACTGCTTTTGTTTTGTAGGGTAAAATTGTGTTTTTGTATCGTGGAGTGTTCAACATATATGCTTTACTCATTTTTGAAGTAATAATGTTACAAAAGGAATATGATAAATAATAATCTTATGTTGAATTATAAGATATGCTTTCTCAGTGTGTATTTGACAAGATATGTTCTACATATCTCAGATTTGAATGTTGTGTGACCTGCACAGATATCACTCATTTAGAAGAGTCCATAAAATTATATTAAGTGCAACAACTTATTCTAGGTTTGATTTTGATTCTCTATCCCTTCAAAGATCACACTAAAATCGATTAACTTACCTTTTTAATCCAAACTCAAGGAAGTTAAAACAACTCAATTAATTTATTGTTACCAATACTTGTGATAGTCTGCTTGGTAACTTAAATATGGACTGTCATTTTAATTGATTGGTAAGTTTGTGACTTTGTGTTTTGAGCAGGTAAAATAACTAGCTAATCCGATAACTAGCAAAGCAAATATCAAATTCTGAGAAAATATTTTATTGTTAGGAATTTAATGGTAAATAATATGAGCCTTACTTAAATTTTTTTCTTTTTATCTCTCCTCTTGTTTTCCTTTTCCCTGTCATTTTCCTTTTGCTTGCCATCCTCACTACAATAAATTTTCCCCTTTATGATAAGCATTTCCATAGAATAATGTTAAGTAATGCCATGCTTTGCTTATCAACGATTAGTCCACTTCTATTGTTTCCTCATTGTGTGAGTGACCGATGGTGTGTGGTGTTTTCTTATTTAGAAAAAGAAAATGAACATTTCTTTTTTGGGAAGGTACAGTCCTTGGGAAGTTTTCCGGGAAAAGAAGAAATGGAGCTATCCCTGCGGAAGCTGGAGAAAGATTTGAAGGAAACACGCCGAGAAAGGGACAAAGCATTACAAGAACTGAATCGCCTTAAGCAGCATTTACTAGATAAGGTTTCATATCTCAAACTTCTCTAATTTTTTTTGGTTGAACTGACTACTCTTTTGTGGCTTAGCGCAGCATGTTTAGTCATTTGATTAGCTATCTGCAGCATGGTGCTGGTTTATGCTGGTTATATATGATGTGTTACTGGTTTTTACTGAGCATATGCACTTTTTTGAAAATTGTTCACTTTTTCTTGGGGGGGGAGGGGGAGGCTGGGGATCTAATGGTGGATCCTGAACTCATATATGCTGGAAGTTGCAGTACATTTATTTATCAATTAGAGTTGGGGTTTCAATACTCCACTTATAGATATAACAGGAATTGAACCCGCCCATGAATAATCATGATTTAGCAGTCTTGAATCAGAAGTTCTTTAAGGTTTTGTTTGTATCTTGTTTTTGAGTAAACTATATTGTCTGCTATGTAATTTGAATTTTGATTTATTCAGGCACGTGCTTTAGAATTTGAAGTCATAATTGCAGTGCTGTGGCTTTTCCCTGTCACTAATTTGTGTATGAATTTGTCATTTTGGACACTGCAAATGGGCTTTATAGGCCGGGTGATACACTATTAGCTTTAGTTGTTTCTAGCATCAGTGTTACTTTCTATTCATATGGTAGATTGTTGGTGGCTCCAGGACTCTGTACATCTCAAATAAAACCAATCTTTCAAACTTTCTGCAGTCAAAATTGAAGATGGTTTCTCTTGCTGCAATATTATCTAGGAATCTGAAGAAGCAGAAAAAATGGATGAGGACAGCAAGATCATTGAAGAACTACGAGAAAATAATGAATATCTAAAAGCTCAAATATTATTTTTGGAGAAATCTCTGAAGCAGGCAATGGCAAGTCAGGAGGAAGTTAAGATAATTAACAACAATGAACTTCAGAAGTCTAGGGAAATAATTAGTGACCTGAATAAAAGACTGGCGAGCTGTACGAACACAATAAATGCCAAAGATGTTGAGCTTCTGAATCTTCAAACTGCTCTTGGCCAGTACTATGCTGAAATGGAAGCTAAGGTAAATTTTTTCTCATTTTACTTGCTTTAGTAAAAAAAAGAAAGCGAGCACACTAGAACCATGCCGTATTTAGATTATAAATTTTATGTTCTATATGTGTTTAGGAGCGTTTGGATGGAGATTTGTCTCTGGCAAGAGAAGAATCAATTAAACTTGTTGAGCTTTTGAAGGTATGATTCTCTTATCACATTTATCACTGTTAGGATTTCATTTTCTGAATTCTTGCATGTATCTTGTAATTTTAAGAAATATAATATTTTTCTTGTGTAGTAGTAATGGTGTTTTATAGATAGTCTTTCTTATTTTTTAATAGGACATTATATCTGATTTTATCTAACCAGATGTGAATTTATAATTTTAGAAGGCATTCAGCATTTTAAATGTATTTGGGAAAAGACTTTAATTGTTGTTTGCTGTTTTTGTATCCATCATTTTTTATCTGATTTACTGATTATTTTTAATTCACATGTTGCATATAGAAATTGCGTTTCACGTTCAAATTATTTTGTTGAATGATTTGATTTTTTAAGATATGATCTTCTTGAAACTTAAGTACTATTGAATCTTTCGGATCTGACCTTAAAAATGGCATTATTAGTATAAATGCAAGTCCAATTTTCTTTCCCTAGTTTATTAGGCATAACCATGTATATGCTTTGACCAGGATGCAAATCAAAAGGCAGAGATATCAAACAGGGAAAAGGAAGAAGTTTTGGAAAAGCTTTCACAAGCTGAAAGGATGGTTGCAGAAGGGAAAAACAGAGCAAATAAGCTGGAGGAAGCCAATGTCAAACTACGTAATGCTCTTGAGCTGAGCATGACAAGACTTAATAGGATGTCACTGGATTCTGATTACTTTGTTGACAGGTTTGTCTTTGTGATTTTCAAAAAAATTACTTATATTTTTGTTTTCAAATCAATTAACCAGGTCCAACTACCTGCCCAGGAAAAATAAATGAGTAAATAAATAAAACAGAGAGAGAAAAAAACTCAATAGGATATCCTGGAGGCAATTGCACATGCTCTTACCTGTGGTAATCCCCAATTTCAATTAATGGCTTTTGCTGCATCTGGTAAATTGTTTCTCTTTTGATGTAATCATTGCACAATATGTGGGATGAAACTAATATAGAGTGGAAAATATGCACGGCCCCAATTTTAACACCAACCATCAACATCCCCATCCCCATCCCTGACCACAAAATTCCCACACACAAGTGATCACTACATTTGCATCCCGTTTCCAGATTGGCTATTCTTTATGACTTCTGTGGTTGTATCATACGGTCTGACATTTGGTAACTTGCAATTTACATGACATAACCACAACTAAGTTCTACAACTATCTCAACATCACTATCATTGCCATCTCTGCCAGGTTACACCTGCCCATTAGTTAATGTTGGATTCAAGATTTTATTTTCTATCAATCATATTGGTATGTTGGGAACAGAACTCACTCAGATATTGGATCATATGTTTTGTTAGCTTTATTACGTTGCCATGTTCCTTTGAGAAATGGTAAGTACAAAGTTTTGATGAAAGATAGCTGGCATTGCTTTTGGCAGGCGCATTGTGATCAAATTGTTGGTGACCTACTTCCAGAGAAACCACAGTAAAGAGGTACAATTTCGCGCACACAATTTTATATCTCATTATCAATCTATTGAGGGTAGGTAATAACTAATAGGTTTGATTGATAACAGTAATCCTGTTCCAAATTTGTATTTTATCTATGAAAATAACACCAAGAAAATCACACTTTCCAAAAACAAACAAACAAACAAAAAAATACCAGAAATTTCGCATGCTGTCATATCTTTTCTCCCTAAAATGAATGAGCTCCAAAATGAATGTGAAGCGGTCTCAACTGAACTTCTACTCACGCTGAGTTCAATCTGAAGTCTAAACTCTAGTAGCTTAGCTTTTATATGGTCGAAGGATGATCATTAGCTTATTGAGCCGAGTTCTAGCTGAGCTGCATAAATTAATATTATTGAGCGGTCTCAACTGAGCTTCTCTACTCACATTGAGTTCAATCTGAAGTCTAAACTCTAGTAGCTTAGCTTTTATATAGTCGAAGGATGATCATTAGTTTATTGAGCCAAACTCTAACTGAGCTGCGTAAATTAATATTATTGAGATTTGCTTGTTATTTGAAGATTCATTCTCAGGCAAGCCTCTTAACTGTTCATCTATGGTGTCCAAATGAGAAAGGAAAAAAGAAAAAAAAAAAAAAAAAAAAAAAAAAAAAAATGATATATAGACTAACAAAGAGGTTAAACAAAGACTACACAAACTAACAACTACCTTGAGGAGTAAGAGGTTCCAAAATACTCCAGAGTTGTGGAATCCCTTTGATCTAAAAAAAGAATAAATCACATCAGTTGACCAGTTTTGTTCTAATCTCCTAGTGATCTCTCGTCAGTTTTTATGTGTGGAAGACAACTATAACTACTTTCAGTATCCCATCCTGACTGAAATAACTAATTTCCCCAAACTTTCTATTTGACCTGCTCGTGCACTGGTTTATGTATGTATGGACGCCAACAGGTTCTGGATCTTATGGTTCGTGTGCTGGGATTCTCTGACGAAGACAAGCAGAGGATAGGTGTTGCTCAGCAAGGTGGAGGTAAAGGTGTAGTCCGAGGTGTCTTGGGTCTACCAGGTCGTCTAGTTGGTGGTATCTTGGGTGGAAGTTCTGCCGGATCTCCTTCAATTGGGGCATCTGATGACCAGGTAATCTTTTGTTATTAATGGTCAAGTTCTTTCACATATGCAATTTCCCTTGTTATATATTTTTCAGTCTGTTGGCAAATGGTATATCATGATTTTGTTTGCAAGTGATTCCCACTGCAACTGACACTTATAATTTGGTGCATGTACATCACTTGTCCGGATTCTTTGAGTTGACCTGAAAGATGCCGAGGCCAAACCTGATTTTGATCAAGTTGTTAATGCCAATGCCCACCAGTCTACCACTCCCCCTCTTTTATGACTCGTACAACTAGATCGTTGCAGATTTTGGACGGGAACAAGAATTTATAACTGATAATGATAGATTAGTTTTTACTACTTATCCAAAAAAATAAATGATAGATTAGTTTTTACCCCAGATTAGTTTTCAGGTTCAGAAATGATCCTTCAATTCAGTTTTCTTTTATGCACCACCATTCAGGTCTTTAGATTTTCTGAGTTGGGGAGTTCCTCTACCATTAAATAATGTCTCTTTATGTTCACATCCGCCATCACCTCTATATTCCAGGCAGCCTGGTGTCAGCTCCATTTTTCCTGTTTCACTGCTTAACTTCTTCTGATGCAAGATAAAGTGTTTTTTTGCAAATAGTTACCTCCATGGGAAAATAAGGGAATAAAGCACTAAGATGATACTAAGAAAGCTCACATCATACTTTGCATCTAATCTCAGATGATCAGCCTTGCAATTTATAAGCACACTTCTAATATATGCACCTATACCGTTTTCTAATATATGCACCTATCTTGCAATTTATAAGCACACTTCTAATAGTTACCTCCATTCAGGTCTTTAGATTTTCTGAGTTGGGGAGTTCCTCTACCATTAAATAATGTCTCTTTATGTTCACATCCGCCATCACCTCTATATTCCAGGCAGCCTGGTGTCAGCTCCATTTTTCCTGTTTCACTGCTTAACTTCTTCTGATGCAAGATAAAGTGTTTTTTTGCAAATAGTTACCTCCATGGGAAAATAAGGGAATAAAGCACTAAGATGATACTAAGAAAGCTCACATCATACTTTGCATCTAATCTCAGATGATCAGCCTTGCAATTTATAAGCACACTTCTAATATATGCACCTATCTTGCAGTCGTTTGCAGATCAGTGGGTTGATTTCCTTCTCAAAGAAACCGAAGAAAAAGAGAGGAGAGAATCTGCAGAAGCATCCAGCGGATCCAATGGAAGTCAACACGGAACAAGTCCAGACCCTGGTACTGCTTCATCTCTACACAACCCCAGAACAAATGCTGCTAATTCTGCTACTGGTTTCTCAAGATTAAACCCCCAGAACCAAAACCAACCGCTCTCTTACGGAAACATACAGCAGCCCGAACAATCTTTTTCTGAATTCTCAACACTGCCTCTAAATTCCTCAGAGAGCAGTTCTCGGTTATCAAGGTTGCTTCCGAAATACTGAAAACATTTTGATCTGTAATTAATCGAAGGTACAGAATATTTATTGGTGTTGTGGTCGTGCAATTCTTTAATATATTATTTCATACATTTATTTAAAAATGAGAGGGTTTTCTTTTGTATTAATTGCCTGTTATTGTAAGCACATGGATGCCACTGAATGCTGATTTCGCTGGAATTTGTTTTATTCTGACTTTGGACAGTTAGGGTTGATGCCCACAGTGTGGGAGAGAGAGAACGAGTGAATACAAATATATAAAATCAACACCCTGACACATTCTACAGCCCTCGTGACTTATAACTATAATTGTAGAAGGAAATGACTCTATGCCATCTGTTAAACATGGTACGTCACTCATACAAAGTCGCGAGGCCTTGTCAATGCTTCTCAGTCTTGTCCCCGTATCACGCATCACGTGGTTGGACTTGATGACAATATGAACCACTTACGCTGTCTTTGGTGTGCTGGAATGGACTATCCATTCTAACAATTCGGTAGGTATGACAATATGATCATTCCATTAGAATGAAAATTCATCTCATGACTAACCTATTAAATGGTTAATTTTTATAAAAAAAAAAAACTGACTTTCCAAAAATTTTCATGTTCGAAGTCTAAAAACCACCACCACCATCGCCACAAACATCACTGTTTTCCCCCACCACAACCACCACCATCACTGTCACCGCCACTATTGTTGCCGCCTTCAACCGTCACACCATCGTCGCCTCCACTGCCTTCCACCACTACCACCTCCACCACGAACTTCCACCAATGCCACTTCCCACCATTACCATATTCGACCATCACCATTGCCATTGCCACCACTCTTGTCACCATTATCATGCCACCGCCTTCCACCACTACCACATTCGACCACCACCACTGCCATTGCCACTACCCTTGTCACCATTACCGCCACAACCACCACCGCCTTCGCCTTCCACCACCATGCTGATGCAGCCTCCACAGCCTTTCCACCTCCACCTCCACCACCATCACCACCTCGCTTGACACCACCAACCCACCGACTTTCATTATCGCCCCTGCCACTGCCACCGCCACCGCCACCACATTCGACCACTACCACTGCATTGACACCACCATCGTCGCCACCGCCTTTCACCACTACAAGCACCTTTCACCACCACCACCATCAACTACCACCGTCATCCCCCACCACCATTGCCTTCCACAACCACTACCGTTGCCGCCACCTCCACTGCCTTCCACCACCACCACCGTCACCTCCACTGCCTTCCACCACCTCCATTGTCACCTTCACTGCCTTCCACCACCTCCACCTTCCACTACCACCACCCTACACCGCTATCTCCTTCCACCACAACTACCACCGCCTCTACCTTCTACCATCACCGCCACCATAGCCACCTTCTAACACCACCACTTACACCACTACCGCTTTCCACCTTTACCACCATCGTCACCGCCATCCACCACTGCCGCCATTCCTTTTAAAAAAATTATAAAAGAATGTTATTCTGTTAATTTAATTTATTTGTAATAAGGGATATTTTGAAAATTTTAATTTGAAATTCATTTTATTCTAAATTTTAAATTGATCCAAACACTAAAAATTATTATAATTGCATTACAAACGCATTTCATATTTGTAACCAAATAAATATAATGAGAATGACCATTCCATTTCCATCCTCATTCCATTCCCACTTACATTCCATTCCAGCACACTAAAAGCAACATTAGTCTCAAGGAAAACTATTTCTTACTCAAAATGTAACTAGATGTAACGAACAGTCCTCCTTGACTCTCCATCCATCGGACCTTCAATGTCACATATTTGTAGATTATATCTTCGAAGTCTCACTCTCTCAAGTCCTCAAAACAGCATGCAAGCCCTGCAATGCATTCATGCGGACCAAGTAAAAGATTGAACAAAAATATAATTCAAACAATTTGACGAAGTAACAACCATTTTAGGGTCCCAAATAACACCATCGTTATGTCATCACGTAATCACCTACAGACCCATATAATGTATGTGACAACTGCTAGACTGAACATAAAAAAAAAACCCATATTCATCCAAATTTAAAACCCAACCACTAGAAAGTAGAAACATCAAAAACAAGACGAAAATGGCAAATACAGATGAACTCAAATGAAATCCTGAAAAATCACAGCCATCCAATTGCCAACCAGTGAGGATACCTATAGTTATGTTATTACAGAATCACCTACAGTTAACATGCAGGCAAACGCTGCTTTCACTGTGATATATAAGCACATATATATATATATGCATATATATGACTTCTAGACTAAAGACAAGGAAAGCAGAAATTCATCCAAATTGAGAACCCAACCACCAGAAACATCAGAAACAAGACTGAAAACTAGGGTTCTGGCAAAACATAGATAAGAAGAACAAAACACATCCCAAAAGCTCACGGCCACCCAATTGTCCACCAGAAGGGAAACATCAGATTCTCTTAAGCCCTTTTCTTGTCTTTTAATGGCCCTCTTGGAATCTTGCTCAAAACCTTGGCATCAAATACTGCATACTGCTTCATAAATTCAATCTTTGCCTTCTCTGCAAAGTGATCAACTTGGTCCTCGTACTTCTCATACAAAACAGGTACCGTATGAAGCAATACAAAAGCTGTGTCATTAAAAATTATGGTCGTCAAAACATAGTACAAAGCGTATAATATATATATATATATCTACGTATTCAATGTGAGAGAGAAAAAAAAATCCAACAAATATTTATTGTCATTACTTATATAAAACAGCGTCAAGAAGTTGCACCAATTCCCCATGATTGACAGAACCCACAAACCAGCAATAACCTGAACACCAAAGCACAATCTATTAGAAGTTGGTAAATCAAATCATAAATTATGTAAATGCTAATATACCTCACAATTGCAATGTTAGCTGTAACATCCGGAAAAAATACTAGAAATTGGCCAAATTTAAAAAAAAAAAAAATCAGAAACATGTAGATAAAAAGGTAATAACATCTTTTCAGTTCACAAAGTATAAGCTGTATACCAAAACCAGCATGTTTAAAAACAGTTAGGATAGAGTATACTAATTTAGTCATCCAATCTCAACGACGCAACTAAGTTAATTACTATAAAGCCCATAACAGAAATCAATGTAGCGTTCTGCAGACTACCAACGCAACAATGACTAGCAAGGGGAGAAAGAAATTAAAAAAAAAAAAAGTAGATAACAATGACATACAGATAGAAACTTCTTCAAATCTCTTCCAGATGCAATGTCACGCAGCACAACAAAAGCTCGGTTAATTTCATTCCTCAAGGCAGACGCAAACTGGAGGAATGGATCCTCTGGAAGATGAAGTTCAGGAATATGCGGAGGAGACCTGTAAAGAATTTAGTTAGCCTATGAATTCGGTAAATTACCAAGCATAGAACTAGAAAAGTAATAGAAACCTACTTGTTAATGAATGTTGTAGCATTGGACCACAAGAACAAGACTGCAAGCGATAGAATTAAAATGTGGCAAACTAGAGAGAGCAGGTGGTATTCGAGCAATTCAAAAAAAACCCAGATTGCAGTGGCTCCTCCGAGTACACTGGCAGATATCTTCTTGTTCCTCCATAAGAATATATCAGCAGCTGCCAAAGGATTAATGCTCGTAATATAGGATGGTAGAATATAATCTATAAGTAAAAGATTAATTTGACAAAAATGCCTGGAGTATTTGTTATTGGCAAGAATGCCTCGAGTATAATTAAGGAAACAAGGAACAGAATCTTATTCTTTCAAAAAATTATTCTACTGTTCTCAAATTAATTTTCACTTCACAATAGTTCCAAGGAAACTAGAGCATAGAAGGCTGTTAACATTGAATATGATATCATCTGGTGAGACAATTGGAGCTCCCCCAGGGGCTCAGGTGATGGCATCCTGAGGACGCAGCAGTGGCCTTGCGCAATCTTGGGAGACTCCCGCAAGAAGGCTTTGCGAAGTAGCACAATCCTTGAGGATTCCAGTGAAGGTAAGGCAACAATCAAAAAGACAAGGACACGTACCTTTGAAACTTCACTCAGGGAGTACTTGGTTAATCCATGTTTTGAAAAACAAGGACACCTCCCCCCCTCAGGGAGTACTTTAATAATTAAAACTTCAAATTCTCAACAATTAAAAATAAATAAAATAAAATTCTGTATACCTCAAACCCACAAAGAATGTACAAACCAATGTGCTTAATCTCTAAATCCAGAAAATCCATTCACCATCACCAAAATCCATGAGTTAGACCTTAAAATTTCCTCCTCAAAGCCTCGTTAATTTCAACTTTCACACTCCTTATTTTTCTACTTTACTTTATTTATTATTTTCCTTTTTTGTTCTTCTCCAATGCATCTGCACATATGAGAAACTTATAATCAAAGTGCGAGATTGCCAATTGCCAGTACAAAAAAAAAGGGTGCAATGAGCAAGAAGAGAGCCACATCAGAAGGAAAATGATCCATCTTAGGGTTCTAAGTATCTGCAATCATTGCTTGGAGTTTCAGTCACCAATATGTAGCAGGACTGCAGGAGGCATTTCTATCACTAGATAATAAGATGTGAAGCCCTGAAGAAAAAAACCGGAACCTAATGGCACTACCCTTCCATTTTTCAAGTTGGGCGCTAAATAACGAAATGTCCACAGCTCTTAATTTTAATTTCATTTCTCTTTCCACTGTATTCAGTAACCAAAGAATAACAAGCTTCAGAAACACAAAAACAAATCCAACAGATTAACATAACCGTGAGTAACATAATTAGATCTAAATACACTTCAAACTTCTAAAAACACTTATCTCTTCCTCTAACTACAAACCAACAATCAAACCGTCAAAATAAACAAGAACTCTCCATATATATATATATATCCAGTTTGTTCGCATTTCCATAGATCTAAAGACACTTAAATATTCTAAAATCCTAATCCATCTACAATAATGACATCTCTGAATAAAGCAGTAGCCAGATCGTAAATGAAACAAAACCACTGTCGGTATGTGTATGAATAATATATGTATGTGTGTCAATCTATACATATATAAAGAGTGTGTGTTTTTTCTTACGTTTTCCTCCGCCGAAAACCTGATGAACCGGTTTCTCTCTGCCGAACAAGCGGTACATCTTGTCCTTGACAGACGAGGACGAAGGCGAAGCAGGCTTCTTCTCAGTATGCTTCTTCTTCTCATTGTCGGAATCAGAAGACGACGACGAATCGTCGCCGTGAAACTTCTCGGCGATCTTGTCCATCAACGACTCACTTTTGGATTCCGGATTATCAGCGTGACCGGCCATGTCTACCGACACGAAACCCTAGCGTTTCGGCGAAAGTAAAAATTCGTACCCAACCAGTGGAGAATAATGGGGTTTTGTTTGTCGAGAAACGAGCAGCTCACCGATATATAGTAGCAGTACAGTCATACGTGTAAGTGTGTACGTGTGTGAAGCACCATTTGAGTCCGGACCTTTGCTTTGGAAACCTAACCTGTGGTTTGGGTGAAATTTTAAGCGAGAATTTTTATAAAGTATAGGTGGTGTTTGAATGATCAAAATAAATAAATAACTAATAAAAAAAAATGGAGGAGTAGTATCATGTTAAGTCCGTGTTCCATAATAGTACTCTAATTAAACAGGTGTTGAAAATTAAAGATTTTGCAATTAAGGATCATTTTATAAATAGTTTAATGTTAAGTTTGAGAGCACGGTTTAAATTTGGGATTGGAGGAAAGCCAAGACGGCCTTGGCATAGGCGACCTAGCCTTCAATTTGGAAAGTCACAAAATTTAAAATATTCTTATATAAGTTATATTATAATTATTTTAGGCTAAAAATTTTATAACCCCATTCACCGTTTTTAATTAAACTCTATCCAACACAAAAATGTTCAAAAATTATGACTTTTTTTTTTTTTTCTCTATCTATCCATTCTCTCTCCTCCTCATATAGAATATTAATATTTTTCCCAAATATTTATATTTCGCAGTTTTTACAACAATACTAAATTTTTCTTTTTTCCCAAAGTTATGTATTTAACACTTATTTGGAAAAGTAGTGAAACTTTCCATATAATTTTTCTAATTTTTTTCTTTTATTTATTTATTTTTTTCTTATTCCTCATATACTTGCTCTAATCTCTCAACAAGTCGTTTCACTTCTCTCTCGTTACTAATTCATAGTTCTCTTTCGTCTACACTTAATACTCGTTACTCTCAATTTGAACCCTTTTTTATTCTATTGAAAAAAAATTAGGAGCATTGGATTGGGATTTTCTAAATAAGGTTTTATTGTTTATTATTATTATTATTATTATTTTGATTTCATTAACTTTTGTTATTATAAATTTGTGTGTGCATATATATATATATTTCATATATTTGTATATTTTAACCAAATATAAATACAATAATCTAATTTTGCATTTAACAAAGTAAGTAGGATGATTTTAAATAAATATTATTTAATATTAATATATCATTAAGATGGCACTTTTTATTTTTTGCCTAAGGCCTATGGTGCTTATCGTTCATTTTAATAAAAATTTCTCACTCTTATAATCTGTTGTGAAGTTGAAATATTATATATAAAGGCCTCATATTTAAAAGTTCACCTAGCCTCTCAAAATTTTGAAAATCGGAACATATTTAAATACGGGTTAAATTTTAAGCATACATTTCTTTGTGACCTCTCATAATTTTGGGAACTAGAGCCCACACCAAGGAAAGTTGATTAAAATATTGAATTAAAATTTCTTAAACGGTCCTCTTTTATTACTTAAATACGAGTTAAATTTTAAGCATACATTTCTTTGTGTGGTCAATAAGATAATAGGTTTAAAATTACTATTTAATAGACAAATTTGTCACTCAAATAAAGTAAATTTACAAAATTTACTACTTAAAATTTCAACAGTTTTTTCAAATTTTGCAAAGCTTTTTTAAAAGTTTATCGACAAAGTATTAGAGGCTAGAGACTTCCACTTGTGGTGCTTTATATATGGTTCTAGTGTGAAGTAAAGAATCCATTGTCCTAGCTTCTAGTTAAAATCTCAAAAGTAGGACGTATCAACATAATGGAGCATAGTTACTTATTTATGTAAATTGAAGATGATTTGTGAAATAAATTATTTATGATTCTTAAAAATTTAATGAAATTTTTGGTCTTGCCATTAAAAATTTAAACTTAATAATAGAAGTGTTGAGTTCTGATCTCTTGCTTCCTGCGGTATAAGAAAATTAATCCACACTTTTATATGGACCGTTATATTAAATATAACTGTCATTTTTCAAATCCACCTATATCATTTCTTTTTAACACAAAATCACTCTCAGCCTAATTTTAGTTTCTATATTTAATTTTATCATTACTATCTACTGTAACAATAAAAAGGTAATTACCAAAATAAAAATAGAAATCTTTACCCTTATATATTACTAAAATTTTGTTTTTCTTTAAATGTTTCCTTGAACAAAATATAGAAAGCTTTAAAATAAAAATAATACCAATATATATTACTAAAATTTTGTTTTTCTTTAGATGCTTGTTTGAAATAAATATCTTTGTGGCTCACTTCACCTCTATTTTTCATGTTTTTGTCTAACAAAAAAGAATTACACCAGGTCTTAGATGGTTCACTTAAGGGAAGGATAAAGAAAGATAATTTGTTTTATATCTTTAAACACAAGTTGATTAAAATAATACCACTACATATTACTAAAATTTTGAGAATCAGGGCAGCTCAGGAAGAAAGTTGATTAAAATATTAAACTAAATTTTCTTTAACGGCACTCTATTAATATTTAAATACGAGTTAAATTTTAAACATACATCTCAAAATTTTGGGAATCAGAGCTGGCCCAGAGGAAAGCTGATTAAAATATTGAATTAAATTTTCTTTAACGACACTCTCTTACTACTTAAATACAAGTTAAATTTTAAGCATACATTTCTTTGTGTGGTCAATAGGATAATAGGTTTAAAATTACTATTTAATAGACAAATTTGTCACTAAAATAAAGTAAATTTACAAAATTTACTACTTAAAATTTCAACAGTTTTTTCAAATTTTGCAAAGCTTTTTTAAAAGTTTATCGACAAAGTATTAGAGAGATTAGATACTACTAGGTTTCAACCAAAAAAAAAAAAAAAACACAAATGCTTTCTGATAACAAATTTATTCTATTAAATAAAAGATAAAATTATTTCAAATTATTATATGAAATAGAAAAGACAAAACACACATGGAGATAAATAATGGCAAGGCTCTCACTTCGCATTTCAAACTTCAAGGGTTCCATTCCAATGAAATTTATAAAAAAATAATAATTATTTTAAAGTCATGGGGAACTGTTCTCTATTTTCAATATATTTAACAAAAAATTCCTTTTAGTTAACAGAACCACCTTTACCAAGGCATCCACTTCCCCCTTGTGGTGCTTTATATATGGTTCTAGTGTGAAGTAAAGAATCCATTGTCCTTCCTTCTACTTAATCTCCATTGAACTTCAAGAATGGCGATACGTCCTACTTTTGAGATTTTAACAAAAGCAATGCTCCAAGGATGAAAATCACAGTAACAAACTGACTCTATTTTCAATAATGTAATGACACAGACTTATTCAGTCTTATAAAATATGATTCATAATTATCCCAAAATTGTTTATTAACACCAATCCATCATATTTGTACTAGCTAATAAATAAACCAACCAGATTAAATAAAATTTTAAGCACACATATAAATGTTAGGTACTTCTATCCCAAGCAGCGGGGACTCAGCATCTTTGTTTACTGACTCACACACGAGTTGTGCATGCTTCCTATTTTCAGCCAAGGAATAATTTTAATATCACTTTGTCACGCCACGGACTGAAAACTCCAGCTTGTGACAAAATGGTATATATTCTATTTTGATCACCAGGTTTTAAATGGTTCACTTGGGGAAGGATAAAAAAAGATCCTTTATTTTATATTTTTTAATACAAGTGTCGAAAATATCAACAAGAAAATTTGTGCCAAATGCCACTCCTCAAAATCAAGTTAAGCCAATTTGGAAATATCGAAATGGCTTAAAATTGAAATAGAAAGAAATTTTGTTTAAACTTAAAATAAAATTTTCTCCAATTTAAATTTCAATGTATCAATTCGATATTTCAAAATGCAACATTGCAGTATATTTGTCGGTAAATTTACTTATACTCGAGAAATATATTTATTTGAATTTTAGTGTGTGCACATGCAAAAAAGACCATATACTATTATATTATAAAAGACAACATTATAGTATATTTGTTGATAAATACTATTGTTTCTTTGGAAAAGGCTCTAATATCATTGGACAATGCTCTATTATCTTACTATACATTGTTGCAAAATTGAAAGATAACACTAAATTTTATTATATATACTGGTATTATTTTTCTTTCAAAGGTTTCTATATTTTTTTCAAAGAATACATATATGATTATATAAATTATTTGTTATGATTTAAAGAGAGAGACTAAAGAATATATATATATATATATATATATATATATATACACACTAAAGGATGAAAACTTTATTAATGGGCTTTTAACTAATCTTCTTTCTATTTATTTTTTTCATATAGTTTATAGATTTGTTTTTTAAAATGTACATTAAAAATGCACCGGCAAAAAAAAAAAAAAAATGAAAAAAAAAAAATTAGTAATACGGCACATTCTAATAATTAAGGCAATTACCTAAAGAAGAAAAAGAAAACAATTTTCCTGAAAAACCTTGACACTGCTACAAATGGTTCAGGGACGGAGTCAGAAAATTGTTTCAGGGAGCACATTGTAAACTAAATACATATTTACGTAATAATGTGTATACACATAAATGGGTGTTTATGGAGAATATACGGGTGTTTATGGAGAATATACGCGCGCAGGTAAATATATATAAAGAGATTGATATTTTTGGGATAAGGTAAATTAATAAATTACATATATATATAATATAATGAAACAATTTAATAAAAAAATTTAAGAAAACATGTATAATATATAAGAGAAGGAGAAATTTGAGGGGGATATTTTTACACATTTCCAAAAATATATATAAATAAAATAAGGGAAAGAACAAATCCAAGGAGGGACATGCACCTGGTCCGGTACCGCCGCCGTCCTGAAAGGGTTCAAGCTTATGCCAAATATATTATTATTATTATTTGGTTGGTATTGATTTTTATTTAAAAAAAATCTGGAACTGGATCAGACCCAAGAATGTTTCTTTGTTCAAGAGAGAGACTAATAAGCAAAAGAGACCGGAAGAGAGTCGACTATTTTCTATTTTTTATTCTTCCTTTTTAGTAATTGCCTTAATTATTAGAATGTGTGCTATTGATAATCTTAAATTTAGAAATTA